CTGAGGGTGGAGAAATTAACATCCAAAGGGCTAATGCTAAGAGACCAACTGGTAGTATTGGCACAGCTAGCACTAGCAGCGAGGGCTGGAAATCTCCTACGTACAACGGGTCTGATTCTGAGACGCCCGTCCGAGTCCAAGGGACGGGGAGAGCAATGGTGGGTGGAGCGCAAATTGATTACACTGATGGAGATAAATGGTACGATAGAAAGACGAGACCGCCCGGCAGGGATAGGAGAGAGGAGGGGAAGGAGGGAAGCTACACAAGGAGCACAGAATATTTCGGATATGATTATTTTTAGGAATGTTTTTTAAAAGTAAGCAATTCAACTACGAGTTAGAGCTTCTGGCATTGCCACATCTACTCCAGATAAAGGAAACCTTGCTCCTTGTCTAATATCCTTCTCTCGACAATAAACAGCGAACCTCATGGGTTCTTCGAGCACAAGAGACTTCGCAAGGAAGGACTGTATAGGCAAGGGAATTCGCGGTCCTCTCCACGCTCTTTTCACTAGTGTCACGCACAAGAACAAGCCATCAAAGGGGCACACATCATTAATAGGGCCTATTGACTACGTGTATCGACTGCAGTGGAGGACTGAGTCTATATTATCATCAGGCTGGCCATATAGATCGGATCCTTAACAAGACTTCTGGAAGATTGATCTTAGGCCTCTCGGTAGAGCTGTCTAGCAAAAGTAATTATTATAGAGCCAGAGATAATTCCTAACTCTGTATGCTTGACAAATGTTGACACTGACCGGAGAAGAAATTATACGCAGGCAATAGGGGAAATGAAAGCTGGTATGAAGGATAGGCGATGATACATAGTTTTGCCATTAGTAGACTCATTACTCTTATTTCTAATAGCTACCACCGGTAATCTTCACAATTACACAGGAAGAGAATCCACATCTCCATCCCCATCCCCATCTCCATCATCTCCCCCTTCTCCAACCTTCTCAACCTTCTCGACCGCCCTTACCCCATCCCCCCTTATCTCAAACTCCACCGCATCCCTCAGCCGCGGCCCACTAGCCTTCGCATGCGGCGCAAACACAACCTTCATCCAGCGCCTCCACCTCCTAAGGACCAATTCCCCAGCCTCATTCTCCTCATCGGCCGCTAACCCCGGTCCGTAAACTGGTTTCTTGATCAGCGCGATACGGCATGCGATCTGCGTCGTCCATATCAGTCCCAAGCTCGGGGTTTTCAGATTCCTGCTTGCGTGCAAATCGTCGCCCCAGCCGGTGAACCAGCGTTGTTGGTGGTCGAGGGACATGGGGTCGGGGGTTGGTGCGAAGGGCGTGTGTGGTGTCGATGGTGGGGGATGTGAGGCGCTGGATGTAGGAGCGCTGGATGGCAATACTGTCGTCCCAGCACTTCGCCGTGCTAGAGGACTACTCTGCGTGGGATTCCGATAGAGTACGGGACTGCTACCATCCGCTGTACTAGAACCAGCACTGGAAAATCGATCCGCAACCTGATTGGCAACCACGACTACAATATTATGCTCCCTCGCGATATCTCGTAGGAGCTGGCCCAGTTTAACGAGATCAGCGCTCCGTTGCGCCATATTCGCGCCATTTGTATGGCCCCCTCCGGCGCTGGGGCGTTCGAATTCCGCGCGGTAGTTCGCGGCGACTGAGTCGAGGATGATGAGACGGATGCCGTGACGGCGGATGGCGACGGGAACTTGGTAGCGAAGGATGTGGTCTTGGGATTCGAGGTCGGGGGTTGCGATGCTGATTACGGCATCGAGGGATGGTTTTGGCTCGAGGGATGCGAGGGTAGGATGGGTGCGTAGGAGTTGGGAGAGGCGGGTGATGGGGAGGGCGGACTCGGTGGATATGTAGAGGGTTGGGCTGGAGAGGCCGAGGGGTTGAGGGAGTTGCGCGGAGAGGAGGAGGGTGAGGAGGAATTGGGTTTTACCTGCACCGCTGGGGAGTTGTGTCAGTTTGATACTGGGAAGTTAGGAAGAGGGGGAGAATACTGACTGACCTTTCGCCCGTCACCTCTGTGATGTATCCAGCGGGGATGCCACCTCCCAATGCGCGGTCCAGGTCGTCATCTAAAGTACTAATCGTATTCCACGAATCCACCAGGTCCCTCCCGGATTTCCTCAGCCGTGAATTGTGACTTTCCTGCGTCCTATCCCCATCCTCAACGGCACCAATCCCCAGATCTAATTGAAGAGCGTCGAGAACGGCATTGCAAAGCCTTTTTACATCCAGCAGCGGCAGCTGGGCGCGCTTTGCTATCTCGATCCAATCCTGGGTGAGGAGATCCGCGGTGGTGACGCAATGCTTCTCGAGCGAGGGGAGGAGGCGTACATATTGCTGCGTGGGGAATCCGGGGAGGACGGTGGTGAGGTCGGTCATGGATTATGGATAGCGGTGGTGGGTTTGGAGGCGTGCGGTGCGGTGCGGGCGAGGCTGGGAAATTGGAATATGGGGAACCCCTACACGCGACGGAGCCTTACAGTATCAGGGTCTTATCGGGGCTGTTATCTGACTCATCTTTTCGTGAACACTTTCGTCGTCGTCTGCCAAGTACAGTACAGCATCGCACAAAAGCAGGTCAATTACGAAGCACAGGCAAGTGCTTTGTCGAATTGTTCCCAGTAGAAGGTTAGGCCCTTCTTCTTTGGCCCGGTTTCAATTTAGAGGGGTCTTTCTTTTAATCCCGGTGGATGTTGTTTTTACGAGGTGTTCCTTGTGCTGAACGCAGTAGCACGACGTTTCCTCTCTGTTTGAACTTGGAACTTGCAGGACCACTGTGAGCCCGGGCTTTACAAAATGTCATCAAACCAAACAGCGCATCAAGCAGGATTAAGAGTCATCGCAAGGGGAATTGCTTTGACAGATGCTGCTGCCGCTGCTCCATATGCAGTCACATGTCACATCTCGCCGTAGGGCTAGCAAGTTAACAAATAACACGCAACAACAGAGGGCACAGTGCATCATCATTGTGCCCTCTCCTGCGCCATGCAGCCAATGCAGCCCTGTGGCCAAGTCCATGTGGCGGCACACCGAACAGAGGGCCCTGAGCGGGCGATCTGGTCTGAAGATCGCTGTCGTCCCTGAGGCATTTGTTTTTACGAGGACAGTCCTTGGTACGAGGAGATGCACGCATTGCCGGAACTGGCGGCATATTCTTCAAAGTCCTGCTTGGGGAAAAAGAACAACTATCCTTCGAACGACAAGACACGACAAGCCACTATGATTACCTGAAGGCTAGAGAGCGTTTAGGGAAGGTGATTATTAGGGTTCTGACGCCAACAGAAACACGGACCACGGGACTCGTCAGTCGCCGCGCAAGAGCCAAGATGATGGATCGGGAGACTTCCGTGGGGGGGACGAGTATCGCGAGGAATGCTTGGCTGGTAGTTTAGTTGGTTAGTTGGTGGTTGAAAACACGACTCCGGTACCCGAGTAGTCCAGTGCTGGGTGTTGTAGGAGTGCTGTAATATTTTTCCATTCCTCCTGTATAGAGCATGAATGGGCGTATATACAAAGCAAGCAATACTGGAGACGGTGCATGCGGCGGTGGCTGAGACCATCGCATCCCATATACTTACTACATGCAGTACGAGCCGGAGATCCATCGCAGCGTCCCTCGACTGCCGCAAGTTCGTCGCCCTACATACTTGCCATCTGTCATATGCGGCTCTGCTCGTAGTCTGTGTGGCGACGTGGTCCCTATGACGATTTGGCCTTTATTAATCATGAGGGGGGGGGGGGGAACGAGGAAGAATCGGGAGAATGAGGTGTCCGTCTGACCAAGGCTTATCCCAATTGCTGAGTTGGGAACTTTAACCAAGTTACGAGACTCTGCGTACGACGTGCAACGTACTCCGTACCTTTGGTATGTAAGCGTTGGAAACGGAGTGGCCAATGAGGAGGAGGAGGAGGAGGAGTTACTCTATGCTAGAGTTAGTAACCTAATGCAAACACATATAGTAGCTATCTGGTTCATGCCCGTGTATCTCCGTAGAGTAGGTTTTCTAAAGTGAATGATCTGATTCTCTAACATGTATGCCTAATTATTCTATTTCTGTTCTGCTGCCACTGCTGCCACTGCTACTCCATCCAGCTACTGGTGCTACTCTGGTGGCTGCTCGCTGGATAATCCAGATTAAAAACAATTAATAATCCACGTGCCAGCCAGGTCGTGCGAGGGACCGGCTACGACTCTACGGACTACGCCGCTGCGGAGATAAGAATACATCTGTACTGTACGAGGTGGGTAGCACAAGATGGATGGGAAGGTTAAGCATCGACGGGTGAAGTCCGAATGGAGTGGTTTTCGAGGAATGGAGGATTGTGGTTGAGGGAATCCTGCGAAAGTTAAATAATTATGATGGACCTTACCTTGTTACGGTGCTCTACAGACGATAGATAGTCAGTGCTCCGCCCCGCGCTGCTGACTGTCCTTATTCAGTCCGTCCTCGCCGCAGACCGCCCTGTGTGTAGTTGGGGCGCTAGATCGTGTAGGGATTAGGGGAAGGGGGATTAGTGCCTACGGAGAGTCGCAGGGGGCTTGCTGCAATGCCGCCCGTAGCAGGACCTCGCTGGGTCGCTGCTGATTGGGCAATAATGGGCAATAATAGCCCATTGGGGGGGGGGCCTACAGTACCCCGTTGGGCGGGAGCGTAGGGCGGCGGGGGACCGAGCAGCGGGGTGCTCAGGAGTACGCTAGGGGGGCGCCTGAGTCGGGCGCAGACTGTAGATTGCAGAATGGCTTCTTGGCAACCGTTCGCATCTCCAGGCAGCAGCGAAAGGGGGGGGGGGAATGAGAAATGAATGGCGATAATTGATAATTACATTACAGCGTATAGTGTAGTGCAGTGCAGGAGGGGGACCGTTACAGCACCTACAGCACGACTACAACTAACTACAGCAGCACTACAGTAATAAATAATAACAAATAAACAATACGGGCTCTCTGTCTTTACTGCACGCCGTAGCCGACCCGACTCGACTCGCCGCCCTCCTCCGCCCTCTTTGGTCCCCTTCCTGGTTCCCCTTCTTCCTGTTCCTGTTGCTGCTCCTCTTCCTCCTGCTCTTCCTCTTCCTCTTCCTCCGCCGCCGCCTCCGCCTCGCTCTCCGTTCCCTCTTCCCCCTTCCCCCTTCCCCAGTCCCCCAACAACCACCCCCCCCCGTCAACTGCTGACCGACTCCACCGTGGCCGCCGCCTTCATTCATCACCGCTCTCAGTCCTCTCGGTCTCTGTCCGCAGCCCTCAGTCCTGATTCCTCATCTTGCTCCTCCCCGTCCCCCGTCCTTCTCAATCATTACATTATTCCGCAGCCTTCGCCGCCCTTCGCCCTCACCACCAGGAATCATCTCATCTCATCCCATCCCATCCCATCTCGTCTCTTCTCCCTCTCTCACCGGTTCCCCATCCGTGTTGTTGACGGTTGACTTTTTGTTGTTGACACCACACCACACCACACACCTCTCAACTCCCCGACTCCCGACTTCCCACATCTGCCGCCCAACCACACCCTCTCCCCAACTTGCAAACTGCCAACTGCAAACTGCAAGTGCAACTCCAACTGCAACCGCGACTGCATCTGCATCTGCCCCCGGAGCCCTGTCGTCGCCGCTGCTGTCCTCGTACCCGACATCCTATCGTGCATCACCTACATGTCTATGTGAGCGAAGCTCCAGGCAGCCGCGGGCCTTACCTATCGCCCCATCCCCCGCCACCGCTCGCTCGTCCGTTTGCTCCTCTTGAATCTCTCGTCGTCGTGTGTTAGTGGTGCCGTCGATATATTCATCAGATACGCATCGTCGTCGACTGTCGAGTACCGTTCGCTCGCGATATCGACTTCTCGACCGCTGTCGCCGTGGTCGTTTGCTGCTGCGTTGCACCGCCTTGCGTTGCCTGCACTGCCCCCCCCCAATATCCTCAAACGCGTGAGCTGATACGCGCTGGGAATCGTGTGTTCTCCTCCTCCTACCTGTACGTACTTACCTTCTCCGACATCTCCTAAAGTGTCTCTCGTCCTTCTCCTGCTCTTTCTGCTTCTCCAGCATTCTTTTCTGTCTCCGGCCAGTGGCTGTGGCCCCGTTCCTGTCCACGCCCCATTTTATCTCCATTGGCATCTCTGGAATTGGCACGGGCATTGGCGAATCAGCCCTATATGCACATTGCAACGCTGCTCACCGGGGTTGCTGTGAATTGAATTGCTTCATTCGGCGCCGGTCAACCTCGTCTCAATCGGGACGCCTCGACTCGACTCTCCCCGATCCCCGGTTGGCGCCGCCTGTGACTCACTCCTTCTCTTCCTGTCTCCTGTCTCCTGTGTCCTGTCTCTTTCCTTCCTTGCGTGCATGAAGAACTCGAAGCTCCAGCTCTAGCAGCCGCTAATCAGACCATCTGTCCAGGATCAGCCAGAATCGGTCTCTGCCCTCCACCACTCATCATGTCTCCCCGTCACCCCCGCCGATCTACAAAGACCTCATCGCCCGCTCTGACTCCTACCGCGTCTACCGTCACCGTCACCGTCGCTGTTAACACCAACATGTCCCTTCATAAAGGAGCCACCTTTCACTCTCCTTCCACCCCCGAGGACGAACAGCAGCACCCCTTCAAAGTCCCCGACCTCCCTCGCCGCTCGCAGTCTTCGCTGGAGGATGTCGTCGATGCCCACAAGCGTCGTGTAGCTTTGACTCTGGGTGATATCGACCGTAGCCTCGCCGCCGTCGAGGACCGCTCTCCCACCGCCCGCCAGTCTTTCCCCGACGAGGCGGACCCCGTCCCCCAGGGCTTCCTCGATCACACCGTCGGTTCTCAGCCGTCGACCAAATCATACGGGCCCCTCATGGCTGGAGTCATGTCTGAGGAGGCTACTTCCATCGGGAGACACTCCCTTCGCCCGCGCCGCCGCCCTTCAAGGTACTCGGATAGCGCGCTGGGTTCCTCAATCGGATCACGCTCTGGTAAGAATGCTGAGGATACCGCGCCGACTAGTGTCGTCGATGACGGTGCCAAACCCACAACCGCAGCCAAAGCTATAACTAGGTCTGCCGCGGCCGCCCACACCGCTACCATGGAGAGTCTTCCCAGACTCAGTGCGCGTGCAAGCAACCGCATCCGCGAGCATGTCCTGAGACCGCTGCTCGCCAAGTCGTCGCTGAAGGACTTCCACCCCATCGTGAAGGACTGCCCCAGGAGGATCCACTCGAAGGAAATCGTGTGTCTGCGTGACCTCGAGAAGACGTTGATATTTATGGCACCTGTAAGTGATATCCCGGAGGGTGATGCTTTTGTAGGGGGAGTTGCTCACTGGTTTTCGCGTTTGAAGGAGAGGACCAAGTCTACCGCCTTGTACCTCGATTTCTGCCTCACGTCAATCCGGTGTATCCAAGCGACTGTGGAATATTTGAGCGACCGCGAACAGACCCGCCCTCACGACCGCCCTTATACTAACGGATACTTCCTCGATCTCGTCGACCAGATTAAGCAGTACGCCCAGCAGGTCCAGGCCGCGAAAGAGAAGGAAGAGAAAGGCGAGAAGCTGGACGAGATGGATCCTGAGTCGTAAGTGACCCCCCCCTCCCCTTCAAAGCTACCTTTGTCCCCGTTCACCAGAGGCTATCTTTGTCTTGCCTGACATCAAAAACCCATGCTGACGATACTCAGGACGGATGAGGTCAGACTCCATGGAGGATTGACCAAGAACGGCCGCCCTGCTGAGCTGGTTCGCGTCAAGAAGAATGGAAAGGCCATTTCTGTTGCTACCGGCCTCCCTATTGACCTGGAGGACGAAGACAGCAAGGGATCCATGCGGTTTAAGCGCTCGTTGAGTCAGGAAGCCGAAGACGACGACGCCGTCATGAGATCTATGGCCCGCCGGAAGCGATCTGCCTCCGCAACTGAGCTTGCCCCAAAACGCTGCCGTGAGGCAGGATGTGACAAGGAATTCAAACGGCCTTGTGACCTCACAAAACACGAGAAGACTCATTCTCGACCATGGAAGTGCCCAGTTGAGACCTGCAAATACTACGAGTATGGCTGGCCAACCGAGAAGGAGATGGATAGGCATCACAACGACAAGCACTCCTCTGCCCCTCCTTTGTATGAGTGCCACTTTAAGCCTTGCCCATATCGCTCCAAGCGCGAGTCGAATTGCAAGCAGCACATGGAGAAGGCCCACGGATGGGAGTACGTTCGATCCAAGAACAACGGAAAGAACAGGGAGAACCCCGCTGGCACCACCACCACGAACCACGGCTTGGTAACCCCCCAAACCACAAATATCCAAACCCCAAGCAGCGATGGGCATTCCATGGCCACACCTCCGGGTGACGACTTTGACATGCATACTGGATATGGTGGGTCCTTGTTGTATGATCAGCAACAGAATCAGCTCAACTTCCCAGAATACCCCTCCGATATAGACATGTTTGCGTCGAATCAACAGCTGCAGCTTGACTTCTCCCCCATTTCTGATCTCAATCAGTCTGGATCTTCCAACGGCCACTCCCCACCCTTCTCTGGGAATGTCGTTCCTGGACAAGACCATTTCCAGGACACTTTCCACCACTTGCAAAACAACGTTGACTTCAGCCTGTTCGAGAACGAAGACCTCTACAGCGCTAACGTCCGAATCCCAACACCACCTCGCGACGTTTACCACCACGCCATTAACGGATATCAGACCTCTGGCATCCCATTCGGCGCTGACCCTATTCCACAAATCTCCCCCATTGGTCACGGAAATACCATGCTCTATACGCCGACTTCCATGCGAGAAGTTGACGAAGGCTTCGAGGACTTTGTTCCCGCCAACTGCAACCCGCAACTTGGCAATTCCGGGGACTTCCAGCTCTTCCCAGCGTCTACAGGTGGTACGGTCGCCAGCTCCGCTCCCAGCGGCCTCTTTGGAGAAATCCAACCAAACACCATCCCAACCACGACTGGTTTCCCTGGTGTATCTGCCCAGGATCTCCTAGACTTCTATGCCGCAAGCACAGCAGCTGCTACTCAGCACCACAGGCACCAGCAACAGCACCAGCACCATCCTGGAATTAACAATGCGATGATGGATTGGTCAGCACCTGACCAATTCGGCGGCTATAGCAGCCATTGAACAGCGCAGTGGTCTTGTGACCTCGGGGACGAGCGCTAGTTGTACTGGTGGATGTTGCGGTCCGCCGCCATTTGATACATTTAAGTTGATATAAAATATATTTGTGATATTAGCACGGCTGTTATGAATTTCCTTTTGACCATCCGGTTTTCTCATCGTTCATGATTTTAGGAAGATAATGAGGGGTAGAATTTCGAAGGCATAGGATATGTGAACCTGAACTGCCTCAAGAGAATTAGTTTCGGCAAGATGATCTCGACGGGGTAGAATAGCTATTTGTTCTTTCCCAGCTTGTTCTGACTCCGGGGATATTTATGGGATCTGACGAAGTGAATTGGTGCTTTGTGTGTACTCGAGACTGTTCTGGAAATCTATGGAGGGTTAACAGAGGGGATGATAGACCACACATTGACTTTTATCTTTGGCTTCCTTTTTTGCAGGCAGATAGCGGGTAGCGATAGGGAGATTGGATTGATTTATACTTTATATATATGGAAGTACGAAAGCAATCACAACTCATTGAACAAGGCTATTGGTATTATGTGAATTGGCCTTATGCATATTTTTAAACTTTGGCGTTTCGTGTGTCATGGTTAAGCTTTGTCAACGTTGAAGACCCTCCTTTCCCCACCCCCTGCGCCCGTACCCTAGATCAGATCCCTATTTCTAGATCAAACTCAAAACTCCTCAATTAATAAGTCTCCGGAACCTACCGCCACGCCAAAACCCACTCGCTCAGACCCCCTTCCCATCACGTGACCGCATCAACATCAGATGAAACTCCAAGCTTCTTCCCTCAACGTGTCTCCATCCCCACCCCCCTCCGCAACATCTGGCGAACCTCCCCCAAAAAGGCAGCTAGTATATTTTTGCAGAAAAAAGAAGGAAGGTGGATTATCATTATCCGTTGATTGATTGTGATCCACCCGGGGCCGTTCCTTCGTTTCTTCGTATCTTACCCCTTTAAGGAATATCCTTCTCGGTAAAGGAAAGTGGGTAGGATCGACAGACCGGATAGGTTCAGTTCCGTGGGAGAGGGGGGCGCCACATGTGGACGACTAACTATATGTGAGCAAGCAAGGACAACGACAAACGTTTATATATAATTCCGGCTTCTGGAAAGTCGTGTTCGCTCGCGCTTTGTTTTGTTCTGCTGCTTTTGTTTGTTTTCGGTTTATATACATGAGAGAGTCAGAGTGTGAGAGAGTTGTGTGATTTTCTATTGTTGTTGATTGTTTTCGTGAGGTGAGGAGAAAGGAGGGATAGGAGGGATTTTGAGACGACACGTACCGCTCAGGCTAGACAAATCAATCAATCAATCAATCAGGCTCAGACATCGGATTTAAATTTGGATCTGGAGGAAGGAAGAAAGAGCCAGGACTCGAAAAGGAAGAAAAAACAAAAAAATGGAGTTATACGTCAAGATTCTAGCAATAGGCGGAGCATTATGGTTCTCACGGATTCTATTAAGCATCTGGCGGTTCATCTATATATACGCGCGCCCCTCCTCCCTCCCACGGTACCACCACCACAGCAAGGAAACCGGCTCTCCGCCCTGGGCAATCGTCACCGGCGCCAGCGACGGCATTGGGAAAGGGTATGCGTATGAGCTGGCGCGGCAGGGGTTTAATCTCGTTCTCCACGGCCGCAACGGCGAGAAATTGCTTGCGGTGCGGGAGTGTCTGCGGAAAGCGTATCCTGAGATAGAAACACTGTCTCTTGTGCTAGATGCATCGACATCTGGGGCAGAAAGCACGCTGCAGATGAGCCGCGCGCTGGAGGTGCTGAAGGACTTGCATATCACGGTGCTGGTCAACAATGTGGGCACGGGAACAAGACCTACAGGCCATGTGTTCTCCAGCTACTCGAAAGATATGCCGGCGGATATCGACTGGCTGATCAACACGAATGCGCGGTTTCCCGCGCAGCTTACTCGTGCGCTGTTGCCGCTGTTGCTGGCGCACGGGGGACCCGCGCTGGTGTTTACAACGTGCTCGATTACGGAGATAGGGAGTCCGTATTTGGCGATCTACAGCGCGACGAAGGCGTTCATGGCGACGTTTTCGAGGTCGTTGACGAGGGAGATGCGCGCTGAGGGCCGGGGGGACGTGGAGGTTTTGGGGATTATGACGGCGCAGGTTACGGGGACGGCGACGAGTTGTGGGCCGAGGTCGTGGGTGCAGCCTGATGCGATGGAGTTTGGGAGGGCGGCGTTGGGGAGGGTTGGGTGTGGGTTTGATGTTGTGGAGGGTTGGTGGGCGCATGCTGTTTTGGGGGTGTTTACTAGAGGGGTGCCGGATAGGGTGTTTTCCGGGGTGTTGACTATAGCGATTAGGGAGGAGATGAGGAAGAAGGGGAAGAGTGCTTGAGAGGGGGAGGGGGGGCTGTAGATTGTGTGAATATGTGAATATAATAGTAGATGTTAGGGAGCGTTTGATACACACCTAAGGAATCTGGATTTGGATATATATTCTTGTGTACGAGACAAATTGGCTCGATATCAATGTGACTCCTATATGTTAATTGGGAATAGAGTTATATGTACCTTAGGTATGTAGTGAAACTGGCTTAGAACTCGTGGGGAATTCCTCGTGGCCCAATTGCTATAAGAGTGCCATTAATCATCTATTAGCGAACATATCTGTTGCTATATTCCAAACAAGCTGCAATATCTCATGCTTGGGCGACATGCCATACCAATGGCCAAACGGGCTCCTCGCTATCCATTTATCCAACGCTCATAGATCATTTCACATCGTTCACTCATCACTCATCTCTTCCGACATAGCTTTCTGTTTTCCCTACCATCGCACCTCTCCCTGCCCATCTCCCACTTTTAAACATCCATTCTTCCGCCGCTCCGCAAGCCATCGATCAATCCACATTTTCATCTTCGCCCGAGTCGGAGCACTCCCCACGTTAACGGTCGGGACGACCTTCTCGATCCTCAACGCGCACACAAACAGTGTCAGTTCTCGGAAGCTCGAGTGCTCGCTATACGGCACGCTGAAACAGGACGCTTCGCGCGTGCTGCCGCGCTGTGGGACGAGATCTTGAAGGGTGTAGGCTGATCTCCAGTTTGGAGAGTTGATGATTGCAGGGACGGTGGGGGAGTCGGTGAGTCTGGTGATGAATGTTATTTATATGTTCAAGTAGATGTATGTATAGAAAAGGGATGGTAAATACCTCGATTTCGGAGGTCTGTAATTCCACCCACTTGGTCGGAACCCGACGATACGGCCGAAGTGCGGCTTGTGGAGGTTGAGATAGTCCTGCAACGTCTCAGGTCTAAGCTCCATCAACATTTGCATGTGGATCTGCGCCTCCTTGGGATCATCCGTCATGCGGCCCATCAGCTCTGGGTCTTCCAGCGCGGCACATATCCGCAGCTTGCCTGGTGGAGCCCATATCTTGCAGTCTAGTGCCCGAGCAATTCCCATGCATATTTTCTCTTTGCCGATACTATATGTGCCACATACAATGAGAAGTCGGCCACGAGATTTACCGCTCTTACTAGTCCTAGAATCCATCACCATACTATCGTCTTCGGCTTTTATGTCTGGTACTGAATTGACAAACTTCGCCATGCTTGGCCCGGCACGCTCGCGTTTAGCCGTCTCCCAGACATCGCTTTCTTCGGCACAGTCTTTGGTGAGAGATACACACATATCTGTACAAGCTGTGACGACTTCATCCTGGGATGGGAAGGAATAGCGTGGGTTGAGATAGGTAGTGTCCAGATAGCAGACATCTATCTTCTGTTGTTTCAGCTTCCCGGAGATCGAGTCGACAACATTAGGCATGAGGAGCGGGTGACCCACGTGTGCTGCACAAGCGCGAAAGTCGCCGCAATGGAGAATTCGCTGAACCTTGGGGTTATTGCCTTTTCCAAGAACCTTCTCGTATAAGAATAGAGAGCTGCCAGGGCAGTGGTTGGCAGGAATCATAGTGACGGCTACCCCCTGGGTTTCAGGCACTTCGAATCTCTCCTCGAACTCTAGTGCTACCACCCACTTTGGGTCAACCCGTAGTTGCTGTTTGACTAGATTTGCCGTTACTTTGCTGCAGTATATTGGCCCGTGACACCACGAAGACGTGAGTCCGACATAGTGGTCACTATGAAAATGGCTTAAGAAATATGCTTTGCACCCTTGAACAGCACCATAGCGAAAAGCGTCAACGCATATAAATAATCCAGGCATAATCTTATAGAAAGGGCAAGTCCTCTTATATGCGGGCTTTCCTCTCGATGTTTGTTCGGCAGTAGCAGCAATGGTCCATGCCTCATCTTCCGCATGGCCTGCCATAAGCTTCGAGAAAGCGGACGATGGAGCGGCACTTGCCGACCCAATTTCGAACGGATTTGCTTGGCCTGGTCTTGCTATAGCTGCTTTTCGTGCAAAGCGGTTGTGGGCGCCTTCAGGCATAATCTTCACTTCCGAAGGGATTTTTCCGATTGAGACCGGCAGCGGCAGTAGGTTGCCATCTAGACACGCATTGACGTGTCTAGTAACGTCCTCGGAGTTAATGCCCTCGAGGGTGGCATTGCAGATGGGGCAGGCTGCTATAATCTCTTCCTCGGAAGCCTTCTGGGACGTAATCTCGTCATCAAAGCCGTTGAACTCCTCCTCGTCCTCGGCGGCAGCTCGCCTAGCCTCCTCCTCCATCCAACGTCTCTCGATGGACTCTTCCCCGTGAATAAACTCATCAACATCATCAGGGAGCTCTTCCATGTCATTAAATTCGTTCCAGTCATCGCCACTCGTGGCTTCTTTATTCAAGCTCGGTATAGCGGCCAAGGCCAGAGCATTGGTAGGTGGCTGCCTTGACTGTTTGATGTTTTTCTGGTCCCTTGAATATGCAGCTTCGTCCGAATCACTGGACGAGCTGGTACTATTTGGCTGTAATGCTTCCCACTTTGCTTGCGCGGCTGCCACTGGCACCTTTTTTCGCCGTTTCCATGGATACTGATTAGCTGATTCTGCCGGAAGGGATGAAGGCAGAGTGGATTTGCTCCCTGCCTCTATACCACTAATATTGCCAACTTTATTGCTGTTTTCATCGTCGCTTTCCGAGTCTGAGAGAAAGGGGCCTTTGCGTCTGGGTCTTTTTGGCTTGGTCGTCACTGCTTGAACTAGAGGTGGGGTATCGGCACCGTTTGAAGTTGCAATCTCCGCACCACCGTGGCCATCAATAGTGGCCACTGGCGACCTGCCCTCTCCTGCAACGACCACTGATCCCTCTGGTATGCTATGGCTCGACGTTTTCCGCCTTTTTATCGAACCCGCAGCTTCATTGAATCTCCCAATATCTTCATCACAATATATACCCTCCAAATCCTCATCTATACCAACAATAGGCTTCGGCCTCGAAGGAGTATCGTGGACTTGTGATCCTTGAGAGAGGAAAATCGAATCGTCCTTCAGCGGGGAATCGACTTTCTTAAAAAAGCTCAGGATACTAGTGTTGGGTTTGCCGGGAGTTTTAGCAATCGGAGCCTTTTTGGCATTTTGCCGGCCTGCTGCTGGGACATTCGACTTTGTCTTCGGTCGTGGGGTGAGTGGCTTTGGAAAACTGCTGGAGGACATCGCGGGCAGAATTTCGATAGTGGGCGGAGAGCTAGGTGGCGTAGGTAGGCTTTCCGTCGATTGTGTCAGGAGTGGTTTCTTGGGGAGTTACCGCTTCTCCGTGGACTCGGAACGTGCAGGAAAATCTCTAGGCCATCGACGCTGGTATATAATTGTTTCTGTTGTCGAGGGCGGGGAGGGCAACCATAACTTTGGGCAGATTGACCCTAGGATGCGGCTTGTTCGCGTTTGAAGATCCTTCGGTTTCCGGTTCCTAAGCAGTGGCACGTCGCATTAGACTTTCGAATATTTGTTAGAGGTACCCGCCCGTGGTTTGGCTGAGCCGATCAAGCCGGATATCATCGAGCACGATTGTAGATTGTGCAAATCGAACGCGAAGAGCGATCAGCTTCACTGACGCGGTGTCACATGACGCTAAAATTTCCAGGAATTCGTCAAAACAGGTCTTCTAAAAGAAGTACCCAGAAATATCTACTTAAGGCATTGGAATGTCGCCTGTTTAATGAATTTTAATAATTCTATGGTCTGGAGCTAGATTGTGGTATCATTGGTATTCCACCATCCCTAATATGCTTCGATGTCTGTAGGCGGAAAATTGCCAAACACCAGAACTCCCCGCGCAGTGCTAAAGTGGCTACGCCCATCCATTCGGCATGATAAACCGAGGCAAACTCGCTCTCTGATTGAGAGAATAGCTAGCTGACTCAAAAAGCCACTCTAGTCCGCAGATCCTAGCGAGATATCTGGCCAACGGTATACTGCCTCCAGGTGCGCAACTGTATGCCTTCTCCATTCCATCTTCCTATTCAATCCTCCATGGCCGCTTCATTTTGCTTTCGAGGCCTGCTGCGCAGCTTCCCTGCGAGTAGCTATGTATGTTGTTAGCAGGATGAAAGACAACGCAGCGTGCCTAAACAAACCATCTTCTAACAACGCCGTATCAACTGCGCTTCCAGGCAAATGCACATATCTGACCACACTCCCTCTGATAAAAACATTCTTTACGGATGACTTGAATACCATGTGTTAGCAATCAATCCTAATCGCGGTGACCCATTGTAGAGATCCAATGCTCTAGTCGAGTACTGACCAGATGGGGGTACTTCAATTCCTCCACCACTTGTATATCATCGAGCTTGATATTGAGATACTGGTCGACAGATTTCAGTGTTCCTCGGATCTGGATATCGTTCTTGAGCTCCACCGTAACCTCGTGGTCGACCAAGGTCTTGAAGAAGCTATTTGGGGAATTGTGGGTTAGCAAAAGTACACCAATACAAAGCAGAGGATTGGGTAAATACGGACCTGAAGAATAACATTGTGGAGGGATCGTCAAGGAACACGCAAGGCCTCGGTCGGTGTAGATGCTCTGGTAGTGGGATGTTCGATGGAAGTCTCGCGATGTGGGGAGCATGGGCTAGCTAATTGGGGCCTAAGGCCAACAGGTGTTGATTCGTGGCATGGGCACCACAACACCACAACCATTTCCGTATCAACTATTCAATGAGTTGCCAACGTGGGTAACTGTGCGGAATATGTATCTCTCGACCACCAGGGTGGCCTGAAAAGGGTCACTACCAATTACTACTTTGTCTACTGCACATTCTTTATGTTCACTTCCTAGCTTTAATCCGTCTCCCGCGACTGCGGTGTTATGCCCCCTCTTAAGTTAGGAGTGCTTGATAATTCTGAACTTGCCAGACTCCCTCGCTAGTTAGAATGGGATGAGGTTTCCAATGCCTATTGTTGACATCTCGTAATATCTGCAAGTAACTGGCTACTTCCATTTCTTGAAACAACCAATCCTCCGTATGTGGGTTTGATGGCCTCCTACACTCCCAACCAATGGCGGATAGAAAGTTTTTATAGCACTCTCAAGCAATTAACTAAATTGGTTTGCAGCTTTCAAGTGAAAATGCACGACTCTAGCTTGGGATGCACTACTGTAGCTCTTTCACCACTCTCCTGGCAGTCTATTCTGCCATGGGCGCATATGATAGCGTCTGACGAAGGCTAGTTCAAGCAATGTTTTGTTTAATTGATCGATTTATTGCAACATACTCTATCCTCAGGTGTTGTGTATGAGAGAAGTACGCACCCAATGTGCCTCTGGCGGAATAGTTTCTTCCCCAATATATAGCTTGGATGTCAACCTCGCTCTACTCAAGCTAGTTTATCGGTATTGCAGCAGCATATATTATTATAGTCTCCATATGCCACATTAAATCCAAGCACGGGGACTCAGATTAGGTTTATAAAAAAAAAAGGTCCAAAAGCTAACAAGTATATTTCAAGTTCAGCTAGTAGCCAGTGAGTGAATTGCCTTAAATTTCTAAAGCCACTAAATTAGCTGCTCGAGCTGAGACCTTAAGGTCTGTCATATTCTCATTAGGGCGGTACCGTTGTCAGCTGAAAGTCACGCGTTCTGGCAGAACCCCCCCTAATTGTTATTCAACCTTCTTATTCTTGATACACACAGAGACTGCACCAACTACCAAGACTCATCACGTCGCGTCCACGCAGTGCATCGATGGTGACATTTGAGTCTAGAGGAACGGTCTTGTATCGCGCAGCAAGACGCCAGTACAGTTTGGATCTCTTTGTCCTATTGACACGTCTTATTTCTTGACACTCTACTGTTCATACAGCGCGAGTTGCGCGTAGTCAGGAAGTGAACATTACACGACATCAAACACTACAATCATTAACTAAAGCCATGCCCGGTCGTCACAGGCCGAGTAGACATAGGGCACATCGGTGTATGTTAATTCCCTAGCAGAGAGCTGGTGCTATGAACTAAGATCCTCCAGATAGGAGACAGAGGCAAAGGGAGGCTAGACACTATGAGATCGGCGGACCAGCGAGTCGGCCGGGCGCTTCCACCCACGGTTTGTTTCCCTAGGAATCGAGAGCCAATTGGTCGCTAGGCTGAACTATGTTAGTACTACAAGGAAAGCACAGCCATGGGCTTAGGTACGATGAGCCATCGAATTGTGTCAATATAAATGATGGCACGCGTGCTGCTCCTCTGGGACCTCGTGCGTGGGTGGCAGAAAATAGGAAACGTCCCTTAAATGGTAGCTTCCACCATCCATATATTTCCAAAGAAAGCCATTAATATTAGCACATATGAACCAGAACCGCAAATTACATCAAAACGAGCTTGCTCACACTATGAAATGCAAGGTACCATAACTACTGAATAAAGCCCTGGCCATAACCTGATTCAAACTCCTGCTAAAAGCAAGTTACATAGTTACGGACTCCAATCTTCTGGATTTTCCTGCTTCAACCTCAACAACTACTATCTCCGCATCCAAATCTGTCACTCTCAGAGATGTCAACCGTGAGGGAATTCCAAAGCTTACAGAAACCCCGGGAGCCTTTGTTGGCACAGTCGGCCCGAGCACCCCGTCGGCCACATTGACAACTTCGACTCTACACTGGACATCTGCCAATGCGTCAAACTCCACGTTGACTAGTATTGCAAGCCCTTCGACCCACCCGTACCACTCATTTTCACCAACCACACAAAATTCCATTGACCCAGCAGCCAAAGTTCGTCAAATATCAGATGAAATGGCTGAAAAGGTGACCACACCCGGAACCGTTAGATCGGCTGCTGGTCGTACCACAGAAGCCGAAAATCAGCATCAAGATTCGACAACAAGTGGAAGAATGGATATTGAAGGGGCAGAAATGGCGATTTACGAAGCGGCGGCAAAGTTCAAGGCATTACCACTTCATTCGAGAGCCAAGATGATTCATTAGGATGAAGGCGGGAAGATCCATGCGGCTATAACCTCAATGGAGTCATTATACTCTTCAATTTCAACATGGCGGGCAAGCGAAGCACAGGAAGGGGCCCAGCAGAGCCTACCTAGCAGTAGCAATTTCCCTATGCTCTGTTCTCGAAGCCCAATTCCAGCTAGACCGCCAAGCAAGCACGATCTTCAAGATACAGCCGGATCTAGAGGTCTGGGAGGAACAAGCACTGCTGATGCTATTATATTTCGTCAAATATGCGAAGATGAAGGGGCCGGGAAAATGGCTCTTACAGAAGCTGATATCAGTGCGGCTTTTGAGCTTTGCAGCAGCTTCGATATTCTCCACTGTGTCGAACGTCTCAAGACCCTTATTTTGCATATGTCAATTACACCCCATGGCCGTCCTGTGGAGGAATTTGGAATACTTGGAATGGACGACCCTAAAGTTGTCCTTCGACGACTTGGAGGATTGCTCACATCAAGCTCCCACGTAAGTGGCAATGACAAGTTGAGATCTTTCCGAACAGCGTGGAATCTCATTTCATTGGTGGAATCGGTCGATTGTGAATTGAACATAGCAATCAAAGAGAAAACTACGCGCCGGCTATCTACGTATAAGCATTTAGAGAGGAAATGGAGCTTTGCAGGCGAACAGGATGCAATTGCTCCCAAAATAAATTGGACAAAACTATTGGAGCAAGGCCGAGTCTGGAAGAACTGGTGCAAGGCACTCTCGAGTGGGACCGTTCAGGACCGTGGGGTTCTATTATTGCTGATGGCTATCAAGATTGACTTGAGAACCCCAGTTACATCGCTATCTGGAAATGAGACGCCCCAATTTCGGAACAGTGATTATGAAATCAAAGGAGGGAAGCTCAAATGGTTTCAAATCCGGTGGATCGAGAGATACATTCTCAGACATATTCCTGCAGTTGAGCAACTTGCAAAGTTCCTGGATCCTTGGGCTGTCATCATTTTCAAGAGAGACTGGCTAGGCAGGAGGGAGAAACAGAAGTGTTTGGATGGCCTCCAGGAGTTTCTTTCTCAGTAGAGAATGTAGCTTATGTTGAGACTTACCGGGCCACCAGGTCCTATGGTATCGAGGCTGGGAGGAGCGCATTATCTGCACTTGCTGTACTGGAAATGCGTTGCTAATACAGATAGTCAGGTTGTCTCCTGTGTCTTATTGTCTTAGTAGAGTATATTACTGTGGGCTTCAGGCACTAATAGCAAATCTACCTAAGATCTTGATTCTTTCGCCGCAGCAAGCATGCTACCAACATAGCCCTTCGTCGGATCTATAGTGGTGTCGTGGTCCGTCCCCACTGTAGTGATACATTCCACCTCAATACCTTTTCCGCACCTTTCCTCTGCCCAACAACCCTCAAAATACTTCTTTCCTTTATCCCCGATTCTCCCATCCTCCGCCCCAAAAAGGACCTTCACTCGCAGTTTTTCTGCCCCTTCTCCAACCCTCTCTTCCCAAAGTTGTGCAAGGTCCTCAACCACCTCCATATAATCCTCACAAGCAACCCACCCACAACTATCTTCGACATTTTTCAAGCACAACCTTGCCTCGTCGTTTGAACCCTTTGTAGTCTCGGCAAACACATATTGAAACACCAGTCTATCAATCTCTGCCTTAACATCCAGACCTACCCCAAATGTGTCCAAGCATAACCTCTCTGCCTCGGCCTTTTGCATCATTGTCTTCTCGGTCGCTTTCTGAGATTTAAAGAGCGAGGCTAGTGATAACAGAGAGTTACTTGATGCGGAGAGGCTAGGTTTCGCACTGTTGAGTCCGAAGCCAATGAAACCATCTAATGTATTGAAGAGGGCGTTGGGAAGGAGCGAGGCCAACTGCAGCGAGACTATTCCTGAGTGGGAGTGGTGGACCCACGGGCAGAAGAAAGTTAGGCTTGGGTTCTTTGGAGGAAGAATGGAAGGGTAGCGGATGAGGATGTTTAAGGCATAGATGGTGCCGGCGCTATGGCTTGCGAGAGATACTAATAGCACAGAGAGCTGTTAATGGGGTGTTTAATTGCCTCATGGCCCGCGAGAGAAGGAACAGGGTCTAGATCGAGAGCGCCGCGTAACAAGGAAATTATAGGGATATAAAAATGACTGAAGATGCAAAAGTAATAGCTGTAGTAGTATGACGAGATACTCACCATGGGATATCTGAAGGTGTTCAAGGAGGAGGGGAACGGTTTCGAGGAAAACAGAGATGCGTTGAGAAAGTGGAACAGGTGTCGAGCCTCCGAGTCCAGGTCTGTAAAAAGGATTAGTAGATATTTCATATGGCATGATAGTACATGTAAGATCTAGAAGAAACTGGTGAGAGCCGTACACGTCTGATGCACAAATATCCACGGAAGGTTCGCTAAATGACCAGGTTGTCTACTGGCGACAAACTATACAGTTCCCCTTCGTACAAAGATATTTCCCTCATAAGCCTTGATAAGAAATACATACTAGATTATAGTGTGATGCTATGGATGAAAGAGCGGCATTGACAGATTCATTTCAACAATATCTCAAAGGCTCCAAACTATCTTTAAGAACCTCTGCGTATTTGAAAAGAAGACATTTAGGCAGCAGATCACTTGAAAGTAGAGGGTTGATAAAGCAGACGTCCACCTGAGGCCCATATATTGGTGGGCCATGGACTCTAGGTGTGCCGGTTTCTTTGGATAGAGCTAGAAGTGTACTATATTATTCATGGAAAGAGAGTGGCTGTTGGATGCTAGCTCCAAATAATGATGCTTGAGAAGTCGAATAATCCCTGGTAACAGTGCGCCACATATTGCGTCTTTCTACCATAAGAGGACTCAAATAGGCAAATAATAACAGAGCTGAATAGAAGATTTCCTTACTAACCTATCGACGAAAATTACCCTTACCCCATATTTCTCCGCCAGATGATTCCACGATATTCCTATCTGCCTAGACGCAAACATGCCAGAACAGAACAAAATCGTTGGGACATCGGTTCCAATCGGCGGCCCAATAATGGCATAAGTAACTTTCAGTTGCGCATGTGTGTCTGTTGCTGGTATTGTGAAAATCTGATGGAATTTGAGTGTAGCTACGATCGCGATCGCTTGGTCCGTGGGCGATGTTAAAGCCATTTCTGGGGATATTATTATTAATGAGCAGTGGTTTTGACGGGTTTGAGGACGAGCACAATATATCGACAGTGGCAAAAGTGTAGTTACTAATCTATGTAGGAAGGGTTGCGAACAAAACTGGTGGTTTGCGAGAGCTTGAGAGGGAGAAGAGGGGCGAGAAGGCCGGGAACACTAGGCCCAAAGAGGGTGTCAGCTCTGGTTGTATATGCAAGGACGCGTACTGCCGTTCCACTGCAAGTAAAGGACCTTAAGGTTAGATATTCTGCGAAGATTGAAGGCTGCCTAAACAATAGAGCCTGGATATAGTAGAAACCTCTTCATACTATATAGAATCAGTAGCAGCCAGAGCATCAAAGCTACAGTCGTACGGCAGTAGTCACGGATCGTAGAGTTCGTAAGATGGGGGTGGAATAGTAATGGTATTCCATAAGTGTTAGGAGAAAGGGATTAAAGGGACGTAAAGGACGGCGAGCTATTAGTTACAAGTGGGAGGCAGGCCGAACATAGGCAGGCTGGCTTAACCCTCCTAGGGGCCTATTAGGTGGTGGACAGTTCTGTGACTGACAGTCACTGGTTTGACAAAATCTCTCGAAGTATCCTCCTTCGCTCATGCTCCGCTACCGCCTTAGCTGTGGTGTAATTAATACCTTGCTGGCGGTTTGGTATGGGTTAATCCGGACATCGCATTTCAATGGCGCAAGGTAGGAATATTGACTGCGTGTTTATCTCATTGTATGTAAGCTCCACTGGTGACAGCTAGTCTCAATAACAAGAGCCTCTCAATTGACACATCAACAATTTACTTTTCCATAACTCCGGTTCTCCAAACTCCTCGCCGGTACTAGATAGTTGTTGCCACCACCCTCTAATAATGTATCAAACAAGAAGAACACTGGCAGAGTTAGCAATGCTCATTTCACAATTCTCGGAAAACGTACGCATTAACACATCCATCATTCTCACAGTGATTCATGATCTGGGCGTACCGCCCCCAAACCACCTTTCCTCCAGCAGTTACTAAGCCCAGCTCGGAAACGTTCACCTCAATTATTGTACCCTTTGACAAGATGCCGAGTTGGGTTGAGAGTGGGTTTTGAGGGTTCTTCTTCACGCTGATTATAGGCAAATTGACTGTTACTCCCAGTTCCGGATGTGTTACGTGTGCATTCTTATAACGCAGACCCATCGGACGCTAGTCAACGAAAGTAAGCACCACTCCTATCAAAACCTCTGCAATTTGACTTACTATGAACCGCTCATATTTAACGGGGCGTCTTGTGAATCCTTGTCATATCAAATGTTAGCACTAAATCATTCAAGATGAAGAGAAAAATGAAAGTTTGGAGGGATTTTGGTGAATTTTGGTGAAATTTTGGAGTATACGAACCGGGCCCCACAAAAGTTGGCTTAGTAATCATCCGCTTCCAGCCCTTTTTAGCGGTTTTCTTTCCGGTTTTGACGACTTTGAACATCTCCGTTTCCCTGTGAAAGACGTTAGAATTGCTTTAATATTGCTCCTGTTAAGAACTTACGATATACCTCGGACCTTGGGCAGAGGAACATTATACTTTGCAGCCTTCTCAGCCCGCTTGTTCTTGATCGCACTTGATAACGCCTTCGCATTTGTAGGGTTTGACCGGTCAAGGAGATATTGTGGAAGAGGTGTGCTTGAAGGCTCGTTTGGTGCGGAGGACTTGACATTACGCTCTTCCTATAAAGGCCATGATATTAGTAACGAGGATTGGACTGCGTCAGAGTATAAGATCTTACATGGGCCTTGATCTGCTTCTTCATCTGTATCTTCTCATGATGCCTCTGCTTCTGATACAGCTTGGCCCTCAAGCCGCGGAGATTTTGGGAATCATTAGAGTTTTTCTTGCTTCCTTCGCGGGCTGTCTTTTTCCTGGTTCGTTCTTCGTGATCGAGTCTTCGCCCGTGCAGCCGGCGCCACCTGTCCATGTATTCATTCTGAGGCTGTAGAGCATGTCAGTCACCATTCCAAACATTACGGGGACCATATTAAGTACCATGATGGGCTGTGAAGTGGATGGTTGAAGTGTGTGTAGTGGGGTTCAAAAATTGTAGTGAGGTTGGGGATAGCCGATAAGATTTCAAAATATGAAATTCGTAGGCCTAATTGCGCTTTGCCTAAATAGGCTTAACCCAGATTTCCGTGGTCAAAATATTAAGCTTCCAGCAATTGAGGACAATTCAGACCAGCATCAAGGGATTTGCAACGCACTGGGAAGACTGCAAATCACATTTACATTTGCATTCACAATGTTCAGCAGGACAATACGGCGGTCCATATTGGACTCGAAAATTTCATCAACAGCTCTACCACCCACATTCCTTCTTCCGATCCGGGCGCGACAGTTCAACTCGACAACTCAACATGTCGAGACACCGCCTGGAGACCTGGACGCGTCCCAATTCCCTACCAAATCCCCCTCCCAATTAGCAGAGAGTGCAGCTCCAGTGCCCAAAACCCTTCGCTCAAGGATACCACCACTGGCCCCCGCCCCTATTCCAAACTCGATAGCCCTCGATCCTTCGGTCAAGGAAATGCTTCCCCTCTTGATAGCTCAACCTTCGCACTATATCAGCGTACACATTCATGGCAAGCCCTATCTTGTCACCGGGGGAGATAGTGTGCGATTGCCATTCCAGATGCCGGGCGTCATTCCCGGGGATGTTTTACGCTTGAACCGGGCATCGGCTTTGGGATCTCGAGATTACACGTTGAAAGGGACACCGTACGTCGATGAACGGATTTTTGAATGCAGAGCGACGGTTATGGGCACAGAAGCAGAGCCGATGAGGACTAAGGAGAAGAAGAAACGGAGGAATAGAAGGATAAATACTGTCAAGAGCAAGCACAAGTATACAATTTTGAGGATTGGAGAGATCAAGATCAATGGCTTAGATGATATAGAAAGCTAAGGGAGGAAGACGGTACGATATGTTGTGTTGACAATCTGCTGGTAGCGTTGCAAGCCAGCGGCGTGATTGAATATGGGGATATGCTTGCCATCCCCGCTGTGTATTATATTTTGGTTACGCATGCTGCGAAAATTACAGCAGGATTTACTCGCATTTGTTCCGCTCCGCGAGAAAGCCAGCAAGTCGCCTGGCCGCCTGGAGTCGAACCTAGATTTTGTTGCGATTTCGCTATGCAAACGAGTGTGATGCAATGCTAGACACGGCATGACAAACTCAAATGAACGTGGAGCACGGAATATCCCCATTTCAGCCTCTTGGCGAGGAGCTGGAATGTGCCGTTTGCTACGCTTTTGCCTTTTTATACCTTTTCGTTGGCTGGCACGCTGGTGTCGTGTTCTAGGCTTTGTCCAAACTCAGCCAGCACGGCCAAGCCTCCACTAAAGCTTTGCAGCTGCTACTTGGCGCGTGATGTCTCACAACGCCAAACTGATAATTGGATTTACTAAGTGGTTACAGTCGATTTTATAGCTGAGGCGGACTACGTATTGAGTATTGGTTTGATGGTGGCTGAGATGCTACTTTGGTTCAGTCTCAGTTCCAATTGTGGTTGTGAAGCACTAAAGTACTTGATGTCCCCGCAGCCTTGGGGTTTGAGGAAGATGGAGTCTAGACATCTCAACATCAGCATCGTCGGATATGGCGAGCGGCAATATCCATCACAATGGTCCGTTCTCATGATTTGCAGAAGAACTATCTTGCTAACTAGCCAAATAGCCTCTCGGCAATTTTACAAACCCACTGCGACGAGAACTCCCATTCTCGTCTTCCTTTTACTCTTCACTCTAGTTTTGATTGCCCTCGCCGAACTTGGCTCCCGATATATCCCAGCACATTCAGGACTTGGAGAGCTAGGGGACTCAGTCAACGAGGCGGTTTCGAAGCCCAAGCACTGGAGGGCCCTGGTGGAACGGCAAAATGGTGAGTCGCAAGCTTCCTTTAGCGGTGTGGAATCTTCTTGGGTAGAATCTATTATACAAGGCGTTTTTAATCGGACTAAGCTCGAGCATATTATCAATGTTATAAGGGTAGATAACACCGGCGTCCGAACCAGTGCCCAGCTAGAAGGATTGGCCGCCTTCTGGTTTGGATGGATTTATTCGATTCATAGTTGTGGTTTTGAATCATCTGAGCGTTTCAGGATTTTGACTTCTACGGAATTTGAATATATCATATCTTCGCAAATATATATAGCTTATTTATTATGGATATCACAGCTAATAATTCAACTCGGGAATTAGAATCACCGCAGGCAACACCTTTCTCGAACCCTCCTAACGTACCACCTTCGACCGTCAGCTCGACAGGGCGACCGCAGGGGGGGTTCTTATCTGTTACTAGTCCTCCCGGTGCGTCTCCGAGTGTGGGCCAGGAAAGCAGCCCAGGGACGCCACAAAGCAACAGTATAACTGGCGTTGTACCTGATGGGTTCTTGAATGTAGGTACCCCGCCTGTGACAACGCCCGAACCCACTGCAACCGGAGGCAATCTGACCCCTGGCAATGGGCAAACCCCCCCGAATCCGACTCCTCCTACCGTGGTGGTGGTTGCCAATGGCCAAGCATCTACTCTACCTTCAGGCGGCATAGCGACTGATACAAATGGGTCCCCGCTTCCGATATTGACCAGTGTGGGCGGCCAGACATTCGCCGTGACCCCAGTCTTAACAGTTGTTGATGGCAAGACGTATACCCCAACCCCATATATTACGGAGATAGATGGGAAAATCTACACACAAACGCCGCCCCCTGAAAGCTTTACCGCATCGCGTCCTTTAAATGGAGTGTAAGTTGATAGCAAAATGCCCTACTTAACCTGTTTCCATATATTGAACGTCTCGGATACTTTTACTGATTTGACTTAACATGAAGGGCCACTGCTGCTCGTCCGACTTCAACCATTGTCAATTCAACGGGAACATATTTGGTGTCCAACGAAACGGCGGTTAGAGCACCTCAGATCACGTTGCAACAATACATATACGTCTCATTTCTTCCCTTGATATTAGCCGTCATCTACACCATGCCATGGCGAATCCTTGATGGCACAATACGGGAAATCGAGCCATATTATCAACTTCACAATAAACGGGGCGGAGCCCTGGGGAGGGATTCCCTGTTTCTCGATTACAATACGTCGCTTACCATTACCATGCCATTCAGATCGATATATCGAGGCCATGTCATCCCTTTCTGGTCCTCACTCATCTCACTAGCTGTGGTAATCCTTGCTCCTCTTTCCTCCGAGGCCTTTTTCGTTAGCGTAACGGGTAATTGCGGGGCGAATTTAGAAGGTGGATGCTACGCAGCTTGGGGTACCTATCCAGTCCTTGTGAGAATAGTGCAAGGTATTCTCGCTTTTATAGCAGTACTACTTTCCCTGCTCATAATCTTCAACTACCGGCGGACATCAGGCGTATATGCTGAGCCACTGAGCATCGTCGGACTTGCTGTCCTGCTGTATAAATCGCCACTTTTGAGGGACTTGCGAAACATTGATAGTATGGCTAGTGAGAAAGATCTGAAGGCCGCTTTAGAGCGAAAGCGGTTTGCTCTTTCGGATTTCTCTGCAGATGATACTACACGCTGTTACGGCATTGTTTCTGTGGATCCTGACTCTGAGATTGATCTTGCGTCGAGTGGGAACGTAACGGGAAAGATGGGAGTATACAGCGAGGTGCAGCAAACCTCAGACCAGTTTGACCGACTCAACAATGAACCAGCACTAGCTACTGCGCTAAGCAATGTTCACCGGAAGAAAGCAAAATCCAGATTCTGGAAAGTAGTAGCGCAAAAAGGCTTCTATTTCGTCTCGTTTCTCTTGTTCGGAGGCCTGCTCGCCCTCATCAGCTATTATCACTGGACAGGCCCGGATCCAATCACGGGGCTGTCATCTGGATTTGAGAAATTTATGGATTCTGAGGGCTTTGGTGTCCGATTCATGATGACTTCATTGGGTGTTGTGGTGAAGATCGTATGGTCTTACATCGATGCTGGTAAGGTCTTCCACGATATGACAAGGCCCCCTTTAACCTCTACCGCTATCCGATGATCAGGACTAACCCCGCCGTTGCAGACCTCCGCCGCACAGCGCCATACTCATCTCTTCTACGCGGTTCCGCCACCCCGCAAGACTCAATTCTAGTTCCCTTCCACGCCTCCCCTGTGTCGGCCATCATCCCCTCCATCTCCCGATCCCACTACCTCGTCGCCTTTGTTGCGATGCTTGCTGTTCTCGCCGAATTTCTCCCCATATTCCTCGCCAACATTGCCTTCTCCCCCGCCATGACTAAAACTGCTTACACAGTGTGTAATTATCTTTCTATGGCGACCCTAATCTTGATGGTTATAGCTGTTCTGATACTACTCTTTTGGAGGGGCGACAAGGGACTGGCGTGGTTGCCGAGAAGTCCCGGGACGAGCATCGGGAGTGTGGCCCTTTATTTAGCTGCGTCAACTGAGGCGCATGGTGGGCAGTTGGGCTTGTTGGGTTCTCTTGCGGGGATGTCGGTTGTGAAGAGGGCGGAGAGAGACACCACTATCACAAGCCTTGGGAGTCTCTATTCATTAGGCATTGTTGACGGTGGTAATGAGTATGATGTATTGAGCCATGAAATAGGGGCCATCAATAGCCACGAGGAGCTGAGGATTGATGATGATAGGAGGGTTAAGAGGCTATTATGTGAATGAATGGGTGCGGAAGTTTTGAGTTAGTCCCAGGAGATGATTATTGAACCTTTACGAATGTTTGAGTTGGGATACAACAACAGATTTAATAAGACAAGGAAAGGAAACCGGCATGGTCATTTAAGCAACAAGGTATAAATTAGGCTTTATGGATTCATGAATGCAATTGTGTACTAGCTTTACATTGTAACTATCTATATCATCCATCATAGGTGGAATGGTGTTAATGCAAACAGATATACCTAATTAGCCCACTATAGATGCGAAAATTTATGAACTAAAGTGACTTGGTTATTTCCGGTATTCAAGACTTAATACATCAATATTCGTAATGCCACTTTTTACTACCTCGAAGACAGAGAAGTAATAGGCCAAACCTGGTATGTTGAGGTGTAAATGATTGTACCTTATTCTGTGCTTTATAAGTATTATTACACACGTGACATATATCATTATTCTTTGCTACAGTACAGATCCAATCAGCATCTACTCAATGCTAAAAGAAGTTACCTAACGTAACTCTGTACAATCCCGCCCATCTCTTCTCCTTAACTCCCGCATTTCTTTTCATCTCCCCGGCCAAAAACTCATTTTCTTCCTCATCAATCCGTGCCTTGCCAGTATACAAATCTACCTCCTGAGGCTTCCACGTTTTCGTCCGCATGAATATTTTATAACCGACAAACATCCCAGCATAGATGATCACACCGATATAATTGACAATGAAATTCTGCCATTGGAACTTGACTCCCGTGATCGGGTCAGGCACGAAATCCGCAAAGCCATTGAATAGAAGGATAACGCAAGCGAAGACAAGGGCAGCGATGGATCCGCGGATTCCGAAGGGAGAGACGTACGCGAGTGCCGTATCTGGAATGTTCTGTGCACGGCGGGCCCTGATGAAGGAGATGTGGGATAAAAGGATCGATATCCAGGTGAGGATGCCGAAGATCGTGACAAGAGAAACGAAGTACTGGAATGTGGTGAAGGTCCCAACATCGACGATCATGAAGGCGAGGGTACAGAACGCGGCAGATAGTGCCAGCGCATAAATGGGGACGCCACGGGAATTTGTGCGGGAGAAGATCCGTGGAGCGCTCCCTTCGACAGCGAGGGAATATAAAGAGCGGGTTGCAATATAGAGGTCTGAATTCGCCGCAGAGAAGGTAAAGGCTAGGAGGCAGACATTGATTATGTCTGGAACGGCCTTGACACCAGCAAGCCTAGCTGCGACGACGAATGGGCTTGCTTCTGCTGAGACGGTGTTGTCGCTCACGTTATTTGCAGAAAGTAATAGCGGGCTGTTATAGGGGACCGTTAGGCCAAGCAAGAAGATGAGAATAATGTAGAAAAACACGATTCGAAAGAATGTTAGCTTGACTGCTCGAGGCACGGCCTTTCGAGGATTCTGAGCTTCCCCAACTGTGACCCCTACAAGTTCTGCACCGAGAAAGGAGAAGACTGCGCTGGAGAGGACATTCCAGAAACCAAGGAACTTCCCGCCGCTTCCGCCTAAGACAATCTGTTAGAATGTATAATGTATTCTGAGAGTGGAAGTTACCTGTTAAGTATGGAGCAAACGCTCCAGGATCAACTAAGTAATTGAATCCAGGTGCAGCATTACTGGGCCCACCATTGACAGCTAACACGAGAGTGAAGATTATCAAGCCCAGCATTATGAGTACCTTGACACTGCTCAACCAAAACTCAAACTCCCCAAAGACGCCAACGCCAAAATAATTAATGGCAATAATGACTGCTAGGAGAATCGAGACGTATATTGCCGGATTCGCCCCTGGGCCGTAGTATCCCTCTTTATCGAACCAGTACTTGATCACCAAAACAAATGCTATGATGTTGTTTGGAGTGGTAACAATATACTGGCCTTATGTTAGAAGATGGCTTGCATCAAGGGCCTAAGCTGACTTACTTTGAACCAGTAGTTCCAACCTACCAAGTATTAGAGAAATGGCGGCGGTGATTGGTTCTGGAAGACTTACCAAGAGCAAACCCCAGAGCAGGGTCAGCAAAGCGACCTGCTAGGCCAGTAAATCCAGAAGCCAACGGTAACCAACAAGCCATTTCTCCCTGTTTCCTCTGTTAGCCACAACCTCGCGAGTAAATATAGGATGCCATACCAGACCGGCCATAACCGCATAGCACAAAACCCCCACAAGAGCATATCCGATCAACATCGATACCGGGCCGGACTGGGCGAGATAGGGACCCCTAATTATATCAGCTTAACGTCAACAATCATTTTGAACTCAACTGACGTATTAATGAGCAGTCCAGTGCCCAAAGCGCCTCCCAGAGCAATCATAGAGATTTGTCTCGTCTTAAGCTCTCGACGAAGGTGAGATCGCTTATCCTCCTCATATACCCTACCCATCGAAGCAAAAGGCAGCTTCTCAGAGGTATCTTCCGGGAAAACTCTATCATTTCCAGCGGAGTGGTTGCCTCCCTGGTACTCGTGGACTTCCATTCCCATGTACTCATCGGCCTTCATCCCGTCAGAATTGCTGGCCGCTTTCCAACCGTAGCCACCAACACATGTCCCCGCTTGGTACTGAGCCAGCTCAAGTCCATCATCGTACTGGGGTGGAGGCTTGTGTGCCATTGCACAGCAATTCGCAATGAAAGAAGAAATCAAACCAGGATTCAAGAGAAAAAAAGAGATTGACGGGAACAGAGGATCTATGTACTAGCGGTACGCCATACATACCCCGTCGATGTTTTGCACTTGCGTTCAGGATTCAAATTGCAATTACTACTACGGGTACATATTATTGTGGAGGATGGAGGTCACATTGCCCACGCAGCAGGGTACCACCCCAAAGCAGCAATTCCGCCAGCAACAGCAGGAGAAACAAGCGAAATATGAACGAGAGGTAGTAGCTCTCAAGCCAAGGTAGTTGAGAGCCTCGTGGGATGTTTTACGGAGGAGGCACAGCGTTGCTTTTGCTGTGGCGTTTCTCTCGTACCCCGCGGATTGGCTGAATTGCCTCCTGTCACTTGCGCCCGGGCTCTCCCTTCTCCCCCTGACTTCTCTTTCTCTCCTTGAACTTTAACCACCACAGCCTCGGACTCACGACTAACGCGCCCCAGTTCGTTGTGTTCAAACAACGTGGCTTTTCGTGGGTGTAAAGCTGAGACATCGGTGTTCGTCTCGTCCGGCGTGTTGCGCTGGTTGAAGGGATTATTTTCTGCACCTCTAATTCGCGTGGGTAATGGGTTGCAGCGATGCCTTCAGATGATTTGGACGCCACCAGTTCCAGCTGTGCTGCTCATACTCCGGATGAACATCGAGAGATGTTACCGAGTACCTACGTACTAGGAGTCGCTTCCTTTGCCTTGCGTTCTCTAGCTGTTTCATCAGTACACGAAAAGATGCACAATCCTGTAAGGGGTAAACGGAGAATAGGATGCTATCAACGACCGAAGCGGAAGGTCGCAGCAGGGAAATACCCATGGGTATGTGTCTGCCAATATTTCTTCAGAATAATAAACTAATGCCCGGTTACAGAATATCGAGATAACCTAGAGAACTTACACTACAATTTTCACTTAAACGAGAGGTTAATGGCATTCTCTGAGATATTCGAAATGTGTGTCATTTAATTTAAAGTATCAAATGTCCGTGGAAGTATCACTATTTTGCTCAGCTAGTTCAGTCCCCGAGGAAATCATATTTCAGTTTCTATTTGGTGATTAGGTTGTTTAATTTGAAGATGGATTGGTCCACATATTTCCTTTCCGACAGATGATTTTTGTACCCATTACTGTACAGTCTACTTCGGTAGGTAGTACAACTCAGGAAACTCGTGTAAGAGGAGTGCAGCTGCTTAGTATTGCTAGCTCCTTGAATATCTCAGAGACGTCATGCTTGACAAGCTCCAGAAACTCAACCTCAGCCTCCTTCTCCTTATGACCGTCCTCATTGCGTTCATCCTTTTTCGACCACTTCCCCACAACTTGATGTAACTCCTGAAGTCTTTCCTTCACTGTCGAAACGGTACCATCCTGCTTCGTCTTCTTCCCTGCGCAGCCTTGGCACAATTTTGGCAACTTCAGGGAGTGCATTGGATGTGAAAACATGGTATCGCATTCTTCTCTTAATATACCGAGGCGGAAGGCCACCTCAACATTGCAGGCGCGGACCTCGTGGCCCCAACTGAAATGGCCGCAGCTGAAAACCATACGCTTGTGGTAGCACATGAGGACTGCCTGCCGGATGGCGTTTTGCTACACCGTGGAAGTTGGTTGTGAGGATGGAACTTGGGAGGAAGTTGGGAATAAGTTGGACTTACGCGCTTGGTTTAACCCCTGCTTTATATCGAGTTGCTCTCAGTTGCCATTTACGTGTTTTATTTGTGCCATCCATCTTTTTGTTTCCTGTTGTGTTGTTATCATGTTATCATTCTTTGTCCACCTGAAGTGAGACATTGAACCCTTCTTTGTCACGCTTCATGCCACTCCCCTTGGGCTGCCTGACAAAGAGAACCGAACAATTACCGCGGCCTTTGTAGGATTGCAGCTTAGATTAGGCTGCATTTGGCACATAGCAAGTTTGCTTGTTATGGCAGAGAAATAGACCTTGCACAACGAAAATGCCGTATAAACCTGTTATAGAGATAGAAAGAACTAGAAAGGGGGAAATTTGGTGAAAGGCATAGTCAACGGAAGGAAATGTGGGTATGCTCTGGAATTAGGGGTAGACCCATACTCACATCCTTTTAATACCATACTTATGAGATTAAAAGATTAACATATATAGCTGCACTCATCCTCTTAACTATATGCTCCCTCATACCGTAGCATGGAAGCTGTAAATGTTGGATGAATAGAGGCGAACGCCTCTCCTGTATTTTAAAAACGGTATATCCATAACCATGCTAACACCATTCTATACTCGAGAACGCCTGGCCTATACGCTAAATAACAAGATCCAACACCCAAACTCTACGCTTTCCAACCCCAATATACTTCAATCCTTTCCAGCTTTTGTTTAATTTTCTCGTGACTTGCTCGAATAATCATTATCATAGAACCTTCCCTTCGGCCATATTTTTCCTTAAGCGCTCGAAGTAGCCCTGTGGCCATGCTTTTAACAACTCCGCCTCCGTTGGTGTGCGATCCTTGATCTTCGTCGCGACGTTGAGCAGTATACGCCCAAGCAACTCTTCCGTAATTGGCAGGGCAAGTTCATCATAATCAATCGGGTTTAAAAATGGGTCTCTCTCGTCTAATAATTGCGTTGCAGTAGGTCGCTGATGCTGGTCTCTGTTCAAGCAGGCTTTCAGCGTTCGGACGAGGCTTGCGGGTACTGGGACACTGCCGATGCCAACGGAAGGATATTCGATAGGGTAGTTGAAGTTGATAATGGCTTGGCACCGCTGCATCATGTTCTGGATATGATCGAAGGGTGGGCGACCATAGGTCATTTGGTAGAGGATGCAGCCTAGACTCCAGATATCGCTCGGTTTGCCTAGCTTCATGAGCTTGGGCTCGTTTGGAATCCGGCCGCGAGAGTCGGGTTTAGCGTTAGAATCCATGAGTGATTCGGGCGACATGTAGTTAGGAGTACCGATTTGATTTTCGCGGTGGACATTGACTGTCTCATCAGTTTCAATTGCATTGGCGATTCCAAAATCAATCAATTTTAGGCGTCCTTGGACGAGAACAAAATTCGCGGGTTTCAAGTCGGAGTGTACGATATCGTGCTGGTGGATAGCCTGAAGACACTCAAGCATTTCTTTCCAATAATGTCTTACAAAACTGGCATCGAACTTGGAGTGCTCCTGTTTCGTGCGTAGGTCCAATATCTTCTTCATATCCAATTCTCCCATCTCCATAAGCTACAAAATGTTAGTGACAAGACATGTTACTAGAATGGTGAGTATAACTTACGACACTAAGTACCCCTTTATCCTCGTTTAGTTCATAATCGTAGAAACGGATTACTCGATCTTCTCCCTCTAACTTCTTGAGCAAGTCAATCTCCCCCTTGAAGCCACGCACAGCCATCTCATCGGCATCATCCAAGGATACTTTCTTGAGCGCGAAGAATTTCGAGTTCTCCGCCATCACCCGATACACTCGTGAACTACCTCCACGTCCAATGCAGTCAAGTCTCGTAAAATGTTTCCCGTTAATTTTCATTCTGTTCCTCCTCGCCCCAGCATTCGAGGCCGTAGCTGCTCCAGCAGTACTGGTCGCCGCCTCGAGAATGGACATCTTTGGAGGGGGTGGTGCGGGTCGTCGTGGTGTATTTTGACTCCTAGTTGCCAAGGGGCGTCTTTCGGGAGACCCAGCACGCAAAGCATCCATATCCATACTTTGTGGTCGGGATGAACCCTTTTCCATCTTGTCGAGATGAATTAACGGTGCTTGTTTGTTTCTTTTGAAGGTTGGCGGCGCCTCATTTTCTTGATCATGGGCTGATGGTAAACCTGGTCGTGGAGCTGGGACTTTGAATACCGGTTGTACCGGTTGTAATGGGGGCCGAGCACTTGAGGCTCTCTCGGCAGTTTTCTGTGAACTAGCCAAAGTAGGAGGCGGAGGTGAATTTGATCGCAGGACTGAGTTTAGTATATCTTTGGAGCTGACCGGGCTACCAGAAGCAAAGTCCCTGTAGGTTGTCGAAAACAGAGAGGCGCGATTTGCCTCTGACTCTGGGATAAGCTCCGGTTCTTGACTCTGGGATTCCATTTGCTCTGACTCCTGGCTCTGAGGCTCTTGACTTGACATAGCTGCGTCAAGTCGATTTCCTTGCTCTTCCATCGGACTTTGCTCATCGTCGTCCATACGCCTTCTTCCCCTTCGAGCAGGCCCGCGTAAGAATGTCCCCGTTACTTTGCCAACCCTTTTGACCCGCATTGAGTTTTGTAACCCTGCATCCTCGCCATATCTCGGACGCCCAATAGTTGACGACCCATATCTCGACACACTTCCTTGGTTGGCAGCCAATTGCGATCGAGCAGCCGTGGCTGGGTATTCCTGCGATGCAATCTCTCCATCGCCATTGCGAGGTCCCGAATCTGTTCTACTCGAACTTTTACCCGAAGAGCTTCCAAATAGCACCTGGTTGCTTTGAGCAGTTATAGGAATTCGTACAGTTCTTCTAACGGGGGCGGGGGTGCTGAGGTCTAGGGGGCTTTCTGCTTTAGCGGCTGCTTGATCATTATGCTTCCGGACAGCACTAGATAAGGAATCTGACCTGCGGAGACTCGAAGAGCCAGGAGTCCCGCTGAGCCGCACAATTCTTCGCGGACACGGGCTCCGGGCTTTGCTGCCCGGAGGGGAGGGGAGGTCTCGAATTGCGCTGGCGCTTCCTGTTCTCTTATGAATATCTGGCTCGTCAGGTTCAGGAGTCGTCCGTGATGTATCTTGGGTGGACCTTTCGACGTCTGGGGCGACATCGTTAAGCAATGCGTTTGTTAGGGCGCTGAATTTCATCATCGGAAAGGGTATTTCGTCGTCGGAGCTATCATTGAGTGAGTAAGTTCGCGCATGGCTTTCGGTGGCCACAGGCTCTTCACGGTTGAGCTGTGGTCTATAAGTAGGTTGCTTGAAACCTTGCCGCGAGGGAGGGCGCCGCGAGAGGGATGAGAACTGAGAGAAGCCCATGGGGCTTGGTGATGCCGTGGTCATTGGAGCGGTAGAGGGCTAATTATCGGTATAGTGGATCGTTTCTGTTAGATTATTGAGTACCAGTCGTAATGTACAATTCCATACTCCAAACCAAAAGACTCCCAAGCAATGCAAGCTATTGCGCGTTGTCGTTGAAAATTATCGCGTTCTCGTGCTGAAGGTTGGACTGATTGGAACTCCGGGTAAGTTCACACCTATCAAAATCAATGTTTTGAACGTCCGTCGCGACAGCAACCACGCGCTCGCTTATTTGGGAATTGCTTCCTATGCCGCTTTAGGCAACTAGGGATGACCTACAAGAGAAGCCTTCATTTTAACCTCGAAGATTCTCTGCAGCCATGGATCTATAGAGGGAATCATCCTTATGCCCGTGAAACTCTTCCTCGAGGACATTTGTCGTTTTTTTGCATTGATCGAAACTCGACCAGCAGGTGTATGAGAACCAGAAATTAACGCCATCATGACCACACGGGAAGGTCTTCATATCCTTTGCTTTGGAGCTAGTCTCACGGCCGGATATTTGAAGTCAGGTGCATTGTATCACCCTTATGCAGGTGCATTGGAAGTTGCACTCAACAAGGCTTTCCCTTCTGTAAATATTACAATCGATGTCCAGGGTCTGAGTGGCGACGATGTGATAAGTCCCCCTGGTGGATTCTTACCAAGGATGGATATATTGTGTAGGTCTCAGGCATCTTTTCTTCTAGTCTCTTTTTCGAATGTGGATTAAGTTTCCTTCTTGAGATAAGTATTGATTAGTCTGTTCAATATGAGATATGGAGGGGATAGAATTCCTTGGAGTAATAAAGCCATCCTGCTAGGTGTAAATACGATATCCTTTCTATAAAAAAGGAAGAAATATAGACTTGGTTTCTAGCCCCCTTTCTAAAATCCCCTCTCTATTCTCTCATACCGTCCACCATGCAACTGACACCCCATGTTTTAGACGAAGAGGCACATCCCGCTCACCCCTATACACACGCCGTAATCCTTGGTGGAACAAATGACCTAGTCCACCTACGGCATTCTCGAGAAATCTACCAAGCCCTTCAAGCTGTCTGGGCCATCCCTCTATCGCACAATACCACTGTAATCGCCCTTACCATTCCAGAATGTCCAGGGTGCAGCCAAGTCCCCGCTGCGCGGTTGGATAGATTGAATGCCGCAATTATGAAGAGGGGCGGATGTGTAGAAGACGGCGGGAAATTGTGAGTTAGGAAATCACCTTCATTCATGTAGAACTGGGCGACACCGAGCGTATCGTACAGAGAAAAAGGCAAAATAGGGAATACTGACCCGGTTGAAAACAGCTACACACTTGATTTACATGCTAGGATCCCGTATGTGGATTTGCACGAGGAAGAGAGGAGTGAGATATGGGGTGATGGCGTGCATTTTACAGCCAAGGGGTATGATCTGATGGGCAATATTATTGCAGAGAAAATCATTAACTTAGTTGCTTCGGAAATGGAAGAACTCGGAGAAGTGGACGAGGTTGAGACTAAGCATAAAAACGTGGAGACGAACAAGATATATAGACTGAAAGACGACGGTAAATCCGAACGAAATTTCGAAGGGAAGTTGCTGAGGAGTGGGAGGGTATTGTGAAAGGGGGAGAAGTCGATACAGGAGTTGAAAACATTCATGGTAATTAGTGACGGCAAATATTTTGTGGGTGGAGTCATGTTGGGAATTTGGTTCTTTTCGTTATATATCTGGGCGCTCTATGTTGTATCTTTGTAAACGCCATTGCTATGATACCAAACAGGGGGTTCATGACCATATTTTTACCATCATCTCGAACGCCATAGCAAAGTAGACTCATGCAGGAGCTAGGTTGATCATACAACTAGATTCGCTGCAACAAAGTCCTACAGAATATTAGCTAGAATTTTGAAGGGAAGAAAGAAAAAGTTTTCACTCACAGGATATCGTAGTTGTAGCTCCGAAGTGACTTTCTCAACTTCCTCGGCCAGCCCTTGCACATTCGCATCCCATCTCCTCAGCTCCTTTCCGACTATACCCTCGGCTCTTCCGCTGCCCTTCTCACCTGTAGCTTCACCGGCCTCAAACCAGATGACTCTCTCGATCTGGTCAATCCTACCAACTAGTCGGCCTTGTTCGATCATTCTGGCCGTCGTTTCTTCAGCTTTACCGCCCTCTAGGCCCAGCAACAGGCCCAACGCATCAAATCCAATGTTAGTGTATAATTGGGAGGCAGCCCGTAAATTATGCTCGACAACTGCCTTTGCCAACACCGTAATTCCGTCTGAGGTTGTGGCAAGCTGATGCGGTGCCAAACCCTCAGCAAACTTTGTGACCTCCTCGGGCGACAAGAGTCTATCCAGGAACATCTTCTCCAATATGGGAAACTCGTCCAACGTAAGGGCTCGCTCATCCTTATATAGCCTTCCCAAGGAGCGACTGCGAGCAGGTCCCGCTGGGGCCAGAACAGCGCATTTAATAGCCATACTTAGAGTATGTAGGCGTTCTTCCTCTGCAATAACCGGCAAGAAACTGATATCATGATATCCCTGCGCCGCAGTCAGAAAGTCCCGTCGTGCATCCTGAATCCGTGCTTGGCAAAGTTTGAAATGTAAATTCAGATCCCGATCTGAGACTGTATATATGAGGTTCTTCGCTTTATTAAGATATTGTTCCCCCAGTATCGTATCATCGACTTCGAGATAATTCCGGGTGATGCGGATCCAGAATTTTACTTTGTCTTCGTTTGTCACCTTGCGTTGAGATGATTCAAGGGGTATTCCTGCTAGAACCTTCGCAGCAGCAAGATTATCTTCGTCGTCTTCGTAGGCAGATGCCATGAGCTCTCGGACTTGCGCATTTTGTTCTTCGAAAGAGGACGCCTGGGCTTGGAAGATTTCGAGTGCATGTTCGCCGACTGTGATCTTTGTCTCGCCGTTCGAGACCGATTTGAGGGTTTGGACAAATAGGCCGCTGAGTGATCTTGTTGCGACTATGCCTAGGGAATCGGCAAATATGGCATCAAGGATGGCAATGAGGTCTTGTGGGAGCTGCGCAGGTGGGGATGCTTGCTGGACTTGGGAGAGGAGGGCCTGGTAGGCTTGTTGCTTATCTGGCGTGGCGGTGATTTGCTGCAGAGCTGCGGAGATTTTTGGGGACGGCATAGTTAGTTGTGAGCTCTATCCTTGTGTTTGTGTTATATGTGCCCAGGTGGATAGTTTATTTGAACAAGGCGCGCCGTATCGAGTGGTTGACGCTGAGATTGGGTTGGCGATATCGACAAGGCTGCAGTCTGGGGAACCTGGAAGGTGGACAAACAAACCAGCAAGGCTCGCTTGGAAGCTTCCCTGTCAACGCTGAAATTATATGGTGCTCTCTCCTAGCTTGCGCTTCAAGCTTCTTTCCTTACCTTTGGCCGCTGAAGTGATATGTATCTCATGCTATAGAGGAATTGGCACTATGTGAATTGTTCCGAGTGCTGGCTCATATCCCCAGAGCACCGTTTACAAGGGAAATAAACGGACATTGTCTTGTACCTACCCTTACCTACCTACCTTGCTCAAAGCCTCTCAGACGAGCCACCGAAGCAAGCCATCCTCAACTGTCCAAATCCTTCTGCTTTCAAATTTTTAATCCCAATGGAAGGTAGTGCCTGTCCACGGAACCTAGTGTTCCTGCATCGAACACTCTGCTGCAAAACAACGATTTCTGCTGCCACCCAAACGCGCCTGGGCAAGCGCGGGAATGGGAGCACCAATGATCGCCTATGCATAAGTGCTGTTGATGCTGCTGATTCTCCGGACCAAGGTCTCTTGAAAGAGGTTGGACAATATGCCCTTCCTTTTCTCGGAATAGTCAATGATCACGCCCCTAATCTTTGCCATAGCGTTTTCTTTACTCAATTTGCTTTTATCTGCGAATTTACACAGCTACCCAGAGTCGGAGCTACCTCCAGCATCGCTACCTTTTGATGGTTTTCCATCATAATAGGATAAATAACTGTATCCGCTGGAAATATTCCCCTGCGTTGGTCGGAAGTCGGACTTCTGTTATGAGGTCGGCCCTGTGCTCAAGCCAAGGCTGTGACGTGCGCACCTCGAATCTTAGCCTGACGGCACAGTAATGGCTTTCTGATAAACCCATAGTTCTGGATATGGCCATGCGAGCGACACGGGTCCCGACCCGCCCGGAGCAAAGTCCAGAATGACCAGCCAAAAAAGCACCAAACCAAAGCTGACTCTAATTATTGTACCAAATGGTCTTTGCGTCCGAGGTGCTACTGTACGCGAAGTGTTATCGGCCGATAAGCTCCAGCTCAAGCCGACCCAACTTCACCCACCGTCCAACAACTGGACTAATAAGCCTTCGAAGCACCCAAAGGTCTTAGAATCCGAGTCCGGCGTTGCTGGCGCTGAGGTATCTCGGGGGAAGGGGCGTTCTGTTGTGCAGCCTATATATTGGTTGACTATAGGGGGTGAGCACACCCCTACGATCATTTGACTCGCACGTAGGACACGATGTGTCAGTCTGGATCTCACGCGATCTCTACGGCGTCCTTGACCGTCGACAGAGTATGAAGGAGGGGTAGTGGAACATATGTTGGCGCGGCTGTTCTGCTGGACCTTTGGAACAGCATCAGAGACATGCATCGGTTGCTTCGGGGAAGGTGGTGCAGCTCGGTCTGTCGGTGCATTTACTGCTAGGAGGGGACGTATCGCACAATCGGGTATCCTTGGCATCTGAGGCATTTCAGGGATTTGATCATTTGAGGACTTGCTGGGAAATCCGGATGGAGATGTGACTGTGCCAAAGATTCTTAGCCACGTCAAGGCTGCCTACTTGACATGCCAGGCTGCTGAACAGTAAGCGTTGCCCACGGCATCACTTTCTCTAGCCTTCATCGCCACGTTTGGCATGACAGACAGGGCGTGGGAATGGAACGGTCGGAAAAACATTCCCATTACCTCGTACATCACGATATTGCTGTACCTGTATACAATTCGGGACTACCCGACGGGGGGCTTCCGCTCTCTACCTTCGCTCGCGTTCCATCCCCTCCACCTTTGCACAGCCTACATATGCGGCCTTCTATCTAGATGTGTTGCCCTTCCTCTGCATGTGGGGTGCGAACTGCGTTTTATCCACTCATGGTTGCTATTTCTCTACCTTGATCCCGCCCCGACGCAGGGACCCGCCCCTTGGGATTTTGCTTTCAACATTAACTTCTTAGGTTATCGGCCAGTGGTCGCCGCCGACAATTGAAGAATTTGATATTCCACTGCCATTGAGACCTTGGAAGTTGGGGTCCTCTTCCCGTTTAAGTTCAATGTAACGTGCTATACTTGTTTTGTGTATAGACCGAAAGGCGATAATCCCATTGAATTGGGTACTCCGCTGAGGCTATAGTCGACAAGATGTGGGCACAATATTTCTCTACTCCCTCCTTACCATAAATCAATATTGGTCTAACGTACCAGCTAGGAGCTCCAGAAGAAGAAAGGATTCAAATTCCTTCGTCCTTTCCCAAAGGTCCAATGGCCTTCACTTCAGCCACCATTTCCAAATTCCCTCGTCAGGCCCTGCTCCAAGAAAACAATACAACAGCATCCTCTCACAAATCGATGGCAACTCACCCGCACGCCCGAGAGAGAGGCCTTCTACGCTACTGGTACCGGTCTCTGAGCATCCCAGAAATGACAACCACCATCTCTTTCTATCCCGTCAGCCAATCCGCTCGCTCATCCCTCCAACCACTCCGGTCCGCTACAAGGCAGAACCCAACGTGATCCGGCGGCGAAGGAACTCTTCCTCTTCTGCTTCTGTCAAATCGATCACCTCCTCTCTGTTCTCGTACAAGCGCAGATCAGCTATGGTGCCAACCCCTTCGCTTGCAACCATGCCAGCCGAGATCCTCGACATCATCTTCGCCTCTCTCTCTCAGCTAGATCTCCATGTTCTGATGTTAGCCAACAGCAACTTTGTGGAGGTTGCAGCAACCTACCTTTACTCGCACCCGCTTTTCTCTTCCACCTACCGCTTCGCGCAGTTCGTCTGGGTGGTTTCTCACAAGCCGCACTACGCCTCCATGGTACGAATCTTGGACCTCTCTTACCTGAGCAGAATAGCCACGGATACCGCATCAGGGGAACTCCTCCCTCTAGCCGGCTGGCGTGAATTCAAGTACCGCAACCACGACATGTACCGAGCATGGGTGCGCTCCTCACCCCTCGCGTCAGGATCACCCAAAACGAGCACCCATTCCCTCCCTTCCCCTTTTCTGAAATCCTACCACCGGACACGTGATGTTCCCATTGGTGGCCTATGCCACGTCCTCGCCGCGTGCCCTCGGATCCGCAAGCTCAACCTCTCACGGGTGCAACTCGCTGCAGATTTCCTCGTCTCTAACCCCCTGTTTAAACCTACGGCGACACAGGGCCTGCTCTTTGTGAGTGACGTGCCTAAGAGCTGGACTTGGGCGAGTAGTGACTTGCAGCCGGTGTATGCGGAGGAGGTTGTGCGGTGGGTGTGTCGACTAGTAGAGCTGGAGAGTTTGAACGCGAGGGCGTGTTTGTGGTTGACGACTGTAAGGGTTGAGAAGTTGATGAGTAGTGCTCAGAATTCTCTGAAGAGGGTGGATTTTAGAGAGAGCGGGATGCAGAAGGAAGTTCGCTGGGCGCTCAAGGGAAATAAAAGCGAGGTGGAGAGAATTGTTAGGGAGGTGATACAGAACACTAGGGAGAGAGTAGTCACTTGACGGAACTGCCTCTTGTCCACTTGCTTAGCGGGTTTTGGGCTGCATTATAGCGTTGCATTTTCAAGTCGCGCTTCTATAAGCTATGAACACCTTACGATTTGGTAGAGATCAGTCATGAATGTCCAAAACTGTTTTGGGTATCTATAATATTTAACGTTCAATAAACGGCGATTTATGTTCATTTCATTTTTGGGTGAGATTTAACCTACACCGTTGACAATCGCCCCTTGAACTTAAACTCCTGAGGCATTGCATTCCTATAGATGCCTGGAAAACACCGTGAAATGCAATCACCGGATCCCTCCGTGCCCCTTCTCCGAAACGCCACTTATGAATTTTCCCGAGCTATTAATCAGGATGGAACGTCTTCAAACTTGATGTCTTCGTCCTCGTCCTCGTCATCGTCCGCAAACTCCGAGTCATCAGCGCCATCCATCCCAGTTGTAGGCGCCATGCTCTCGCCGAGATCCTCATAATTAGTCATCTGATTCTCCGGCTTCAGCGACCACTGTGTGGCGAAGCGTCCACTTTTATGTAATATAGCCACCCGTTCCAACGTCTCGCGAAGATATGCCTCTGGTTGCTGAAGTTCCTGGCGGAAGGCTTTCATCGACCAGTATTGGTACCTCTTAAAGCAATCAAATATCTTGTCCAGAAGTTCATTTTGAGGCATACGTGCAGTCTTCGTGAGCTGCGGTCTCTTGCCTGTCGAAGGGCCTGCTTTCTTCTGCAAAAGGGATCAGTGTGGTACGTGGAATGAGGACTAGAGTAACATACAATGAATTCATCCCATTTGGTTTGCGCCGCGATTGTGCCAGGTTGAACGAAACCTTTTCCAGCGGTAGTAATATCTTTAGTCCCAAGAAATTGGGCTTCGACTTTAGGTTGGGAGGCCTCGAAAGTACGTAGCGTGAGAAGCCTTTGGTTCTCTTCGTTGTCTACCGGCACACAGTTCACCTCGTGCGCGATCCTACCTGCAAGTGTCGTGCGCTCTAATGATGCATACGTTAGCCTGTCCCAAACTGGGGCCGCAGGCCTACTAACTTGGTATTGCCTTCCTGAAGTATGGCTGGAATCTCTTATTAGGATCGTATTGTTTCGCTGCTGGCTTATCATTCTTTGCGCGATTCAGCCTACTCGGCATGTTCGCGCTTGCAGGGTCGAATTTCATCCGGGATTTAGATTTGAAGCCTGGAAGGTCTTGCTCGGTAAAGACGAAGGTATTCTTGACGTCTTGTTCCGTGACGTCCAATATGAATTCCTTTGGAATCATCTGATGTTCGGCCAGGTCTGAAGAGAGTAGCATTGAGAGAGATGTCTGCCACGGTAGTTAGTATTATAAACTCATCCTCTGGGGCAGCGGCGTGCCTTTTGTTCGCCATTAGGCATCATTTCACTGGCTTGTCTGATCGTTCCAATCTGGATCTCTGCATCGTCATCAAGTTTGGACCAAGCATCCCAGACATGCTTTGGAATCCGCGCAAGATATAATTTCTGGAATTTGGGATCTGTATTGAACTCGAGGTCGCCCGCATCTTCGTAGATATCGTCTTCTTCGAACACACCGGGCGATGCGCCTGGCGCATCAGGGTCGGGCTTGATCGAGGAGTCCGCCATGGTCCCGAAGAAGTTATATTATCGCAGTTGCTCCATGCAGACGCCGAGATAAAGCTGGGAACTGGGTATTGTGCAACTGGCGTAGCGTGGCGCGTCCCTTTGTCTCGTTGTGGCCGGAGGACGATGAAGATGGAGCTCCAATAATAATGGACCCAAGGTTGGTGATATGACGGCGATATTTCGCGCTAAATATGGCTGCACGTGCTCGGGTCGCCCTACAATTGGAGGTTGTATTTCTAATTCGAGAATAGGCGCTTCGCATTCACCTAACCTCAACTCTGGGACATATTTGTACTTCTGATTAATCTGCTCAACTCTCTTCAATCTCTCATCGTTTAATGATTGATCAACACTCATAATTATACTAACACACAGTTCTACTTCTATCATGGCCTCGGAAGATCAAGATATACTCGCAAAGATCAGCCAGCTTGCTGGTAAGTTCGCCACGGGTGCGTCTGCGCTCCACAGCTAACCTCGATCTTCTTGCAAGGTCAGATCAATCGACACAAGAGCGGCCAAAGCTCAGAGCACCAAACACGACCAATGACGCTGGCAAGGAACAATAGCTACTCGAGTAGGGAGTCTCTTTCCGCTTTAGCAAACCAGCCACTGACGCATCGTAAGATCTTCCTCAGACAAGCACAGGCTGGAGACCCAGCCGCGGAGGGCCCTCATCCAGAGGATACCGAGGAGGACGACCGGCCGCCGGGCATCGAAACCGTACGCTTGTGCTAAACAGCAATAGCCCCACGCCTCCAGCTTCTGATACCGCCGAAGTAGCGAGCAATGAAATTTCTGAGAACTTGGGATCGACAAGCAATACTCCTTCATGGGTCACAAAGAAAGACCGCCACTTACAACTAATAAACACCTCCATCTTCGAAAAAGAAAGCCAAAATAGGGCCAAAGCTATGGAGCAAACCCGGAAGCAAAAGGCGGTTGAAAGAGACACACGAGAGAAGACGAAACTCGCTCGGCACCTACAACGGTTATCTGCAAATGTCATTGGGGCTGGTGCCCCTCAATCACGTCCAGTTACCGGGCCAGGCAATTACGAGATCAATGTTCAAGGAATTCAATTTCGCGTAGCTAAGAACGGCAGCAAGCTGGTCAAAGTCCCTGGTGAGATGCCTTCCAAATCGGCAGCTTATGCTCAGAGTAAGCTTCATCCTTCAGAACTAGGCTTACTGCCCCTAGGTGATCTCAATGCGGCAAAATCTACACCCAAAGCCGCTCTAGTTGGTGGGGTGAGGTTTTACAGAAGCAAGAACGGCAATATGTATCGATCTGGCGTCATCAAGGCCCACCGGTACGGATATCCTCCTGCGAGTATGGCGCTGGAGCCATCGTTCCATTGCAGCAACACTGACTTTCCGGATACCAGAAGAAATGCCGGTATTAAAAAGATAAATGAACCGTGCAAGATGTTCACAACTACGGGTAGCTCCTTTCCCTCTAAGCTCTACGGCCTTGGCATGATACAACAATGTGGAGGGCAAATTGGGTTTCTGCTGACACTAGGATTGTTTAGGTTCCTGTCCTAAAGGCCCCAGGTGCCGGTACATTCATGATCCCTCAAAGGTTGCTGTATGCAAAGAATTTCTTCTCAAAGGGTCATGTCCAAGTGGAGAGTCCTGTGACCTTTCGCATGAGCTTACTCCCGAAAGAACACCAACCTGCTTGCATTTTACCAAGGGGAATTGTTCCAAGCCAGATTGCCGCTACATACATGTTCGTGTTTCTCCGAATGCGCTGGTCTGCCGGGCTTTCGGAATATACGGATATTGTGAGAAAGGGGCAGGTTGTGAAGAGCGCCATGTCTACGAATGCCCTGACTTCAGCAATACAGGTAAATGTACCACGAAAGGCTGCAAGCTGCCACACAAACACAAGGCGAGCGTCATGCGTAGCCACACAAACCGAGGGGATGTCTCAGCAGAGGATGAGAGTAGTGATCTCTCGAGTGATGACGAAGATGAAGAAATTGATAGCGACGACGTGGATTCAGACGACCTTGATGAGGAGTACTTTGGCCATGACGATGGTGCGCCAGATATCGAGTCCATGCGGAAGGATTACGTCCAGTTGTCCTGACCTCGCCACGCAACTAATGATCTATCTGCCTTCCACGCCGAGGAAGTTGGTTCCTGGACTAGGGGTTCGATATCTCCAGCCAGGTGCCCATTAGCCTTATATTTCTTTTTGTTTTAATCGATCCTGTCCTCTACGTATTGGATAGGACAATGGTTTATTGCAAGGATTTGTTTGGCGCCATGGTAATGGAAACGACCCCATAATGGAAGAAATACCCGGACTTCAAAGTTCACACGCTTGAGGAGCTGAGCTCTCGGCGAAATGATTCATGGGAAGAATAGTAGAGAACAATAGATATTATTGAAATATTTTCGGGTTTCAAGTACCAGTGATGTTTCAGCTACTCTAACAATGCCCTTTAATTCACATGCACTTTCAACTTCTTTGATTATTTTAGACTTTGTTAACAGGGTTGGAAGTGATAATTTCATTGTTCCAGAATGATTTTCAGCTCCACAACGTCCTTCATGCAGTTTCATGACCAGCATTAAGTTTCAAACTCGAAGGATACTTTCGGTATAATATATATACAGCAATAATCGAGGTTTGTAACGATGGCACATGTAAATTCTTTGCGCAGACTCTTCCTTACCGGAGTCATACCCGGAGGGTTTTACTTCAGCGCCAAAATCTGCCGGGCCTGCCAGGCAGCGGTAAGAACGGTTCCTTGTTTACGGCAATTATGCCAGTCGATTCTTCTGCTATACGCAGTACAGACTACAATGGCCAGTTTTCTTTGAGACGAAATGCGTTTGTCAAGCCAAACAGTGGCCCTGGCACATCCAACATCCATCAATAGTTCTGGATGTATGTCCTGGAGCTTGACACGACAAGCGCTTACCATGGCACAAACGCGGTGAATGTGCCCGTTAAAATTTCATTTACGAAGTACAGCTTCAACTGTCAGGTTCCCGTTGTCCAAAGGCATCTATCTATTCCAGGAGCATCATGACTCAGACTGGTTTGCTCCAACACCCAAATCCCGGGGCCGCGCAGTTAGAAGCTGTTTCAGGCTCCTGTCAATACTGGATTTCATTGGGGGAAGGAGGTTCCTTGTCACCGCCACGGATCAAAATCTTCCCAACATTACGAATCAGGAAAGCATGTATTTCTTCACCGCCACATGTAACCAACCTCCTACCGCGCGTTCGAACTTCAACCAGAGCGTTGGATACCTGGGCTTAAGGAGCAGTTTCCCCGGAAATTATAATCTGCCTACGAAGATAAAGGCTAAGGAACGTGATTCTTTTTGAAGGCGGGAACGGCGTGTGACAGAGATAGCCGTGCATGAACTGCACCTTTCCGTACATTTCTCTGCAGGATGCATTTCAATCTGTACGGAATATACTGTACCCGCCGGGAAACAGCAGTATAACAGTCTCACTCCGAGCTCCGAAGCCGTCCGTTTGCTTTGCCGGGCTATGTTTTTCTCTGCAAATGGAACCGTGGATTGCCCACCAGCTGGGAGTATAACAAGCCCATTCCGTCGTACCGGCTAGGGTTTAGGAACTAGTAGGAAAGAAGTAGCGGTCGTAGACCGACAAGTCCAATTGTGGGCGAGCTAGGCTCCGATTGCTCGCGGATCTGGAGAGAAGAGTCCTCTTTGAGTCAGGGCGCCCGAAATAGCGCCTGGCGGTGAGGTAGTGCACGCGTGGATACCGGATAGGTACCTTGTACCTAGGAATGAAAATACTCGTACAAAGTACACACGTAGCACCGCTGCTCCAGTACCCGCGCAAGGCTGCGTTTGGGATAGACTAGGGGCCATACAAAGCAGATGTTTTGATACCCGCCCCTTCCTACCGGCCACTCAGCCAGGGAGACGCGAAAAAGGTGGTTGTTGGATCTGCTCCACTAACCTCCTGAGCTGACGAAGAATCTGTTGTCATATTGTGTCAAGATCCTTCGCGATACACCGCTCCTTGGATCCCTTAATTGACGTTCTGGAAGGTCTCGGCTCGCGCTAGCATCTCGCCGCCCTGGCCAGCCAGCGCCTGGGTTAAGGTTCAGATAATTATCGGCAGCGGGAGCAATAGATGATCATCGCGGGAGCGCGGGAAGAGGGAAGTTTCTCTTAGCTCTGGACTCCTTTTCCGTAGTTGGGTTGGGCTGCCAAACTGTCAGAAAATCCTCACTTTGCCTACTCCGTGCTTAGCGCGTCGAAATAAAGTGTACGGGGCAAGGGCCGCTCCCGTCGCCGTCGCCGTCGCCATCGCGATTATTCTCCCGTCGCAGAGTCTCCAGCAAGTGGGAGACGAGCCGATGGGGGATCAGCCCAGTGCGACAAGGAGACCAGCCCATGCCCAATGCCAATCGCCCATCGCTGCACCAAAAGGGAATCTAGCCAGTCGCCAGCAGTCGTCTGCCCAAGGCGGGCGCGTTGGGCAGCGCAGTTTTATTGTTTAGGTACCGATTAGAAGGGAGTCGAGTAGCGATTCCAGCTGTGGTCAACGGTCAACAGTCAACGGTCAACCTCAGGGTCGTGGTGGGTTTGGGCTGCGTAATGGAGTTCGTAGGGAACGTGAAGTCCTTGGGGGGGTCGTACGTCGTTCGTTCGGGGAAGCATGACGGCATTCCTATTGCCCACGCGCCTGATGCTGACCCTGACCCTGATCACATCACGTACGAACGGGTTTCGGCCAAAAAAAAACAAAACCATAAACAACGGGATGCCTATTCCTGGCGGTGGCACACGCGTGACAAGGACCCAAGCAACAGAGGCCAAATGGGGGGAGGGCACCAGTCCCACAACCCTATCGAGGACGAACGGTACACAAAGGGATTGCCTCAAGCCGAACGATTGGCGTCCGCACGAGTTACCAGCTGCTGGGGGCTTCCAGCCTATCGCTCCAAAACAGCCGTCAACTCTCCCAGCGGAGGTGAACACGCAGTGCCTGGCGACTCCAATGAAGCCTCGCGGAGCGGAGGGATGGGCACAAGTACGGAAACAAACCCGGGCCCGGCCACTTATCATGCACCAGCGCAGTTGTGGGCAGCTGGGCAGCTGGGCAGCCTATCGGCAGCGCAATCGCAGCAAGCAACAGCCTGGCCCAGCGAGCCCAGCGGGCGCCCAGAGGACCCCCATCGCTGCCCAACGCCCCAACCTGAGCCCGCCAGAGAGCGAGAGAGCGTGTGGCCGAGGCGTGGGACTGACGGCGAGGGACGATGTCTCGCCAGTGGAAGGACGGCCGTGAAGGTACGAGCAAATGGGAGACCGCGGTGGGAGCAGGAGCGAGGGCAGCGCGAAGGGAGATGCGAGAGATGAGACATCGAGAAGACAAGGCAGAAGCGATAGGAGAGGGAATTGAATTATCACGTTATAGATGGCAAGGAGAGGGAGTGAGTGAGTGTAGCAGCAGCGAGTGAGGGAGAGACAGAGGGAAGAAGAACCGGGAACCTGGGGCTAGAGACAGTGACAGTGACAGTGACAGTGACAGAGACAGAGACACACAGAAGAACGAGGGAAAAAAGATAGCGAGACATGACATGATCGAGCAAGTGGAACAGGCTCGCGGGTTGTTGCTTTTGCATCCGCACCCGCCTTGCGTTGCCGTCCTCCCTGGGCTCTCTCTCTCGTCGGTCTCTCTCTGGGCTCTCTCTGCATGGCCGCTTCAACGACCGCGAAGCACCTAACTAATAACTGGCAACTGGCAGTAACATTGGCCCAGCCCAGGTCACTGATTTGCTGATCCAGATCAGGAGGTGGCACGAGAGACACAAGAGCAGTGCGGACTCGCAGAACCCTCTCACTGCTGCTCGTACTACTACCGTCCTGCACTCTGCACTCTGCACCCTGCAGCCCCCGTGCTGAACCTGAGTCTTGAGAGGCTGATGCAATTGGGATAAGAACCAGCAGCGCCCGTTTCCCTATCGCCGACTGACCTTGAGTTGCTCTCCCCTCCATACCAACAACGGTATTTCCAACTTGCACCATAATCCCCATTCCCCCGTTTGTCTCCTCTGCCGGAAGACATATCGACGAACCTTTGTCATTACACGAACTCGAACTCACTCACCCGTCACCAGCCTCCTGCGAGCCTGGTTTGATCCCTCATACTTTACTCATATCCAGCCCATATCAGATCCGGGCTGCCCTCGCTTCACCGCCATCTCCCCATCCCGAAAAACCTCGCTTCGTCCCCCACCACCGCCAACACCAACACCAACTTCTACATCTACGCCGGATCTACGCCCAAACCTCCACCAAATCTACACCACCAACAAAATCCTACGATGACAACATTTTCAATGAACAACTATTACCGGCCCTCAGCACTTTCTCTAGACACAAACACACACAATTACTTCGAAGAGGACGAAGGCAGTGTTTTAGACGATAATATTCTCGAGCACAGTGCGTTGGATTCGGCATTAGACATGTCCCCACCCATGAACGGCAGCCGGCGGGACTCGTTTGCAGTCTCAGCACTCTTCTCGCCCAAGGCGGAGGACTGGCAGCAGGTTGATATGCAACAGCAACAACCTATCTCCTCAAATAATCCATTCGCTGAACAGAGCACCAACCCGTTCATGCGCATGGACTCACAATCAACTTACGGCCACCAAAGTCACGGGTGGGCCATGAGCAACAACTCCGGAATGAGCACCCCAATGCAAGGACATGATGGACTCCCTTCAGAGTTCGACGTCAACGCTCCCATGTTTCAAAGACCAATGCAGACACCATTCACCAACCCGGGCAACCAACAATTACCACTCTTCTCCTCAGCAAACACCAACAACGGCTCCATCCCCACCTCGCCTCAGAAAGAATGGTCCGTAGCTGATGCTATGGACCACCGCGCTATGCCCAAGCGGATGAGGCCTCATAGCCCAGCATTACGGTCTCATCCAGAAATGACCAGAAGAGGGGATGGAATCCGAAAAAAGAATGCTCGCTTCGATATTCCGGCTGAGCGGAACCTCACCAACATCGACCAACTCATTTCCCGATCCACCGATGAGCAAGAGATTAAGGAGCTGAAGCAACAGAAGCGACTGTTAAGAAACAGGCAAGCAGCGTAAGTAGTTTATTGTTTATTCAGGTTTGGTTGAAAGTGTGTCTACTAACCGATATTAGTCTTGACTCTCGCCAGCGCAAGAAGCAGCATACGGAACGACTTGAGGACGAGAAAAAGCATTACACTGCTTTGATCAATGATCTCGAGGAGGACCTAGCTGAATCCAAGATAGCTTTGGACGAATGGGCCCGAAAGGAGCAACAGTATCAGCAGTACATCGAGACCATGTTGCTCGAGAAGGAAGAGATGGTCCGAAATCACACCATCGAGACCGGTGAACTCCGCAAGAAAGTCAGTGTACTCACTGATCACGTTCAACGTATGGAGAGTACCGCCATGTCTGCTGTGCCTAGCTCGACTGGGTTCTCAACCGACTATGCCGATATCGACAGTCTTACTATGCCTAGTGCATGGGACAACATCTCCTTCCTCAATGACTTCGAGAATGAAGTCAAGGTCGAGAACGCCATCGTTCCCGCGAAGAAGGCCGAGAACTCGCTGCTCAGCGAGCCCGAGAAGCCTGCTGCTCAGGGCTTGCTCTTGATGTTGCTACTTGTTGGCGCATTTGTTGCTTCGAAGGGGTCCGCACCCAGCATCCCCCAAGTATCGGACGATGTCCGAGCTGCATCTGCCACTCTTCTTGACGACATCTTCAAGGATGCTGGTGTCTCGCACGTTCCATCTGGTGTCTCTGCCGCGGCTCCTGCTGCTTCTGTCTCTGCCAATAGTTGGTCTTCGGCTCCCATGCCATCCATGGGCGGTAACGAAATGATCGGTGTCACAACATCGGCCCTCGGAGACCTCGCTGATTCCCTAGCCCAACCGACCGAAGAGCAGAACAATGAGCAGATCTTTTCGTTATCGGCAGCACAGTACAACGGCCTCACTTCTCAGGAATTCCTCCAGAACACCCCTCAGCCGTCAACCTCGCAAGGGCGCCGGAATCTCGGGGAGACTCTGGCTGCGATGCGGAGCAATAGCAAGAAGTCAGCCGCTGAGGTTTACACCCGGTCGCTACTCTGGGATCAAGTCCCGAGCGAAGTTGTCCGCAATTTCGCGAAAATGGTCGCGGATTGCAATCCTCAAAATGGTCAAGTGGACTGTAGCACTCCTGCAGGTTGAGCAACCAACCGGCCAGGCGCTGTCACCATGACACGGCATACGCAACTCCACAGCACCCGCATATTTATCATCAACGATTATGAATAACGGCTTTTCCCGCTGCGTACCACAGACTGCAGCTCACGCACACTTTTTTTGTTTTCCTTAGTCTAGCAATCGAGCAAGCGAGCGTTTGATATTTGGATTTTGATTTCCGTTTTGCATTTTCATTCATAGCATTCATAGCGCAGCGATCGGAGGGAAGGGAAATCACAGCTCCCAGGGAAAACGGAACAATCAGCGCAAGCTGGCCACTACAACAGGCAATCAGTACAGATTGCAAGCAATTGCCATGTGCACAGAGAGACAGATCATCAGTGATCATATATCAATGTGTTGCTCGCAACGGTCGGGCAAACATTTTCGGGACTTGTAAATTGACAAATTGTTTTTAGGAAGGGAAAAGAAGGGGGGTTTGTCCCCAAGGCTATATATATATTTATGCATTTTTGGTTGTCTTTTTTGTTCTTTCATTACTGTCGAAATTGGATACGGATTTTATGGGACCATGATATTATGGATGGAAGGTACTCGCGCGCCAACGCACGAACGATGTTTTACGAAATTCACGACTTTTAAGAGATCAATGCCCTTTCTCGCTTTAATACTACTTACACGTCTCACGAACGAATTTTCTCACGAAGCCCGCATTATCAGAGCAAGCAACGAACGAAACACGGAGAAGTAGGGAGTATGGATTTGAAGGACTTGGATTAATGATCATATCCAGTCTTCGAGCCGGAGGGGAGAAGAGGAGAGGAGAGGAAATAAGGGAGGACACAACACACCACATGAGCTCAGCACCGCGAGCTTCTTCAACACCATTTTCTTTTTTTTTAACGATGATTTCTTAGAAGTCAATCGAAGACTGAGTTCAATTCGGAACATATCTCGTATGTACTGTCTGAAAACGGAGGAGGCCACATACCACTTGTACTCAAATTAGTCTTCTCCCAGTAAATACTAGGAAATCATTTTGTTGAATTATTGCGCTCTCCCTCACTCCAATGTCAAGTAAACACATCGTACTACCTAGGTAGGAGGTACAATGAGGCAGCTTGTCCCACCACATCCTATCTACGCCTCACATTCCCACGATTAATGAATCCACACACACACTCGCACAGCCTTACCAAAATCTGACTGTCTTGCATCTGCCGATTTTACCCCTCTTTCATGCTGTACAACCCACGCTCTTCGGACCTACATATCTCCCAGTCCTACGCTTTTACTTTCCTGCCCCTCCCTGGTTACTACACGGTAGGATTTCTGTCAATACCGAGCTTATATTACGGGGTTACAGTACTATGGATCTAGCATCATAGGCCACATGTGACCGCCCCGGCAACGCGGATAGCCAGCTGAGCAAGGCGTTAGACTGGTGTTATTTTCGCAGCTTTCGAGGATTGTGGAATAAATAACGTCTGAATGATATGCAGGAATAACCACGGTGAACACATCGTCGATCATGCTACGCTGCTATCTCCTGCGTAAGATAACAACGGGAGGGCATTGATAGATAGATGCTCTGCCTATCGCCCTGCATGTACGAAGTATAATACAAGGACCAGGTAATGCAGCCCATACGTAGGTAGGCGGGTAGTCACGAACCCAATTCCAACCGCCAACCCAACCTAGCGGGAATGGATATGACGAGGTGATTTCTAGCTGGTCTACGTCCGTATCTATCGGCGACATAACAGGGACGACTATTATTTCTAAGTTAGGCCCGGATATTCCCTAACAAAATAAATACCCCCGAACAAATGAACCCATAGGGGCTGGTTTATGGGCTGATAAAGGCAATGAGCGACTATTTTATTAATTAATCACGCGAAAAGGTGACGGCCTTTGGTCGCTGAGGAAGGGTCTCAAGCCTGGCCTGAACCTGAACCTGAATCTGAACCCCGTATGCATGATGTCCCCGGAGCTAGGGGGTGATGTGAGGTGATGTGATGTGATGTGATTCAATATTGCTCTTTCATTATGTAGTGCCCAACACCTTTCCTAGCTGCGCTCAAAATGTCTAGGAAAGACAAGACACACCCCACGGAAACCCAACCACGGAATACGAACTCCAAGAAAGGGGCATATGAATCGCGGCCAATCTCACTTCTTCTTCGGGGCATCGTATTTTTCCTTCCAAATCCTACGCACGGGAAACATCCAATAAGCATCAGCCGACTTTATCCACGTATAAAGGGGAGGAGGGGCGACGGCGAATCGTTCATCGTCGGCGCTGTCATTCTGGAACTGCTGCTGCACGGGATGGCCGCCTCGGGCGGCCACCGCCCATGCATCACGAACGAAACGAACGCAGGCATACGAAGTACACAAAACAATGCCGATTTGGGAGTAGTAACGTGATCAGAGAAATATATGACTTACCAAGAATTACCCAACGTCTTGCTCCCGGCTTTCTCGGCGAGCCTGTAGTATTTTGCTGCTGCCCACTTTGGGGTTAGGATGTCAGCCTTGTTCGTATCTGAATGGCTGAAGGATGATGAATATGATAGTGCGTGGGGTACGCCCCATTGCTGCCCAAATCAGTCGTCAAAGGCGGGAAGACGTACGCCCAAGCCACATCGTGATGCGAGGCTGATAGCTCTATGGTTCCAGCACCACGAAGCTATTCAAGATCGTCGGTTGATTTGTAGACTTTTCAATCAGCTTACCTTGTCTTTCTTGCACCCAAACCCCTCGATGTAACACCAAGCTACCTCATTCATCGCATCTGCCATGTTCTCAGCACACCTAGAACTGTTACGTTAGGCGGAAATTATATGCAGAACATACCAGTGTCGCCTAGATTCGCGGCCGTTTCGTAGTACTGCAATCCATATATCAGTTGAACGGCTCAGGCTTTTCCGCGATCCAATCCTTTAGAGGTCTTCACCTGTTTGGCTGCCACTTTGTCCACTGATACACCCCAGCCATGTCTAAAGCAATTGCCAAGTTCGAATATTGCGAGAACGAGCTCTCCCTTAGCATTGCCCCCTTTCTTCATGCCAGCTTGGAGGGCGAGGTCCTCAACCGATGCCGCGTTCGACGCTGCTGCCGACAGATATTGAACTGCTTCCGCAGCGTTGGGAGCACAACCCCAACCATGCCTAATGAACAAGACGTTAGGACTACAGCATAAGACTTCGGTTCAAAGACCATGTATCGAGGTGACATTGGCCGGGTGAAGGACCAATGGACATACCGTAGAGCAAGTCCGTACAGCACCTGACTCAAAGCATTATTCTCGCCATTGGGATCTGCCAACCGCCCAAACATCCGTGTAGCAGTTGCTAAATCCCCAGCTTCATGAAGTCTGATAGCTTCTTGTATATTATCATCCGTTTTCTCGGACACAACTCCCTTCTCACCGCCAGAAGCCGCTCCCAATGTCAAGCTATTCAGCGCAGCTTCAGGGCCTGCGTTACTCGTAGATGGTGTTCGCGGCCGACTTCTTGATATTTCATTCCCCATTGCCAGCATCGTCGCCCTCTTCTCCCACTGTGACTCTGTGCCTTCCCCGCCTTCCTGTCCATCGCCCGCCTTAATCTCAGGTAAATCGCTGGGTACATTCGCGGAAGTATTATCGGATTTTCTTATATGTAGAAGCTGGGATAATCTCTTCGGGGACTTGGGCCTCGAGTCGCTAAGTCCGGAGGCAGAGACGGCAGAGACGGCAGAGGAGCTTCTCGACCGCCCTTTGAACAACCTCGAGGTCTTTGACGTTGAATTCCGGTCTGCAGTGGGATCCAGCTTCGATGACTCTTCGGAGGTAATGGAAGGATGGTATAGGATCTCCTGCGTATTCGTGTCGCTCCTCATAAATGTGAATTCGGGCACTCCAAGAGCAGGAGGTCCTCCAGCGGCGTCAGGAGAGTGCGCATTCTGCTGAGCGGCGACCTTTTCCTTCTTCTTTAATATATCTAGCAGAGGCATTCTGTCTTTGTGTTATTAGCAGAGCAAGATGAGTGACTGTTGAGCTATGGAGCGTTGCAATGTATTAATTGAGCTGTCAGCCTTGCGGGTGGGATGCGGGGATAAGCACCGGGCCCTACGGCCTTGTCAATGGATTTGTAGCGTTGTCTTGCAGCATCTAAGCTTGCCGAGAAATAGCATTATAATCGTTCAATTTTAGAACGAACAATTGCAGATGGGTTGAACTATTGGACCATGGGAAACTTGTAGTTGCTGATCTGAGATTCGTGGTGGAGGCTTAGACTTAGAGGCGGTGCAGTCACGGTTTCTGGTTGCCAATAAATAAAGGGAGGCGTCATCAGAAAACCCTCTTTGTGCGTCCACCAGACTATCAGGGTAATACATGTCTGACATAGATTGTCGCATTCACACGATAACATCAATGCAGTGGTTACTCAATATTTCGTAGGCAGATAGGTATCTTGTGAATTTAATCTAGCTGAAATCCCAAAGCTTCACCAGCAAGCTATCCTCGACGCCAGAGGCCACATCCTGCTTCATGAATATCTTCTTGGGTATCTCATATTCTATAACTGGCACCTTTTTGATATCTTTGGCTAATTCTGCTTCAAGCATCTACACAATATATTAGAATATGAATATCACGACAAACGGGGGAAAACTTACACTTCCATAGGAGTGATCCAGGAAATCTTCCAGGTTATACCGATGTTTCGTGAACTGCTCGGATATTATCTTCGCAATTGTTGCAACGTTTGGATGATAATGGGACTGTAGCGTGACTATTTCCCACAGGCTGCTCTTGATAGCATTGGTTTCCATAGGATCTTGTTCTTCCATGAGAAATGGATCAGACATCCCTGCATTTTCCAGAAGCTCCCTCTCCTCAGCTGTCCTCGTCTCTCTGTGGATCATGAATGTACATGTCGGATGTTTCTTCAAAAGGTTGTATACCCATGGGATAACCACCACAATACCAGCTGGAGGCGCACTGAGTGCCAGTCTGGAAAGCCGCTTAATGAAGCTAGCAACAAGAACAACGGGTAAATGAGTTGACGCTAGAAAGGTATCTAGGAGTCTGAGGAACCTCGATCGGTGTTTGGAGTGCAATATGTCGGAATCCAGTAACGAGTACAACTTCCGGTAGAACGCAGGGTAATCCAAGTTCTTCTCTTGCATCAAGTAGAATACTCCTGAGAGAGCCAGCAACGACGATGATCCTCCTGCATCATAACAGTCCGTCAAAAAGTCCATTAGAAGCTCCGGCTGCATGAACCAAGGTGCGATTGTACTCGACACTAGCCCTAAAATTTTCTTCCTCTGATCCTTATCCATGTTCATTTTCATTAGACCAAGCCACGCTCCCTGTGCACGCTTCTTATGTTTCATGAGGGAGTAGAGGGCATGGCCCGTTTTCTTCGGAGCTGGCACATAGAAGTCTTCGAGCTCATCTTTCGATTCTGGAACGGACTCGATGCTTGTGAGTATTTCCAAGACATTGTCGAATAATTGGCCGGATGATTGAGTCGCAGAGTCTTCTAAGACTGTTCTACGCAATGTTAGTTAACATTTCCAATGTCTATGATGGATACTCACTGAATGGCTTCTAGCGTATAGAATCGAACGTCATCATATTCCTCTACATATTTCTCACTGAATTCTTTCCGAACATTGAAATCGCAGTCTGGATTCAGAAGGGCCTTGGTGATGCCTGTTAGAAATGCTGTTGGAAAGCGGTAATAGTCATTGTTGCCCACAACACTTTCCCCTTCGGTCTTTAATAGTCTCATGCACAAAGTAAGTGCTGTAGCACTAATTCCCTCTTCTCCGAGTATGTCGAGCAATCCTGTTTTGTATTCTGCATATCGGTCCCGTAACCAGTTGACCACAACTGTTTCTTTCTCACTGGCCCCAGGTTTGGAGACCAACGCACCAGCAGTAGTCAGCCTTGTAAAAACTCGGCATAACGAAATTGCGGCGAGCACCGAATCATCAGCGTCTTCATTGTCTGCGGTGAATATTTTAATTAACTTGGCGATGTTGTTGTAATTCTTCTTCGACTCGAAGATCTCGTTCTCGAGTAAGAGGATTTGCGCCTGTCCATCTTCTTCGCTGCTCTCTGATCGTGGACGCTTCGATGACCTTTTTTCTGATGTGCTTCTCTTCCTCTTAACTGCCCGACCCGTATCTGCAGCAGCTGCAGGCATTTTTTCGTGTGTCGGAAAATGTCGAGGTTGTCGCTGATAAGTTTGGAGTGTTTTCGCCGATAAGCTTTTTTGTTACTCTCGGACCTGCGGCTTAAAGCGGCGGGTCACGTGCATCAAATGACTACCGATTACCGACCTCAATTCTTCAACCGCTCCAAAGCACGTTGAAGAGCTCAGCATCAATTCCCCTCATCTCACAATGGCATCCCGCTTGGCAAAGAGCGCCGTAGGTGAGTAATTGAGCGCTTTGGGAATATTTTCCCAGCAATTTCAACTCGCGAAAGATACTGATGATAGCTCCAGGCGCCGCTCGACTTCGTCCTGCACTTCCTCTCCGCACCCTTCCTGCCCTCACCACATCGCTCACGAGCTATCGATCGGCATCAAACGTGGCGGTGGAGGATCCCAAGAAGAAGGCGCAATCGATTCTAGACTCTCTGCCAGGCAACTCGCTGGTCTCGAAGACAGCGATCCTTTCGGCTGCAGCGGGTACCTCAATCTATGCTTTGAGCAACGAGTATTATATCGTCAATGAGGAAACCATCGTCGCACTGTGTCTTATCAGTGTGTGGACTGCGGTCTTCAAATATGGCGGGCCAATGTACAAGGAATGGGCCGACGGTCAAGTCAACAAGATCAAGGGCATTTTGAATGCTGCTCGTGCCGATCATACCGAGGCTGTCAAGACGCGAATTGAGAGCGTTCAACAATTGGGCAGCGTTGTCGATATCACCAAGAACTTGTTCGAGGTCTCAAAGGTGCGCGGCGGATCTCGTTGGTACTCTGCATAATTCGCTGACAATAAATAGGAGACCGCAAGACTCGAGGCTAAGGCTTATGAGCTCGAGCAAACCACTGCTCTTGCTGCGGAAGCTAAGAGTGTGCTCGACTCATGGGTCCGATATGAGGGACAGGTGAAGATCCGCCAACAGAAGGAACTCTCGGACAGCATCATCGAAAAAATCCGCAAGGACCTCGAGAACCCCAAAGTCCTCCAACAGATCTTGCAACAGAGCGTGGCAGACGTTGAGAGTAAGCAATCCTCCAATATGTACGCTATTGTTACTTGTTACTAACTTTTACGCAGGAATTGTTTCGTCCAAAGCACAATAGATGGGATGAGAATAGAATTTCCACTCGATACACATTTCCTTTATCGCCATGTTCATAAAACCACTGTGCCATAGTTGATCAAGCATTTCTATCTAAGTCTGTGTTTTCACCACTGCAACTATTTAATGGCATTTTCGATCCCGTGAATGCATGCTTATTTTCCTTGTGTCGCCGTATCTTAACCTTAGCCCGAAATTCCCTCCCGAAGCTGGGCTGGTGTCCACAACCATCATACAAGCGTGATATTCCTTGTACAGCCTATAATAGAATCACCATATCCCGAGTCAAACCCCCTGGGGTGCGTGGAGTGATGCCAGAACAACATTAGGCAAGCCGTGACAGAAGTTCCGTCCTCAGCGGATGGTCTTGAAGTCTTAACTTAGTGATGTTAATAAGCATCCTTAGAATCCTTCAAGGGAGCCCTAGTAGCATTTCTCAAAGTACCAGCTTCCACGTACATATAGATACGTACGTTTGATCATTCCATACATCTCAGAAAATGAAAATTAGGACAGTCGAGAAAAAAAAAGGCACTAGATTTAGTGGCGGCAAATGCCAGGATAAATTTTTATTTATTTTAGAATTGAATATTTGAGCACACAACCCCTCTCCTTCAGAAACCCTTGATCTGCAAATTTCCTACCCTTTTCCTATGCCGCTTCAGTGGCAAACGTTTATGGCAAAGGTGCACAGGGATCACGAAAGTACTGCGCATTGCACAAGAACTCGGTTCTGGCGCCACCCACATCATCAGCAACCACGCCATGTGTTTCCCCTCTTAACATCCTCTTTGAGATTGTTCTGGATAAGACTTACATTCCGTCAGGGCATTTGCAAATACATTCGGCCCATTCGCACTTTTGATGGTCGGAGCATGGATCCCGGATGTAGTCCACGCAGCAGTTATACGCTCTGTAAAGGCAAGAGTTAGGTATATGTTTGGTAGGTATGTTGTAGTAAGGCGAAGAAGCGACTGATGATGAGATGAGAGACTAGATAGTTACATACGTTCCGTCCGGGCAATGGGATGTGCACTTTGGGTGTTTGCAGAGGCCACGGGACTCGATTTCTGGGGGAAATGAGATATTAGTATAGGTTCTCAAGAGTATACGCTTAATGTCAACTAGGGCTTGCAGTCACATACCCGATGGTGAGGGGACTGCAATACTGCAGCCTGCGAAGAGAGCAGTGAGAAGTAAGTAGGTGAATTGCATTTTGGGTTTAGTTATTGGAGTTGGATATAGATAACGTTTTGAGATATTGAGTTGGTATATATTGGATATTAGGCAAGTCGATGAAGGAAGGATCAGAAGCTATATAACTTTGGAATTAGAGGGGAACGCTTCACCCCTCGGGATGCATTCCTCCAGTATTATTCTTTAATGTAAGAGGCAAAAGTTAAAATCACGTAGCAGAATACGAGACGGATAAATTCCACTGGCTTGTGTAAATGAATTTAGCATATTGACAGGCATCGCTTGCAATGCCAAGAGAGCCACTTCTAGGTTGCCACGGTTTAGAAGGCCCAAGCCCGCCCGTTTTTAGTAACTTTACACATGTCTGCCGTTTGAAATGCTGTTGTGTTGCGGGTGGTGATCTTCACTTCACCCGTCGGGGGAAGTTAGATGCAGATCGTCGGAGACGGTGTAATTATGCCGGTGCCATCAGTCTACGATTATCAGGAAGTATGAAACATTTTTATGGAGGAGATATGACCGAATGATGAAGAGTTGGATTGCGGAGTAGTGATGTAGTGATGTAGTCCATCTAAGTTTATCCAACCCCGAACTCTGTGGACTAGTTGCCATATGTAGTAATACCTTGGCTTAACACGCCGATTACTCGATATGTGCATGTATTGTAAGTGATATACAGCAATTACTCGAATATGCCGTACTGGCGTTTGAGGAATTCAACGAAGGTACCTAAGTATGCTCCTGCAAGCTTTTCCACAACCAACGCCTCCATTTCCTGTAGTAATTGTTTGTTCTTCAGCTGAAATATCGGTGTGCTTCGTCTGTCATTATGACATAGGAGGCCGAGACACATCGAGTAATAAGCCAAGGGGTTCCCGTTGATTGACAATTTTAATTGGCACTGGGGTAAGAGTCGTAAGATATCTGCAAATATAAATAGACCTCGTGCACGTGGCAGTAAGAGATCTACCTACCTGCATGTTCTATTTGCAGATTCGGGTCCCAGAAAGTACAAATACATCCAAGTACAAGTACCAGTCTCCTCCGCTCTCGAAGGGGAAATAATAGGGGGTTTTCCGGCTCCGCTAACCACACTTCTAGTCTTTCCACGGAACCCACACGCGGTTTCTGAGGCGCCCCCGGCCAAGATTGTGGGTTCGCCGTAGAGGTCTTGGGGAAGGCCAGCACGTGACCTCATATCGACAGGTTTCCCCGCATGCCCCACGAAACTAAGGGACGTAGGGAGAGATAGGGGTTAGTAAAACACTACCACTCCAATAGACTGAGTTAGAACCTCCCATTCTCCATCTCCTGGGTGGCGGGGTTGCGGAAAGCCTTGCCTCGGCACCGTTAGTTTGCTCCCGGACCAGACAATCGGTACTTCGTGCTTCAGTTCTCGTTGACTTGGAGCGCCATGTGGGATCGGGGCAACTACCAAGGGGTTGGGTTTCCACTGGACTGGTCCTGATTGTTGTTTTACCTTTAAAAGGCTCGCGGCCTGCTAGGTAGGTTGGGTTTGTTTCCGTTTCTTCTCACTGTTTGAGCGAATATAGTACTCGAGAAGCACTCCGCACTCTGGCAGACACAAGTACGCGGTAGTCGAATTTCAAGCCGTCTCTCGCCAGAACGACTTTATCCTTTGTGACCAAGGTGCTGTGTTAGACGAGAGGGGCAGTCCTTCAGGTTGTGCTTTTAATTTTAATCTTGTATCACCGCAACCCCACCTTCGACATTTGAAGCCATCTGGACGGGAAGAGACACAATGGGTTCCTATCAGCCCTTTACGATCAAGGATGAGCCAGTCGAGAATCAGCGGCCTCTGAAGGTCCGGGTCATTGGTGCTGGGTACTCGGGAATCTACCTAGGCATTAGAATTCCTCAACGCCTACGAAATATCGATCTTCAGATATACGAGAAGAATGACGGCGTTGGAGGCACTTGGTGGGAGAATAGATACCCTGGTACGGCCATTTTCAGCCTCTCTCTCGATATTGAGAACTAACGCTATACAGGCTGCGCTTGTGATGTTCCATCCCACAGCTATCAGTATACCTTCGACCCAAATCCAGACTGGTCATCGTTCTACGCACCCGCGCCAGAGATATGTGCGTATTTACAGAAAATGGCGGACAAATACGGGGTTATGAGATATGTCAAGTTATCACACAAAATCACAAACTGCAAGTGGGATGAGGCCACGAAGAAATGGTGAGGCGATAGTAATTAAAAGTTTGGGGATACGAATTCTTACATTGGACAGGAATATCACGGTGGAGAACACTAAGACCGGGGAGATCATTGAGGACGACGCTGACATTCTGCTTTCCGCCCGCGGGAATCTTAATGATTTTAAATGGCCAGATATACCAGGATTCGATACATTCAGTGGAGATGTCACACATTCTGCAGCCTGGAATCAAAAGTTGGTTCGCAACCCATATTTTACGACTCTTCTGACTTGCCCAGGGTCGATTTTACCAACAAGAGAGTCGGCGTAATAGGAGGCGGATCCAGTTCAATCCAGCTTGTTCCAAAACTCCAGAAGCTCGAAGGTGTACAATTGACCTGTTTTGTAAGAAGCAAGACGTGGATCTCTAATCCTTTCGGTGATAGTGAGTTGGAAGTGCCACATTTTACGATTGTTGTCTAATTGTTACATAGATGCCATGGTACAACTTGGGCTGGATCCTAAGAAGTTTGAATGTAATGATCCCATTTACCCCGTATATATCCTATAGTTTGGCTGACTCGAACTAGTCTCTGACGAACAACGTAAAGAATTTGCTAGCGATCCCGAAAAGTTCCTCAAATTCAGAAAGGCGATCGAAGCAGATGGAAACACGATCCACGCGGTTACATTGCGGGATTCGGAGATACAAAAGGGCGCCGTGGAAGCTTTCCAAGCAATGATGAAAGAGCGACTGGTAAAGAAACCGGAAATTGCCCAATTCCTCATCCCTTCATTTGCCGTCGGATGTCGACGCTTAACCCCCGGACCAGGATACCTCGAGGCTCTTGTTGAAGATAATGTCAATTTCGTGACGGAAGAGATATCCTCGATCACTCCGAAGGGCATTGTTCTCTCTAATGGCGAAACAGTCGAGATCGATGTCCTCGTCTGCGCAACTGGATTCAAAACTGGTGCTCCTCCACCTTTCCAAGTCTACGGCAAGGGCGGCGTGTCCCTAGAAGAAAAGTTTAAGCCTTACCCAGAAACATATCTCTCGGTGGGTGTTGATGGCTTCCCCAATTTCTTCATGATGTTGGGTCCCAATTCCGCCATTGGAGCCGGTTCATTGACGACGATGATCGAGAACGAAGGGGATTACATAGTCAAATGCATCAGAAAGCTCCAGAAAGAAGACTACGTCTCTATGACGCCGAAGGCCGAGCGGGTCAAGGATTTCTCGGAATTCTGCGGCGAATACTTTAAGAACACCGTCTACATGGATAATTGCAATTCCTGGTATAGAAGTGAAGGCGGCAAAGGCAATCGGATTACTGGACTCTGGCCTGGAAGCTCTTTGCACTGTCTCGAGACACTGAGAACACCAAGATGGGAAGATTTTGAATATGAATCGAAGGACGAGAATAAACTGCGGTGGATAGGCAATGGTTGGAGTATGACCCATATTGAGAATGGTGGGGATCCTGCCTGGTATTTGGAGCCGAGCATGATGAGCATCCCTCTTCCTGGCCATCCGGAGGAGGATGAGGAATATAAGAAACGCCCATTTTCGCACTGATCTTAGCGAGATATATGTTTATACCTATTTATTTATCATTAATTTGGACAGACTGGTTTGTGGTATTTACTACACCAATTGTGGTGTTTAAGATTCCTGTTAGATGGTATATCTGATTAGCCGCTAACGCGATGTTACATCGATTTATATACTTACTATATATTCTTAGCAAGACAATTAATAGTGCTTTATGATAGCTAAAAAGGACATTAATCCTATAATTGTAGTAATGATCCCTAATTTTACCTTCATATAGGTGACAATTTCTGATGGAAATTATACATATATCCCAAGGCCGGGCCTACAGTTTCTGCGAACATATCGACTAGGATAATTCTAACTACAAGTTTAGCTGAGAAGTTATTCAAATGGAAGGGCTGGTAGCATGGAGCTTCACAAATAGCGTCGTGGAAATTGTATCTATGTTGCCATGGAGTCTTGCTGCTATTCGCCATGACTACTGGCTAATTCCAATACATAACACTAGGAGCTCGGTCTAGTTTTCTGGCAGATGGGATGATTCCGCGGTTCCATCCACCACCAGGCGTTTTAATCTTGCCCTTGGCTACCACGATGTGAAGTAGACCACATAATTGTTGTTCTCCTCATCACCGCTGTCCTCCTCATCACCACTATCCTCCTCATCACTACTATCCTCCTCATCACCACTGTCCTCGTCACTGCTATCCTCACCACTGCTCTCCTCCTCCCCACCCATGCTGAACGTAGGGATATTCTGGCTGATAGTGATCCGTTTGATCCCCTCGATCGTTATTTCCAAGGTCCAGGAGAGGGATATCTCCGTGCCGTCGCACTCATCACTAGCGCTATCTTCATCATACCTAACGCCCTCCTCATCACCGCTCCGCTCAGGATTCATGATCTCGTCGAATCTGGATCCAAAAGTATCGGTCCAAAACATATCACCAGCGCTATCCTCATCATCGCTGCCTGGAAAGCGGCCTTCGTCCTTGGCAATATCTTCCGCTAGGGCGTTCAGTTTGGAAGAGGACATGATTTTTCTCTGGTAAATGTTTCGTAATGGCAGAGTTGAAAAAATATTGAGGATGATGTCCGCTAGGAGAAATATTGAAGAGAAGAAGGTCAATAAATGGAAGAAGGAGATGAATGATAAAGCAGGGGAGTCTCGCGCATCGCTGATCAAAGCCTGCAAGTAAATGCGGAGAAATTCTTAGATCGTGATATTCGCCGTTTATTCTGGAAAATTCCACCTTGTAGTTGGTATTCAGCATCCTATATTTCAAAGAACAATTTTTTTTTGGAAAGGACATATACACCATTTTCCTAGTCCACAACCATGGATCCATCTCTTTTCTATTTGGAACCATCGTTTCATTCAGCAGGTGAATTCCGGAGCAAGTAGGAACCTGTGAAACTCTATTGAAGACAGCCGTTAACCACCTGCATAATGATGTGAGGGGTCAATATATTTGAATATTACCACCATATATATACACGCCTTACAAACATTCATTCCAACGTATTAAATGTGCGGCTGATACAAGAGCGGCCATGGCTTCCCTCATTGGATCTTAACCACTCTGTGACGGGTGTTGATGCTGCTGCTTCACCGTCCCGTTTAATAGCCCGTCCAACCTCAATAACCCCAAGCTCATCAGCCCATTAGCTGTACTGCCGCTGCCAACCCGCATGGCACATCTCCAGCGCGTAACGAGATGGTGGATGTCGTTGGACTCTGCCTCGCTTTCCGCCGTCAAGAGGAGTTGCATTAGGAAAGAGGAGGCAATGGCAAAATTGGCACGTGACCCTGGATGGAATTTAGTATGTTTGCGTGATCTAGAGGGGAGGAAATAGGAAGTGGATAATGAGGAGAAAATACATGAATGCCAAAATGAATCCAAGGCCCCTCGTCCTAGATTCTCTACGAATTCTACGACCTCATTGGCGCACTCTCTGGCCCATGATCGTACTGCCTGGCGGCTTGCTACGATGGCTTGATCCGCCTCCTCGGCATCCGTCAAGTTGTCCAGCGGTCGAAGTAGAGCGCGGAAGAGGGTCATCGTCGCTACAATGTAGGCTAACGTGAGAGAAGGGTTCGCACTGAGATGGACCATTCCCCGAGGATCAACGGGCACTGATGATCGAGGAGATAATGCTGGGGGTAAGGATTCATTCCAGGCTCTTAACCGCGAACGTAGAGGGGTTGCCAGCTCGAGCGAGCGATGGAAGTCTCGAGATGTTCGCTGAGTAGCACGAAGGGAGTAATATGAATCCATGATATCGCTCAAGATCATAGTTAGCTCCGACAGCAAGCGGAAGTGGATGGCATCAGCTTCTGGCTCCAAGTAACTAGGGATCGAATTTGAGTTAGGGTCAAGTGAAGGGGGTTCGAGATCGGAATCGGAAAGGGGGAGAACGTCAAAGTCATCGGTTCGTATATGGCTGGGCATTCCCGCTCCGAGGGATGCCCACTTGTCCATAACCAAAACCCCGTACCACAGACGTTTGCGAAGGGCTGTTTCCCAGGGAGGTATGCTCGTCCAATCGCTACACTCTCTTGTGAGCCCGAGGCTCTGAGCAAGACTGACAGTCCATCCTACCAGACTCGTCTTCCAGGGTGTATCCGTGGTGTACCTATTTGTGGGGGCTCGTTGGAGCAATAGCAGACATGCTTGTAGCGTGGCGAGTCTAGGTGTATGAAGTTCTTGTGTAACAGCAAGCCATGATATGCGATATAATTTCTGAGCAGGAGGTTGATCGTGAACCATAGTGGTGGCAAGAACATCATCATGTAGCACAAAAGGCATATGCAATGCCGTGGCATATATGGCGCATAATAAGGATAGAGGTAGAATATTGAGTGCCACTGGGGACAAGGTTCCGTTTGGGTATATCTCGCTTTTACAAAGAATAGGGAAATAGGGGTATACAAATCGGAAAAAGAGGTTGAGTAATCGCAACGCTTCCTGCTCCGAAATCATGCTCGCAACTTCGGAACGGGCCTGTGCAAGCACCTCATCTTCGACTCGAGGCTCACCTTTTTGAGCCAGACTGTCATCCGCCAGCATGAACACCACCGGGGGTTGTCCCTTCTCCCCCGATTGTGAGTCTTGGCTTGCGGCACTCGTGATGCGCCGGTAGGTCAACTTTGATGTCGTGCATTCATCATTTTCATCGTATGTGTAATGGCGCAAGAGGTACGGGTTTGACTCTCCAGTCTCGCCGATCAGTCGCGCGGATCTCGTCGATTGTGAGTCCAGTGGTCGTGTGCGCACTCCACCAGGAATCATCTGCAGGTATGGGTCCATGGTATATATAGGAGAGCCATCTTGAGTCGCCTGCAGCTGGGTCGGCGAGGACTGCGAATCGAGCGGCAGGGCGCCATTATTAAAGGCATTGAAGGAGCCATCTTGCTGGCTATACTGTGCGATGAAGGCTGGGCTCAATTGGCTGACGCCGACGTCGAAGTGCTGTCCCTGGGCTGCTGGACAGGCAATGCGAGTCAGTACAGAACGGTACGAGTCAGGATGAATAATATGGGCAGCATAGCATAGGCAGCATGACATAGCATTGCGAAGTGATTTATTATGGTATCATGCTACTACTCGGGGGGCCTGGAGTCTGGACGCTGCACATACCTGACGCTGCGAGAGTTAGGCCTGACGCACTACTAGTCGAGCCACTGTTGGAGGCATTTGGCCTCCTTTTCTTCTTTGGCCGCTCCACGAAGGTACACTGTCGGCCGTGAGACGAGCACAGCTGGCACGGCGGGGTGAGATCGATCTTGCATGCGACTTGTCTCGCGCGGCAGAAGTCGCACGGGCGATACTTCCGCGACTTGTACGATCGAGGGCCATGCTGTATAGCCGGCGTCAACTCGAGGCTGTGGAAGTAATCGGTGGGAGACACGGAGGGCAGCGCAAAATTATGGGAGTGAGGATGCTGCTGCTGCGGCGGCGGCGGCGGCGGGGGGTGCTGATGAGGATGGGGAATGGGATGAGCGTGCGGATGTGAATCCATGGCATCTGAGCTCAGGGTCGGTCACATATCGCTATCGCGGGGGAAGGGCAATGAATGGAGATAGTCCGACAGAGTTCGCGCAACATCGCTCAACATCGGTCTTCTAGTTGCTGTCTTTTCCCGCGCTCACTTGCAGGCGTGGGAGCCGTCATTATTTGATTGCGACAGGACAAGAGAGCACAGGAGGGCGTCCCCCCAGTGAAACAACGCTCGCTCATGGCGCTGGCAGCGGGTTTTGGGGATGCTGACGGCCAAGCTGGCTTGCCCGTGTTATCTGCTCTGGCGCAAAGTTACAACACGCCTTCTGATCCTGATCTTGATGCAGTGATGAGGCATCTGATGAGCGTCCTGCGAGCCTGCGGTTTCCTCTTCTCCACGAACGTGGCTGATAGGCCTTGATAGACTCCCCCAACACCTCCCCCCAACATATGGCGTTTGTATATGGCACATATGGAGTTGATCTCGTTGCCACGAGACAGCCATCGAAACTAGGGCCAACGCCTTCAATTGGCTTCATATCAACCTCCAATTCCCAGCTCACCGGGTCCCAAACGTCCACTCTTGACCCCTTGTTATCGCTCCTCCTCTTCACTCCCTCGAAATGTCAATGCCACCGCCAGTGTTGCTCCCCTCGGTGACGGGATTTTCCCAACGGGTCATCAATGTCCTTCTCATCAACCCCAATGGAACCTCGTCTATGACAGATGCCTGCCTCCGATCACTGGAATCTACGCTGCCGCCTCACTGCACGGTGAGCGGCTTTACCTGTTCCCATCCGGCACCGTCAGCTATCGAGGGCCATCTTGATGGAGTGTTATCTGCCGCTGCCGCAATCCGCGCGGTAGCTCCCATTGCCGCCAACTACGATGCGTTCCTGGTTGCGTGTTTCAGCGCTCACCCGCTCATCAACGCTCTCCGGGAGGAGGTTACTGGTCCTGTAATCGGCATCATGGAAGCTGCGCTGTATTCGGCTCGAATTCTCGGCGGCCGTCTCGGTGTTGTTGCAACTGGCGGGAGGAGCAAGATCATGCACGAAGATGCTATCAGATACTACGGTCTGGATGCTTTTTCCGTGGGCTGCGAGACGTCGAACCTAGGCGTTCTCGAGTTGGAGAGGCTGCCTAGGGACAAAGTTCTCGACCTGGTCAGCGAAGCCGCAAGAAGATTGGTCCAAGAGAAGGGCGCCGATTGCCTCGCGTTGGGGTGTGCTGGCATGACAGAGATGAAGATTAGATGTGAGGAGGCAGTTGGTGCCAAAAACGCTGTCGCACAAGTGATTGATGGCGTTGGAGTTGGAGTTCAGATCTTAATTGGACTTGTGAGAGAAGGTCATGTAACTGCTAAGGGCGGGATCTTCAGAAGTGCTCCAGACGGACGAAAAGCACGAGGTCAAGATTGGTTGTGACGTGACTCAAAATGTTCTTCCACCTATGAGTATCTATTGTTCACTGAGCTTTCCATTTTGAAATTGTTGCTCTACTTGTTTTGCTGTCTAGTGGCGCAATGTTCTTTCCTTTATCGTTGCCAAACGGCGGGACATGCCGAGAGGCGTTCGTGCAAAACGAGAATATCCTTGATGAAAAGGAAACCGACAGGTCATAGCCTGTCTTTTGATCTCAAGTCCCAACACCGAGGACCCGAAATGTGTGATTGCAGTCTTCTATACTGCAGGTAATCGGTCTTAAGCCATTGAAGCGCTTATACGAAGAGCAAGACTTCGCAATAGCTACCTGCTGCATCATAGACCCATGCTGCTCTATTCTCCGATATCCGTGTAATTGAAGGGTCTCGGCGTCAAATCTTGTGAGATGGATCTCGGCAAACCCAGCCTTATCATTTGCTCCCCTCCACCAACAAATGCAGCGGTATGCAGCGCCATGAAATAAGCACATCTTGTCCACACTGGATGTCAGCCTTCGCTACGAGTACACAGATCGAGAGCAGATACTCTGTGGCGTAAAAATGTACGTAGGTAAGCCTTCTAAGTTCTCACCCGTGTTCGTGGGGGGTTCTGATCCTCGGTGGCTTGCATTGTGGGAGAACAGGAGGGGATTATTGCAATGTTCATGTACTACCACTTGGGGTTGAGGCATACCTGGGCGATGTGCTTGCTACGCTTGGTAGTTGGCTTTGATTACTCGGGCTCAATTGAAATAGAATAGATGTTGTAACATATGGGCTCTTATAGATTAAATCATGGCGCATGAGTTTTAAAATATATTCAATAGATAGCTTACACCCTCCTATCTCAACCAGTAAATTTAATTCTCGAAATATATTAGCCTTAAAACAATACCGCAAGTTCAACTCACGCCTGTCTTCATTTCCACCTTGACCTGGGCTCTACTCTGTAGTAGGTATGCAAGCTATGCCGATATCCGGCTACGGTGGAACAGCTTAGCCCTATAATTAGCACGTCCCCGGCTCTCGGGAGCCAGGGATGTTTCCCCTGCTTGGCCGACGGGCAACTTCAAGCCTAATAATTTCGCTTGGGGCGCCCGTCAAAGTTCAGCTTACCATCAGTGGTCGAGGCTGGAGAACATATTACGCGAATTGATAATCCAACCAACTCACCAGGATTGAAAATGCGGATATTGCGGGGTGGCTTGTCTGGACTGGACTACGAACTACTCCGTACGTGGCCATATGTTTACGGATCAATACTTGACTTTGCGGGTTGGATTAGACACTGAACATGTTGAGCCCTGGAAATTTAGGATTAGAAGAATTATCGACGGCTACGGGCCATGAACTGGACATCAGGGGTACCCCCTGGCCTACGTAAGGCTGGCAGCACCTTAGTGTAGCTCTGAGAACCAAGGTGTCCAGGAGGAGTCTGACTTAGTGTCGAGACTCTGAAACTCCAAGACTCTACATAGGTAGATATAAGGTTTAGGGTAAAAGGGATTTTTATATAAGTAGTACTTAGTTCTAGTGAGATAAGAGCCTTATAAGGGCCTCAATCCATACATTTATCACTCCCATCCTGCACAACAGCAATGTTGAGAAGTTCGTGATCACTCCGGCCCCACCGCCTGCCGCTAGCCATTAACAAATGATTCTAAAGGCAGATTGCAATGAGCGAAAGAGTGACTATTTGTCTCGGAATGTCAATGAATGGATGGGCTATTGAACCACTTTTTTATCGTGTGCAAAATTATATTCCTCTAGCCACTCCGGGCAGTCCCGCCAAATCTGTACGCGGCTGAGCGCCGCTTCTGCCCAGTTGACTCTTGAGGTTTCTCGGTCGTCCGCTCTTTTTTCATTCACTTCTCATGATTTGTTTATTTGACACAAAACCAGTCCGCCATAGAAAGCCCTATTCAATTAGCACTTAAGCCCACATTACATGCACCTTCCTGACACCTCCCTGAACACCTCCCTGGACACCTCCAAGTTCGGTACTCGATGACGAACAAACATTCTTACACTGTCTTGGACCCACCAGACCTGTCTCAGGTATTTTCTCCCCTTTATACATCATTGTTTGTGTTAACACATCGTTGTGTATTAGATCCTTAATGGCGATGACCAACTCGAGCCTAATCCCCAGGAGCTAGAAACTGCCATAGAGAAATGTCGCGAGTATTGGTACCACCTCACAGCGATGGCGATGTCGCAACGTCATAACGGAATCTTACCTGAGTATGTGAACCCTCGAAATATGCTCGGCCGAGTCCCTGCGATCTGTAAGGGCCTGAGGGGGACTTATTCAGGTCACTTCGGCTCGTCTCCAAGCAAAGCGCTTTGCGTTCAAGCATTCTCCACTTGGCGTGTCACCGACAATACAAGCTGCGTCGTTGTTAAAGAGGAGAAGAAGATACCGGGATTACTTCAGATAGGTACTCGGGTACCAATTCCGTGTAAATTTGGTGGAGACACTTTTAGTCGATGGGTTGGGACTACTTGTGAAGAGAGAGACATGCCAAGTTATCTTGGAATTCTGGCTCTGGGCTGGTGCTATATCCTCTCTGCTCGTTTAGTTGAGGGACAGGGAGAAGATGCCAAAATGATATATACAGGCTCAACAGCCACACGGTACCACCAAGAATCCGAGCCTGCACCCGCTCTAACGACTACTGTTAATATTGGCGAAGTTGGTGAGGATGTTGCCCGGTGGTGGGCGGCCATCTTGGCCCCCGGTGAAGGTTGGAAGGCCATCGTCTCTCAGCGAGATGATGGTGAGTATTTGGCACCCTGGTCAGTATCCCGTGAAGACACGCACTGCGTTGGCATCAAATGGCGGAGAAACTTGTCAGTCCCTGAGGACTTCACGGGATCTACTCCCCCGTCGTCCAGCAAGGCGTTCGAGCTCCTTGCGCAATTTTCTTTACTCCACAACTTAGGTAGCCAATTTCTTGTGGCTCTGGCGATGGCAATAACATTTCCGACTCATAATTATCATGCAACAGCCGTCCATCTACCATTACCCACGGGTATCAGAGACGAGGAGGAGAACGCCTTTCCTAGATCGATTATACCAGAATGGATTACGGTGAATGAAGAGCTCCCTTTCTACATGTCTTTGAGCTGCAGCCCTGAAGTTGTTATGTCAAGCCTTTGCGGGATGTTTTGGGAGGCTGATGTTACATGCAACCTAGTAAGCCCTTGGTTACATCCCATCTTGAATGAAGTACCGGAGGGTAAAGGGATTACCGAGACTCCAGGCCGTTATTACGAAATAATTGCTATTATATGCGGTCTTCGTCGGCCACGAATCTCTGCTCTTTTCCTAGGGGCTGCGGCTAGTGGGCTAATGCCAACAATTCTTCGCAGTATCAGAGGAGGCAGACCGCCACTCGATGTCAATGCTTTTCCATGGACTGGATGCCCCCAGTCGTTTATGGATATTCCAGGTTCGGGTCCGTATATTTGTGAAGGAACGGGCAACAAAGTTCGAAGAGCGGATGTCTGGCGCCTTCTATACCTCCCTCCAGTTGTCGAAGATGACCTCTATTATAATAACCCTCCATTCACGCCTTGGGCGCCGTTTGGGAACAGCAGTGTGCAGAATTGTGTGTTTCGGGTTGCCTCTCATTTACATTGTACCAGACACTACTTAGAATATCAGCACTGGAATTGGGAGCTAGTGGACGGTTCAATCGCTGAAGATCAAGGATTCGACAAAGGCGCTGTCCAATACTTTCTAGAAGCAGGCAGTTCAAAAATCGAATTGATAACAACTACGGAGTTTCCTAAAATCCAGCTTAATCAGGAAGCGTCCGAAGAGGCATCGCTTGACGTATTTCGATGGGTTATGGTCAACGGCGAAGGAGTTCCTCCTGAGGAAGTATATAAGGACAAGTGGGTACAATTCGACGACGATAGTGACGAGGAGCTAGATTCCGTAATCGACGACAACAGTGTAGTTGCAGATAAACAGCAGAATGGGTTGGAAGAGTGGCTCGGCGGGACTATTGAGGCCATCCCAGATGAATTTGTATGATAGGCGCTAGCTACCGTTTTGTTTTATAGATTGTTGGCAGTAGGTCTACCAATGATTAGGCTTGCCACCTGGGTGCTCATCACATCTCTTGCAAATCCTGTAGTGTACATCATTGTAATCAGGTCGTGCCTGGCAACGTTTCCACTTCTTTCGACAGCGCGGAGCCCTGCAAGTCGCGTGTTGGTGCTCGTTATTCAGGTGGGAGCATTCGGGCACGTTACACCAACCAGGCTTTCCAGACCTGGTACTCATCGTATCGAGTTGTTGTATTCTGTCTTGCAATTAAAATCTAATTCTTCCTACACGGGAAGAGGAGTTGCTCACCTTTATGTTCGCTTGCTTTTGTTTGCTATTAAACAGTACAGCCGGACCAGAGCTATTATTATTTCTATTTAAACGGAGCCATTCTTGACGGTGAATAATCCTAGAGGCGGTGGATAACGTAGAGCCTGAGGTCGTCACCAACACAGTCATGCAGGAGGCAGAACCGGCGTCCCAAGGACATCGATTTGTGCAAAGATTCCGTATCTTGCCCATACTTGTTCTTACCCTTCTATCAATAATTCGTTGCTTTTGTTCTATCTAACAAGGTAGGTACAATTAGTGCCCGCACTCTCCTGTGAAAACTTCAGGCAATAGCCAGAGTCCAAGAGTACTCCGTCTGTTAGACAGCATCGCGTGGATAGAAAACCATGGCATATTAGAAAGCTGGCGTTGACGGGATCATGCAGTTATATATCAGTGACTCTAGGGAAGCGCCACTTGGCATAGGAGTATCGGGAGAACGGAGGATAACTAAGAAAGAAGGGGCATTGGGGGTTTCCCTGTCTGTCCATATTCGCTGTCGAACTCTTCCTCCACGTACCATGGCGCATGTAACAGAGGAGCAAACAAAAATGAAGGCGTTGGAGAATTTACCGTACATGGAGGAGAAGATATGTTTCACAAGATATAAACTGGGCGGGATACATGGGATACACGACTAAAGATTATGATCACTCACTCGGGAATTACTTCGTACTGTTTATTTATCAAGAAAACATTGTTGAATAGCCAGTTAATGAGGCTATACCCAGTTTCCGGAACTCCCTAATATAACAGCATATTCGACGCCGGAATCTCGACATGAGCATATTCCGTTTCCGTCTTTGAACGCTAGCTGTTGCTTCTTTAGCCTGAGCTGTGGGTGAGCAAACCCGAGCCAGGCTGAGCAACTGGCTCCAAGGAGGTGAGTACCCTATGGGAACGTATATGACCCTCAATCTCTGATGCATTTATGAGAACAATGTATCTTCATCACGCAAGAACTCTCCGCAGTCCGCCTGTCTGAAAACCGCAATACTTGTGGGATCCAAACGTCTTGCCTCTGCCGTGCTCCTCGCTGTGACACCGAAACCTAACGGCGTATCGTGAAGATTGTACACCACCACTCCTTGGTGCTCTGGGCAGTCATCAGACCATCTGCCGACGTGTGCCTTTAGGACATGGCCTCCATAGAGGAAGGGCATCTCTCCGTTGCTCTTTACCCATACCTTGTAGCGAGCGTGCTGCGCAAGGATCGGAAGGGCAGTAATGTGTAAACGGAATTTGAGGGTTTTCGTAAATTTTCCTGTAACATGTTAGATCGGGTTACAGATAGCTATGGAGAGCGGGAGGAGACGCTGAAAAGAAGATATATAATTCAGGACGTACCTAAGCAAGTACCCAGAGAGAGCAGCTTATCTCTTGATATCGAAGTTGCAAGATTTGCGAGGGAAAGGCGGACATAATAACACCGGCTCTGGTGTAACCGGAATACAAATCTGTCGGAGTCGGGGGTATTGTCGAGAGGCGCAATCAAATTCTTCAAAGAGTTTCCTGTGTAGTTTGCAAGCTTTGCGAACAGAATCCGCGTTTCTTCTTCGGTAAGTGGGCGCATTTTGAGGGTGGGGGTTAAAGTTGCTCTTGAGGTCAAATTTGCTTTCGAGATTGAAGCAGCTCTTGAGGCTGAGTTACTTTTGACGTTGAATTTGCTCTTGTGGTGGAAGTTGCGCTCGAGGTTGAATCTCGTGAACTTTTTTCGATGCGGAATTTAATCCCTGTCTCCTACTGCTAGTTCTGTAGCCTTAGGCCAACTCAATTATTTCGACTAAATGTGGAGCACGCTAACAGCGGGGCAGTACAGACGTCTTGTGTCGAGCCCCTCGGAAACCTAAATTCAACATTTCAGTTGTCTTCTCTCCGTTTGGAGGAAAGAGATCAAGGGATCAGCTATGAGATGTTGATCTCTGCTAATACTAATAAACAACGGAGTTTTGGATGAAATTCACATATGAGAAGCACCTCTTACGACCTGCCGAATCTCGCCCTTCCCAGGAGCGCACAACCGGAAGACGTTCGCTATGAAGGTCGTATGCAGACTCCCGTCGTGTGGTATGGTGTACCCCTATATAACCCACCGCAACATTAGCTTAACACTCATGAGAATCAAGGCATTTGGCCCCTCGAAAAGATAGGTCTGTATGGTAATAGGCTTCTTGTAGTGAGGAAAAGAGCATTCCCACATCAGTCACGGTTGCAGTTAAGTAGTGCGACTTTTCTTCGATAGGAAGCGTACAAGTGAAGATGTTGTTGGTATGGGGATTGGTCGTTGCACTTGGCTTATCAACATCTGATAATATGTTTTATTGAGGCCGCTTTCGTTTGCCCGTAATAGAGTGACTACCTTACGCGACGTAGCTAGGAACTTGCGTTGGAGGTCGACTCTCTCGGCCAGTATGGTGACGGGGAGGTGCCGAGGAACGTAAAACCGCGATGAAGTCACCAAACTTGTGCTATGATATGGTAGAAGCGACTCGGACCTGGAACCGAGAAAAAAGCTCTAAGGGTTCATTATCAATGGCCTAATCTAAACCAATTCCGTTCTAAAAAACAGCTGTCTACTCTAAAGCACTCTTTGGTAGTGTTGCCACCTTCTCTCTGAACAACTTATCCGCACGGCTCCAAACTGGATTGTGCTTCCAGTCCTTGAGCTCGAGGAGATACGGCAGAAGTGCCTCACTAAAGCTCTCGGATGCCTCACGTGGTAGAAGTGATGGCAAATGGTCGATGGAAATAACCGTGACAGGGGGATCATTCTTGACCTCTACAGGGGCCGTCGGCTTGTCAAATGTAGTGGCAATCGTGTAAATAGGGATCGGGTTGTTTGGGTTACTATTAACGTCAGCGGCCATTTTCGATCGGGGGAACTAGAATACAGACGTCGTATCTGCTGACACATCGCAAACGACGGACAGCTTGCGGCCTGGGGTATCTAGCGACTTCATGTCGACGAAATTGGGGATCTTAGAGGTGAGGTAAATGCTGGAAATTACCATTGTTAGCGTGTACCTTGCGCAAGACTGCTCAGATGATAACTTACCAGTTGACGAAGATGTCACTCTCGATAATTTCTGGGAATCTATCAAGTGTAGATGTTAGCTGGTACTCTTCCCAATAAAAATTGACCGCCGGCAGAGTATTTCGAGCGCAATCTGCTTAGTGACGAGGAGACCCTCGGATGCATGCTGGATATGGAAGAGCTTACGGGCCACCCTTAGCTGTCTCCGCCTAGAAGGCGCAACGGTGTTAGCATTTGTTCAACTTGGGCGCGGCACATGGCAGAGGGCCAGATTGAAAGGCAGGAGGTTGTACGAACCATATCCCACTTGATCACATTCTCAGTCGGAACACCAGCACGCAAGCATAAATCGACTGCACCACTACCACATCTACCCAAGGCTCCAATGACAAGGACTCTTGGTGCCTTGCCGGTCTTCTCTGATCCTTGTGCAATCGCCTTCTTGACATCTGCGATCAAGTCGTTCTCGTTAGGATAACTCGATACCGATGGGAAGGGCTCGTTTTTTGGGTCTGTGATACTAATTAGTGATGATCGTGCGAGGCTGGAGGAGGCACAAACGGGTGAGTTGCCATGCCCAGTTTTCAAGTGCCAACGCAGCTCCTGCGAATCCAGCGTGGTATCCAAAAGCGGCCACTCTACGTCCATCCTCGTGCTGTAGGAATTCGAGATCTAGTAGAGTTCCACCACCTCGTGGGAAGCTACCTAGCATCAGTACTATTTCTCGAGGAGCTATTCGCGCAAAGGTGCTCACCGAGCCAGGACCGTCTCCCATCCTCCTTGTTCCTTGTAACAGTGGGCGAATTGGACATGGACGTGCTCTAGAGGGACTTGGATATGTCAGCTAGACTCAACTGGATATTTTCAGCAGTTATTTACTCACATTCCTCGACCGGCAGCTCCTTGAGGCCGATGATAATGGTATCCTTGGGAGCATTGCGCCAGGTATTCTCCTCAACGAGAGTCGCACCCGCCTTCTCAAACTCCTCATCGTCGAAGATTCTCTGTGGGCTGCGCTCGACATTGACCCGATAATCAGCCTCAATGAGCTTCTTAGTTGTAGTTGGGGTGAGGGCACTTCTATGTTCCAATGCCTTGCCCAATTCGGACCGAAGATGAAGGTTGATTGACGCCATCTGGAGCTTGGCAATTCTTGTAGTATGGTAGCAGCGTGATTGTTGTTGACGTGGGAGGCAAGTTGTGTTTGTGGCTCTTGCACAAGCAGTTACGGCAGAAAGCCAATTCACTTTTTTGTAGCGACGATGACTCGACGGACGCGAACGCGGACTCCTATCGGAGTTGAAAATGGCGGGGTGTAACCGGGCGATAAGGGCGGTGAGGGTGAGGTTATCACGTTTGCCTTGCGGCCTGATCCGCAAGGCGAGTTTTACTGTTGGACCATAGGCTGTGTCTGCTGTGTCTGCTGTGTCCTGGATCCGGATCTCATGCGCGCTGCAACTGGACCTTGGCCTCGCGACTCCAGCGCTCTTGATGATGCTGCGAAAGAACGCGACAGACGGGAACAAACACGACGAAAAGTGCCCATTTCTTGTCATCCCTTCATTGAGCCAGATGGCTAACGAGCTGGATGGTTATTTCGTCGCCAAAAGGGATGGCCACGTATCGCTATCGAGTTAGCTCAGTAGGGTCGCCATTTGGGCAATTCTTCCAGCACCAGCACCAGCGGATGCTCCACCCTCATGGACTGAATTTAGTCAAATTTGGCGTCCTCAACCCTTTATTTTTGGGATATTGACTCTAAATTCCGCACGAACAACCATTTTGGCCGCAGTTAGATGACAAGCAACGGGATGCGCAATTTGTTGAACACCTCGCGATTACGGAGGCCGCGACGTGGGGTATTACAAGCGTCTTGTCAGCAAACAGAAAATTTGGTGGTGATGCCAAGTGGAATAATATGATACGATATATTCTTTACGATGCTCCTACGAATATCAATGCCCCACTCGTTTTTTCGAGGTTATTCTTGATACTATTAGTCGAAGTCGACATTCCGGATGGGTCTGCTAAGATCTGGATATAGCAACGCGAATGCAGCGATTTGGGCCGAACTAGCTCATAGGATCATGAAGCTGCAGGCACTGCATTGTACAAAGTCAAGTGGTCCGCTCTTGGTAAAGGCGTCAATTGCGTGCCGAACGATGGAGCCCCAACAGGTAAGACCAATTGATAGGCGTTGATCTCGAATCCCAAGATTGACATATGTCATGGGAAGTCCTGTCGCCTGGATCTGGCTCGAGTTGCTTCGCCATTACCGGGCAATATAATGGTTTTTTACAGTCCCCGAATAGTGATGGCGGCTGAGGCATTATGATAGTCGAGAGTTCTTTTAGCGCGGGCTAGCATTGCTGCGTTTCCTGCCCTCTTATTTCTAAGGAAATGGTTTGCATATTTATGTTTTCCAAGAGATATGGAGCATCAAGCCCCGAGTAGTATTCGTTGCTTGAAATGCCGCAGCAGATGGAATGCAATCAGGCGACAACTGAGAAGGGATAAAAGTGGCCACATCTTTAACTACTGCCCTGGAACTATAATAAACATCGAAATCTTCAGATCTGAAGTTAAGCAGACTTGATGAACACAAAGTGTCAAGTGAACTTAGTTAATAGGCAGTCAAACGCAAAAGTTATTTTAGCTTAAGAACCAAGGCCACGAAGGGCGGCTTCTGGGATGCCTCATACGTGCAGCAAGGCTGGCAATAATCTGGTTTATTGGAACAAGCCATGCGCATCGCAAGAACCTGGCTGGGTTTGACTTCCTGGTGATGCTCATGCCTTTGTCAAGGATTCCATTCCCCGCAATGGCTTCCCGTGCTATTTTTACGTTTTCAGGTGTATTAATATAATCGCCTCGCATCTTTCCTTCGCCAATGACCGGCGTGGGGCTGAACCAAAATTAATGCGCATTTTGCAACATCAATAAAGGCCCCCACCAGTGGAGTCGTTCGCTATTAGCTTGTTTGTTCTACAATAGCTTATGTGGGGTTTCTGTAGGATTGGGAAATACTCATTCATCATTTTGTGGCTTCCTTTAAGTATCTATCAAGCCCTCCCCCTCTGGTGCTTCCCGCTCTTTCTGCCATCAATAGTAATGCGATCATGAACTCGAACGGTAGAGATGTTTGTTGCATTGTAATGTATTAGGCTGGCTTACAAGGTTAAGCTTACGGCATATGGATCAATGCCGCTCTCAGGCCCATGGGAAGTGCTTTGGCATCTGATGTGGTGTACTGTCAAAAGCGAACAGATGGTTTACATCCCCTCACTCGTTGGCTCTGGGATATGCTGCATGAAACTGTTGATAGTTGGTGGTGCTGGCATGCAAGCCTTATCAACGGACCGCTGGCGACGCCCAAGCCAGTATCCCAAGAGCCAAAAGGCGAGCCAGTATAAGTGTGCAGGGAGCTCTAATTCTATTTCTTTCTCTTTCTCTTTTCCGTATTAACTCTCTGTCCACCCAACTCTCGCAAGGCATCTTTTTGCTGTTCGATTCCACGTTGCATTCGCTTGATTCTACGCCATATGCCAAATAATAGAGAAAATGATCTATAATACATTGATCCGGTCCTCCCTCTTCATTGCCTCTGCCATGGCAATCGCAGCGCTACCCCCAAATCTGTACGAGGAGGCGACAACCGCCGCAGCAACGGATACGTACGCCACCACAACGGACTGTTCAGCGTCTACTACGCCAGTTGGGGATTATAGTGTTACTTGGACGCCCTCCTACACCGCACCACAAGCGCTTGATACTATGCCTGCAAATGAAACTGAGTCGGACACTTATACAATGCCCGACTACAAGCCAACGGCTCCAACACCCCCTTACCCGTTTGTTGGCAACGACAGCAGGCCAAATTACACAGCGAGCGATTATAAACCCGCGACACCGACAGCGCCGTATCCATCTGTCGGCAACGGCAGCGCAGCAAATTACACCACTAGCTCCCCTGGTATCCAATATACTGGCGCTGCAGTGCTCAACTTGGGAGCTGTTGGCGCTGTAGTGCATGTGCTTGTTTTGGCTGCTGCCATGTTTATGTTGTAGGCGGTGGGGCCATCATTGTCGTGGGAGAATATGGGATGAAGGATGGGTACAGTTCATATCCAGGTAGTTTGGGGTTGACTAATGATAAGGATGCGGAGTTTGGTGTTTTAGAGTACGCACATTAGGGAGGGAACGGATTTGTTATTCGAGGTAGCATTAATCGACCCGAGTTTAAGGTGGAATTGCAGAGCACATCGAAGCTTCTCCGTCGCGAGAGGGCAGTCTGAACAGTATGTTGATCATAAATACGATGCCCCTAAACTTCATATTAATAGTGTGAGATTGTGCTGATAACAGTGGCAAGTGGCACTGAAAGCGCCAGTTGAAAACGCTGAACGGATCGTTACTAGGATCAAAACCCTCAATTTTCACTAATACGGCATATATATAAAATTTCCACTTCAAGCACGCCTTTTCTAAGGGAATGCTCCTTGTTTTTATGCTTAGCCCGGCAATTTGAGCCTATTTATCATGTAGGTTAAACACTTCCCAGTTCTCGGTTATAGGATCCTGGTGAAAGGACGAGCGGTTAATGGCCGCCGATATTAAATTCGACTAACCCTACCTATCTTCTTCTTGTTCATCTGCCGAAAGAGCTTACTTATAGGGAAACGTGGAAATTCATTCGCGAGTTCTCACAGTGCCAAACTAAATGCCTACAGCCTTCCCCTTCTTTGTAATACTCGACTCGTGCACTACTATTCTCAGATGCCGAACTCCCCGGACTCCCTGGGCTCCTCACCCAAGCCACTTGAGGTGATCATCGTCGGTGGTGGTCCCTGTGCCTTAGCCACCGCCATCTCCGTAACACTTGCAGGGCACAAGGCAACTATTTTCGAGGCAGCCGAAAAAGCCCATTCGTTCGGTGCTGGACTCCAAAGCTCGCCGAATGGAACCCAGCTCTTCTCGAGATGGGGTCTTTACGATATTCTGAAACCAGTGGCAACAGCGCCCACGTTGCTACATATACATAGCCTCGATGGCAGACCCCTTGCTCGGCGAGAAAGCTATGAAGACGAGGTCCTTCGTCGATACGGGTCTCCGCTGTGGACCTTTCAGCGAGTTGACCTGCAGGCTGGTCTACATCGTAGGGCTATCGAATTGGGGGTTAATATAAACTACTCTTCCCGTGTTATAGAATTTGCTAGCTCTAGGCCCGGTATTGAGCTCGAAAACGGAGAGAGGCACCATGGAGATCTTGTGGTGGTTGCTGATGGAACATGGTCTACCTTACGATCTAAGGTGCTCGGAGAGCCAATCAATCCTCAACCCACTGGTGACATGGCATACCGCATAGACATTGATCGAGCACAAATACAAGATAAAGAGTTGTTAAAGTTGATGAGCCTGCAACAGATCCGACTTTGGGTTGGACCTGGTTCATTCGCTGTTGGATATCCTGTCGGAGGGGGCACGAAATTCAGCGTCTTGTTGCTACTACCAGACAATTTTCAAACTGGAAATTCAAGCGCTAGTGCGATTATCGAAGAGATGAGGAAGCGCCTTAAAGATTGGGATCCCATGTAAGTTTGTGGCTCCAAGTCCTCGATATTAGAAAAAGCTAAGATAGATCGATGAGCTTGACAGCTATGCTTGATGTCGTGCGAAGAGTAAACAAATGGCGGTTAGTGCATGGTGAGCTATTCATACGGGGCAATTATTCGAGCGAGGAGATTTCACTGACCAACGATATATCCACAGTGCCTCCGCCCCCAACTCTGCTTGCTTCACAGACGATGTGCGTACTCGCAGGTGACTGCGGTCATTCCATTCCTCCTTTCTTGGAGCAGAGTCTCAATCTTGGTTTGGAAGATGCAGCAACACTTGGATGTCTACTTAGCCATGTGACGTCTCTAACGCAGCTCCCGAGAGCTACTGCATTATACGACCGCTTGAGAACAAGCAGGGCCAGGGAGCTGCTCGAGGAAACCGAAATCCATGAGGGCGAGTTGCGAATGGCAAATGGAAAACTCCAAATGCGCCGGGATAATGAAATGGCGGAAAGTTTAAACAAGGACAATGACTGGTAAGTAATTGGCAAGAAAATTGCTTATTAGGATTATAATCAAATTGCCAACTAAAAAATTTCCCATAGGATGTATCCAAAGATACAGGAATGGATTTGGTCATATGACGCATATGAGGAGGCCGAGAAGGCGTACCTGAACGAGCCGTACTGATGTGTCCGTAACAAGGGGCTAGTTAGCTTAGTATAAGAGATTTAGGTACTACCTTAGGCATACGCTTCACACATTGCCCCTTCGTTCCATATCAAACACACAGCTAATTCGTCATGATACCTTCTGTTTTAATTCTGAGCTGTGAAGGGAATATTTCCAGCTGGCCTAAAGAGGGTTGATATATCAATAGGCAAGCTGTGAGTTGAATTTCAGCCTCTAGGTTATATCTGCCGTCTAAGGCGTCGAATGTTTTTCTACTTGTGTGCCTTGCATATACCACACCGAGTAAACCTAGGTGTAAGCAGATCATATCTTGTCAGAGACAAAATTGATACACTTTAATTTTTCTCAGAAGCTTACACTCACTCCAAGACATCATCAATTCGAAGCCGCCATATCCCTCTTCCACTGTTCTTTAACCTCACTCAGCAAACCTTGCGTCGTGAGCACGTCCACCGCTATTCCAGCCAGTGCTTTCCCTGTCCTCAAACACCTCCGAAAAGCCTCCCTCGTCCCGGCCGCTATCTCGAAGTCCGGACTATGCGGCCCATTCCCCTCTGGCCCAGGTGGGATTGCAAAACTCACGCTTAAGCTTGGTATGGCGCGGCTGACATCGCCCTGGTCCGTACTCGCACTTTCTTGAATCTCACCAATTTCTGGGTTTGTCGGGATCAGACTCGGCGGATTCAAGCAATTCCAATACTGGACATATGATGCGCCTAGCACTCGGTTTGGGACATGATCAGCATACATCTGCACTGGAGTTATCTCTAACCTGGCTCCCGTCGCTTCCGCTCCAGCACAAAAACAGGCGTTGACTTTTCGTTGAAGCTCTTGAAGTTGAGAAGCAGTGTTTGCACGCACCACAAAAGTCCCAGCCGCGTACGCATGGATGATGTTCGGCGTCATCCCGCCGTCGGTAATATGACCTTGGATAATGTCGCCCGGCATCGTTTGCTGGCGAAGCACCGAAAGTCCGTTATACGCCATCACCAGGGCATCAAGCGCATTTATTCCTAGCCAAGGGCTGTTGGCTGCGTGTGCCTGGCGTCCAAAGTACTCGGCTTTGAACCGGGCATAAGCGGAAGTTCGTACGAGTGCACTGTTGTGCAGGATACCTGGGTGCGAGATCAGAGAGACGTCAACAGCATAGTCCTCGTAGGCTCCTGCTTTAAGGAGGCGGATCTTGCCGCCGCCGCCTTCTTCTGCTGGCGTACCGAAGAGGACGACTTTGCCTTTGAGGTTATGGCGTCTCATTATCTCGGCGGTCGCGAGGCCGCTGGCTAGTGAGGCGGTCGCGATGAGGTTGTGGCCACATGCGTGGCCAATGCCAGGGAGAGCATCTACTTGAGGTTCGTTTAAGGACATCTATTAATATCGGGAGGAAAGACGTACCCATTTCAACATTGAATGATACCACGGGACCTTTCTTTCCACTGTCGTAAACCGCAACCCATGCAGTCTCCATGCCATAGGCTGAAGTCGTGACCTTCCAGCCATTCCTAGACTTCATGAAACTTGTCAAAAGTGCGTGAGCCTTATGCTCCTCGTAGCCGAGTTCCGGATTGTCATGTATCTGTTTGTTGACATCCCATAGGTCGTCGGAGGCTTTGTCGATGAAACCATCAATCTCCCCTATGTACTTGGGTGAGGTGTCGGCAGAACGGCATATGGCATCGTCGTGACAGACAAGCACGAAATCGTCTTCGACCATACTTGCCATTTGTCTTTGAAACCAAATGTCTCTAGTCGCGTCAATCTAAGAAACTATCGAAGCTATGATTTCCTAGCGAGAAGTGGGGTAGAAGTTAGACACGTCAAATGCCTCACCATCGTTGAGTCCGTGGTGTTGGAGGGGAAGGTAGCAACCCGAGTTTTTTCCCGCCTTGGGCCTTTTTCGAGTTGAGGCTATATCAGCTTTATTAACTCGCCGGTACTCGTTGTGAGGAGTCTTGTGACGGTACGGCAAGTGGCAGAAGGTACCTAGGTAGAGCTTGAACTTTTGACACCTGCCCTTCCTCAACATGAGCGACCTCACTAAAGATTGGCTGGAGGCTCTACATATATTCTCATAAGATTAAAGTTAGTCCAGTGGTACATGTACGAGGCACAGCTCTGTCTGCTTCTGCGAGGCGGGTTCTTGAAACTCCACACTTGGTTGAGGTGTTACTTCAGCCACCTTGGCTATGCAAGGATGATACGCCACACTATGATTACTCCTCGTACGTAGTACTTCAAGGTAAAGCGATAGCATTTCCACTCCTTAGCTGCCTAGTTTTTGTACTCAAAGCTATGAGCCTTGATCTGAAGCCGCTTGTCTAGGCATAGATATTTTATAGATTCTTTCATTTCCTCATTTTCCTCATTTTCCTCATTTTCATCACCCAAATCCGATTTATTTTTACTTAGTTCCCCGGTGCTTATTCTCTTGTTTTGGGTGTAGGTAGAACTCTTGCTACAGTAGAGAGAATTCCAACATTGGGCCCATCCTCCTGTACGTTCAAACTCCCTTGGCTCAAAAGAGTAAAAATTTCTTTGGTTGCCATAGCAAGAAACTGCGTATAACACAGTGTGGGGCCTATCAATGGAGTGGTATTCTAAAGCTTTTCATTTAAAGAAGATAGCTCCATAAAAGCTACCTAGTAGAAGTATCTACTCTGGTAATATAGTCACGATGGGGATGTAGCATCACAGGCAAGGAAGGACATCTTCTTCAAGCAAACTTTCGCACATAATATTTTCCAAATGGTTTCACCTAATAGGGGTGACCGTTATATACACCAGTATCCTAAAAGATACGGAGATTGCCACTCATCCGCCCAAATGAGGTAATCCAGAACTTGTATCAGAGATTAATACAAACAAGTAACAGGTGTCAGCATTAATCCACTTTCTCTTAGATCACCTTCCAGGCAAGGGACAATGGGTTGATTATGCCTCGATGGAAATCTCCTTCATTGCGCTCGGTGCTGGTGCCTGCGCAACAGCCTCCTCCTCACCATCATACTCCTTCATTCCGCCCAGAAGCATAGTGGGCGGGGCCTGGGCCTGCAACTCAGGGATGTATGTAAATGCCAAAAACTTCTCATCGTGCCACTGCCCAGCAGTGATATACCTGCCCTCGCTATCGGTAAACATGGTCTCGTCCTCGGCTCTGAGGAAATACGCAATAGAGTAGCGGTGCTCGGTTGGGTCAAAGGGTACGACTCTGTGAATACATGACTGCATCTTGTGCCCGCTCGCGAACCGCAGCGAATCTCCGACGTTGACGATGGCGCAGCCCTCCTTAGGCTTGACAAATCCGAACTCGCGTGCTCCGGGAGGGCGGATCTGGAGTCCCCATTGTTCGCTGAATAGTAGGGTCAGCGAGCTGATGTCAGTGTGCTTCTGATGCCCGATCTGCTTGTCCGAAGGATCAGTTGGGATGTAGTGCATCATCGACAAGGTCGTGGTGGAGGGCTTGTCGTTGCGGTGAGAGTTCTCGAATCGCGCGGCACCTGTGAGGCCAAGTGCGGTAGACAACGCCGACAGGATGGTCTTAGTAGCGATGTTGCAGTCCGCGATAGCGTTTTCCAGGATTGCAATGCTTGGGCTGTTCTTGATGATGCTGGGCAGGTGCGGGCCGTCTCTCTGGATTTCGTCTCGAGATACCTATAGGTACATATGAGAGTTCAATTAGCCCAAAGCTTCCTCTATCAGGTATTCCACCTTGGAAATATCATAGATATCTACCTACCTTGATCATTTCGTATCCATCCTTGGTGTTTTCAAAGACACCTGTGCGTGAGCCTACGGGCTCGTACCTTTGTTTTTTCATTGATTAGAATTTGATAATCATAGAGCATAGGTATTCGTATCATGCTACCTACCCTAGATGAGGAGTGACAAGTCCATATTGATTCTTAGCCTCAATGGGTGACCCGAAGAAATGGTGCATGAGTTCGAGAGTCTTCTTTTGGTCTTCTAGCATCCTGCGGCCGTCAATTCCCTGCAGGTCCAGATAGAAGAATCCCTCGGTGTTGCAGCAGCTAAGTATCTTCTCGAGTTCGGCCGGCTCTTGGGAGAGCAGTCGCTCGAAGCTGATCGTCTCCATGGGATAGACCGGGACACTCTTCCCGTTCCATTGGACAGTCTCCGGGACTTCGGTTGAGATGGCCATGATTTTGTGTAGTTCTGTGGAAATTTTCAAGATAATAACAGCGTTTCAAGACTGTGGTATTTCTCAATCACCATTTATTTGCCCTCAGCTGGCTACCCTTATTTTATAGGGAAAGATTAAAGGCATTGCCGGTACGCTATTCATCCCAGCCAGAAAAATGCCGATAACACCTTCCCCTCCCCCACACTGTGTGCATATATCCGCATTCATTGTTAATATAATGTCACGTACCTCCGTTTACCCTCCCGAATCTGGCTGAACTAACACGACCTCGTGACCTTTGGAATGAGGCGATGATGTTCGGAGATTCAGGGAGGCCGAAATAGGGGCGACAACACCAAAAGCGGATGAGTATAAACTGCAACTTGGGGTAGAACAAACGGATTAATTAATTGCGGAATAACCCCTATGCGGGATCTTCATATAGGCTACGTCAGTGCCAAGCCTAACTTGACAACACCATTCCTATTCCAACAGATGACTTCCTATTATTACCTGATCCCGTGCTGCAGTGGTACGCAGGCGCTGAATTATAGCTTATAAGAACCTTGTCAAATTGAGGAAAGAGGGGTGTAACGATATCACACTGCCCAGCCAGTCTTTTAAGAGCTACTACCTATATGACACTCGCCAAGGCCGGCAAATATTCAGACTTTCAAGCCTGAGATGCTACTTTAGCCACAGGCACCTTAGCTATGAAACGCTATACTACAACTAAGGCTAATACGTTAGTATCTCTACTTATTAGCTACGGTTACCTAAGTATTTTATACTAACTTGAAGAGTTATACGGAGCGATAATCTTAAGCCTCTCATAGTATAGATTGTTTATAGATTGTTTTACAGCTATAATAAAAATGCATTGGGCCATTCAAATTTGCTGTAATCCTGTGTATAACGCTGTAGTATTGAAAGAATTGTGGATTGTTACCGGGACTTTTTCTGTGTCTTTTTATTTAATTCGCCACCTACTTTACGACCAATTCTACAAATTAACGAGCCAATTAAAGAGTAGTAGGGGCCTCCTATCTTGAAACAGGCCTCAGAGTATAGTCCGAGTAATATGCCGTTTATTTCTTGCTAGCAGCTATATGATAGAGGAACACCTGTTTCGTATAAATAGTACGATGTATAATTCCACAGAATTAATAAGCTTCAGCAGGGAACGTAGGCAAACTAGAATCACCTATGGCATGAGTTTTATAGGACAGCTGTAAACACGGGCTATTGTTGTGGGGTTCTGGTAAATAGCCGTAGTTACCCGCCCCTTTGGCCTATATATACTTGCTCCCACTCTATAGTATTAGCCAGAGATCAGTCAATTCAATTCCCACATTCTATGGCCTGCGAATCAATCACTCTGATTTCCAATTTGAATTCTAGGCACTCAAAATTTCAACACTGCAGGACGGAGGCGACCTCACAACCAACTTCGTGGACTGGGCAATATTCAGCATAATCCAATTTTCGCGGGGTCAAAGTCTTGAACACCACACCTAATCAATTCGGATGGCGATCAGGAATCAGAAGAAACATGATGTGGCAACTGAATTTAACTATTGGGATGACCCAGGGGACGGCAATGGGCCGACGCCTATCTTCATAGGAAAGGGTAGAATATCAAATCTGCGACCACATCTACCTCACAGCTTTGTAGTATCAGATGTGAGCGGCGATGAAGACCAATACACACTTGATAGTCACGGATTTCAGTACTATGGCCGAGAGAGCAAGGAGAAGGAGTTTGACGATGAGAAAAGGATCGAAGCAGACTACTACCCTGAGTGCGAGCAGCTATTGAAAGACATCACCGGGGCCAGCCGCATCCACATCTTCAACCATAAAGTCAGACGGGGGCCGACACATTGGCACCACTTGGGGATGAAGAACCTTGCGAACCGTGGACCCGTCACCAAAACCCATGTGGACCAATCTTACGAGGGAGCTGAGTTGCGACTGAGATGGGAATTTCCTGAAGAAGCAGACGAGTTGGTCAAGAAGAGATACCAGATCATAAATGTCTGGCGTCCAATCAAGACGATCCTGAAGGATCCCATCGCAGTTGCAGATTCGAACTCGGTGCCAGATGAAGATCTTGTTGGAGCAGTGATGATTGAAGATGGATACCGAGGAGAATCTTGGGTTGTGAGGCACAACCCGGCCCACCACTGGCACTACAAACACCAACTTCGACCGGAGGAAGTACTTCTTATCAAGTGCTTTGATTCGGACAAATCAGTATCTCGACGAGCGCTACATTCAGCTTTTGAAGATCCTGCTTATCGAGATAGGGAGGATCGGCAGAGTATTGAAGTACGGTGCTTGGTACTTTACGACTAGTGAGCGGTGACACGAGAGTAGACAATATACTTGTATTAATCCACTTGTAGGGGGCACCTAGTTAGGAAGTAGATAATATATTTCCCCTTTTACATTTCTCTACAGCAAATCTCGTTAAAGCCGTAGGGTGAGAAAGAGAACAAATTAAAGGAGAGGCGAAAACAAATAGGAGGCTGTTAGGTCATCAAAATCTCTCTAGAGAATTACTCTCTCTTGAATATTAGGATAGTAGCGGTGGCACTAGCCCTGAAAATCCGCATGCCCGCCTTCATGGGCAAGCAGACCTCGACAACGGTATATGCGATAATGAGCGAGATCAAGTCTGCTATTTGAACAAAAGCCAAACAATTCAAGCACTGGGCACCTGTAAATTTAAAGCTCGCGTAGCTTAATTTCACCTATCCAAGGCTCAAGTGGTAAAAGGTGCTATACTGTAAAGATTCGCGGTCAATACCAAAATAATAAGCAAGTGAAAACGAAAGAAGAAAAGAATGACAGGAGTGGGATTCGAACCCACACCATATTACATGACCAAGAAATAAATTAGTAAAGGAAGCCTTATAAGTGACCTTTTCGTGCAGAAAATTTTCCCGCGTACCAGCAGCTTCACCCCAATTAGACGACTTCATCTATAAGCCACTAATTACATTTAGATCTCTTACCCAAGGAATATAGTATCGCTGAATGTAATACTAGTACACTGAAAGATGCGCCAAACCGCGTTAAGTAATGAATGCCTTGCTGCGTCCTCATGATTCTCCAAACTACTTACAAGAGATGATATATATATTATTCCCACGCAGTCGATATTGTTATGATACTGATCATCAGAGACAAGAAGTGGTAGGTCTCTACATGCCAATATGCCATGTAATCATCATAGGAAGAGATACCACGATAGAATTGGTGTTGCTTCAACTCGGCTATAACCAGTTTCCGACTTACACCAAGGCAGTGCAGTCATAAAAGCAATGTAGACAGAACATAAAGCTCGCCGCTTGGCGTGAATAGAAAACAGGGCAGCCAAAATTCACGGTCTAGCCTTGGGACATGGAAGAATTGAAAGGTATGGTTGATGTTCTACAGCTCTATGTAATATAAATCAGAATCCACCTTCTTAATCGAGAGATGCAAGTGCGACGATCCCTCATCGTGGCTTTTGCATACCCCCTAAGAACTCCCATTCAGAGGGCTCTTCTCATCATATACATCGCTCTCAATCTCCTGTGGATAAACCAGATCTCCTTGCTTCCGAACCTCATCCATAGCGTCCATAATCACTATACTCTCCTCCCAGGTCAACAGATCACTCTGCTTCTTCCCATCTCTCAAACACCTCGCCACTTCATCGGCCTCCCAAAACATGCCATGTCCCCAGCCCAACTCTTCCTCCCCTTTAACGCCGGGGATTTTGGGATCCTTTGGAATCGGACACTCGACCTCCTCAACTACTCCCCTCTCTCCGCCGAACATGATAACCCTGTACATAGTAGGTCTATACAGAGGGCCAAACACTTGAATTTCTCCCTTTGTGCCCTGGATCCTACAGGCAGGGCCGGCAGCTGGACTTCCTTCTCCATCCGGCGTGGTCGCTACTCTCCACGAGGAGGTCGCAATGCCCATCGTCCTCTGCTTCGGCCAGTGGCAGATAATACTCGTCAACGCGTCGGCACCCGTGTGGTATTTATCGATCGCAGCAAGAATCTTCGGCTTCTCCTTTCCGGATCCATCGGCGGGAGCTTTTTGGCACAGGTACAAGATCTGGAAAACCCAGGTCAAGGTATAAATCCCAAGATCAAGCAGCGCCCCGCCGGCCAGGTCCATGTTCACCGCGCGATGCTTATCGCTGAAGGACAGCTTCTCAGCGTCATCCGTAGACCCATTTATGCACAAGTCGGCGTTGACCTTCACGACAGTGCCTATCTTCCCCGATGTAACCAGCTCCCGAATCTTCACGCTCAGAGGGAAATAGCGCGTCCACACGGCTTCCATGAGGAACACGCCCTTCTCCTTTGCCTTTTCGACGAGGAGCCGAGCTTGTGCGGCGTTGACGGTAAAGGCCTTCTCGCAGAGAACGTTCTTCCCAGCAGTGAGACACAGCATGGCATTTTGGAAGTGGTGCGAATGCGGGGTTGCGACGTAGACAACATCGATATTCGGATCTTGTGCTAGCGCATGGTAGCTGCCATAGGCCTTTGCGGATGTGGGCGCACCAACGTCCTTGAGGAATTCGACTGCACGCGATTCCGACGAGGAGGAGGCGGCGGCGACGATAGTATGGCGCACATCGTTGACGGAGCGGGTGGCTGGGTTGGTGAGGAGGTCTTTGGCAAAGGCTGGAGCAAATGTTAGAATAGCAAGAGAAAAGCGTTGAGATGGCGATGATATCGAGATTAAGGTCGATGTTGGTGTTGGTGTTGGTGTTGGTATGGACATTTAAAAAGGGGGAAGTGGGGGAGCATGACGTACTGGTCGCGATTCCGCCTGTGGCTAGAATTCCCCAGCGCACGGTGAACGGTTCTTGTGCCATTGTGGGAATGTTCGGGGAATTGAGAAATGGATGATTGTAAAGGGTGAGATTCAGATCACAATTGCGTTTCAATGTAGGGAAATCAACGCTGTTCATACGAGGATGGGGTATATATATCGTGTTTTCTATTTACTGATGGAGGGGCTGAGGGGTAACGTAGTAACCACGAAGGTGGGGTGGTTCAGGTCCAGTTGTGGTTTATTTAGTGAGCTAATTCGGTAACCCGGTTAATTAAAAACCTCCCCAATTACGTGCGAAGTAGCTTGGAGTTTGAACAGCTAGCCTTCTATGTCTTATAGTTCCGCTTCAACGGAACTGCCCTGGATCGTCTTTGAATGTCGGCCCGTCGGCTGGAATTAGTTCTAGTTTGTCTTGGTGGGTGGTGATTAGCAATCATGCGACGCATGTTGAATGGTTCACCTCGCAACCCCTGAGCTGCGGAGAGAATAGTAGAAAATTGATAGAATGAAACTTGAACTGCTGAATAATTCCAAATCTGCGGCTATGATATACATAATATCATACACGGTTCTCGATCCAAGTACAGTGAACCCGCCCCAAGTTCTGTGTAACCCCTTACTCAGGAGTCAGAAATTATTCTCCCGAAGCTTGTCACCACTCCAAGAGAAACTTGTGTTGGGCCAAAAACCCACATTGGATATGGCCGGCTGAGCTTTGCTGGGGGAAAGGGGGCATCTTCGTGGACTGGTGGACTTGTTGGTATTGTCAATCGCACAGCTTCCATGAGACACATCGTCCCGTAGTGCCATTGACATGCACACCCTTCCAGGACAGGAGTTTTAATTCAACTGGAGGCTTGATGCTAAATCCCAAATCAATTGCCGTTGCCACTGGCCAACTGCTCGACTTCATGTCTACCGCACCAAATTCGAGAATACTATTCAACATTCAGTCTCATTAAATGAAGAGGAATATAATCCAAGGTGAAAAACTTACTCATATAAATCAAGTCTAGAACTTCCCAAGTCTAGAAATCAATGCCTCCAACCGAACTCCTCCTTGTCCGTTTTCTATTCTCATCATCATCTTAGCCTTGAAGTTTCAGAGACAGAAGATAGCCCTAGAATCATGTCCATCAACCTGATCATTTCTTTCGGGAGCAAAGAGTTAACAGCCGATCCTGAGATTTTGGTCTCCCCTAAATGCACTTCGCCGAAAATTTCAGATGACAGCTGTTTTGGTCCCATATCTAGGTTGCAGTATAAGGTATGTTCTTGCTAAATAGCTGGCTAAAGATGTCTCTCGGTATGCGCAACCAGGCTCTAACCAGTGCCCTCCATGTGCCCTAATTTTTAATGAATTAACCAAACCCGGTGAATCCTGCGGCAGGAGTGGTATCAATTCTGAAATTGCGAGGTTGGAAGCACCAGCCCCAAAAATATATTCCATAAAACCGGAGGGAGAAGGGATATTCTAGTCATTTGGTGCCGGTAGTATTCCCAGGAAATAATACTGTATATTAGTTTCATTGCCTTGAAATACTTTTGGAGCATCCTTTATAGGATCGACGATTTTGGCTTCTGGCATGTTTGAATATTTGCAGCATTCATAAAGAATTCATATACATTTTGATAGAAAGGATAATCGTCATGGACATCCTAATATGACAGTGAGATGTTGGGATCCGTGAATATTGACCTAGACTGGGGGATAGGCTTAAATTGCAGCGAAGGTAACTGAATTATGGAATCGATATAATTCGTAGTTAAGGTCTGTGGAACTACAGGCTCTGCAACCATAGAGGTTCCTGCAACATTACAAGGGCGCCAGGCTAGGGGTGCTTCTTCTGGTGAGATGAATTCCGCACTGGCACGAATAAACTGAGGTGCGCCAAAAGGAATCCCGCTCTGGCTGCAGTATCGTTAGCTATCGCCATTGTCGCGGCATATACACTTACTCGAGATCCCATGCTATATGTTCTCCATTCACACAATTGGCTTCCAAGAACCTCCGGTCGGATGGCTATGTGGCAGTAGGGGTTGGTCGAGTGTGATCTCCAGGGGGCTTGAAGGCATCCGGAAACCTGGCGCGAAGGGATCGGTTTGCTGGCCTAGATATTCACGGGGAAAATACAGCGTAGAATCTTCTCGACGTCGTTGTCCATCTTGCATGTTGATGGTTGATGTAGCTTTTGAAACGCGGATAATAACACTTTCGAACAAACCCGGATTGTCTTCCTCTCCAAATTGACAGATGGTTGATTCAATATTGGGAGATGAAGCACGAGGGGCGGGTAGCGTTTGTTGACGATGCATGAACTGCGTTGAAGAGATAAGTCGTTCTTCCTCCTCAGTACGGAACAACGTCTTACAGCGGGGAGTTTTGCTATTTAACGATAATCATTGGAATATATTTACAAGAAGTATATGTGATCACCACTCGAGCATAACCCCCTTTCTCTTCAATTGAGATGGGGCCACATTTCGGACATACCACACAGGTCTTGCTTTTGCCGTTGAAGATCATGCACATATCGATCTTTAGGCTAGCTTTAGAGAGTGACGACCAAGGGAAATCTCTTGAAAATATGGTGCATGTCGCGCCATCTTCAATAATATTTTCCCGTTTCGCAACCTTATGCACGCCAAGCAGCGGGCGGAAATGAGATTTTAACAAATTGCCAAATATCTACTCTATTGCATATTGATTAGTATCCAAGATGGTATCTAGGAGAAAAAGAAGTTGCTGTCGACTTCGTACTTACCATTACACCACTAAATCCAAATCGAAAGGAAGTTGGGATAAATGTCCCGCGAGCATGTTCCAGCATCATAGGCTGTTTGTTGTTCAATGTTTCTTTCCAGCAAGATGCGAACTCGGGTCGGTGAGTGAAGCTGGAGTGCCACAGTTGCAAGGATCTGGATCTCCCCCCATAAGTCGAGGGTCAGTCCACTGGTGGGGCCAACCACGAAGTACTTGTGCTGTCTCGGTACCGCCGTACATTAAGTGCCGGGCGAAAGTACAAGTACAGCCCCAAGTCGGGAATCCCAAAAATAGCATTGTCGTACGCCCTCACGTAGAGATCGAGTTGCCGTAGAATTAATAATCACAAAACCAGAATCAGGTCGGCCGAAGAATGCTAGTGAATGCAGGCCATGTGGCTCGCATAAAATCGTGGGGTGAAGCTAATGCTAATGCTAATGCTGATGCTAATGTCGAAGCCAACTCCATAGGTGCCTAGTACTAGTACTATATGTTATTGGGCACGGAGTACGTACTACGTAGTAATTACTTCGTATATCCATTGCCGTGGCATTCCAACCATTTCGATCCTCGTTGAGCCCCATCCCGAGCATGCTTACTCAGTATCAGAAGGATATCAAAAAGCAAATGAGGCGGGCGTGTGGGCGCCACTGGAGTGCGACCAGAGTGCGGCTGGACTTTGGACTGAGTTCTGGACCGTCTTGCTTCTCCGCGACCCGCGTGGTGCCAGGTTCAGCTGGTGGCGGAACCTTGGACAATAGAACTAACTTGTGTGTGATTGCTTAATTCTGATCGACTCCAACATATCCATCGGCAAGCCCCCGGCGTGTGAAATCATACATGTACCAGTCCTATGGTACAGGTACACGTCCTATTTTGGCCGTAGTCCGTAGGGGGGAGATCCGTTTTGGGCATGAATTCCCCCTCATTGTTGGCTCGGACCTGGCCTTACCCTCTTCTAGCAAGGGCAGAGACATTTGTTGGCAATGGCGTCGTGGCCATACCTCGTACTGTAATTGATTCACGTCGCCGAGATTCGAAGTTCGCGTCCTGGACAGCGGAGCCACGCCCGGACAGAATTCACCTTATCGCATGGATCCCATCACTAAGTAGAAGTGCTGAGAACGGGACAAAGAATCATTAGCATGGCGGGGTAGTTCGCAGCCTCAGCTGTTTCCATGATAGCGCTGGTCGCGGTGAGTCCAAGACTCCTGATTCCGAATCTCCCCAATATACCTCATACCCAGCTAACCACGTTGCCCAGTGGAGCCACGCCCGCCCAGGGCAAAGTTACCGAGTCACGGCAGATTCCGAGTGTGATGGCCTCTAGCAATGGAGTCTAAAAGCCTAAAGTGAGGACGCCTTTTGACATCCAGCGAGGCCCAGCTCGCTCCAAAAAGCCCCATCGTCCAATCCTCGCTACGTGGCAGCATCATACAAAGTCAAAATGGAAAAGAATCGAGGCCAGACTCGGGACCTACCGCGCCTCATCTGGTGATGATTGTATGTATGCACAGTCCACGTCGAGGCGCTTTACCAGATGGTGGCGTGGATCGGAGTATATCAAGCAGGGCTCTCGGTCCATCTTCGAGTGTGAAATCACCCCCTCTGACTTAGCTGTCTCATCACTACCTTGCTTCTATCGACAACTGCTTCAAGATGATATCATCTCCAAGAGCGCTAGCTTTAGCCATTGCGAGTAGCATCTACCTCGCCTCTGCCAATCCAGTTCTCAGCAATCGCCAATCACCCTCCAAGACCTTCGCTCTCCAACAGCGGACATGTCCCGAATTATGCAACCTCTCCACCAAAGGCCAGATCTTCATGGAGCCGAATTCGTTCAGCCCACCAGGTGGATGCGATAAGTTCTGTATCGGGTCGGACTGCACCCAATCCTCCGAGGTCTGCGTTTCCATGCCCTGCGGAACTGAGTTCGTTGTCTACTTCAAAGAAGTCCCAGGACTGGTGTATAAACCTGGCAACGTCCACGTCTGGGTTGGCACCACGGTGCCCACCCAGACGAATCCAGGTTCTTACCCATTTACGTCTGATTTGGGCTTTTGTTCACTTTCACCTCTGGATGGCGGCAAAACAGCCACCTGTACCATTTCGCTCGACGCTTTCACGGCCCAAACCGGCAGCGCAATCTGTCCCAGCGAGGGCACCATCAGCTACTATATTGTCACCCACGCAAGCATGCTTGACGCAACCACCGGGGTCGATGCCGGTACAGGGGAGGGCGTTGGAACCTGTATCAACCCGCTCAACAGTAATGGCAAATGCGCCCCTTGGTTTAACTACTGGTCGTTCTCCTACAAATGTGTTCTTTGCAACCCACCTGAGCCTACTACTACAACACCAACGTCAACGCCAACGCCTCCTCCGAGCTACCAATGGTGCGACATCGGTACTGCCTTTGGTTATGCTCCAGGTGCACCCAACCTGAACGGCAATCCTGTGTCCCCAGCTCTCGGGCTCAAGACCTGCAACCGCTGGGGTTGGTACTTCACACCTACATCACCCCAGCTCACTACTGGCATCAGCGGGCTGCTTGAGGTCGGCGCTGGTCAAAACGACATCAGTAAGGCCACCGAAGTTGGAAAATTCACGGCCAAGCTCTCAGGCAACACCGTCACCGTAACATACACGCTATACAGCGGCGATGGACCGAACACGGCGGGATTCTACGACCTGAGCGAGGTGCACATCTACGCGTCCTGCACCAAGCCAACGACCTGCGCGCCGGGCCAGTATACCTATAACAGTGGTGGATTGACTGGCACAACGGATCAGACGTTGACAGCCAATATTCAAGTCGGTACCTGCAGCAGTTACTGGCTCATCTTCCACGCTGGGGTCAGTCAGCGATTCTTGTCCACCGACACGTGCTCAACTGCAGCTACTTAAATTGTAAGTGTATGCGGAAGCGGGGCATTGGATATTTAAATGAACTTCATCGTTGGGGTGTTTGCCTTCGAACAAATTGATGGATCGAAAAAAAGTGTGTTCTTTCGCACTCCTTATGACTTATATGACGTATATTAATAAAAATAACATAATGTTTGGTGAACCTTCTCTTGGCCACGAATTCTCAATACTTGTTGTTTGTCTTTCCCAGAGTAAGGCTGCGGAGGTTGGGTTTAGAGTTCCTATGAAAATGCGGTACGGGAACACGGATATTTAGAAAAATGACTGGCTTTAAGAAAGCTTATCCACAAGTTTCAATTAATTCGTCAACCGAATACATTCCTACATATTGGTGTACAGTATCCCAGAACACTGCGGGGCACACTACCCATGCATCCTTGTAGGCCCCCCGATGGTATATGTTTGTTATGTTGAAACAACACAAGACTGCTGGAAGTTTTCTACTAGGGTAGACTGAATAGCATCGTTATCTTAACGCTGGAGTATTGTTGATTCTTGTCCAGAGTTCCTATCCATAGCAGACTAGACTAAAATTGATCTATTCTCGACAAGCATCGTCTGATGATACAAAAGCACCTGCGGGTACTATAACGAGACAATTGGAGGTTTGTTCATGATCAATATATTAATATCAACTATCATCAAGCCGCGAAGGATGGCAAAATCGGCGCTCTGAAAAAATTGATTCCCAAGTAAAAAAGACATTATCAAAGTGGCACGAATCCAAGAAACAAAATACGACACCGCTCCACTGCACGCGAACCTACAGTCATATCCAAGTCACAAGTGATCCACCCGAGAGTTCTCGAAAGGGCTCGGTGCTGCATAAAACAATAACTTACCCAAGAATACAGAGCATAGTTGGAGAGGAACTACAAAGATTAGTGCTCTCGAGGGCGCAAAGAGTTTACCGTAGAAAACAGTGGGGCCTAGTCAGCAAGCGCACTTTAAACAAGCTGAGTGAGCACCAAAAGTGCTATCTCTAACTGTATTCACGGCCAAGAATTCCGGGAGGAGCAATAGGGCAGTCTCAAACGTCGGACCATGGCACATCCCCACCGTTGGAGATGACAAATTGCGAGCGGGTATCTCACCTGGAACATTTTGAGCATTATGTGGCATGATAAGAGATAAAGGGTTGACGCGATCTATAAAAAGGGTGGGCTCGTCAGCAAGCGTACATTGAAACAAGTTGGGTGAGACAACCAACCATCACTTTCCCAACATGGTCTGAGGTTCAGTCTTAGTAGGAGCAACCAGCTCAACTCCCAAGACTTCCCATCACAACTGTCCAGTAGGAGTAAAAGGACCGTCTCAACTGCCTGAGCAGGGTGTATCACGACCAAATTGGGTAAGGAGCAGAATGGGAGCGGGGGTCTCACCTTTCAATGTGTGCTAGTGTGTGAGTTTCTCGAGAGCTAAAAATGGTCCCGCTCGTCAGCGACATGAAAAGGCTGAGTGAGAGAGGCAAAATTATATTAAGTAGGTCAAAGGTTCAGTCTTAGTAGGAGCAAGCAGCTCAACTCCCAAGACCTCCCCGCGAGGTTCAGTCTGTCAGTGGGAGCAACCAGCTCAACCAGCCTAGGACATCCCCATCACCACTATTCAGTAGGAGCAAAGCTCAACTGCTTGAACAGGGTGTACACACAACCATGGGATACAAAGTGCCGTGGGCGGGTCTCTCACCTTGAGTGTGTGTTTTTATCAAACATTGATAATGAGTGTGATGTGGACTCGAAAGTCTCCACCTGAAAAGAAAACCCGACTCGTCAGCAAGGTGAAACGGCTGAGTGAGAGAAGGCAAGCTGCCAGACCCAATCCGGTTTGAGGTTCAGTCTTAGTAGGAGCAAGCAGCTCAACTCCCAAGACCTCCCCTGCGAGGTTCAATCTTCGACGGGAGCAACCAGCTCAACCAATCTAGGACATCCCCATCACCACTGTTCAGTAGGAGCAGAGCTCAACTGCTGGAACATGGCGTACGCAAGTGTTTAGTAGGAGCAAAGCTCAACTACAGTTCTCAGTAGGAGCAAAGCTCAACTACAGTGTTCAGTAGGATCGAGCTCAACTGCCTGAACAGAGCGCACACAAGGGTTCAGTAGGAGCAAAGCTCAACTACCTGAACAGGGCGTACACAAGTTTGCAACCGGACTGGGTCCAACAGAATGCTGAGCGGGTCTCTCACCTTGGATTTGTGTGCATGCGCGTGACATGACGTAGAGAAAGCCACCCTCAAGGTGGCTTGCGAAGGCTGACCTGAATGACGGGGTCATCAGAAAGGGAACTTGACGAGTGGTGGTGTGACGAAGAATAGAAGTTGGAGTGGAAGGGGAGTGGAAGGGGAGTGGAAGAGGAGTGGAAGAGGAGTGGAAGAGGAGTGGAAGAGGAGTGGAAGAGGAGTGGAAGAGGAGTGGAAGAGGAGTGGAAGTGGGAAGTGGATCCGATGCGAGATGCGCGATGATGGGTGCAGCAATGGATGCGATGATGGATGAAATGTAGAAGTGGAGAAGAAGACAATACTGGATGAAGGTGGTGGTGCTTCGTCCTGAAGGCTTCGTTGTTACGAAAAAGCAGAAGGTGAGCGGAGATGGGGGATGGTAAAAGTATTTATGCACCCCTAGCCACTGGCTCCGTGATTGCGTCGCGCGCAATCAGTAGCCGGCTGGCCAATAGAAAAAATGCGCTGTTGCGCGCAGTGCTGCGCGAGTTCGAGTGTGCATCGGGGGTCCTTTTTTCCATTGGCTGTTCCGGAATAGGTATGGCGTGTCCTCTGTCCCGTAGCGTAATCAGACCCAGACGTTGCTGCCGGTTCTGATATTCAGTTTGTGTTTGGGTTTGAGTTTGAGCCTGGTGCAAATGGCGCGAATGGGCGGTGGTGTTGTCGAATTCCCAAACAGGAAGGGGGAAGTGGTTGCCGAAGCGATGCTGCACATCAGGGGTAATCTGTGCGACTTGACCCGAAAGAGCATATTTAGCGAGAGATCGCCCGCCAAGTCGGCGCCACCCGTATGCCCTGACCCATGTTGAGCATGCTGACAAAGCCTAAGATTGCCCTCAATCAATCGAGGATATTACTGGCTTCCATCTATTCGGGCCGGCATGGCCCAACTTACTAGTTCAAGTAATTTCGCACGACACCTCCACCCAAATATTCCCGGCCTACCGTGTCGCATCTAATTGATACTGGAAAACGTCTTACATTACGCAGATCCGATACCATCATGGCATCGACCATGGTCCAAACCGCGCAGGTCTACAAACGCGAGTGCTATTCCAAGCTAACGCCATCCAATAGCGAACTAAATGTGCTTTCACAGTTCCTTCGCTCACATGTGAATAAAATTGTGTAGGGATTTGGATCCACGCTTCTTCTACAAGAGACCCACCTTATTGTACTTAGTATGTATCTACATAGACTTCTGCAACATTCACGAGTCCGCCAAATGCCTCTCGAGGATGCCGATTCTGTCCGCATTTGTCCAGCGGCCAGGGCAGATCGTGTCCGCGATGATACAATGCATTGCCGACTCGACGATCGCAGAGCGGTTGATACCGCGCTGTTGCATCGCAAGAGAGTGAACTGCTCAAATACCAGGATAACAAATTTGTGCATGTGTGGGAGATGGATAAGTAGCTGTATTAAGGAAGCTGCATTTGCATCAAGTTGGAGAGGAGGAAAATGGAACGCGGCCATGGCGATTCATTTGTCTTGCTTGAGCCCAGAAATTGGATGGATTGACGCTGTCAGTATTAACAAGCACGAGACTTTGGATATAAAAGCTAAACTGCACTAAGAATATTAGAATGAAACTGGATTTATGTGTTGGAAGGTGGGAAAGAAAATGTGCATACAGTCCAGAAAGTGCCTAATTGTAGCAGCAGATGCTCAGCAAATGTATCCAACAGTAAAAGCAGTCAAGGAGCTCGATGAACCCCAGTAATGGAAATGCACCATGCTTCTTGAATATACAATCTGCGTGGAGTGGCTCTTGATCGTTTGCTGCAGAATTTGCCTACAATGATGCTGGATGTGCTCCCTCCATTATATGCATTATTCATTTGCATGCACACTGCAATTTTACTTTCAACATACCACCGATGATACCCCCGAATTCAACACCATAAGCAGGCAGTGCCTATTTATATAAAGAAGGTGCAATTACCCTAGAGAGGGCTCGGTGCGATTACACGGTATCCACTCTTACGGTGGCGTTTAACGGTGTCTGGTAATGTATTATTCAGACTCAGAGGCAGATGGCTATCAATTTCCCGCCCATTATATTTATGCCTTGGGCGGTAACTTAAAATATCCTGCTCTGTTATCTATTTTGCAAGGAGTGGGTAAGCGATAGTATATTTAGTTTATTCTCATAATCATCAATGTATACAAAGCTCTATTAATGGTTAATTGATTGGGTACTTAAGGGTTCCGTCGTAGGTCTAGAAATTCTCCCACAGCGGTGACGTCCTCCACTCCCCTGGAGCTTCTTCGCCTGAGGTACTGAATTTGACTCTATTTCGTCTCAATCTGAGACTAAAAGCCCTTACATATAGTTGTGGAGCTTGTGATTGCGGGAGACGACTCTTTTTCGACACCTGTATTGGCAAGTGGTGGGGAACATTCTAGCATATTATATGTATATTAACAGCTGGCAGGATAAAACCCAATTACAACAACAGACCAAAAACTGCAGTTTAAAGGTCCTAGTGCTGAAGCTTCGATAATACTCGATGTTGACATACGTTTATATCCAGGCGCTCCAACAAGGTGCAAAAGTTAATGCTGAGCTGGTCGGGGAGTTCGTTCCTGGAGAGGGCTGTTGGGATGGTTGTGGCACTGGCCTGTTCTGAACCATCATGTTGATACTCCCTACACAGCGGTTCCTCAAGAGCAGGCCGAGCAGCTCTGAAGGTCTTGATATGATATTCCTTTCAACTTCCAATTCGGGTTACAAAAATGATTAACTTCCTATATCTTAACTCAAAAGGGACTACATATAGTCCCTTGAAGCATTATACAACCACATCACTACAGCCTGTCAGGAACCTGAAAGCCTGGTTTCGATAAATTAGGAATGGAAAGAGTACCACAGACAATGCGCAAAAGAACTTGTGCATTGTTCAATGTGCAGCCCATGAGAATATCTTTCCATCTGCGCCACCTATTTCCATGGGATGAATGGGAATCGTAGGAGCGGGTTGCACGGCCACCTTAAGTCGGTCAGTCCACTGTTATGCACGGGATTTTAAATAAGATAAACATAGTATTACGGAATGTCACCGTATGTTGCTGTTTTGGACAAGGTTTTATTACAGTACTCAAATCTGAAGGTAAAAATGTCCCAAAGCTTTTAGTTTGCTGTTAGTTATGCTGGCTCATTGCTGGGTAAACCATCCGATGTTGCGACAGCTTTATCACCGTTCGGAGGTTAAGATGGAATTGAATATTGTAAGGATAATAATACATCATATCCTACTATAATCCTAGAAGTCGCTCTGTGTTGTCGAGAGATCTAGAATCATTTGACCCTTTGAAATGTAATCAAGTATCTTTAGAAGTTTAAAAGCTACACCATGAAAAGATTATGTGATTTTTTCAAGATATCTTGGACTGATTAACCCGTTAAAATACAATTGAATGATATACTAAATATTTTCTAAGAGGAGGAGCGAGAACATCTAGCACAACACCACCCACGCCCTCATTTCATTATCCGTCCGTTTCTACCCCACGTAGCTGCCCCTGAGCAGCTCAGCGCATTCTCACCCGCAAATTTATATACTCGACCTACAACGCAACATAGAATGTCAGAAGGGTTCTCGATACAATGCGTGGGGGTTTTACCCTGGGGTAGTTACGTGCGGTAACATCAGGTGGGGCAACGGCGTGCCGTCCTCTCTCCTATTGAGGTGTCGAACTCTCCTATGCAGCCCAGCAATCTGTAGTAATTGTGAGCAACGATGCCTAAAGGGATATGGAGGGAATAAAAACATACCACCCGCAACATCTCTCTTCTCTGCCGCTCAGCGGCGGCACGGCGCATTCGCACCCGCATATTAACATATTCGCCCTAAAAACCAACATGGTATGTGAGAAGGGGTAGTAGATTTAATACGAGGGGACATAATCTGGGGTACTAACGTTGGGGACGACCCCATCGGAGCGGCGGTGGGCGGGGCCTGACTGAAATCCAGCATTATCGTTAGCTACCTCATTGCCAGCTCAAAGGTGAGAAGACCAACCATCGCGAGGGGGGCCGGGGACGGAGACGGTGGTGGTGGAGAGGGGAGGAGAGGGCCTAGTAGGTTTCCTGCTCTCCTCTCCACCTCATTTGTTTTGTATAACTTCGTTCAATGTTCGCACCGACCGGGCCTGGGGGTCGTAACAGTGACCACGAACTATATAGATCAGTAACTTCCCTACTCCCCACTCAGAGTGGCAACTTACAAGACACCTCTCTGCCCTTCAAGATACCAACGAGCAAGTCACGGAGGACGTTGTGTCCCTTGCACAAATGTGTAAAGCGATCAATATTGGGTTTTGAGGTTGTGGCGGGGCTGGTATAGATATTGAGATTGATGTTAAAGGTGAGGCTGAAGCGGATGATGGGGGTGATGGGGGTGACGATTGAAAGAGATAAATTTGGAGGAGAGAAGGGGATGGAGAGACGAAGCGCAGCTGAGAGCGAGATGAGACAGACCTAGTTATGATAGAATTGAAGGCACCACCTAGGTGTAATAACTATTGTAAATAACTCATCGAGACTAGAACATTGCCGTGGATTTTGGGGTTGGCGACCGCGGAAGGCGCGACGGTGGGCTGTTTCCTACCGAGGGGGCTATATAGGGCAGTACTCGCCCAGTCCATTTCAAAAATCCCTCCCCAACCTTTCTCCATCTCCAGCTCCAACTCCAGCTCCAACTCCAGCTGCAACTCCCACTCGCTCGGCGCCCCCGCCCCCATGGCTGGAAACGCCCACCGCCGCTCCCACCCACGGGTGGGAGCCGAGAAGCAGGCAAGGAGGAGGAGGGAGGAGGAGAGAGCCGCCGAGCTCTCTGTAAGTTGCAAATCCACTGAGACATTGACGCATAGTTACTTACACTTGCTGTAGATGGCCCTAACGGGCATTGCCTTGGTGAGTCAGCTCACGCAACTCCGTGGCAGAGAAGTTGCTGTCGCTAACTAATTTAATGTAGTTTGTTGCGTGGGCTGTGGCCCTGTACGTTTGGTCGGCCTTCGGGTCGTGAACGGTTGTGTTAGGGTCTTCTTTTTTTTGCAAATTTTTTCTTCATCCTGAAAAGGAAGTAAAAAAAATATGGGGATAATTATTTGTGTTGCGGGGTTGCTCTGTTGCTGTGTTTTGTTGCGGGTGTCGTGTTTTTTGGGAGAAGGGGAGGGGGGAGACGAGATGTTTGCTGCTTTGCTATATTTTTTAAAGAAATGATGAAGATGCCCCATTCTCGGGCATGGGTCTTGGACCACACTGGTGGGCCGTGAACTAACACTCAAATTTCCTCCATATCCTCCAAATCATCCAGCATGGGGAACTCACCAACCTCAACTCTCTCAGGCCTCACAAACACGCCAAATTTGCCATCCCCTTCCTTCCCCCAATATCGCTTGCCCCCTAAGCTGCCATCATTCTTCCCCACTGGCTCATCAAATTTCACCCCGACCCACTGCCCAAGACCGCCATCCCCTGTCTCCTTAGCAATCTCCTCCACCTCCCCAACATACATAACAGCCCCTCTCCTGGTATCATCACCGCCAACTCTGCATCGTTTCCCGACTTCTATTCCACGATCAGAGATATCTTTTGCGTAGGAGGCAAGGCGGGCTTCGATGATCGAAGGCGCGGCAGGGTCAAAGCGGCCGAGCTTGTTGGCTTTTTTCCAGGCGAGCACACTATCGGTTTTAGTCTCGTAAATAGCTGTTGGGAGGGTGTATTTTTCGACTTTGGACGCGTCGTTATAGTTTGGTCGGAGCCCTGGGGGACGGATATCTGTTACCTGAAGGTAAGGACAGCGGATTAGCCTGGATGTCGATAGGAGAGAAATGTGTGTAGATGAGCAACAACAATAAAGAATAGTGGAAAGCTCTGGTGTTGTGTGGGTATTGTAAGCATAAAATAGAGGACTGGTAGGGATCCAGGTATCTGAAATGAGGACAGTATCGATAATAAGGAAGGCGGCGGCAAGGATGTAGAAAGCGAGATGGGACATCGAAAAGCAATTAGTCGATACCCATTTAGTTATGATTTACACCCTAGACTTGAAGAGCCTCTCGGCTAACTACCAATTGAGGGTTGATATACATCTAGTTCTATACAAGTAGTCTAGGCGGCGGGAAGATCTTGTCTACCCCTGACGGACATCATCAAAAGGATGTGATCTATAGCCGAGTTTGGCCATACTGTGACAATTCACTTTTTATCGCTATCGGCCATGAGGCTTAAGGGAGTATTTTAGTACTAGGTTGTATTTCGGAGATAAAATTCTAGGAAGTGACTCGACTAACAGTCCAATATACACTGGGCCATCAAGGCCGAATTTAATCCCTCTGCATCTCGCAGCTAGTCTCTGCTCAGTTCTAGCACGCGTGGAAGCCACTTGCCTCGACCTAGTTAGAGTGTATGCTATTCGGCCCATCACTTGATATGAGCCGTCGCAATGAACACGTTTAGGTTTGAATCTTGTCTGGAGAGCCGCGACGTGCCTCGGCCGGAACAGAAAGACTTTGCGCTGGGACACCTCGGTCGCAGCGCTAATTGTACGTGTATGTCAGACATATGCGAAGCTACTTGCTTGCATCATATCCATGGGCCAATCACTCCACGGTAATACTCATGCCGTCCGTAGGTTTGCAAAGAGCATGCTTGCACCAGACCGCTCGGTGGTGCGTGCACCATGTATCTATTTACAGACTTCGGAACAGCATGATAGTTCGTTCGAACAGCTACGGAAAGCCCGTAAGACCTAGCTCCTAAAGTCTCCCTCAGGGGGATCTTGTTTAGACACAGCCACTAAACGCTGCATCGCCCTGGCATGTGAACTGAACACTGAAAGCAAGCAGATCCAGTCACAGAGGAAAAAGTGCGGATTGAAAAATTCTCAGCGGAACTTACCAGAATCTCGGCGTAGGGTGCCAAAGGGAAGGCGGATAATTGCGTATTCTCCTCGTCCGCGGCCTCAATAGGCGTGGACTGTTGGCCGCCAAGTTTTAGCACCAGCCTCTGTGACAACGGCGGGATGCCCGTGACGGGCTCTAGTTTCGCCTTCAGCTGCCCAATGGTCCATGACGGGGTGATACGCCGCTCTGAAGAGGAGTTTTCCGAGGCGATGAGAAGAGGAATATCGCCCGCTGTTTGCATGGCCATGGTGGGAAAGGGGGATGTGGGTGCTGGCGTTGAGGTTGAGGTTGATGGTTGATGGTTGATGGTTGTGGTTGTGGTTGGTTTTGAAACGAAATTGCAGGTGCTGTGCTTGCTGGTGCACTGTCCTAGATGTGCGAGGCTGGAGAATGGCCTTGGACTGGCTATTACTATGGCTGCTCTTAGCGGGAAACTGATTCTGTGCCTGTTCAAGGTGGTTTTTGCAATCTGGTAGTGTGGAACCTTATAATAACAGGATGGTATGCTTGATTGTACCCGGCCACAAACTTATTAAGGGTTGTTAAGGCTCCGAAGGCCCAAGCCCAATACAGCCTAGCGGCATCATATCGGCCCATAGCATCACCTCAATTGAACCACGATAGCAACAACAGCGGCAACCTGGAATTGTTCTTAAAGGCTGCAATTAATATCATACGAATAGATCATATAGACCCAACTCCGTGGTCGCCCCATCGCTGGATCTGAAATCGACCATATCTCTTGGCCGGTTACAAACCGCGAAGTCCGAAGTCCTTGAGAGTAGCGACAGGCCGCCTTCTCGAGTCGAAGCTCTCCAGTGGAGGCCCATCCGAGGTTCCACAGCCATCAGCTATGCGCCACGACATCACACCTGCAGATACACCATGAGATGAGTCTGTACATATTTGGGTGTACAGCGCCAGGTACGACAGCACATGTGTTACGAGGTACGGGGTACAAGCACGAGAGCGATGATGTCCCTTCCCGCGGGCCGACCCAGCATGTTCCAGAGCCGTATTTCTATATTCTCCCACGTTGGCATCGACGTCGACGTCGACGCCAACAAGAAACACCGCACCACGTCTCCTTCTTGGTTCCTCATGTGTTGTCCATCGCATTTACAAGAATGTCATGCTACGATGACAGCAGGAGAATGGGCATGAACATGAGCAACGAGCATGAAGGACGAGTGGGACAATGAATGGCACGACCGCGAGCACGAGCCTGTGCTGCAACGCCGTTGTCGAGATACTTCCTCTGGAGTCTCTTCGTCGGCCTCCAGTTTCACCTCCCGCTCCAGCCTCCAGCCTCTGGCGCTCTGACGACGCAAGGCTTACTTAGTCCGCCTCAATTGGTCAATGCCCGTTTGCACAGCTACGGCGGTAAGAGCATCGATTGGTGCATCGGGAGGTAGCATATGAAAAAAAGCACGAAGTAATTGTTCGATCGACCGAAGAGCCCTGCGCTCGAGGTTGGACGTCTTCCTCGAATCCCCAACTTTAAGTTCCTAAGTGCGCTAAGCTGGTCCATCCGCAGGAGCCTGTTTGACAAGCGGAAGTTGGGGCTAACATGCCGGAGGTTCTGTATCTAGGATGCAAAGTCTTCCCGGGTTTTGCGACGCGGGTTTCCAGAATCCCATCTGCTATGCCTCACCGCTCAAACAAGGCATGGGTCCTGAGACGGCGTGGCAGCCCTGCGCGCCATCTCCACCCACCAGGTCCGTCTTCCGAGGCTTTTCTTTGTGAGATCTTCCTGGCCAGCATTCGCACGAGATCTGCTACCGAAAACTGTCCTAGCATCGCGCGCCCATAACCAATGTCGAGGCAGTGATCGCGGTTTTATCCTGATTTTGGCGATCCAAATTGCTCTTCCCCCTGGGAATTCTCCGCCACAACAATCACCATTGTGCGCCCAAGAGCAAACGGACAAGGGCACACGTGGACGGGATTTAACGGCAGGGCACTGCCTATATGCAAATTACCATTTCGGCGACGCTTTTGTTTGACGCGCTGCTAGGTGCTGAGAACAATGGCAGCACGGCCACGTCTATTAATGCGGTTCTTGTCATGTACACCATCGGCCCTGTAAAAGAATGCTCTCGAAGACGCGTTTGGCGATCGACCGCCGGACCATCTCATAGCCGAACTGGCACTCGGTGAGCTTGATCGCAGTCATGGCTTGAAAGAACGTGCCACAGGGAGTTTCTAGCGTTCCCGTCACATATGATCGATGCCACCGGGATAAGTCTTAAAGCCAATAGGGCTTTATGTTTGTCATAATCTCCCCAGCCAGAACTCATTCCAGCAAGCTCGTGTTTCTATGCCGGCCTTTAGAGTTCTCACGCACTGTCGATTCATGGATCTCAAGGATGCCTGGAGTAGACGTGTTTTGCAACAGCCTTCCGGCTCGAAGTTTTCGATGATCCGCTGTAGCCAACCCTGTCTCACATGACTGGAGTTTTTACACCGCCAAATGTGAGAACCCGGTGCTGAATCGACAGAGCACATAATCATTCTGGAATTATCTGCTTGGTTGTTGATACGTCGGCTTGACTCGGTGCAAACGAAGAACGAGCAGCTTCGAAAGTTTAGGGCAGACGACCCAACATTGTATTGCTTCGTTCGGGCATCAAGGTCCGAGCTATCCTCGGGCTCGAGTCGTCACCGAATACTAGCAGAGGGGCTTGTTGGGTTCGCCTTCAGCCACACGGCAAGCAATTAGGGTGGCTTGCGAACTTTCCCACCGGCTAGAAACGACGAAGATCGTGGTTCATGAGTAGTGTACTGCAAGCCATGAAGATCATTGTTCTTGATCCCGGCCCACTTGGACTTGGTACCTACCCTGGCCCTTGACGAACTGACCGCTAATTTCTGGGTCCGGCCCAGCAATCCAAGATCTGAATTATTTGGTTATTATGCTGACTGGATAGATGGAACCCAGCCCATGAATCCTCGTAATGGGGAGGATTAAGCTTCATCCCAATGTGTCCCGAACAGTGAACAAGAAGTGCTCCGGATGTGATGTTCTGATTGCGCACAGACGCCCGCCAAAACCGTCTTGAGGGGTCGCACCGGAGTCTGAGGATTATATAAGAGTTTCAACTTATCCACGCCTGGTTTCAACCGAGTTTGCAGCGACCTACACCTTCACTGCGCCGTCGTCGAAGAGCCCAAGATGGCCAAAGCCTCTATCCCGTTCCTGTTCATGCATGAATTCGTGGCCGCGCCCAAGCACCCCTTTTCTCAGAACTTATGAAGGCACCCCTGTTCCTCCCCCCCCACCATAGACAGCCCACTCCACCTGCATTGCGCATCCTCCCGACAGTCGGTCCAGCTCAACCCATGCAGGAGCTGGAGATCGTGAATTCGAACTTGTTCCTTGTCTCTTCTCACCCGTCAAGCACAAGTAGATGTATTGTTCCGTTGGCGCTGGTCTTTTCTTCTACTCTCGTCTCATGTACCGCGATTGGTTAGACTTCAGACCACTATTGCCAATCATCTTGATAGCTGTGATGATCTACGCGAGCCACACACTTGCTCTGTGAAGCCCTGAAAAGGAACACTGTCCTCGTCGGAAGTAGCTCAAATCGTCTCAAAATTATTCCTGCGGAGTAGCGCCTGAAGCAACCAGATCCAGAAGTCTTCTTCCTGCAGTTGTTTCACATCAGCAACTTTACCAAAATTTTCAAGAGGGTCGTCCGGTCTTTAAGCTTCCTCTTAAAGTACTAGCATCTCAACAGAAGGGCAAACTGATAATAAGTCTCGAGTATCGTTTAATCGGAACCTCCTATCGACAAGGAGAGCAATACTCGACCAGATCTGCCCATCGACGAGATCCCTACGGACCGTGCCGCCCGTTCGCACATGATTCCGTCTTTGTTGACGGTATCGACAATTTCAGACCTCACCGTGGATATCTCCCGCCTTCTTAAGGATCCGGACTCTGATGAGTCTTCACCGGCCCCACAACAACAGCTTCAGCAGCCTCAACACCCTCAAAACCCTCAACCGCCTCAACAACATCACCCCCAACCACACCAGCAGCAGCATCAACAGCTCCGACCTCAGCAGCATCATCTACAGCATCAGTTCCACCAGTATCAGCATCACCACCAATTTCAGCAACACCAACAGCAGCCACATCAGCAACCGCGACATAGCCATCACACGCGATCATCTTCGGTCCCTTCTTCAGGGCTACAGCTAGAAGTTTCTTCCCCTGGGTTTACCATCCTGGGTGCTGGGGTGCCTGGCAAACGCACCATGCCTCCCCATTCCTCCGAGTCGCCTGCTAAGAAGCAGAGCAAGTGGTCGGCAGAGGAGGATGCTCTGATTATTGACCTACGTGGTGGCGGGATGAAGTGGGAGGACATCTCCAAACGTCTTCCAGGTCGAAGCGCAATTAGTTGCCGGTTGCATTATCAAAATTACTTGGAGAGACGAAGTGAATGGGACGAGGAGCGCAAGAACAAGCTTGCAAGACTTTACGAGAGGTAGTACACCTGCCGTGGTTCTCACTTAGTCTACTGAGCAACAACCTTGTGGAAACTTTTCTTCTCAAAAGCTAACAGCCTTGCCCTAGGTTCAAACCAGAGATGTGGTCCAAAGTCGCCGAAGAAATGGCAGTTCCCTGGCGCGCTGCCGAAGCCATGCACTGGCAACTCGGCGAGGCAGATATGGCTCGTCGCGCTGGCGTTGTGCCCTTCTCCCTCTCGAATGTTGCACTTGAGGCGCCTCCATCAGGGCACCGATCTTCGCCAAACCGCGGGCATTCCCATAGCCAATCTCACTCCAGTTCCGTAGGGTCATCCTCCTCCGCCTCTAGGTTTGGCGGCCCAGCTACTGTGCAGAGCTCTTCCACCGGTGGGCGGGGAACTGCTGTAGCCTCTTCATCAAGGACGATTTCAGCAGGGAGGGAGAGTACTCCTAGATCTGTTCCACCACCGAGCCCCGGTGAGGGGTTGGCTTTGGCTGCGCTTGGGGGCGGCGGGATGATGATGGGAATGGGTAGGGGAGGCGCTCCACTACTCCCCAGTGTTGCGGAGATGACAACAGGTGTTAGTCCGTATAGCCCGCCAGCCTACGCGACGTCGATGCCTACGAGCGGAGGTGGTTATTCTAGTCCCGGGCCATTGCTACCGCCGGTAGGGTCAATGGCTCCCAGGCCAGAAGGAAAGAGGCAGCGTAGTCCAGAAATGGGAGCACGAGACTCGAGCCGTCGCAGGCAGTGAATGCTCTTCTGTTCGGGGTAGTTAGAGAGTTCTGGGTCATTGAGAAGTTGTGTGATGATTTGACGTTAATACAAATAGAACGCGTGAGTTGGCTTATGGTGTCCGGATTTGGAGCATTCGAATGGATATTGGATGGCATGGCACGGGATGGAATAGCATTGCATTGTGTTGCACAGGGATGGACGCGGGATATTAACGACTGGCATATAATGATGTGATAGCATTGGGGAATTGGTGTTGGCTTTTGGACTTTTTGGCTTCTTCGTTGTATTAGGAAACTTTGTAATGTAAAACTAGTGTGTTAGATCGGTTAATATTAGATCCTGTGTTCGTTCCTGTATTCTGATTTATTACTGCTAACGTGAATATGGGAGTAGCTGATGACCAGGTAAAAGCCCTTAGAGGCGGACTACTGTCCTTCGTAGAACAACTCCCATATCGGCTTCTTTCACCAAATAGGGTATCTTGGATTAGCTGGATTATAGAAGGCCTTTTCCGCACCATAAATAAGCTAATTAGACATAGTTCCCAGGAGGGAGTTTCGCTGTTTTTGGCCAATTAACACACCTGGACTATTAACAGTAGCTGAGAATAATATTTTATTTGATGTATTGCATCCTTGCTCCCACTTCCGACTCCTAAATGGCTTTATGGATCGATTTCTTAGCATATAATCTAGATTTTATCATAAAACAACCCCAGTTGGTGCGGCCGGTTCGGTCTTTTCTTCCCTGGTAATTATATTTTCTCTCCAGCTTCAAACTGATGTGAAAGGGTCGGTGTAATGGCCTGGAACTTGTTGCTTCAGATTTGTTCGGCTTAGCTATGCCTGTATGTACCGTTCGGCAGCTGCATCTTCCATGCCACTATCTGAGGCGGAGGATGAGATTTTATATCGTCTGTTAAATATTCGGATCGATCCAGGATTTGAAGGCGCATTAGTGATGGCGTCCTGCCCGATTGCGGCGCCACCCGCTTGAGGAACAAAATTTGGTTTCCCTCGCACGCCACCGTTTCGTCAAACCAAATTGGAATGGCAACCATTTCGAATCGCCAACCTCCTTTTAGCCATCCATAGATGTTGTCCGACAAATCGCCCACCAGTTATCCTTCTCATAACCAGATTCAACTACCTCCCCCCCAACACTAACAACATCTTCCTCCAATTCGCCCGCTCGATAAAGGTGATAATACCGCTGGTAGGTCTTCTCCGTTTCTCCATTCTCATTCATATTCTTCTTGCCCATTTTCATAACCCACGGCACCATAACATCCTGCTCATGCCCCTCATCCCAACCCCTCCTGCTCCCCTTTTGCTCCAGCGCCCAAACATAGATCAACGCCCGACCACCAATTTTCAGATTCTCCAAGACGCACGAAACAGCCTCCTTCCTCCTTTCCCTCGTACTCAAATGATGAATCACCGCAATACTAATAGCAAAATCAAACCTCCCCTTCTGATGCGGTAGGGCTAGGGTATCAGCCACAATAGCGGCATGTGGCTGGTGTGCGGCCGCGATCTTCACCAGGTTGCTAGACCGGTCACTGCCCACGATGAAGATGTCGCGGTTGACGGTGAGGTATTTGCCATTCCCGCATCCGACATCAAGGCCCACGGAGCCTGGCGGGAGGGAAGATAGAAAGGAGGAGACGATAGGCCAGGGTTTGTACCGAGTCGAGGAGAAGTGCGAGGCAATTTGCTCGTAGACTGTGTGAACGTGCTGCTCCTCGTATTGCTCTGGAGCAACTTGCTCGGAATTGCTATTACTTTCCATTATATCATTTATTTATTTTAGGCCAGTGATTGTAATCGGACCATGGGGAAGGCGTCGTTAAAAGAAACTCATATTATTGTTTGTGTTTGTGAGACATGAACGACCCGAGACATTGGAAACTTTGTTCACCAGTTATTGGGGATTGGTTTTGCATCCCCCGGACCTACGTAGTACACCGGATCCGGAATATCTATAAACCGGAGACCCTGAATAGATTTTTGCGGCCCAGCGTCATCAACCTCGGCCTAAACCCGATTGGGCACGGAACCTGGGCGGTGAAGCGCGGACTTTCACTGACCGCCCAAAAAAAAGTTAAAAGTCGACCGCCTTCTTCAACGTCAATTCACTGTCAACTGTAGACATTTGCTACTGTTTTGCTATTGGTCTACTATTGACAATGTCACCTCGGCCGCGATCGTAGATCCGTATTGTCGAAAGTCCTGATTCACAGCCACAATACCAGAATACGCCCTTGCCCTATTTACGAGTTTTGTGGCTGGTCAAACAAACTCGCTCCGATGCCAATCCACAACCCAATTCGTGACGAAGTATTGCCTAAGCTCCGCAGGGAGCACATATTCATCCTGATATACATACCAGTGTCTCTCAAGAATCTTATTGCCAGTTGAAAGGGAGGGGCTTCAGACCATCAATCCGATCCACTGTGTCGCTTGCGGGCTTCCATTCATCAGTTCGCCAGTTCGCCCCGCGGCATAAGCGAATAGCCACTTTTGCTATTGTCCTGTTGAAGTTCATTCACCTCAATTGGCAATCTTCAGTTGCTGGGCCATTAGTGCCACCTTCGAATCACGACGGACCCACTTATCTGATGGCACAATACAGAAAAGTCATTGTGTTGTTCAAGCTCGCCCATTGAGAGTGACATCTCAATACCCACAAAGGAATCAACAATAGCACTTTATCTTCAAACGAGAGAGCAATACCAGCACGCAAGATGGGGTTCGTCGCTGTGGAGAGGCATAAAGCCTCGCACTCCTCCCGACACTCTCTTTTTTTCTCCTCGCCAGTCAGACTACCCTCACGAAAGAAGCAAGCTCACTCGAACCCATCACGACCTCGCTCTTTCCCTTCCTCCTCCCAAAGAAACCAGAGAAGACCCCTTCCGCTCCGACCAAGACATCAATCAAAGATGTCTTCCCTCTCTTCTCCTTCCTCCCCCTCCTCCCCCAAGCGCGCCTTCGCCAGCGACGGGGACCAAGGCCGTCCGTCCAAGCAACAAAAGCTGGACAAAAGGGGTAAGCCATTCCTTGACAATCAATCATAACTTGACACTGGGATATAGACTGACAGCACTCTCTTCTAGACGTTCCTGCCCATTTCAAAGGGCTTAAGAAAGACGGTACTTCCATCCAAATTTCACTTTCACTTTTACTTTCACTCAAAACGTATACTGACTATATCTCACAGAAGCAGACGGCCTGGAGAAGATCGAGACCTTTCGGGGTCTCAAAAGATCTTTCGTAGCAAGCTACCCAGGCCAAGACGCGGAGTCGTACAGCCGGCGGGCTAAAAACGTAAAGCTCGACGAAGCAAACGAGGACGAGATATCGCGGGCCGCGAAGACCAGCAACCAGTCCAACGTAGCTATGGCGGCGAAGGAGACCGTGAGTTATCCCCAACTGTTGAGCACACCTCTGGAGATTCAGAAACTAACTTTTATGTTTTATCTAGGTCTCGAGGTTGAGAGTAGACCTAGCGAGGATGCCCGCCAGTGCCCAGCGTGGCATGGCAAACTTCACGGGTGTCCTCTGCTACAGGATATCTCTCCTCCAGGCACTTCTTCACTTGCCTTTGCTCGTTGGATGGTTGTGGGACTGGCATCTGCCAGAGAATTGTAAGACGTCCTGTTTTTTCGCTGCGGCCATCAATTCTTCATTTACACATACCTTCATTTCAAGGTCAAGTACTAACATTCAATAGGCGTTGCGGACCAACCAGAGGAATGTTTCTCTTGTGTGCTACGTCTGCTGGCTCTTTCATACTGGAGGGCGCCTGGTCACTCCGGTGACCAGCTCCCAAAGGTATTTAAGGCCATGCATAAGACGCTCAAGAGCCTTGGTTGGGCCGAAGAGGGGCAAGCTGACCCCGATGAACAACTGCTTTTCTTCTTCAAGGCCCAGCGACAGGAGCTTCCATCCTCGTTAGTCTCCCTTTTGCCTTTCATTCATTCAATTCAAAATACTTATCAATGGATAGGGTGTACTCCTTGGTGGAAGCTATCTTCCAGTCTTTCTGGACCCAGAAGATCGCTTGTTCTTGCGGCCATCAGTCTGTGACCCCCGGCACCGAGTCAAAACTCACGGTCTGCTTGGCGCCCCGAATTCCCAAAGGCAGCCTCGCAGACTACGTGAAACGGTGCTTCAGTGAGGTTGTGCCCTACCGTTGTGACGGGTGCAACATCACTGCCGACAGACTGAAGGTTCGCGAGTTCAACCATACCGGAGATGTCCTCTGCATCCAACTTTCACAGCTGGACAACTTCGGGAGAAAGATCAACTGGGTCGTGCCAATTCCTTCGCTACTCGACCTGACCTCCCTGCGTCATGCTACCAACGATGATGCCAGCCTGCTTTACGAGTTGACGGCCATTGTTCAGCATACAGGGCAGAATGGTAACGGACACTATGTTTGTTCTGCTGCTGGGCCCGATGGACAGTGGCAGCTTTTCAATGACAAACTAGTGTCCAAGAGTGGTGTTGCGAATGTGGTACGGGGATTCGTACCTGTCCTTCTCTTCTTCCGGCGCAAGAAGTAGTTGAGGTTGATTTGGGTGCTCACCTTCATTGGCGAGAGGGCCTTCACTCTTCTACGTTCTCGTTGCTTCGTCGTCTTATGCTTCCGGCGAAAGAAGTGGTTGAGGTGATTTGGGTGCTCACCTTCATCGGTGAGAGGGCCTTCACTCTCTGCTTCTGGCTGCTGGTTGCCTTCCGGCGAAAGAGGTGGTTGAGGTGATTTGGGTGCTCACCTTCATTGGTGGGAGGGCCTTCACTCTCTACTTCTGGCTGCTGGTTGCCTTATTGTTCCGGCGAAAGAAATGGCTGAGGTGATTTGGGTGCTCACCTCATTGGTGAGAGGGCCTTCACTCGTTGCTTTCTGGCTGCTGGTTACTTGTCTTTACGGATTTTCTTGTTGTTATGCGCAAATGTATCGTTCTGTCGGAGTTCTGGACTTCGGTTTTGGTTTTGGATCTGGTCTGGTCTGGGATGATACCATTGTGGGAGCTGGTCTCTCACTTGCATACTGTTACTATTAATCCACCTGCTTTCTTGTCGTGGAATACCAATTCTTCATGAGTGATGTCGTAAAAGTGCACCATCACCCATCCACCATTGGGATGCCTAGAAAATCCTATCATGGCCACCCTTTCGATTTTGGCTTCCAGCTGGAAGACTCTTGGGGGATGTAAACTTGAGAGACTTGCTAAATCGGCGGAGCTGTATGCAATAACAGCAGAAACATATGCAAATGAAATTTGGCTGGTAACGAAAGCACAAGCCTATTGCGGATCCCAGATTGGCTACTTTCCTTTGCCCAAATATTATATTAAAACACCGAAGCTCATATACCGTTTGTAGATGTGACTCGCCGTTCGCTACCGGTAATACAAGATGCTTATTAAAACGCGAGACCTAGCATGTACTTTATAGAAGACTATGCCAAGGGCTTCATTGGCACATTGTCTCCGAACCCTCGAACATGACACACCTTGCTCGCATGCCTCGCTGTAAGATAGGAAATTATACAAAGCCTCCCTGATTCCAGCCAGATGCCAATTGAAGACTCCCATCCTCCCATATCCGGATACTCCAATTTCCCGAAGCCCAGCAAATATCACGGCGACTCACTAATTAGGTCACAAAACTCCTCCACCCAGTTCTTCCATTCAGTCTCCCATTCCCCTCCAGGAGCAACTAAACCGCGCATGGCCTTCAATCCCTCAAGATCACTAACCATATGCTCCATATTCGTCGTACCATCCAAAACGCTAATACCGCGCAAGCCCATACTAACCAACGCATATAGCGCAAGGATCCTTCCTTCTTTCTCATCCTTAACAACACCCCTCTCGGTTACCTTCACCGCCAGATCTCCAACGGGCTTGCTCTGCAGTAAGCTAGGATTGCCGGTAAGTGTCCAGAAAGACTGATATAGGATACCGTGAGAGCGGCAGAAGGAGCGTAGAGAGACGTCGTGGCCTGTTGAGGAGTAGAATCGGTTCTGCACCACGCAAGGGAGAGCAGGGAGGTTAGATGAGACTACGAGGGGATGAAGCGTGGGGAGGTCGATGTTAGATATACCTAGAGAGCGGATGCGGGATGGTATGTGGGTTGCGAGTTGCGTGAGGGCTTGGCGGGTCAGGTCAACAGTGGCGAGGGGGGAGTGCAGGATGAATGTGTCGATGTATGGTTTTTCCGCATTTCCCTCTGGTGAGGAATCTGAAGGAGAAGAAAATGTAAAGTGTGAGAGTGACGAAGCAAGTGATTTCTCTATTTGTTCCGGGAGGGGCGAGGCCAAGCGGTAGGGCATATTATCTAGAGATTGGCCTTGCGGGGTTATAAATTTGGTTTGGATCTGAAAAGTGGTATCAATAAAGTCCACAATATATTCAGCAACTTGGGAAGGAAAAGGGAATCAATAATATTATAATTATAACTAACGGTGGTGCTTACATGGAGGTCCTTTCTCGTCACGATGCCCTCTTCAATCGCCCTCCGGATCCCTTCCCCCACTAGTCCTTCTTGATAATGACGAGGCTGAGCTGCAGTATCGAAGGCTCGGAAACCCGCCTTGATGGCTTCATATACCAGGTCCGCCGTTTGCTCTTTCTTCCATGCTGTCCCGTAGATGAGTTTCGGGATTTTGACTTCCGGGTGGCTGTTTGGGGTGAAAGGCAGCAGCAGGTCGGTTTGAGGCGAAGCGGAAGCCATTCTAAGTTGAGCACTGCGATGGCAATATTTGTTTGAGGACTTAATGTAGTGAGATAGAAGCAGATGCTTGCGTAGCAGTATCATGAAAATGGGCCGGGATGGTGGACAAAGGATAGGAGAGTGAGAGGATGGGTGAAGGGGATTCGATATACGGGCAGTCCGAGGAGTCGTATCATTTGATTTGCATAACAGTGCGTTGGCTGTTCCCTGACCTTCTAATCGGCACCAGGCTTTGCACTGAGATAATTTTTAAAAGTGCTCGCACCGAGGGGAATTTGTATATGATGGGTTTAGGTTCAGGAAATTTAAAGTTCACGCCGTTGTGACGTCGTAGGGGATTGCAATGATTAGTTGGTACGGCTAATACTCGGCAGTCCGTCATCTTCTCCCCTTTCTTTCCCTCGGCCAACCAACCCATCAATAGATAGAAAATCAAAAAACCCGTCTTCATGCAAATTTGGCTGTAGAATATGTTATTAACTTCCAACTTTCAAATTTAAAACGATTACCTCGGTAGACTTACTAGATAAATGTAAAGGAAAAGATAACTATTCCGAAAGTCACGTGGTTAATCTCACTCTCCTCCTCTATTATACAATGATCAAAAGTGACACGCGCGGTGAATTGGCAGTTGATGAATAGGTAGGCAATTCGCATAGACCCTCTCATCAACTGGCAACGAAACCCCGCAGTGCCCTCAATAAGCTAAGTAAGAAAAAGCCTTAAAATATTACGAGGTACAAAGCAGGAAAATAAGGCAAAAGATATGACTATAGAGCAAAAGAATTATTATATTCTCCGGAAGCAAAAGAGTTTAGCCCGGTGTCGAATGCCTACATCTCTTGCCGGTTTGTCATTTTTTCCTTATCGATCCTCTCCAGAAGCCAATTTGACCTGAACCACTTAGCCAAGTGGCCGCCTGTTGACTTCCTTAAAATAAAAAAAGCTTATTTTGAGCTATATAGAGCTGAACGGAGGGAAGGGGGCAAGCATGTGGCCAGCGCAGTGTATGCCATATAAGTTAGAGTTACTTGCCACACCCACAGCACTGTATGATAAACCCGTGGTTTCTAGAAAGTTTCACGTTCGTAAAATTGCTTTCCAATTCCTCGATATCCATATCGACTATCTATTGCCACTTTATCTACATTCCTCACTAACGATTCCAAAATTTACGCTCAATATAAACCCATGCTAGCTGCTGACCTCCTTGTCTCGGCGTTTTGGTTTTCATTTGCGCCTTCCCTTGCACTTCCTTCCACATTTCTACCACTGCCGGCATTCCCATCGCGCCTCTCGCTCGTACTTCCCTTCATTTCCCGGAGACTTCCCAAACTTTTTGAGTCCTCAGGTGCTACCTTTCCAGTAGCCCTTGTACTAAAGGTCTGGGCAACGGGTTCCTCGGGAACAGGTTCGCATTCAAGTTCCTGGAGCGGTGAATCGTCATTATCCAGCATTTGGATGCCTCCTTCATCTTCGGATGAGTAGTAATCATCATGTTCCGGTTGTGTTACGGGTATGGTGTTCGTTCCAAAGTGGGCATTGGAGGATTTTGGTAGTATTTCAGGGGGAGAGTGAGGTGTGCTGAGGGAGGTGTTGGCAAGGGATTCTGTGTGTACCGGGACGTTCGTCCATTGATGTCCAGGGGAAGTAATGGTGTTGGCCTCCTCCGGGAATGGTGGTGGAGGGATTTTGGTCGACGCAGATACCTCATTGTCAACCATCCTAAACCCGCCTAGCTCAGCGGTCTTCGTATCTCCATCATCATCATCATCAAAGGCAATCAAATCTTCGTCGTCCACAAGTTTAATCTCTGTCGCATCATCTTCAATATCCGCATCTTCGACGAGAACATGTTCAATTCCCACCCTCTTCAGAATCTTGCCTACTAGTTCCGGGTACCGCAAATGTCCACTAACTTCCTTGCTCAAATTCAAATTATCAACACCCTCGACGGTACTAATCTCCTGCAGACCAGCAACACCAAACTGCACACTCGTAGCTCTATATAGGAAAGCAAGAATGTAGTCATTTTCCGAGTACACATTGAATACTTTGCCGGAGATAACACTGCGCATTGCACGCCAGTTGTCAGCGTCGGAGGGAACCGGTGCACCAATGAAGACCACCGACTCGACAAGGCCAAATGCTCTCCTTTCCGCGAGGGATCTTAAGCAAGAGTAGAGTACCCTTGCGCCGAGGGAGTATCCAATGAGAGTCACCGGGCGCTCGCCCTGTGCTTTGTTGATCAGCGCATCTGCCAATACTTCGCCAGCTTTTTCCGAACGTCGTTTGGCCAGGGAGAATGGGTTGTCTATACTAGTAGCCATTTTCAGGAGATAGACAGGCCAGAGGGCCGACCATAGAGTTGCTAAGACGGTGCGCTTAAGGATTTCGAGTTTGACGTACGACCATGCATATGAGGAGACCATATTTTCGAGAGAGGTCCCAAGATCGAGGAGCGCGTCCATTTCATAGCGTAGAGCAAAGACTTCGCTGTCTTTGCCTAAGATACGCCATGGTTTTATTACGTCGTCTTTGGTGTTAAGCCAACCGTTGACTCCAATAGTTACACGCAGACGCCGTGCCTCTTCTTCGGACTCCGGTTTCGTAGTGTGCTCGCCCCATTCGGCTGCCACAGGTAGGAATTTGAAATCCGAAACCTCCTTCGCATATGAGTCAATCATTTCTCCGGTCATCTTGCCGCCAAACGCTCCGAACAAAGTGCCAACCAAAGCTCCATTCATTGCAAATATTCCGAGGAAAGATGCCACGCCTCCGAGGCCAACGCCACCCATGATCCCTCCAATCGCTCCTGCTACAACTGGTGCTGCAAGTCCACCGGTGATACCAATCACAGCCGCGCCTGCTACGGACGCAAGTCCAACCTTCCAACGGCGGGAAGTAGCACTCTCGGCTTGCCGTTTCTGAGTTTCTGCATCCGCAGAGAGGCTCTTTGAAGCTACCATAAGTGTCCGTGCAATTTCCGTCTCCTCATTTGTAAGAGCACCAAGAGGGAGATCAAGACTAGAAGTAAGGTAACAGAGAAGCGTCCTCGAATGGGCAGAATAATGACCAAGACTTAAAAGCAACAGCACCATGCAACTGACCAGGCATATCCGGTCCTCCTTAGAAATTGTGGTGAGACGGGTGGGAACTGGTGGGTACAGAGATTGAAGAAGAGAAACATCTTTGGCTTCTTGTACCTCTCTCGTCTCGGCAGCCACAGCAGCACCCTCTGCCCCCGGGGTCTTGAATACAGAGGCTGTGCGCGTATAGGCAGGCGGTGGTGGATTTCTCGCAGCCAGCCACTCCGCTCTTCTCTGCTCTGAGCGCGGATCGTCGGGGCTGTCCGCAATCTTCTTGTATTCAACTCGTATTTCAGTCGCCCACTTACTAAAATACTTCAAGGCATCTCTCTTTAGAGCTTCCAACTTTGGGGTCGAAGGAGACTGCTCGAGACGTGCTTCTAGGCGCCTCTGTCGTGCTTCATCTGCGTCTGAGTACGAGGGAGAGTCGCTGCGATCACGTGAGGCTTCACGAGGGACAAAAAGGGGTGCCGCATCTTGTGAGGATGAAGGCTCGAATGAATACTCAACCTGCTTGCGCATATGAGTGACGATTCCGCCGATTAATGTCGTGAGAGCGCGGCGTCGTGCTTGATTCAACACAAGCTTAAGATCTTTCGGGTCCGAGGCCGTCGGCGCCATGGCGGTTTAATTTGCACGAAGCACTTTCTAACAGGTGGTTTCAAAGTGGAAAGATAATTCCGCTTAAGAAGCCATCCAAAGATGCTCAGAGTCGGGTTGGGAATACTTATATCTCGGATCTGAATTGAAGATAATGATGCCGCCTAATAATGAGAGAAGGAGGTTGAGATTGAGATTTTGCGCCGGTTACGGACCCTGCGCATCGGCGCCAGCGCGTTTAACCTTCTTGCTGTGCCTCACTGATGCCGTGGGCAGACATCCATTTTCGAAGGATAGCAAATTTTCTGGATCGCTCTCTGTCTACAGTGTAAGTCTCCAAGTGCAGCGATATATGAATAGAAAGGTACAGATATACTACGTAACGACCCTTAAAAGGAGCGAGGTGTGCAAAGCAATGCCAACGCCAACACCAACGCAAGGTTTCTCGCTTCAAGGCAGCGGCCCGGTCCCCTGGCCAACAGCCCCTTTCCCGGGAAGCTGAAGATTAAATCGTCCATCTGGACAATTGTGGCTGCTTCAACTATACGAAACGCATTAGCAGGCTAAGAAATTGTGATGGAAATTGGAAGCTGAATGGCCAGGTGGGGCTGTTTGAATTTGAATCCCAAAGCAATCCTCGCCGGGATATCACGGATAGCTGAAGGAGTGCGCGCAGGCATCGTCATGGGGATGTGATTATATGGAAAATAGCGGAAACGTCAAGAGACGGTTTAGACCGGGAAACGACGTCTCTCATTGAAAGTTTTAAGCTATTCAGCAGTGATGGTAAGAGAAACAAAACCCAAATTGGCGGAAGTCTCAACCTTAATTAGAGTGAGCATGATCAAAGCATCCAGACAAATGTGGTCAGGATTTAGCTGCGGTGGTACATCAGAATGGAACCAGGATGGCTGCTGTGTTATCGGCAATAAGAGTCTGTCTCAATCATGGGGTATATGTTTGCTCACTGAAACTGCTTTAAACCCATCTAGGTAGATAAAGATGGCCTTGACGAGATACTATATACTGACTGGAGAAAAAGAGTGACGATAGGTGGACTGACGTCATCGCAATCTTTGACAACAATAAATGTCTCAAGCTTAGGTACTTCGTACATATAACGGCATGGATGTTGGCGGATGTTGATGAAGAGGAACGAGCCACCATCTGTGCCAAAAGTCCCAAGTCCCAAGTCTCAAGTCTTATTGGCGCTAGCCAAGTTATGGGCAAAGGATTGAGAGACGGCCAACCCACCCGCAGCGTAGATTGGACGGCTACCATATCGGCTGCTTTGGGAGCCTTCTGTGCCAATATAACTCGACATACATAATGTTGGCAGCCAAGACACAAACCCTGCCGTAGAAGCAGTTTATTGTGCATGGAGGCGCCGAGTCTTGCGGCAATTCTCAATCTCCAACAAGCATCGGTCATCTGGTGTCTTCTTTTTGGATTTCGCTGGAGAGGGCCCAAGTTCGCCAGCAACTCGAACCCCCACGCAACCCGGAGCGCCAGGTTCTATGTAAACGTAGTATCAAGGTGTCAAACGACCAGTTTTATACCCCATCTTTTGAACTTCGTAAAACGCTAAGCAAGGTCAGGGAATTAGCTAACCAAGCTGCAAGATGCCCCCCTTGCACATGCGCTTGCCGCGAGATGGATACCCTATGGGTGACTTGAAACTAACGACAGCCGGCGTCAACAATGGCTACAAAACCACATATAGGTACGAGGATACGGAGTACGGAGGGTGTCCAAATGCTTAAACAAGATCCAACAAACGAGCCAACATATGCAACATTGCACTCCACGACGTCGTCGGGATTTAAATTTTAATATACGCAGTAGCATTGAGGCTGAGATGGTTGACGTCGCCATGGAAATAGCGAATCCCCGAAGTACCTCCCCTTTCCGCAAGTTTTTTTCCCCCGGCTGCACTGGCTCCATGGTCAAGTCGTCGAAGGAAGTTACCGGCTCCTGGGGAGTTTGTCACCGCCGGGGGGAAAGCCCATCATTGGCGTTGCGCTTGGCCGCAAGCCAATACTCGTTGGCCGCGAAATATACAGCCCAGCCTAGAATCTAGCCTGCAACATTTCCACATGGACCAGCTGTTCATTCCACCTAGATGGTCGCGAAAACGCCACGTTTGGGGACGTGATCGTGAGCATCTCCCCGTGCTCCTGGCGATAGGGCAGTGATGGGGACCACTCTCCGGCGCGTGTCCGCAACGGCAGCGCCGGTGGCAGGCCTGAAGCCAAACCACAGCTCCTACTGGATGCGATACTTGGTTTATCTCGCGGGGCTTTCAAACTTCTCCAATGTCGCCGATATCGACACAATGATGTGCCCGGTCGACGCGCAAAGAGCCACCCGTCGACACAGACGGGCGAGAGGAAGGGAGGCGGCCCTTGAATGGTTCAAGGCTCTCGTAGGATTAATCTTCCCCCAAGCCACGCCGCGCTCATGTAGCATCCTAGTCGTGGATCCACGGCCATGCTAGATCCTCTCAAGCTCTTGGACCTTGACAGCATCGGGCGAACAAAAAAGGTCGAGGTTGGACAGCAGCAATCTTGTCGGCCATATGCTCCCCGGTTATCAACCTGGGTCTCGATATGAGCTCGCTCGGAATCCTAGCCGGCCGTCGCCTCGTGGAGATAGCAAAGCTAAATGAGCATATTGCTACTCCCCGCCAATGTAGAAAACGGGATGGCAAGCGTGGGCGTGGAGCTTGGAGTTTGCAGCAGGCTTTTCATGGGTTGCGTTAAGGAATAATATACAGGCTCGTCAGTTGACTTCTTTTATGGCTTCCACGACCCCTACGATATTGCCGGCCGCATTCCACAGCTGCAGACTACCCCTCAATCACTCCATTTTCTACCATCACTGGGATAGCTAGATAATGATCGACCCTCCATTACCAGAAAAAGCGCATTCGAATATGGTCCCTCAATGCTCTGATCCGTCCGTCATTCCGTCAGACAAAGCATCAAGGCGGACGAAGGATCTTTGGCGGCTACATGGAGATCCTCATTCCCAGCGCTATTCGAACCCAAAGCTTGTTAGCCTTGCGGCTCTGGTACGGCATGATAGTGTTGTTTATCAAGGACAAAATGCCTTTTTGTACCCCTTGTCAGCGGATTCTGATACCCGTTACGAATCTATGACATGGGATGAGTTCGACAGAGTCACCGAAGTCCTCGCGCTCTCCTACGCCGGCTATCTTGAAGACGAGCTTGCGGAGGGAAATTTGTCAAGAAAGCAACCTACTGTAGCTCTCCTTGGCGGTGGGAAGACAATTGAATATTTCTGTACCCTATTGGCCCTCCAAAAACTAGGTGTGAGGGTCCTTCTGCTTGCTGAGTCCAATACCGTGAGTGCGTTGCACCATTTACTGGAGACATGCCATGTTCTGGCCGTCATTACCGATCTAGAGAATAGAGGAGTCGACAAGAACGGTGTGCGGAGCTTAGCTATGATCGAAGTCCTCCCTCGTTCCCTGGAGGTAAATTATATGGCTGTCGATGCCATAAAGTTTCAAGATGTTGAGGATGTCTGGGAGAGACATGCGTTTATCATCCACTCGTCGGGCTCTACTGGCAGGCCCAAGCCAATCATACATACCAATAGAAGTATGATGCTTATTGCAAGAATGTACCGATTATTTCAGGAGTTTGACATTGAAAATTGGTTCCTACTATTTCCATTGTGAGCTTACCCCCTACTTGTGATAACCAATCGTTGACTTTAGTCAGATATCATATTGCTGGAGTTTCTATAGCGCTCTCCGGCCTCCCAAATGGCCAAGTTCTTTCATTCCCACCACAAACATGGCCACCGGCATCGTCAGCTATCTTTGCTGCTTGGAATACTCTTTCTTCAATAGGTTACCCGGTGGACTGTGTTCACTGTGCGCCTACGCTTATTGAAAACATGTATGAATATATATGCGAGAATGGAGGAGATTTTACACCTTTGGTTTCGCTGAAACTTCTCCAACCTGGTGGGGCCGCCCTCTCAGATAGCATCATCAAAGCTCTCACCGCCAACGGTGTCAATGTCAAAACCACATACGGTAGCACTGAGATTGGCCCACCCTTTCGCTCAATACCTCATACGCGAGACAATACGGAATGTTACTCATTTCGCAATTTGTACCCAGATAACCCCTTTATCACAATGGAAGAGGTCACAGGGGGAACATACGAATGTGTAGTTTTTAAAGGATTTGAACTAGCAGCAGAGCTATGGCAAAATACAGACGAGCCTTATCGGACCAACGACCTCTTCATACAGGACCCTCCAGAAAGTGGCTTTTTTATCCTTAAAGGGAGAAAGGATGACATGCTTGTGCATTCAAATGGCGAGAAAACTATTGCTGGACCATTGCAACTCGATATTCAGACGTCATGCAAGGTTATCAGCAAAGCGTTAGCATTCGGTCACTCGAAACCGTATGCGGGTTTACTAGTTGAGGTTTGCGAGGCATATGACCCCAAGAACGACGTTACAAGGAGCAAAATCTGGGGAGCGGTGGAGCAAGTCAATACGCGATATCCAAAGCACTCCCAAATCATGGAAGATATGATTTGCATTCTGCCGAAAGGAAAGCTTCTTCCGGTCACACCAAAAGGAAACATCAAACGAAAAGAGGCGGAGCGATTATACTGGAATGAAATTGAGAGACTTTACTCTGATGGCAATCCCGTTTCTACACCATCTAGTTCATCCTCCGAGGCTGCGCGGATATATATTTACGGCCTGCTATCAAACCTTTCGAACACGCCTGTCTCAGATATACAAGATTGGACATCTCTCTTCGACCTTGGAATGGACTCTCGTCTTGCATTACGCCTCCGTAAATCTCTTTCATCTCACTTTCATCGTACCATATCACTCAGCGCCCTCTTTGAAAATCCTTCAGTCAGCAAACTGGTATCCATCTTCTCGCGCCTGGAATATCCATTCAACGGCTTGCACCAGGTTGAGAAACCACCGCCAAGTGAAACGCTCAACCGTCTAATATCTAAGTTGGAAGCAGAGTTCAAGTCATGGCCAAAACTACCCAACCGTTCATTCCCACTTACCGAAAAAGAGACAATTCTCGTGACAGGCGCCTCCGGTTTCCTTGGGACGGAACTACTTTGCTCCCTTTCTGCGCTCCCACGAGTAGAAAAAGTCTATGCTATGGTCCGTGGTGTCGACCATTTAGCCAAACTCAGCGAGGCACTTGAGAGCAGAGGTATGGATCCTTCAATTCTGAATATTGAGAATGGAGGAAAGATCGAAGCCATAAATTTCGGCATGCAAGACCCATTTCTTGGTCTCGACCTCGGTAAATACGTGGAATTGGCCAAACAAGTTACGGTGGTGGTGCACAATGCATGGAGGGTTGATTTCAATTTGGGGGTAGAGGAATTGGAACGAGATTGTTTAAGAAGTCCGGTTTTTTATTTCCAGCCTTTCTTACCTCCCTTCACCTTTTCCCACAACTTCACATTCCTTTATATCTCTTCCAAGAACCAAAAACTGGTTTAAAAACAAACAAGTGCTGACGAGCTATAACATAGGTACCATGTCCCTCCTCCGCTTCTGCCATGCCGGGAGACCTAAACGCCTCGCTTTTACAAGCAGCATAAGTGCCTGCATGGGGACTGGCTATACTTCCCTAACGGTTCCCGAAGAGCCTGTTGGCCCTGACCCAAGCGTTGCTCTTCCGACCGGTTATGCCCAGAGTAAATACATTGGTATGACATTTCCCCTTTCCAAAGGCTCGTAATATTGGGGGTTATCCAGGACTAAGTCGCGGGATATAGCGGAACGAATAACACAAACTGCTGCCCGCACACTCCACATACCTATTCACATCTTCCGCGTTGGCCAACTTACTGGCTCTACCGTAACAGGGCATTGGAATGTAAACGACATGTGGGCGGTTCGTACCATTCCTTAGTTACTGTTAAATCCCTCGATGAGAAAATGTCACCCCAATGACGTGTTTTTGCATCTCTCGAAGATAGGCGCCATCAACTCATCAAACATCAACTAACATGACCAAAACACCAGGTCCTCTTCGCTACCTCCCTCCATCCCCTCCTCTCAGCAATACCCTCCTTCCCCTCCAAACACATAGACTGGGTCCCAATCAACATCGCCGCTACAGTCATAGCCGACATTCTCATGTCCAACCCCTCGCCCTCGGCACCCTACACAGTACACAACATAACCAACCCGCATCCAACCCCTTACCCATCCCTCATAACACACTTCCTAACCCTCACCGGTAATCCCAATCTCCAGTCCATCCCTATGAAAGAATGGACATCCCGCCTCAGCGCACTTGCAGATTCCAACCCCGAGATCCCCGGAGTCAGACTCCTGCCTTTTTTCGAGATGATGGCTGATTTAAATGATGATTCCGTCCCGAGCAAAGTGTTCGAGACGGCGAAGACCAGGAGGATGAGTGTTGCATTAAGGGAATGTGGTCCGTTTTGTCGGGAGTGGTTGGAAGCGTATGTTAGGGTTTGGAAGGAGCAAGGGTTTCTGGAATGAGCAAGACAAACAGTGGAATCGGTGACCAAAAAGGGTTGGAGGATTTTGTTCTTGTTTCCAGGTCTCTATATCTTTTGGATATTTTTGAAAGATGAATTGTCGGTGCTGGATTAGGCTGCGTTGATCTAGTTAAGTCCATTTGTTTATTAGTTTAGTAGCGGCAGTCAACATCACGTATAAGTCTTTGAGAAAAGGGGCTCAGTAAACCATATCATAGGACATGGCATCTCTCATTTTCATTTACATCCTAATCCCATTTTACGTCGTATTCCATCCTCAATTTTCTCCAATAGCCCAGATCCTCGACCTTGTAGGCATTAGGATTCCTCCACTAATATATTACAATTCAATCAATCCAACCATTACACCTAAGTAAGCCCATTTTGCCTGAGGGCCCTTATTTCCCCCAAAATACAACCCAATGTTTATTTCCCTCCGATTGGAGAACCCAACCCAGTCATCTTGCTCAACAATGATGGAAAGAGTACAGAGGGAGCCCTTGGCCTGCATGTCGCTCAAAAAAAAAATTACCGGCCAATTACTCCACTATCCCGATGGCGACTCGGTAGCCCTGAGGGGAAATATAAACGCCGTCTTATGCAAATCGCTATCATATCCTGAGCCTGTCAAAGCAAAATCCCTTCTAGGATCCCTTCCGAAAACGCTGGCATAGTATATTGTAGATGTGTGGGGTAGCAGTCATCAACTTCATAAGGACGCCAGCCTCGATTATTATTATATGCGTAAGATAATTTTGTGAAGATTTCTATTCCGGAACGGTGGCATTCTGCATCCGCGTCCGTATTCGAAACTTGTCTCGTAACCGGGACGTTAGCCTGGCTCTCCCACTTTGATGTTCTTCGGCGTTTTCGATGACTGGCTCCCCTTCAGATCTCGATTCCTCTCTTAGACGTCGTAATGCTGCGATTCGTTCATCTGGTGGGGCATGCCGGAGCCTGTTGAGATCCAGGAATCGTGACATGCGGTGACGTTGATGAGTCGACGTAGCATCTTCGGCAGCTGATAGGCCAGACGTCCCCGTGGGAGACTCAGCACCAAGAGGTGGAGGGAGATCATCGGTGGCGGCAGTGGTGGTGGTGGTGGCAGCGCCGTTAGATCCTTCGGCTGCATCAGGGCGGAGATCATGGCGGCTGTCAAATGGATTAGCTTTGCAAGTTGATGGGGGGTTGGGAGGCTTACCATAATGGACAGGTACCAGACACGTTCAATAGCCAAGGATCGATACAAGCGGGATGATATTTGTGTTGACAAGGTAGCACTCGCACATCTTCTCCGGTTGTGAAATCCTCTGTGCAGATTGAGCAGCCAAGTTCTCCTTCTTTTGGGACAGCTGCTTCTTCCACTGCGCTACTCTTTGCGGCATCGTCTTTCGCTTTCCCCTCATCTGATGTAGCAGAGGCCAACTTCGCCACTACAGGAGATTTGGGTCGTTGCTCGGTGGAGATTTCCGCTTGTTGTGGGCCAGTCTCGGCCGGCGGGTGATGAACACTTGAGGCTCCCTCTTCTAGTTCCACGTCCCTGCTTCCTGGCTTCGCCGGCGCCGGGTCGCCAAACTTCACAATTGGTAGAGTCTCTAGCATAGCTCTAGCGAGGCCTTTCGCCCGACTCTGCCTTGGTCTTCCTGAGTATCCATTTCGGGGCCCATATCGTTCGGGGTGCCGGTGTGCGCGCACTGCACCGGTCGCAATAATGACCAAGAAGAGCAAGGTGATAATGCCGGTAATACTGTAAAGTATGCTCATAGCAACAGCAGTTGTCGGGGCAGCTCCACCATCAGAACTGCTTGACGAAGAGCTTGTCGAGCCGCTCAATGTTGCGTTCGTGCCAACCTTTGCAGCAAGGTCATCGGACGAATCGGGATAAAGCCCCATGGTAGTTATCATGGTCTGCACATCGGCCATTGATATCATAGTAAATATCGATGTGTACGAGGTACTCCCGGTGAAGTTGCACACGTTGGCTATCTCGCTATAAAGGATAATGGCCTTCGGCGATATCCCGCTGGCGGTTTGGACGACTTGGGAGGCGCTTATATTCGAATCATTGGGGTCGCAACTGATGAAGGCAACATCTGATGGCGTCAAGTCCTTAGCCGTCATATAATCTGGGTTTTTCCCAACGCCTGAGAATATAACTTGCTATAAGAGGATTGTATTAGCAGTGTTCATCAGTACCCGGCTGTGCTCGCAAAGCAGGAGAAACGGGTCGGACTTCTTATTCACGAACCTTCACTGCACCGGCAGTCTGTCCTTTGCCCACCTCTGAGGTGAGCGGAGCCAGGTCGAAGATGTGATCGGGGGATGCCGGCCCGCTCAACTTCACCTTGGTCATTGACTCTGGTGGTTCTGAAGTTGCATTTGTAGGGAACACCGATATTGGCACTAGATCGGCGGTAACCATCGTGCCCGTGGTGGCCAAAAATATCGCAATGGATAAGAAGCTCGCCATACTTCTTGCAACGGTCGACGTCGCCATGATGGACTCGGAGAGCGGGGGGAGGAACGAAGAGAGAAAGGATGAACTATTGGGTGCCGAGGGCCGTCGGCCGGCTGCTCACATGTCCAGCGACGATGACAGTGATCGAGCAGTGGGGAGGACGCGTGTGTGATAGAGAGATAGAGAGTCGGAGATTTAGAAAGAGAGCGATGGGGCGCAAGGCGGTTAGTGAAGAGGCAATGGGCTATTGGGGTCGCAGGTCGCAGGTCGCAGGTTCGCATGAAACTCGAGGATCTCAGAGGGTGTTTTGGGGGGAGGAACCTGGGCGTGCTTCCGCCAGGAACCTGGAGGCGAGCAATAGGGAACGAGGTAGCAGTCGAAGTCGAAGTGCAAGTAGAGGTACAATCGGGTAGAGAGAGGTGTACAGTACGTAGGTAGGTAGTACTTTGTTATCGAATGCGCGTCGAGAGGCAGCGTCCGGGCTTTGTAGATGGGATGGGGTTGCGTTGCGTTGTGAAGTAAGCGGGACGATAGATAGGTGTAGATAGAGCGATAATGTACAGTAATAAATGTAAAGTAAATGCGGACAGCGACTACCAAACCAACCCAGCTAATGACCCATCCTTGAGGCTTGAGCCAACCTTAATTCCCATCCCATCCCATCTCCGCACAGCTTTCCTCTCCACATTCCCGTCCAATATTACGCTTGCTCGGTACACACAGGCGATGTACTGGGCACTGCTATGTACAGGTACAGGTACAGGTTACCCTTACACCGCACGCTGTCTGGTTCTGGTTCTGGTTCTGGCTCTGGTTCTGTCGCATCCAAGGGCATGACGATGCGACCTTGGCGACGGTCAATGCGATGCTGGGAGGACGAGTTTACCGGTCAATAATACTGGTTCAGCGCTATCTCTCAGAGGAAGTTGAGGGGAAGAAACGACCAGAGGACGAGAGAACGGGAACTCATACGAAGTAGATTGGGACTGGAATGTGGAATTGGGTTACTTTGCACTGGGACAGCCACAGACATCACTCCTAGAGCACAGCATCCAGTTCGTTACAGCATACTACTACGTACAGAGCATGGCACACAGACATAGAACACACGCGACATTAATAAATTCGAGCCGCCAGGGAGACGCTGAAGATGTGGTGGACGACGGCGAGGGCAGCGGCACAGGCCCTTTGCGATTCTGCGATCAGTGCCAGAACTTCCCCATAAGAAGCGCCAGCGCAGGGCATGCCAGCAATATTCCCAATGCAATAATGCATGGGGCTGGAACGACCTACGGAGGAGAGCACGCGTCCACGACCCAGGGCGACCACAGCCCAGGCGCAGATCATGGGGAAGACGTTTGCTCGTCCTCATCCTCCGCCTCCGCCCTGTGGACAATACAAATACTTCATCTGCCGCCGGTGTGCAGTGTGAGAGACGGGGGACAGTGCATCATGATCGACCAAGCTTCTGTAGGGCTTACTGTTCCATCTTCCTCCCCATCCGGCCCGGCATTCACCTTCGAATCCCACGATCGGTACGAAGCACGAGGCACGAGGAGCGAAGAAAGGGGCTGCGGATGCAGACGAAGCCGTGGAATCACCAGCAACGGCGAATGGATTGGCGGCAGTCGAGGGCCCCGGGACTCTGGGAGCTGTGAGCGGTGCGCTGCTCGTCCGCCTTTACATGTACGAGTCTCCCATTCGCCGCCTTCAGCAGTGTTACCACTCAGTGCACTCACTACTCAGTCTCACTACTGCTACAGTGCTAAGTGCTAAGTGCTAAGTGCTAAGTGCTAAGTGCTAAGTGCTAAGCGCTAAGTGCTAAGAGCTGCCCCCCTAACCGAGTTGCATCGCATAGCAGCCACATTTTGCTCTGTGCCAGGAAGTGGTTTGCGGAGGAGCGTCGAGTCGTCGAGTCCCAGCAGACAGCGGCCGCCACCACAAAGCATGGAAGCATGGCAGCAGCGGCACAAACACACCCCCCTTCGCAACAAGAATACGGACGAAGTACGAAGTACGCGGCTCTTGGTAATGGCCATAAACGTGCCTCTTCCTCAGCCCCGATTTGCCGTGATTCTTCAGCATCTATGACGGCGTGATTGTGCACCGCCTCTCTGGAGAACCCACAAGTCTGACTTGATGACGAGGACATAGGGAACCAGTTCTTTGTTCTCGACTCCGCATCCAGGACTCTGGAGTCTGGTATCCCGGTGTTCCAATAATAATGCTTTACCTCCGAAGGATGCTTGGAGCAGCTGGGATGGCGCATGGTTCAAGCATGGCCGGCCAGCACCCCGACTTCCGTTCGCTTTGCCCTCTGGCAGCTTGAATATTAATGCAGCGCGGCGTACGTACAGTAATATGCCAACTTAGGTGCCTACGGAGTATGTACGAAGTACGAAGTACCGGTACTTCGCCCAGAGGTACATGCTCCAGGATTCGACTCTCTGGCAGAACAATATTCCCGTATTTGTTCATTCGGGGTGTTGCCCTTCTACATCACGTGTCGTTCCAAACTGGGGTCTTCAATCGAGTCGGTGTCAGTCTCAGTCGCTCTCGAGACCCCATCGCTGTCAGTGATACTTGTAGTCAGCCAGTCCTCACAAAGCAAAACCCGATTCCTACTCAGCGCTGACTGTATCTCGTACACACACGTTGAACTGGTTTGTAACTCCTTGGCAACCGCCCAGGAGCAACGCCTTGTACTCCGACCGTACGAAGTCGTCCCCGTTTCTCGGCGCTGTATGGAGTAGGTTGACTTTAAAGCACCAAAAAACTTGCAGTATCCGTCACCATAATATGGCGCTGCTCCATTCTGTCTGTATTCTTACACGGCTTTCATCCGTTGGTTGGCAACGGTTCCGCAAGTTCCGAGAAACTAGAAATGACCCATCCAGAAGGTCGCATGAGAAACAAATCCTTTACCGGAGTAAGGCATTGCCGTCCATTTTAGTACAGACTGATGATCACTACAATATTGTTTGTAGATGACTACCCCAAAGCTATCTCTTCAAGATATCTATTTGGCTCACACGTGATGAGTAGCATTTTGTTTCCGACTCCAATTTCCATTTATTTCATACTTTTGCATTATCCTTTCGCAGCTTCCTTTCTGTTGAAAATTCAATCGGGCATTTAAGTACTCTCAGTACTCTCACTATTCCATCATTCCAGCATTCGTGCCCCCGGTTGCTAATAAGGTTGGGGAATAGATCAAGATACAGCGCGCAACAGGCAAGCCAAGCGACGAAGCCCTTAACTGCCCCGTCAGTCTAGTAGTACGCCGTGTCTTGATTCCCCTCCAAGGTTCAACCTTAAGCTTCTCGTCAAGGACCAGAAGGTTGATTTGTTATGGGAAAGAGCTAGGCTCTACAGAGCGGTTTGCGGCTTGGAGAGAGTGATAACTACGACAATAATTGGAAATTCTCCCTTAAATGTTGGTTTCTAGAAGAGATCCGTAGTAAGCTGTATCTTGCGACGGTTTTCTTGCCCTCTACAATTGCACTTCCAAATCTAATCGTTGCTACGCATCATATACCAATTCCACGGGTCAGATACCCTAGATAGTTAATTTCTTGCCTACGGAGCATGCTCAAAGCGCCCCGGATCTGTTAAATGCAGCCAAGCCCGCTCTTTTGCTTCCTTGAGGATGTTCTAGAAGCGGGGGGGATTCATTCCCAAGGCAACCGCGAGTGGATGCAGTCTTGCAGAAGTAGCTGCACGAGTAGCGGAGATATGAACAATATTTTAATTATTCTACCCATCACCTATCAAGATGTTGAGTCTACAAATCTTATACAGCCATCTGAATCGCATTAATCAATGTGAGAAATGGGGTTTGCTATATTGGTACCTACGTTATGTAGGCAGGCAGCCAAGACACGGCAGAGCCAGAAGACTGTAAATAGGTGGGTGTTACCACATGATCTACACCAGCGTTTTAAGGGAAGTTCCAGGCATGTGGATATTAACAGCTGCAGCCACAAAATTAATTGTTGCTCCGCCGGGAATCTATCGCTAAAACACCACAAAAACGTCTATTTATCCATCTTGGCGTTGGATGGATGGCCATCCTTTTTTGGGCCAGGCCATTGCAGTTAGATGTGTTGTCGCCTACATTTATCGGGAGGTGTATGCCAGGAGTATAGATATCCTTATTTTAGGAGGACGTATCTGTGCCGAGTAACCCTTAGTCCTGAGCCTCTGGCTCCTTTATATATAGGAACGCATATCGCTGTATTGGGCTATACCAAAGTTCTCCTTATTTCCGCTGCACGGCTGAATGGATACGGCTACATATATCTCGGACACGGGAACGGCATATCACCATCTTTCAGGAAGTTCCGCTTTGTTTCTCACAATTACCCTGTCTTCTTCGATTCTCCGTGCCGTACTTTTGCTCTAAATCCCTTCTCACTATTGAAGATAACTCTGCAATCGCTTTATTAGCACTCTTATTTTCAATCTCTGTTTCCCGACATTATAATAGGACAATTTGGGGCTGGAGAGTAAAAAGAATAATTACAATATTCATGACAGAAGGATTTTGAGATCATTTCGATACTTTAGAGTAGCAGCAACCATGTTATTAATATAGTGTCCTACTACCAATAGGCAATTGAGTAGTAATCATGTAAGAATACACATGCTGTGTTCCCCTGCTACTGAGGTATTAAGTTGTAATCATGTTGGAATATTTATACAAATGTCCCACTAACAATAAAGAATTTGAAAGTATTTCCGTTAAAGGAGTTGTGTAAGATATAGTGAGAAGCAAAAATAAATATGCTTAGGACTTAATAGCTACACGGATCAATTAGAGGGAGGTGCACAAACACAATTCAAAGTGAAATGAATTACTAGGAGGGAAAAAAAAAACATCGTTGAACAGGTTGACAGTGTCCAAGAAATGTCTATCACTTTCGCTTGTGTAGCTTAAAGGGGCTTAATAAGTTATCAAGTGTAGTCAACCCACAACTGCCAATTTATACAAGCCTGTCGAACAATGTAACACTTGTTAATCTATATGACGCCTGTCAATACCAGCTGTTTAGTTTATAGCTTCAATGTAAGCCAGCCAGCCTCCCGTTTAACCAGCAATGTCAATCAAGTAAACGTAATCCAACAACACATGTAAACAGCTATACACTATGCTTCTAGCTAAGTGGTATCCTCAAGGATGGGATATTTCTGAGCATCACTGTTGAACGTTGACCAAGAATTTCAAAACTTCTCGTCCGATAGCCGTCTATTCACCATTTATAATGTAGGACAAGTAGACGAAACACCGCTTTGAAAATTACAAGTGAAGATCTGAGCAGGATTTTCTGTACATGTATATCGTTTAGTATCTATTAGGGATTAATGCTATTGCTTCCCCAATGTTCTATTTATTTCCCTCAGTAGCCCCGACTCGTCGCTTGATGCCTTGTACCTCCATGGCACTGTGATTCTCCGATGAGACGAGTTTTGATGACTAGGGAGGGCCGCTCTCCCGCACAAGCGGATTGCTAACAAAGGCTCCCTATCCTTATCAACTGCCATTTACCCTTGTACGTATATGTAGGTGCCAAGATGGAAGCTGCGGCGAACTCGACTCAGAAGGAAATATCCAGGCATAGCGAGCTATTTCCATGAATATTTTGGATATTTTGCGATTGGTAGAAAAGGAGAATAGAGGAGAAGGATGGCCAGTCGAATTAAATACCTTGATCCTCATAGTTTTATGGTATTGGCAAGCTTTTGATGATAGAAGTAGGTAGGTCTGTTGGGTTTGTCTACTATCGGTTTCTATAAATGGAGTATGACGCATATCTTCTCGAAGAAACTTCTGACGTGAGGCGAGGTTGGGCACCTTGCCATCCACAAGGCATACTAGCAGTGGACAAACTCACAGGGCAAGCATGTGCATTCAAATTTCAAAGAAAACGCAGGCCCCAGTAACGTCCTGTCCGCGCTAGCAAACTTCACCAAAACCTGCTATTCTAGCTTGAGTTATAAGAAAGCGGCCTTCCACGGAATCGGCGACGAATTTCACTCTAGAGGATTCAGCAAATGAATATGCCCAAAATTCAAGGTATGATTGATTGAATTATCAACCCGGATTGTCATAATTGCAAAGATGAAAAAAGACTACACGGCAGCAAAGGCATCAAAAGAACCAGGCATTCAGAAAATGAGAACACATGAAAATTCCGAGCCCCCAAACCCCCACTCACGCCAGTTCAACAATCTCAAGTGCTCCCTTTCCATCCGCTATTACGTTATCTATTCCTCATACGCGCCTGCAGAGCGCTACAGATCGCTCTGCAGTTGATGCTGCATGGCCCCAATTCCCGAAAAGGTAAGATTGAGAAGGTTGGAATGCAAAGGAAGACCAGTCCAAGCGACAGCAATTCTAATGTGCAGGGAGGCAAAGAAAAACACGCGATCCGTTACTTTCGTAGAGGCACACGATAGGACTGGAGCCTATCTAACAGCATCCACCAGCCGAACCTGATTGCACACCTTGGCCTTGTCCGACTTGAACAGTTGGCTTGTTGTTGGCGGTGGTGGTCCCCATTCTCTCCTTGATTTGACGGGCCATTGTAAGGAAAGCTTGTTCGACGTTGCTGGCATTCTTGGCCGAGGTCTCGAGGAACGGGATACCGAGGCTGTCAGCAAATTCCTAGACAGTATGAGTCAGTTATAATTTCCAACCAAGCTGCTGGTGACCCATGACGTCCATGTGACCTTGACCAGGTGACATGACATACCTTCGCAACGGTGTATTCCACAACTTTCTTGTCTGACATATCACTCTTGTTGCCTACGAGCAACTTGTTGACACCTTCTGTGGCATAGCGGTCGATTTCCTGAAGCCATTGCTTAACGTTGTTGAATGAGTCCATATCTGTAACATCGTAGACAACGCAGATGCCGTGAGCGCCCCGGTAGTAGGAAGATGTAATAGTTCGGAAGCGTTCTTGTCCAGCCGTATCCCACTATAGATAAAATCAGCGACAGGTTCTAGATCCACATGATTTGTATTGCCCTTACGATCTGCAGCTTCACCGTCTTGCCATCCAACTCGATTGTTCGGATTTTCTACCAGCAAGTCAGCTCCTAACTTCCAACCAAGGTGCTAAACCTACGAAGTCAACACCGATAGTTGAGATATAGCTCTCCGTGTATGTGTCATCAGCGAACCGCAACAGTAGACAGGACTTTCCAACACCGGAGTCTCCGATAAGGAGAAGCTTGAAGAGGTAGTCGTATCTGTGAGCCCGTCAGCAAGGCTGTCGTGTAGATCGGGGAGCCGTTCGTTGCATCTTATGCAGTGCTCGTGGCTAATCGGTAACCGATCTGCTTGGGAAGAGGAACTCTGTGGAAGTAGAATAGTCAGTCTGAGGTTCTAATAAGCACTTGCGCGGCGCGTAGTTGCCAGTGGTTTCAGGAGTAGCATGATATTGGAGCTCGAGATAGAGGCAACGTACTACTCTGGATTCATGATGGCGGTCGGGTATCGTAAGTGTGGAAGAGTTGATGGTAGTAGTACCTAAAATGGGAAGCACGTTGAAGTTGAGGGTTGGTGGGAGACGGATTCAAGGTTATGTCGAACAGGCACCTTTGAAGGTCAACGACGTCTTAAGATGCCATGGCAGGTGCCTCGCGTAAGGAGCAAACACGTGATATCGGTGTCTTTGAGTTCCGCTCTTCTTCAGCTATAGACTGTGAAGGTGACGCATTATTTTCTTTATTTATTTGTTATTCACTGCTACCTTATGTACGTTCCGTTTGATAAATTGTATAAATCACAATAGCAGAAACGGGCTCATGTGGCTTAAAGTCCTTTGATTGTTGTGCAACTGTACCTATCCATGTAAATATATTAGCTATTCCCACCCACCCCTGACGACCTAGTAACCGCTTTGGGCAATTTTTGAAGCTAATCGATAAGGCAAAACCACAAGGTCCCAAGAACCAAGTTTCTACTTAGTTAAGACCCGATTACCAGCAATAGACACAACACCACACGTCACTTAGTGTCTGTCGAACTACGTAGGTATATTCAAGCACTCTCACTGATGTCGACGCCCTCAACGACCATTTTGCGCCCCTCACGACACAATGTCCTAAAACATTCTTCCAGAATATCAAGCTGTCAAGCACGACCAATTCCCCATTCAGCTGTGGCATCTACACCCACCACAAGATGCCTGGCAACAGTCAACACAAGCTTCAGGTCATTGTCAGATGTCTGGTTTACAGGATCTTCTCCTAGGAGAAATATACCTGCGCCCTCAAACAATAATGATCCACACAAACCTCCGGATGAACGAACACTGAGACTCGGGAAAAGCAAGCAGCTCCCCTCTTTTCCCCCCCCAGTATGGACGCATTCCAGCTAACTTTATATATAACAGCACTGCGTATCCTACAGGAACGAATGCCAACTCTTCTACAATCTCCTCTCCCGCAAGAAATCCTTTCCCCGCACATAAGCCTACACCTCTTCCCTTCCACGCATCCTCATCTCCCCACGGTCTCCGGACGAGTCGCCTACTCCGCCGCACTCTGGACCTCTCCGATAGCATGGGGGCGGGTTCCCTTAGTTGGAAATGTCAAGTTAGAGATCCTCTCCGAGCGCATGATAAAGTCGCGGTCTCTATCACATGCCCCACCCTCTGTATCCCGGCCCGAGCAACTCATTGTACGATGGCGCACGATCGGGAAGACGAGAGGGAAAGGGACAGGAGCACTCTATAAGGGCATTGGGGCGAAGGATAACGTGGATAAGATTACTGAGTGGTTGGGTGGAGGCAAGGGCGAGGATGACAGCAAGGAGTTTACCGGTTTGTTTATCTTCGAGTTTGATGAAGATGGGAGAATTCTCAGCCACACGATAGAGCATGTACAGGAGGGCGGGAATTGGGAGAAGGGTGTCGGTGCTCGAGTCGTGGGACTGACCGATTGGCTTTTAGGTGGAATGAAGAATGGCAGAGGGAACGAGGGCGCAGCTTGTCCGGCTTTCTGGGGCGAAGAAGAGGCGCAGGAACAGCATAAGAAGCGGCGATAGAACATGCCTGTTTGACTATCTTGCATTTTTGCGATATGGAGTTTGGGATACGGATGGATGGGCGTGGCATTGTCTATTGGGTTTAAGGAAATTTTAGTTTCCTGAGTGAGACCTACATGTACTATTATATAGCACCCCCACACCGCTCTGACTTCTGGCGCAGCGAAGAAAATAAATAATATCTACGAGCTCCATAGGAACCCATCTAGCTAGGCTAGCGTGCGTTCTTAGATTTTTACAATGACCAAGCAGGGGGCCTATGCCTGACACTGATAATAAAATTAGCAGGTGGCGTTTCAATATAAAATAAAAACTAGGTTGTCGAGAAATACTTTGGCTGGCTTGCTATCATAATTCTTACTTATGCAATCGACCAATATGCCATTTTGAATCTTGAGTGACCCTGTAGCCAGCTAACCCCTCCCGAATTATCTCTCTTATTGCTCCCTGCTTTGAGATACTTCAACCCCCGCATTTCCCGAGGCCTTAAAGTCAACCTCATTATAGTTTTAATTAGTAGCTTAAGTAACTGAGTAAATCTAATTATGTACTAGGGGTTATATCAAATTAAATCAATATGCTGACTATTTACTTGTAGAATAGGAGCTTCATGCTCAACTCGGCATAGCAACTTAATTCAATCCATCGAGTTACTGTGACGGGTCTCATTTTACAGCCCAATCGTGAACTACTTGATATATCAAGCTTTTGCTGCCGCTTCCTAATCAACCCCACGGAAGCAGATCTCTACTTGATTCTTCCGTTGGCATGTATAGCCATTAAACAAGAGTACGCTGATAGTAGACAATGGCTTTCAAACCGTACTTAGAGTAACCCTTAGTGTCTTTACGTACATTCTTCACTCACTTTCACTACGGTCCGTCATAGCCTTATCTCGGACCGCTGTAAGCGAAATGTAGCTATGTAGTCCTGCATGGGGCGGGCCACAAAACCCTATCTTATATGCTGAGCAGATGTCCAAAACTTTGTTAACAGTGTGACGACTATAAGAGTATAAATAAGCTAAAGTAGTAACTATAAGTAGATATAGTCAAAGTAAGTGTAGCCCATAGTATAGATTAGGACGATTAATTTAAACACAAGAGTATAGGCGGTTATATAGGACGTGCTCACTCCAAGCCTGACTTAGAAACATTAACCCATATTCTGACAGTAGTCTCGAGTATGTTTCGATCCTACATCGACGTTATTCCCTTAGTCAAGCTGATTCTTTTATCACCGCTCACGCTACGTTAAAACAAACCATGGTAGGCGAGTCACCGTAAATATGTCTAGTGACCGCTAATCCGCCAAAACGCGAGCGAATTTAATAGACACGAGCTAAAACGGCGGTTCAGAAAGTGATGAAAATGATGCCTTACAAAATCGCCGTAGTATTGGCTAAAAGAACTAACGCCGGGCTAGAAAGCATAATTACATACCATCACTTCCAACTTAATCACGAAACACCCAGCCACTTTAAAGCCTTCTGCATATTCTTCTTTTGCGGTGCAGGACCGGCCATCCTCATCTCCGGCACAATCTTAGCATGTTTTCTCCCGAGAATCATCTTATCAAACTCATCATCATCACTATCCTCATCTCCAACATAAAAGTTATCCCACTTCTTTCTGTTCTCCCTTTCTCGCCTGATAGTAGGGGTTTTGAAGGATGACGCGGGATATAAGGAGTCGCGATCTTGGTCGTAGCCTCGTGCACTTCCGGGCACGCTCTGGTTCCCAGTTGGCATGGTGGATGTTTCGTGCTTGTTGGGTGTTTTGGGGATTGGTGGTATTGGGAGTGCTTGGATACCCTTGTCTACCATGGCAGGCTTCGGCGGTGGCTTATATGCGTATAGAGCTGATTTCTCCACGAGGGATTTACGGATTTCAGCAACAAATGAAGCAATCTCCGTTGAGGTTGCTGTGCTGGGTAGCACATAGTTTGCCTTTGCAAATGAAATATATGAGTGAGATTGCTTCGGCTTTGAGACCATTCCCTGGGATTTCTCTAACGTGGAGTCTCCCTTGACAGGTACGAGAGAGCTATTGAGGGGGCTTGCGTGATAGGTGCTGGAGGGTAGGTAATCGTTGAATGCGCCGCTGTGAGCTGAGATAGACAGCTGCGGACGACATCTGGAAGATGGTGAATCCAAGGCGAGCGAGTTAAGAATGCCTGCCACTTTGAAGTGGTGGCTACCGAGTAGTTTGCGGAGTGCTACCATGGTTGGGAGCTGGTTGGACGTGTAATGGAGAATTAAAAGACGGGTGCTACTATTGGCCGCTAGGTAAGCCTCGAGCTGAGGAACTAGAAGAGTTGCAAGGACTGATGGGTCTGATAGTGGGTTGAGAGTGCTTCGATCCTTGAGTGGAAGGGTGGAAAGAGTTTGCATCATATTCGCGATCAGATATCTTAATTTAAAGTTAGTAAATTGAAGGCGAATTAGAGATAAAAAACATACGTTAGGTCCAACTTCGCACTTCTATTATACCCTCCACTGTTCATTCCGAGTTTCTCAATATGCCAGCATATTTGATCACAAAACTCCTTCGTGACCCCAGTTTCGCAACCTAGTGCTATTATTTGATCGATAGCTGTGCCATTGTTTCCAACGCTAGAGAGCTGGTCATTTCCAAAGATAGGTTTCCACAGCCTGTTTACTTCAGGGGCTACCGAGAAATAGTGTTGACTGTATCCATTTTCTCCAGAGGGGAGATGGATACTAAGCAATTGTCTTAGAGAGTTTTGGATCTCTAGAATACTGCTTGTGGCATTTACTGGGAACTCGAGGAACGTTTCCGGAACTCCATGTGGTGTTTGAGGGGACCTTGGAGGCGTGAGGGAGTTTGGCCTTCGAATACAAATAGCAGCACGGAATAGGTTCTCCCGTGGAGGCCATGGCCGCTCTGTGCTGGCAGAATAACTGTCGTCTGAGCTATAAGGGTCATATGACGGCCGAGATTCATAGCCAGGACCATCCTTTTCTGTGCGGAGTGAGGGAGCAGGACTGTTTACGATATTGGCAGCTTCGGGATGTGACGCTGGCATCGGGTTTGTGGAATCCGACGGGAAAATTGATGGCGCCATTGGGTAGCTGCCATTCTTATAGGATCGAATAATCAGGTCGGAGATTTCACTGGGGTGACCATCGTTGAACGATATTATCAAATCCTCTATCAGAGGGAAAATAGGAACATATTCTTCAGTTTCTGGCTCCTCAATAGCAAAATGTTCAACCGTGATATCTCTAGTGTCGGTGGCACGATCGATAAAAAGTCGGGCTTCTGGGTCTTTATTATCTTCCGTAGAGCTTGTCGACTTTATCGATGCTGATAATTTCTTAATCGTTGTCTCTGAAGCCTTAAGGAATGTCTTTCTAGGCAGTGTCTGAAGTCCCACCCCGCCTAGTCCGATTGATGATACCGGCCTGGCTCCATGAAATTGCTCTCGACATCTTGATTTGTTGAGAAAGAATCTGTCAACCGACCTCACTCTCCTGAGTCGCTTTTCGGGCGAGGTAGTCTGCACTTCCACGAGAAAAGCCTGACCGTAAACAGCGACCGGGGTTGGAGGCATTGACCTATGACCTTCATCCCAATGAGACAGAATATCCTCGTCGTAATCGCCATCACCGCTATCCTCGACTTGATACGTGAGGGCTGTGGTGTAACTTGATTTGGCAGTAACAGAGCGTCTAAGAGGAAAATGTCGACACTCAGCAATACTAGAGCGACTTCGTGCAGTCAGAATGCTTGGTACTGCATCATCGCTGCCACTCCCAAACAGTTCATGGTTCTTCAATTCTACCATGTCATGAGTTGCGAGAGGCTCCAACCGGACGTCCGAAATACCCCTCACACTCCCTCTCACCCCCGTGGTGTAACTCCTAGTCGAGCGTAAGTTAAAACCGTCAAATATGTTCTCCTGTAGCCCTATATCCTCAGACTGCAAAGTAGCGGTCTCGCGGTAAAGAATCTCCGCAGCTTCCACAGCCATTGTAGTGGGATCTTCGGGCATTTCACTGGTATCTTCCTCCAAATTCATCTCAAGTTCTGGCCCCATTTGGTCAACATCAGACTCTGCTTTCAGTAATCTGTTCGCCCCATGTCGCGCAATGTCGTTAAATAGTGTCTCAGCTTCCCCGATATCTCCATAGGTGAGGTTTTCAGATATTCTGGAGATACACGTTGTCCGGCCACGTACACTGCCCCCATTCATGAAAACCAATCTTGGCTGTGCGGTGGTCGAGTATCTCAGGAATGCCCTTGCTATTTCGATTCGCTCTATGAAAGCTTCGTGGACCTCGCGAATATATGCGCGGGCGTCAAATAACTGGCCTTGTTTATCTTGTGATGGGGCATTATCAAAAGATGGCAGAACAAGAATTTTCGGGGATGGTGGTAAGAGTCGCAGCTGGGTTGTGATGGTATCGGCATCGCCCTCGAAAGCTACTAATTTTCCACTCTGCTCTTGGTCTTTGGATGCATTTCCCTCCATAATATATATGCTTTGCTGATACTCTGTTCTGCCTAGGATGATACCCGTGTTTTGCGGTTGGAAAAGGAGCTCAGTTCTGCGGGTGCAATATGGTGCCTTGGAATTTCACTTAAAATCCATCTAATATAGGAAATACAGCAGCAGGGTGAGAATGAGCTGTTAGTTATGCCGTAGAATACGAAGTACCCAACAGAAGCTTTGATGGAAGAAGCCGCAAGGGGGAAATGTCACAGGGTTCAGAGCACGCATAAAGTAACAAATGTGGATAGCTTTCCCAGATCTCTAAGGGGTCTCAAACTCACAGCAGCTACTGCTGGTTGATGAGATGAAATGAGGCGTGACGGCACAGAGAACCCTAGCCAAATGAAGTACCTCCGTATATTATGGTAACGCGCATATATGAGATACACAAACATCCCTGAGGGATGCATGGACTAGGCGGACTGTCCTTCTGAAATCTCAGTTCATCAGTCAAAATGGGTGTTTGCCCAACGGACTGTTTGGGATTCACGGCAAAAAGAAAATAACTCAAGGTAGAATCCCACTTGACAGCTAACTTAAACCAAGTGGAACCAAATCCCCAGATTACAATCTTTCGGAACCAGAGAAACGACATGTCGATTACTGCACAGTTGAAGCCTAGCCAACATTTTGAGATATATGACAATCGGAACACTACAGGTGCAGATGGGTAAGTGTCACAAGTTACCAGCTGACCCGTGCCTAGTCTGGTTATAGGCCCATGATGCTCTAACCTGAGGAGCAGCCCTTAAGAAGTTGACGCCCCAGAAAACGCCGTAAAGGCAGCCGGAATCATGCCATTGCTGTGTTGTGGCAAGGAGCAAGATATTTCAGACGACTCTCTCCTTACAAATTCCCTAGCCCTCGGGTGGCTGAACTCGATTCTGAATAATTGAGAGCTAGCCCGCTGACCTCTGTTTGCGATCACTTTGGATCCGGATGCACTGCGTTTATGGGGTGTCTTTTGCGGAGATTCATATTTGTAAACGTAAACACTGGTCGCAAAATCTGCTGAGGAAATCCGCTTTGGGCACACGCCTTCGATGTCGATTCGTAAACCCCGCGTTGAGGCGTTGGAAATTGTGATTGATCGCCTAGGTTGCACCCATCAGATCTCAGATCAAGGCGTGTCTCCAATGCAAGCCTTTCCTCGGTTGTTCAAAAGTCTCAGAACGCGGGTCTTGATTGATTTCCACCCAAACCTCAAGCCAAATCTTTTCGTGGCTGTTGCTTCAATTGAGTACCGCGGCGAATTCTCGGGGCTGCACCCTTCCGCGCTGTTGTCGTTCTGCATACTTAGTATTGCAATGTTGCATGTGTGTAACCCTTCCAGACAAGCCTCCACATCCCTTGCATTTAAGAGATAAGCATTCGCCCAATTTGGATGAGATCTGGGAACTAGTCACGGTTCAGTGTCAGCCTGAAAAGCACACTGTTTCTCTTTGGTACGACTTGAGGTCGATAGCTTGGAGTTCTTCAGAAATAACCTGAACTGAAAGAGGTGGGAATTCTCCATGAGGCAGGGTGCTTGGTTGTCGGTCTGTCTAGGATTCGTAATGCAACTTTTCGGGGCGCGGCATATAGTAGCGGTGTTGATTGGGGAAAGCTGCAGCTGGTGCGAGAACTGTCAAACGCCGGGAACCCGAGACTGATGTGTGTAGGTGTAACAATTGGAAGCAGGTCATCTCCAGCAGATCTTTGTTTGTCTCACGCGAAGGGAAGGCTTCAAGCTCTTAGCCCAGAAGCGGCCGCCTCAGCTCAAATCCTGCAAAGGCTCATCAGTAGCTCATGTTTAAAATAGAATCATGGTTCTGCTTTCATCCCTTAAGACAGCCCCTATGGCAGGGTATAGTTTGTAGTAAAATGGAAATGCACTGGATCTTTAATTATTCTCATGCCACAACTGGTGGTTAAATCGGCATTGCTTTTCCTGATCTTGAGATGGAAGAAACGGCCACAGAAGACGACAGGGCGAGCCTTGGGCCAAGAGGAAAACCCCAAGGGAATTTGAGCAGAGCTAAAAACGGGATTTCTCGCGAAAAGCCTTGAAGCATGGTTGCCACGATTTAACAGGGATGAAACAGCTGGTTATAGCTAGGTCAGAAGCTCACCCGGCAGATACTATGCTTGTGTAAGACCGACATAACTCAGAGTGTCACGCTGGAGGTATAGGGGAAATCAAATGTTCAGCCATCGTCCGAATCCATCAGCTCCGCCAATTCCGCTTCCTCCTCCTCGGTCAAGAGACTTTTCTTCGGCTGCACCTGCTGTTCTTTGACCACGCCCTTGAGCTTATCTTCCCTTTCACTCCTGGCCTTGTTAAGATCTGCCCTTTCTAGCCCCCAAGTTCTTATAGTTCCATCGATACTGAAGCTTGCCACGCGATTCCCTTGACCCAGAAGTACCAGCGCAGTTATTTCCTCGTAGTGACCTTCATAGATATGCCACAGATTCCCTGTCGATTTGTCCCAGACTTTGACATTTTCATCCCTCCCAGCGGTCACAACCCAGTCAGAAGTGACAACTACAGCTCGCACGTAGTCGCCATGCGTGTATGTCTCCTGCGTACTCCAGTTTTTTTCTCTTGATAAACACTTAGCCGTCCCGTCGGCACTTGCTGTCCACAGATCTATATCTTCGTCATCGCCTGAGAATACGACCTTATACACACTGGTCTCATGCTCCCGAATAGTGTCTCGGACAGTCCTGCTCTGGGAAAGGGAAACCTCAACGGTATCGAGGATTTGGGATGCGGATGAAAGATTTATGCGCCATCGTCGAATGTGAGGATCGCTACTCGAGGATACAAGTGTAATTTCTGCATCGCTAGAGTCTTGAGGGTCAACCGCGAGGTCTTGGAGCGCCATCATAGTATCCGTCCTGTCACGTAGCGTGTGAAGACGGTCACCGGTGGCCGTATCCCACACTATAATCTTCGAGTCTGCACCGCCGGATATGAGGCACTAGAGACAATCAGCGGGAGGCGGGAATCGGCAGGGAGGAAATGTTAGCTTACGTCCTTTCCTCCAATCTTCGCACAAATTATGGCTTTAATGAAGTCGGAATGACCCTTGTACCTGCGTCCAATAACTCTACTTTCTCTATCCCAGCTCCAGATTTCCTTGTCCCAACATCCTGCAAAAACGGTTGCCCCTCCGTGACCGCCGATGGCTACAGACGTGACTGGTGCAGCTGGACCTCGATATACGATTTTCGTGTCTCTAGTCTGCATGCCAGTGTTAGCTTTAGATATTTCCTTGTCTAGACACGGTTATTCATACCTACTTCTAAGTTGACTTTTCGGACACAACCGGCACTCTCTGCGATGTAGATGCAGGCCGAGAAGGGATCCTGGATGGCGTTGAGGATTTTGGATTGTAGAACAATAGGGTTTCCATTCTTATTTCCGGATTTGGCTGCTTTGAGCGCCCTTGTGGTCTCGGAGGCATCGGTCTGGAAAAAGTGGCCGGGGTCTATTGATCGAGACATTGCTGATATGTTGTAATGTTGTTTGAAGTTCGGGGGTACGTAGTAAATGCTGTCGTAACTTTCCCGGCAATGTCACGGAGGTGGGGTTCTGTTCAAGGTTCAGTCCCTGGCAGGGGTCTCGCGTAAAGTGTAAAGTCGCGCCCGGCGCGTCGTCTCAAGCTTCAAGCACAGTACCAACAACACCAAGCCGGACACAGGATTTGTGCCACTGAAAATATCTACAATGGCCTCAACGACTACAACTCAAATTCGTGTGCGCGGCCGGCCTGCTCATACTGCCGGCCCAACATATCTCTCGTACACCCCAGACGGGACGAAATTGGTCACCGTGGGTTCGAATAACACGACCCGCGTTTACAAAACTGGTTTCGATGGAGAACCTACGAATATCGATGACTGCCAAGAGCAAAATATGGGAGTGGATTCAACAGTTAGTATAATTAGAGGCTCAATTGTATTCTGCTAATTATCTTTTCAGAATGATTTCTTCGTGTCTGGCTCAGAAGATGGAACCGTCAGCAAATACTCTTTCGATACGATGTCCTGCGATACTTTCCTTATGCGGTGTACTTTACCAATTCGAGATGTCTGTATTTCCTCAGACGGAAAATGGTGCGCTGTTGCGAGTGATGAGTTGGTGGTCAAAATCGTTGGAACCTCCGATGCAAGCTCCATGATGTACCTCCGCGAGCAATTGAAGCCGGTCAAACACATATCCTTCGATCCTAGCAGCAAATATATAGCCCTGTCATGTACCGACGGTCTGGTATACGTTTACTCGCTCCTGAATGATGAGCCTGAGCTTGTTCGAAAGGTCGATGGTCTCATCAGAATAGTGGAGACCGACAGTGAGATCAGCTCGAAAGTTGTTTGGCATCCGGATGGAAGAGTATTTGCTGCGCCGACAGCCACAAGGGATATCCAGGTAGTGTCAAAAGGTGATTGGGAGAACCAGAGAGTATTTGCAAATGGGCACTCGAGCGACGTCACGGCCCTTGCCTGGTCACCAAATGGGGCTATGTTGGCATCTGCTGGGAAGGACAGGAAGATCATCATCTGGGAAACCAAAACACAGAAGATCATTGCGAGCTATGATTATGCCAATGTAATGGACCTGGCATGGCATCCCACCAAAAATCTTCTGTCGTTTACAAATGCGGACGGAGAAGTATACATCTTCAATGATTTTATACCTGCCGAGTATGCCAATTTACTTAAGCTGGGTTTGCAACCAGCTCCGTTCATTCACGATCCTCTAACAGAGACGTCAGCCAATTCTAGACGGCAAACCACAAATGCGGCTAAGGAAATCCCGCATCGAGGTGCTCGGCGAGGTACACCGGACAGTCTAGATGATATTCTTGGATCAGATATCATGGGAGACGAGGACGACTTTGTTGTTGATGACGATGGTGCCGGGTACGCACTTGGCTTGAATGGAAATGGTAAGAGACCAAATGGCGACATAGACGGACATGCTGGCCCACTTAGCAAACGTCCTGTCCACGTTTGGGAACCGCAATTCCACCAGTCATTTCAACCCGGATCTACACCGTGGCGGGGGAATCGAAAATACATGTGCCTTAATCTTATTGGCTTTGTTTGGACCGTGGACCAAGATACTCACAACACCGTGACAGTCGAGTTCTACGACCATGAATTTTACCGCGATTTCCATTTCACGGATACATTTCTCTATGACAAGGCGTGCCTCAACGAAAATGGAACACTCTTCTCGTCACCCGCAGACCATAAGACCCTCGCTACAGTTTTCTACCGACCACATGAGACTTGGACAACTAGGACTGAATGGCGGACCGAGCTACCCAAAGGCGAGGACGTAACAGCCATCTCACTAAGCGAATCTTTTGTCACGGTCACTACTTCGGCCAATTATGTGAGAATATACACTTTATTTGGTATTCCATATAGAGTGTATAGACAAAAGAGCAGCCCCACCGTTTCATGTGCAAGCTGGAGAGACTATGTCCTTACTCTCGGTAATGGATCAGTTGGCGCGGATGGTAACACGAAATTACTGTACACCATACAGAACATCAAAAGGGACGAAATTTGCCAAAGTGAAGACATCGTTGCTTTACCTGATGGCGCAACAGTGAAGAGTGTATTTTTCTCAGACAATGGGGTGAGTTCTAATAGTGTTAGCAGTTTTGATTATGCTTGCTAATTATATGCTCAAGGACCCGTGCATCTATGACTCGACAGGAACCTTGCTCGTACTCTTGCACTGGAGAACCCCTTCTCAAGCTTCATGGGTTCCATTTCTTGATACTAAACTCCTCTCGCGTCTTGCTTCCGGCCGAAAAACAGAAAGCTACTTTCCAGTCGCGGTCGCAGATAACAAATTCCACTGCATCATTCTGAAGGGCGGCGATCTATATCCCTATTTCCCGCGACCTCTACTATCCGAATTCGATTTCGAAATTCCACTATCTTCAAATCCCAAACCCGACAGTGGCGATGGCGACCAAGATATGGATGCCACCGAAGGTGATGAATTGAAGAAATTAGAAAGCCAATTCGTTCTCAAGAGTCTCTTAGCGGCCCAGCAACAGGATCTGGTTGACTATACCAAGAGCTCCCATACACAGCGGACTGCGCTGGCTAGGATGGAGGTCGAGATTGATAAGACCTTGCTGCAGATGATGGCTGTGGAGTGTAGAGAAGGGGAAGAGAGGGGCATGAGAGCCCTAGAGATGGTTACATTATTGAGGGATCGTAGTGGTCGGATGATTGACGCCGCCGGGAAGGTTGCAGAGCGGTATGGTAGAACTGTTCTTGGGGAAAAGATTAGGGAGGTAGCTGAGGCAAGGTTATTGAACGGTATGGACGAGGACTAGATGGAATAATCCCGGGTCTGGGAAAGGAGTTATGGCGCTTGTATATATCGGCGAACTGAGATATGGGATATGAATAATAACGAAGGACTACATCATTCATCATTCAAAACTTAATATTCGCTATTTATCCGCTTTGCAATGGGCCGAAGGTTGCTAAATGTACTGCAATCCAACGTGCCGAACGGCCTGTCTAGAGCTTTCCAGCTACTAATATGAATCGCGGCCGCTACGCACTTCCATAAACACTGCCATCACGAACTGGCGGGGCCCCAGTTCCGGCTCCAAGCGGGCTACGCGCCGAAAAGCCCTTCCATCAACCACGGGTCAAATATAATCTCGCCAGCAGTGGGTCATTCTTCCGGTATCCAGCAGAGCATCTTCCATATAAAGTGCAGGAAAACGTCCTTATACTTCCCCTGGTGTTGGCGATGTTCTGTCGCTCTAGAAGTGGAGAATGTAGCTGTTGATGTTGATGGTGGCGGTTTGGAAGCCGAAGACAGATAAGGTTCGATAACAGCGAGAATGGTGCTGGGGGTACATGTATGGCCAAATCGAACCCCTTGAAAAGCACCAACCACCCATTGGGCAGGTAGATCTTTCTCTTCATCTCGCTCATACTTCATACATTTATACTTCGTATACAAGATATATACAGTTATGTGCAAATAGTTCGCTCCCCACTCTTGAGCTAGTACGAATGCTATGCATCGCCGATGGCACGCTGCAATCTGCGCCCGTTGCGTACAGTGCCACGGACAAGTGGCCGTGCTTTGGCGCCTAGAGGTCCAGATGAGCGTCGGCCGGGCGATCCTATTTCAATATCTCCTAGTTAAAGTGCACAATTTCTTTTTCGTCACTGCGGTACCTGAATCTCTCCTCGTTGTTCTTACTGCTAACTTCCTCTGCGACTGGTAAATATTGTATATTGATTGTTTTTATCTCGTTCATTCGGTGTCATTTCTAGCGAGTCTCCGCGAGTAGTGAGACATCTAATATGGCAGACGCCGAGATCCCTGTGGAGGCCCCAAAAGCTGAAGCCCCGAAGGTAGACGCTGAGAAACCTGCGGATGCCCCAAAAGCTGGAGCTTCGGAAACAGCCACTGAGAAACCTGCGAGTACCCCAAAAGTTGAAGCCCCAAAAGCCGACGACGAGAAAGCTGCAGAAGCCCCAAAAGCCGATGCTCCCAAAGCCGTTGCTCCCAAGGCAGATGCTCCCAAGGAAGATGCTCCCAAGGAAGATGCTCCCAAGGAAGCTGCCCCCAAGGAAGATGCTCCAAAAGAAGATGCTCCAAAAGAAGATGCCCCGAAAGAGGATGCCCCAAAGGAAGATGCCCCAAAAGATGCCCCCAAAGCAGATGCTGAGAAACCCGTGGACACCCCAAAAGCCGAAACAGAGCCTACACCGCCGGCAACTTCAGTTACTGAAGCAATTGTTCAAGCAGCAAGTTTCCCATAATTTACCCTGCACCGTGGAAACCATACTAAACGCCTTCTAGGCCGAGCACGTGATTGTTGAAGCTGGTACAGCTGTTGTGAAGGAGATTACAAAGAAAAGCGACGAAGATCTAAAAACCATTGGGAAAGGTCTCCATGACGAGTTTCATGAAGAGACCAAGGATGGACTCCCGTCTTTATCAGACATCGGGGGGGCCATTGTTAACGGCGTTGAGACCGTAATCGAGGAGGTAATTGAAGGAGCTGAGGTTGTTGTGAACGATATTAAAGCTCATCCGGAGCTTATTGCCGAGTAAGTCGATATAAATACGCCCTTTGAAACTTGTTGCTGAGATATATAGGGGTGCTCTAGTTCTTGGCATTGGAATTGCTTCGCTCGTCCAGCCGGAACTTATCGTGGGGAGTGTGGCGATGGTTGGGAAAATGGCTGCTGATCACGCCAAACAGACCGCCAGCAAAATTGCTGTGGAGGCCAGCTCACACGTGGTCGAGGAACTACGGAAAGATATTACCGAAGGCACTTCCAACGATGCAGCGGTTGTGGAAGCAACAACCACTCAGACAGATGTCACCACTGCCCAAACCACAGTTGATGGTACTACTGGGGACGTTGTTGCCAAAGAATCGAAATTATCTTCTCAAGAGACAAAGATCGTCATCACTGGAGGAAATGTAGCAGTGTCTTCAGATACTTCGGAAACGGCACCTGAAACTTCACCAGATGCGAAGGACTCCAAATCTGCGGAATCACCGAAGGTCGAAAATGAAAAGCCAGGAAACTCGACTGAAGATGACTCGACAGCCGAAGCAAAATCGGAAACTGCGTCTAATGAACCATCCAAAAAAGGGCTTGGCGCAGATGATAGTAAAAGTGGAAGCTCTGTCATTGTCATGGGAGGAGACAAGAGTGTGTCGGTGAAAATCTCCGAGGATGGCACAATCACTATTGGGACAGAGGCATCGTCAAAAACAGAGATAGTCAAGACGGTAACGGCGTCAGGATCTAAGTCCGATAGCGAAACTACGAAAGAAGAGGCCCCCGAGAAAGAAGTGGTAAAGGATCCCGAGGATACTATCAAGGATTCCGAACAGAAAGCCGAGATAGAGAAAGTGGCTGAGGTAGTACCTGGAGAGGCACCTCAGCACAATGCGGAGACGGAAAATGAGAAGAACCGCGAGGTAAACCTAGAGGAGGAGCCCACCAAAACATCACCGACGGAAGCCGCTACATTAGAATCCGAGAAAGTCCCCGAGGAAACAACTGAAACAGCGGAAACTCAGAATATACCCGAAGTCGATTCCCTGACAAAGGATGGTCAAGAATTAGTAGTTCCGCAGGTTATAGCTACAAAACTAGAGAAACATGTTGAGCAAACTGCAAAACCAGCCGATTCCAAGTCAGCCGAGCCTTCAGTGGGTAAGGACACAGTGGAGAATGTGGTGGTACAGAATGACTCGCATATTCACAAGAGTTTGGATGAAATTCATCAAAGTACGTCACCTGGAATTGACAATCACCCAACTAATACCTCACAGAACTCAATGCCTTGATCTCTCCAGTGGCCAAGGTAAACAGCGAAGCCAAGGATCCCGAAGTAGTGGCTCCATCCCATGCTCATACCCACGAAAGTCTCGCACAGATTCATCAGAGTGCGTTCCCCTAAGCATTTATTTGAGCTATTCTAATGTTTCCGTAGAACTCAATGATTTAGCAGCATCCGACTCGAAAGCGAAGGAGGTTGTACCTAGTCCGCCTGATGCTGACAGCCAAAAGACAACCCAAGATGCGTTGGACAAGATCCATTTGAGTATGTGTTTACTATCTCCATATAACGTTTCCAATCTAACATTTGACAGAACTTGATACTTTAGTCGAGTCTCATTCAAAGGTAAAGGAGGATCTAGCAACTTCGAACAGAGATGTGGAGCAGGAGGTTAGACAGGAAGATTTGGAGAAGATACATACCAGTAAGATATCCCACTCATGATCTCAAAACTCTCAGATGATTCTAACATGCAACAGAACTCGATGCCTTGATTGTTTACCATCAAGAAGTGAAAGAATCTGCCGCGGCTACAGTCCCAGGCCAAGCCATCACGCAAGAAGACATCCAGAATATACATCTCAGTAAGTACCTTCTCCTTAAAACGACCATACAACAGCCCTAACAACCTGATAGAACTCGATACAATGCAAGAAGCACTAGCAATCAAGCCCACCCCTACCAGCGAAGACAAATCGAACGATGTGCACCAGAGTATGAAACCTCTCCCCAACATCTTCAAAGCATCCTAACAAGATATTAGAAATGGATATCATCCACCAAGCTATCCTTGCCAACACAAAATCCGCGGATGCTCTAGTTGCAAGCAGGGAAGTTGCAGAGGCATCACCCGCCCCAGCATCTACCGAAATTGATAATCTCCATAAGAGTATGTTGCACTCGTCCTCTCGTTTCCAATAGTCTGCCCTACTAACATCTTGCCCTTTAGAATTCGACACCATGCAGGCGGCAATCAACAAACTTACCGCAGCCCTCTCCCAAAAGTTAGAAACGGACGCTGCCACCACGGAACTCCCAGGTGTCTCCAATATCCAGGGAGAAAGTGGTCCTCCAGAAGAGGCAAAAGCTGTTAGCGAAGTGGGAAACCCCATCAGCGAAGCATCTGAAAATGCTCCTGAAGTCCCCGCTTCCGATCCCGTGGCAACTAACAACGAAGGCTTAAACGAAACCCCAACCGCAGTTGCCACTACGAACGAAGAGACAGACAGCACCACTACCACCAGTGCCCCAGAAGCTTCCACCACCGAAACCTCCGCCGATGCAACCAGCAACAGCGATAATAAAACCGACGACGCCTCCACAAATACCAAAGCAGCAGAAACCAAACCTGTCACTAAGCACGTGAAGCGATCGAGCTTCTTTGGCGGGATCTTTGGATGAGAATCCGTACATGTAATAAATACGGAGGCGCGAATGTTTTGCGATGAAAGCGTATTTGCGATATACCCCAAATTGCCATCGGGTTTGTTTATTTTCAGTTGAAGAATAGTGGCGGGTTTAATTTATAATAGGAAGGAAGGGATTATATATGTTTATCTAATTTGAGAAATATGAAAGATTCTCGTCTTTATTCATGGTGCGGTAGCGATAGGTTTTGGGAAATGCTTACTTATCTCGTAGGGTCTCGTATACTAACTTGATAATGGTAAGGTTTGATATAGTACTTCCTATATTGAATTATATATGTGTTCATTAAACCCTTCCCTCCTTCCTTGGAGTAACGTCCTTCCGAACCATGGACTAAAGCTACACGTTGATATAGCAGTCCTCTTCCAACACATTCAAGACCCTAGACAGTAAGACCCAATTCTCTCCCAATAATCACGGCCGTCTTCTCACCCACAGCCAGCGCCGTGTTATTAGTATTAGCGGCCACATTCTCCGGCACCATACTCAAATCAGCAACCTTCAAGCCGCTCGTCCCATAAACATTCAACTCCCCATCAACAACCCCTCCATCCTCCTTCGGCCGCATCGCACACGTCCCCAACGAATGCCACGTGGTATTCAAATTCTCCCTAATAAAATTCTCAATAACCTCATCATCGTCCGCACTATACTCGATATTCTCTATTGGGCCTGCAGCCACCTCCGAGAGCGCCGCCTTACTCCCCTCCTTAAACTGTGGATGTCCCATTGCGAGCTCGCCCTTAGAATACGGGAGCCGGCGGGCGATTTCCCGGATCGTCTTGTAGGCCCAGACCTGCTTCTTTAGATCGGACGGGTGGTTGAGGAAACCGTTGTCGAATTCGTAGCCAGTGACCACGTCGTCTTTAGATGTTATGTGGATGGAGCCCCGCGAGTACGGGTATGCCGTGTAATTACCCATGGTTACGTATTGGCCTGCTTCAACGAGGGAGGGATCTGCTAGGAAGGCATTCACGACGCCGTAGAGCATTAGTGGTTTCGTGGGGTAGGGAGCGAAATCGCGGTCCCAGTCCTTTCGGAAGTCTGGGCCCATGGAGGCAATTTCTGATTCTGTGGGGCGGATTTTGCCTGCGACGTCTATTGATCTCAGTTAGTGAGCTGTTAAGAATGAAAAGGAATGCAAGGCCATACCAATTCCATTCCATCCAAGGAAGGGATCCTTCGCCTCCAGAGCCTTGACGAAATCTTTACGTCCACTAAGAATGGTATCCAGAGTCTCCCCTTCCTCAAGGTTGGTCTTATAAGGATACAAAAGTAGGTGGTGATCCTGGTAGTTCTCTCCCACGCCTGGCACATCAGCCACCACGGGGATATCAAGCTTTCGAAGGATTTCAGGATTGCCCACTCCCGAACGCTCCAGAATTTGTGGGGTTCCGAGAGCGCCGGCAGTAACTACTACTAGCTTCTTCGCAGTGATAGTTTTGGGGTCTGGTTTCGAGAGCGCTGTTTGAGGTTGATGTTCTGGATTGGCGATATATTCTATACCAGTGGCTCGTGGAGGCGACGACTCATCGAAAAGCACCCGAACGACTTTGGATTCTACCAGGATGTGGAGATTGGGATAGTCTCCGGACTGGAGAAGAGGATGGATATAGCGATGGGCAGCATCCTGTCGCTTTCCCTCCGGGCTCACATACCTTGCCCATTTCTGTGTCTATAAGCAAACGCCCACTTTATAGAAAGATGTAGAGATTTACGTACCCCGAAACCCCCACAAGATTCAAAATCCTGTAAATCATCAAACTCCTTGTACCCCATCTTCTTTACCGTATCTATAAACTGATTCTCGCTCTTGCCTCGGTACCCACCGTCCGAGACGTGGATAGGGCCACCATGACCATGGTTGCTTGGATCAAAATTCGTACCCCCAGGGTGATATGTCTCCAGCTTCTTGCACAGCGGAATCATCTCCTTCGCCGACCATCCTGGAGTATTCCAGCTGTCGAAATCAATTCCCTGGGCACGCGTATACATCATAAAATTGATCGACGATCCACCGCCCAGTATGCCTCCCATGGGGACAACAGCCTCTCTCCCATTGAGGTGTTCAGATTTCTTGGACTTGTAGAACTATATTCTGATCAGTCTCCGCAGCACAGACAAAAACGAGGGGCGAGAGGACTGACCAAAGCTGTCTTGCTGTCAGGAGCAAGATGGCTCAGGAACACAGCTGGATTGGTAACTGTAGGGTTATTGAAGTTATTCTTCCCGCCCTCAACAAGGAGGATTTTCAATTCTGGGTTCGCCTTCGCGAGTCGCCCAGCGGCTACACAGGCAGCGGTTCCGCCTCCGGCGAAGATAATGTCGACCTCGCCCACGGACTCATTGTACGTTGACATTTTGGCTGATATCTACTTCTACTATCCCCGTTAAGTGAATATAGGTCGGATTGGAATGATAAATCAAACGGGGATGCAATGTGGCAACTATGAGATCTTCTATGGAAGGAGCAAACGACAAACAATAAGGGTCAATTCGTTCCTCCGGGGGCGCCTTGGCTATTTATCGTCTTATTTCCCCTCACCTCAAAGTGCATACACAAGCACTGTGCGTATCACTCAGCGACCCGTACGGAGTAGGACTCGTAACTCAACAGCCAGTAGCACAGCTAGTACACTGCAGCATAATGCACAATGGCTTGTCCTTGCAAGAGATCGGTTATAGTACCTAGGTAGTATTCTCGTACTAACAGCGCCCCTCTTTCCTCTACCCGGAGCTGACATCAGCCCAAGTGGGCAGCAAAAGATGTTACTGGTACATAGTAGAGGCGGTGTTGATCTGCAACGCAATTCGAGAGAGCAAATATGAAACTAAAACGGGCTGAACAAATTGGACCCCGGGGGGAACGCTATGGGAGCAAGTGGATTGCGGGGTAAACAAATGATCGTACAAGTACAGCGACTAATGAGTGCTAAGTGCAACGCAGCGTATAGCAAGTGAGCCTCGGCGCGGCAAGAGGCGGAAATACCCCGCTTGCCTATCATTCATCGAAACTCTAAAGGTCTAGATCGACACTATCGGCTGTATGGTTATAGCGGCCTTTGAAAACAAAGATGATCGTAGGAGCAGGTCAATAATGATACTCTTAAAAATGTTCACGTTTATACTAGTGTACAATGCAAGTTTTCATCTATCCACAAGAGCAAAGCGCCATCCATGCCAGGGTCCACACTCCCAATGCCAACTTTAATAGCCGCCGTGACTCGAGCTCGCTAAAGACTTGGATGCTTAATGAAGAACTGAAATCTGTGTTGTGTACTGCTCATTCCCTATCCTTCCTATCCCCAAAAACAAAATGTTCGCAGCTTGAAACTAGCCCGACTGAAAACAACTAATGACGCCAAACCCCGTGTTGCGCTTATCGGGGAAAAAAGCAACCTGTTGTGCGCCTCAATGCCATAAAATATCGTACCAGTACAGGCGCCTGTCGTAGGCGCCAACATTGCCCCCAAGGCATCCTAGGGCATTAATATCATCATGTCATACTCGAATTTGTACAAAGAGCCACCGGCTCACCCATTATCTGCGGCCTACAAAGCTGGAATCAAATCCATGCTATTTATGCTTGAGGCGCGGTAGTCTCCGCTGCCTTCGCCTTCCTGAGGTTCGCCATCATTTTCTCAATTATCGAACTGGAATCAACAGGCACATCTGCTGGTTCATATTTGTGGGTACCCGTGAGCTGAGGCTGCGAAATTTGCATCTGCGCATCAGGTTTTGGGGCGTACTGCTGATGTGGGTATACAGGCTTTTGCTCCGAGTCTCCAGCGCGCCGCGGAGCTTGAAGCTCCGAGTGACTTGTGGACTGACGCACCGGTTGCTGCAGAGTAGAGCCGATATTGGGCGCCTGTGGGATAGGTTGTTGCTGAGGCTGAGGCTGTGTTGAGTGGGTGGAGACGGGTTTACTGTATTGTTGTGGGTGTGAAGCTGAGTGACTTGGGTAGGATGGAGCGTGGCTATAGTTTTGTGGTGGAGGTTGATGTTGAGGAGCTAGAGGCGCGTTATGACCCGCGTAATGCTGATTCGTTTGGGGAGGGGGTTGGTATGTTGGTCTATCGTACAGCGGCGGCGGCTGTAGAACAGAACTCCGATTTTGGGAGGATGAAGGGCGGGGTGGGGGGTGGTATTGAGTGTGAAACATCGGGTTGTGGTACTCTTGTCGGATGGCGGGGTGCAATTGCGATGTATCCCTCTTTTCCCAGCCGTTCGGGGGGGCTAATGTCGCTAGGGGTGTTTGAGATGGCTGATGTTTCGCCGCGGGTGTAGTCCCATAGGCCCCATATGAGGGCTGGTAAGCGGGAGGATGAGTTGAATTAGTGGTTGGTTGGTTTCCATTATATGGCATTCGCGAGTTGTTGTTATGTGCTGGAACCAAAGGATTTGAAACTGCAGTTCCCCCGCTTGGATGATTCTGGAAAAAAGTTCGCTGCAGGTGCTTTTCAAGACTGCCTTGGTAACCATTCATAAACCCACCACCAGGCCTGTAGGGGCTCTTGTATTCCAAAGGTGATCTATTGTGCTCCTTCTGCAAGTATGGATACTTCGCAAATGGATTTGGCCGCGAGCTTTGGGTTCTACCACCGAAAGGACTATTCGGCTTTGATGGCGCTGTATGTTGGAGCGAAGGCCGGTGCTGGGCCGGAGGTGCGAGAGACCTAGATACTGGCGCTCCGGGATTACCCGCTGAAGAAGGGTGTCCCGGATGTGGGTTCGAAGGGTTTGAGTCCGCGGGTTTCCATCGTGGATCCGTGCCAAAGCTGTAGGGAGTAGATCGCTGGAGGAAGTTTTGCTGGGAGCGGTAAGCTTGCGGATCGATGCGATATGCCTCTTCGTTACTGCGAGGTTTGTATATGTATGGTCTATCAGACTTGACAGCCGCAGTAGTTGGAGGCGGGGCTGGCCGGCTAGGGGGCTGAGGAGCGCTCGAGGCGTGGTATTTGGCATTTGACGGATACGAAGCCGCGTACGACTGGCGCGCGGTCGCAGCGATAGGTTTCGGAATAGTATCCAAGAAATTACCCTTTGGATTGTATGTAGGTTTCTTTGGATCTTCCGTGAACTGGGCTCTGGCTTCTGTGGAGGTCTTCCCAAGATAGAACCAGATCTGGTTCTCTTTCTCAAAGTCGATCTTGACTTGCGCCGGGTTGGCCGGGATATTCTCATTCTTGAACTCAGCCCATGTATGGCCATCAACAAAAGGATCCTCTGCCCTGGGTATGTCATTAACTTGGCGTTTAGTAGTATTGAGTGATTCCTTGTCCTTGCGTAACTTCGGCATGGGAATAGCCTTGGCTGACGGCTTGGGAAGGTGGTAATCTGCAGCATCTGGAAGAAGAAGCCACTTATATTCAACTTCAACACGGTCACTAAGACATGTTAGCACAGGCTCGTAGGTAAGGAGACTAGAAACATATCAACATACCCTCGTGGAAGAACATCTAAAAGGACAGTCTCTTCGTCCTTGCGGTTCTCCACAACTGCACCAGCAAAGATGTCGCCTCTGTAATATTGTACCTGGCAAACATCACCAATATTCAGTTCCGAGCCAGCCTTTCGGAGACGTTCACAGTCGGAAAGAGCGTCACTGTCGAACTTCTTATCTCGCTTAACGCGATGGAAACGACAGCTAAACTCTATTCCCCAGTCCTTATATTCTGTACCATCCTCCCCAAATACAGGAATGTCACCCTGCTCAACAAACACACCAGCCGCAGCCGCACAAGTGGCATGGTACGCTCTTGTACATTTCTTGCGCGAACATTGGAAGCATGCGCCTTTTTTGGATCGGCAGTAGTTGCATTTGAGATCCAGTCTACCTTTAGCGATGTACTTGATGTCTTTGACAGTCTCTTCGTCGATTGAGGTCTCGGGAATATATTGAGCGCAGATACGGTGAGCTTTCTCCCCATTTTCAGTGGGCAGCAGGGATTCAGATGGGATGTCGTTGGGGCAAAGTATACAAGGCTCCTTCGCTGGCACCTTGATGCGCACACGTATCTTCTTGGTATTGCGACTGCTGCCCTTGTCATTAACAGGGCGTTTGCGTTTCTTCTTGAGGGATTTTGTCTTTGCATCATCGATGCTTGAGGGAGGAGTAGGAAGATTTGTTGCGGGATCTCCATCCTCGTCATCTTCCTCTTCATCATCGGTCACCTCAAACTCCGTCTCTTCGCCCCGCAATTTACGCTCGAGGTCATGGACGTCAATCCAGACACTGTCCTGGGCAAGGGCACATTCGCACTTCTTCGCAACACGACCATATTCAACCCAGGAGTCTAGAGCAAAATTGACGGCCTCAGCGCAATTGTAACCCAGATTGTACCCCGAGTGATACCCGTATGGGAAAGTTATTACGAATTCTCCGGGGTTATGGACGATCTTGTTGACTTTGATGTTGAAATTTTGTAGGAGGTACGAAGGCGAGATCAGGAAAGTTTTGTGGCGAAGAAACTGGTCACACCCCTTGGCATCGGCTGGCCAGATACTCTTCATCGCTGCTTCAAATCTTCGGGCATCTCCTTGGGCGATGCTGTACCATTGTTTTGGGGCGCCGAAATGGAGGTAATTGATGCTGTACAGATCAACATCCTCAAGATGCCAAGCAAAAGTGGCCTTCCACATGCCCAGATACAAATATGCAGTGTTAACACCGGGAATTTTTGCCCCTAGCACATCAAGAATATTGTCTAGTTTGCCAAGATTCCAACTTGTAGTCCGATCGTCGAACAGTGTACCCGGCATATCGGCACCATAAAGTGGTGGGGCGTAGGTGAGTGTCTTCCAATAAGCGCGCTCAAGCTCTTGACAGCGTTCTGGAGTATATTCATCCCCGTTGAAATCGTATTTGAAGTCTTTGAAAGCGGCTTCGTCAACTTTTGCTGCCATTTCACGGCGATTATTCTTCCGACGGGACGAAACGGATATAGCCTTAGGTTGTCTTGAGCCTAGTCTAGGCTTTCCCTCATCATCATCATCCGGTTCGAGCTTGATCGAATGGCCGTCTTCCTCAGCCTTCATCGACGGGGAGACAGGTGTTGGTAGACGATCTGGGGTGCCCTGGCCTTCATCCTCTTTCTCCACCGTAGCCCCCCTAGACTTACTTTTTGCTGATTGCTTGCCTTTACTTTTCTTAGATGACCCGGCTGATGGGGTTCCGGTAGCTCTGGCCCTTGGTGCTGATCTAGTCGGTCGGTCCTGGTTTGCTCTTCTTTCTCCTCTTCTCGCCGGGGGCTGGTGATCGCTTTGGTCGCACAACTGACGCCACTGTGGAAGATTATATGATCGCTGATGTATAAGGTTCGCTTGCCGATATGTACCACTTGTGCCCATCATATCTTGCTTGATCGGTTCCTTGACTTTAATTGTCTTGACAGCTTCATCGAGTCGAGGTTGGGCGGCCTTCCATTCGGCAGGAGGGATAACTTTGACAATGCCGGATTTCATGCCATATTTGTTTATTTTGTCCATCTAGAGGCTCATTAGTCCAATTTCCAATGCCGGGAAAGTATCCTGTCCCTGGGATGAGGCACAGTGAGAGTAAACCTACATATAGCGTGAAGTCTCGGAATTGATCCATAGTCGGCACAAACACAGGCACCCCATCATTTGAATAATAAGAAGGGTATATTTCGCCTATATCGTGGGAATCGGGGGTCGGTGGTTCCTGGTCCTCGAGGTCAGAAAGCTCGCTGTCACTGGCATCCTTGGTATTAGAATCGGGCGGCGAGTGCAAGCCATTCACCTCCGTGGCAGGACCAGGAGCCGGATCAAGAACGATCGCGCCTTCGGACATTGTGTTCAGTCATGCGATCGAGTCGCAGTCGGGTTGGTATCGTGGAACGGCCTCCTGACGATAATTGCGGGATGTTGGTCGCAGCGGGGGGCGAGTCGGCCGATTTCGAGTCTGCGGAGTGACTGCGCAGCCAGCAGGCAGGCCCGCTTCGGAGTGGTCAGGGAAAGATCGATACGGGGTGTTGTAGTCCCAACGAGCGAAACTGTTTATGGCAGATGGAATGTGGTCTTTGGTCGGTCGATGTTGCGCAAAGGGATCCCCTGGTTCGATGGTTCGAAGTACATGATTCCGGCTCGCAAGCTCGGCTTCAATCTTGCCCTAACACGGATATCACGTGATATTTGCCTGAGGTATCGGGCATGAATTTCGGTTCGTCAGGCCGCCAGCATACGTCCACCTACAACTCGGTTGGCACCATTTTTGCTGCCAGACTTGTCGTTCGATAGTTGACACTCTAGTCGAGTAATGTCGTATGGTTCTACATTTCTTAGCCCGGCCCCGGGCACCTGGGAATTGTTGCGTATGTTTTTGTTCGCTTCCATGTATGCTTCGCCCGCAAGAACAATGATGGGATGTGGATACCGAGTCCTCCGTCCAGACCCCAGACTGCGCTGGTCCACAAGTCTGTTCACAAGTCGTGTAACGAAAAGGCGGAGCGGAGCGCCCTGTGGGCGGGCTGTCGTTCTGCGTATCCTTTGTTCTAATCTTGGTCAGGATGTGGTGGAAAATCATAACTGTTCTCTCTGTCCTGTCTTGTCCATATTTTCGAGAAGTAACGTGTAACGTGCATCGTGTATTAATTGAATTGCGGAGGTCAAGCGTCCTCCTTTTTACTAGTGCTTCGTTCTAGGACCTCGGGCCGGTACGTTGGATTGAATTTTGTCGATAGTGTTATGTGGGGTGGGTTTGACGTGTCACCGATGTCACCGACATCACCTTGACACGATCGACAACCTTATAATACTCCGTAAAGGACTCGATCGGGCTTCTCGTCCCTTCAGGCTACATGGGGTGCAGCGGGAACACCCGCCGGATCTGCAAGCCATAGATCCGCGAATCTCATCAGATAAGATCAGAGCAGAGCAGATGAGATGCACGTTCCATCTTTGTTTGTCCTGTCAGAGGCTGACGACATAAGCAAGCTGCCACTCGCCAGGCTACTCGTCAGAGTCCTCCTGTTGTTGTTATACATCGTACAGCATAGCATCAACGGAGGTGAATCGGTAAAGTGTGTCCTAATAATGTCGGACAGTGCAGGGAGGAGTGTGAGTAGGAAAAAGAAGAGTTGTGCTCTTGCGCGGCGTGTCAAGGTGTTGATCTCAGGAGCTTGCTTATCGTCACGTCACGGGTTGACCGGATGACCGCGACACCAACACTCCAAGTGGGTTGGACCGGGGCGTTTAGTCAGGAATCACAACGTCACTTCAACGTCGGCCGTACCTCCGCTGGTAATGGCATGCCCTTTGTTTAGTTGGAGTAGATCTTTGGCCGGGGCCCCGGGGGTTTGGCCAACGTGAACAACAGGTCCATTTCGCTATACAGTCGTCCAACCACCAGTTACTTCTCTAGGATACTTAGCATCCATTGCATCGCGTACTAGTATCCCTATCGCTTCTCTCCGCAATGTCTACATCACAGGGAGAAACAAGCTATAAAGGAGCTAAATCTCTCGAGCTACAAGGCAACTCCCTTCCATCTTCCAACCCACCTCTTCCACTTCATACAAGAACGCATCTTAGAGCACCGACTGTATACGAAGATGGATTTGAACCGACTCCAACGCAGTATTGCAAGTCGAGCAAGACTAACAGCAACGGCACGGCACAATATGTTTGACCCAGAAACTGAGCGCCGAAATGACAACACTCTGTGGGCCACAGTGCAAGGCTACTGCCGAGAGGCAGCACACTGATATGCCATGCCGAACAACTCAATCCAACTATACGAATAGGGCGCGGACGATATCTATTTTCTGTTTGTTCTCGCGGCCAAGCACATCGATGCTGATCATCAAGCACAGGATCGCCTTTCTCGCGTGGTTTTGAGGGTGAGGAAGCTTGGGGTCATCACAAAGATTTTCATACTTTCGCAGATATAAAGGGAAGCAGATACTTTTGCATCTCAGCGGTTGCGAGGAAGAACATCTATCGAAAGAGGCACTTGTCAGTTTTGACTTGATGAATGGCATTTGGACAGAGTTCTTTGGAGAATACCAGCAGTTACATCTTTAAGAGGGTCTTAGAAGGGTCTCTAGTTTTATTGCGCTGCTATGTTAATAGAATGATCCAATGGTTTAAATCAGTGCTAGTAGTATCGTACATGCTACTTCATCAAGCAAAATCCGAGCCTAAAATATTTTCTCCTATTCAAAAGAGTAACTATTCAGTTTGATATTCTAAATACTACCCCCTCATCGTCAATCAAAGCCCCACCGCCCTTTTCCATTTGCCGCTACGTTGATTCTTTTCCCTTGAGTATAAATCTTATCGGCAAGGGACCTCAGCTCTGGGCGAGTTATAGTTAAATCCCTCAAGCAACAACGACCTAGCAGAAATCACAGATCATAAGTATAGTCATGATAATCCGGGTAGATCCGAGGGAGATATTCCGACGAGAGACGGAGAGAGTGGACACTCTAAAGAAGTATAAAATCAAATCTTTAGCAGACCAAGCCTATACGTTATTCAAAAAGTAGGTAAGAGCGTTCGCACACTGCTGCACATATACTAAGTCGCATACATTCTTGATCTATAACCCCTCCAAATCGCCCATGCTCATCAAGTTCCATAGATAAATCTTGGTTGTCTTTGGTCCACAATAGGCTTCCCCTTTGGAATCTCATCTTCACCACTATGTCAAGTGCATCATCCCAAAGTAATATCGAAGCGGAATATTCTCTATCTGCCCTTCTATCTCTCCTCGACGACCTCAACATCGATCCTCCCTCTTTCTACCTTAGCTTTCAAGGAAAAGATCTCGGCAGCCACAGCTCCCTATCCACCATCTCGCTGTACATCGCTCCCATTCAGAAGACATACCTCATAAACGTCCACAGCCTCGGCAATACCACCTTCTCAACCTCCAACAGCAGCAAAACCTCTCTCAAAACCATCCTCGAATCTCCCGCTACTCCCAAAGTCATCTTTGATATCCGCAACAGCTCATACGACCTGTTTACCCATTTCGGGATTTCAGTAGATGGAATAAAATACCCCCAATTCATAGAACTCGCAACTCGCGAAGGCTTGAAGGTGTTCGTCACTGATCTGACGAAGTTGCTTTGAAAACTATTACGATACCTCTACCACAGAGAAAGCAGAATGGCACCGCGTGAAGGAAAGCGCGGCTCTACTCTCTGATCCTGAGAAGGGCGGGAGAAATGGAATCTTCAGCGAGCACCCAATGATGCCTGAAATTGTGGAGTGCTGGGCTCAAGAAGTAGCCTGTTGCTAGGTCTATACAGCGTTTACAATTCCAAGCTGCATCCCACTGGTATGAGATACTGGCGTCTAAAGGTAAAATCTGTGACGATGGATCGGATTAGGCGCTCGCAGAGCTCGTATTATGGTGGATATGAAGTGAGTGAAGATCTTGAGCCATGGGATAAAGTTGTGTATCTCGCCGACTATGTGGGAGGGGGATGATCTTATGTCAAATATATTTGCTGATGATAGGGCGGGAAGATGATATGGAGCAAAATGGGGATTTCGGATGACTTTACGGAGTATCTTTCCTATAGACTATAGACATACAATACAGTTACCCTTCATCAGAAAGTGGATAAGATCTTGCCGTGAGGTTTCCATATCTTCAAGGTTCCTAGCCCCCTTATAACGATAGTTACGAGTACAAGCACATAGCACAAAATTCCACAGAAAGTCACAAGAGGCAATTAGATCATCACAAAAAATCGGCATTCATTCATTTCCTGACTGAACAGACCGACTAGGCGTGAAAACATTAAACCATTTCCGCTTTTCCTTTTTGTTAGTAAAAAGATGCACGAAAAATGAAACGCACGCTCGCTCCCATTCCCATGCAAAAATGAGAAGCCAACCATTTTTTCATATTCATGCAAAGGTATCCGTCATCACATTGATATGCAATGTCAAAAAAAGGCGCGAACAAACAACTTATGACCCATGCCTGATTTCGCCCGCCGGGAGATGCTGCAAAAAACAAGTCGAAGGGAAATTTTTGTTACATGTGTGGGGGAATTTGCTGGAAATTCGGAGATCAATCATAGGAGAGAGATCTATGATTCGTCTGGGCGCCGGGGGGCTCCTCCACGGTTTCCACCACCTCGGCCGCGTCCGCCGCGGAAACCGTCGCCTCGGTAGCCGCCACGTCCACGATAGCCATCACCACGCCCGCCGCGGCCGCGGTGTTGACCTTGGCCTCTATCTCTGCCGCCTCGGGAGCGCTGGACTTCGTGGAAGCCGTCGTCCTTGCTGGCTGGGGCAGCAGTGGTTGTCTATATAGCACCGACAAGTTAGCAAAAGCTTTACAGTCTGGGAGAAGTGTGCTGATAGGGGGGGCACTAACCTCGGTAGGGCTGTCTGGTTGGTCATCGGCCCAGCTGTTTTGGCCAGCGGCGTTTGCAGGGACAGGTATAGAAGCAGTCACGGCCACTCCAGGACCGGTCTCCGTAACAGCATCGCGAGGAACCTCAACCCATTCCTGAGAGGTGGACAGCTCATTCGGTATGTCAAAATCAGTAGCGGCGCCGGCAACTACATCACCGTTGACTGGGATCTTTGGAAGATCTTGAGCATTCTCGATGTTGCCATTTGTTGCTTCAGGCTCGGTGACGTTCAAAATTGTAGCATCGCTCTCCTCCTTGATCTCCAACTCAGCCACAGATTCGGTAACACCCTCGAGAACGGCGACTTGGGGAGCCTGAGCAAGTGTGACACGCTTGATATCGGCATCTGGAAAAAAATATGTTAGTGGAGGGTCATGACGAGACGATCGTGGTAACCTACAAGTGACAGTCAAGATTTCATTGTTGACTGAGGTGACGGCATCACTAGAGCCATTGATGAGATTTAGCATTGAAGCAACTGCGTTTCCATCACCAGTGTACACCCTAGCCAGAAGTCCCTCAAGAGCCTTATTCTCCTCCAGCTCAGGGTCCTCATCCTCTCCTCGTCGAATAGCGGCTAATCTTAGGAATTGCGACAGTAGCAGAAGATTGCTCTCTTGTTCCTTTCGGGCTGTGGTCACTGCCTCGGTCTTGGCTGCAACAACTGCGTCCTCGAGCTCCTTGCTTGCACGCTCGGTGAGGGTCTTCTCAAAATCCGCCTTCTCAGCCTGGGATCTGGCCTTGTACTCCTGGTCGAACTTCTTGTACTGGGCGATCTGCTCCTCCAACTGTGCCAGGGATGCTTGAAGAGCTGGCTTCTTTAAGATCTGGGCCTTCTGGTCGGCATTGATTTTGCGCTCCGCAACCAATTGATCGAGGGTCTTGCCAGAATGTTCCGCAACGATGCCGTCAACCTTGGAGGCATTGGCCTGTAACAATTCCGTTAGGTTCAGCTCTAGATACATCTGGGGACCGACTTACAATTTTCTTGTTGGCATTGCGGATGTTCCTGGACATTTATTAGCTTCGGGTTGACCTAGGTAAGGGGATTTCCCGCTCGACATGGCAGTGGGTTTCAGAGGACTATACTCACTTGTACAGCTCCTTGATATACGGACTCTCGTAAGAACCATCCCCGCTGTTGCTTGCTGCTTGACTGGTGGATATGGGAGCCTCGCCAGACGCGGTGGTGGAAGCTTCTGTTTCGGTCGAGGGGGTCTTGGCCTTCTTCTTCCTCGCAGTCTTAGATTCGGATCTAACTGCCGGGTTCTGAGTTGGAATCGCAGCGGCAGCCATGGTGAAGATTGAATAAAGCTTCGAGGCTGTCTTGGGGGATTTGTGGAAAGTTGTGGTACAACGACTCTAGAAAGTCGCGGCGGAAGGCAAGAGTATTTTCGTGGGAAGGTTAGGTCTTAGGCGAGTGTGCGAGTAGGCAGTACTCGTGCGGTCAAACAAATGGTGTAGGTTTTAAAATAAGTAGCGGCGCGCAGCTTGATGTGAAATTTTTGTAGTTGTCAAAAGTGAGGTTCTGAGATTCTGTTTCCAGGCCAGGCCAGGCAGGGTCTCCCAGAGACAAAGGGCCTCGCCGAGCTCCTCTAAGCGAAAGCCGGAAGAAACAGACGGAATCAAATCGCAGGGAAACGGAGTCATTCACCGAATCCCCAACTCAGTGATAAATCAATCAGCCAATAAATAGAGCGCCGCAGTTTTACGATTAAGGTGGTGTCTATATGAATGATATTGTATTACGTCGGTTAAGGGGTTTGAGGCAATAAAGACATTGTTATTCTACTCTTCCCCATGGGGCAGGGTTTCCACTGTGGTAGCTGGAGGGTGCGTCCCTAACCAACGGCTTCTGTTGTCTGTCCGACCTGACACGACGCGATCTGCACTGTAGGTATTCGTGAGGTGGTGTCTTGCCTTGCGAATAACCCATTTCGCCCGGTTCATAACCACCTCAATAGCCTTATAAACTGCTAGTTCTTGTGCCCCATATCCATCCCCATCCATACTCTATAGGTCATGGATTACTATCGGTCCAAGGTGGTAGTGATTATAATTCGGATAGCGTCAGAAGCTCTCTGTAACCCCGCGAGTCATTGAACCGCCCACCACCGTCTATGTATAACCTTCGCTCTATCCCCGGACGGGTTGTTGGTCTGCCAGATCCTGGGGTTGTCATTCTCAACCCTTGAATTTCGAAAGCGATGTCTATCCCAACACTGATCAGAATGTATTAATGTAATATTGAGGCACAGCACATACCTCGGTGACCTTCTTTACACTCCTGGCACTGATGCCGCGTTCCCCCGCCTGCTTCGCGTTGATGCCGGCTTCTTTCATTAAACTGTAGATAGCTGTTAGTATTTTATACCATACGCAAAAGTCTCCGGTGGAGTGACGATTGGTAGGACAGAAAGGCGGGTAGCATACGTCTGGAGAAACAGAGCATAATCGAGGAATATCTGCACCAGGTAAGCTTGTGCCCGAGTCTGAGTCTGGAGTGGAGTAGAAACGCGTCAATCCAATGCGTACCAGAATATCGACGTTCTTGGTGAGACTGCGCTTCGAGTGTGCCTTGACAATCTTCTTGAGGGTCGCGCGAGGGTAGAGCTTCTGGGCCGCTGCCATTGTTATGATGATGATGATGATGATGATGCCGAAGCAAGATGGAGTGCTGTGGCTTGTATGGAGGACGATATAGTTACAGAAGTAGATGCATCAAGGTAAGAAGGCTGTGAGTTGTTTGTTATTTTCTTTTGTTTGGTTTGGTTTTTTGGCGGGAAGGACAAGAAACGTCATGCTCAGCCTTCTGGGCGTATTCTGGGCGTGTTCTGGGCGAGTGCCGACCGCCGACGCGCCCGGTTAGTGACGGCGCTGCGCGGGGAGCAACACCGAGCAGACGCCTAATACTAAGTAAGAGTACGCAATAATATGGAGTACTGTAAGTACTTTGTACACCTTAAGGTCTTTTGCTGCTACGGTGCGTACAAAGTACTACGCACGCACGCCCTACGCACTACGCTGATTAACCTTAACCACCTTAATTGGACGCGTGACTGCCCCCTCCTTCCCACTACGGCACCACCCCACCACCGTCTTATCTCATGTTTATATATCAGAGGCCGCGCCTGCTCTTTGCATTGAGATCCAGTCTCTATCGCTCACCAGGTATCCAGACGCGGGCTTTGACTTACGCTCGTCCTCTCGCCATTCCAGTTGCAAGAACAAGCACAATTACAAGTTCAGGTCGTCCTGTCTCTCGGTGCCCAAGACCAGCAGTTTCCCTAAGCCTCCAATTGCGTGCCATACAAACAACTCGATATCTCGCCAGCATGGCTCCCGTCACCGTAGCGGACCGGGACGTTCTACCGGACTCCGTCAAACCCATCAATTACGACATCTCCATCTTCGATATCGAACTTGGTGGTGCGTTCAGCTACCAGGGCACCGTCAGCATCCTCTCGAAGATTACCACCCCGACGAGGGAGATTGTTTTGAACAGCCACCAGCTCAAAATCCACAGTGCCGAGGTCAGTTTGGAGCATACCAAGACCCAGCAAGTTTTCAAGTCCACTGGGACATCGTACGATGTCCAGAGCCAGCGTGCAACTCTCTCCTTCCCGGATGAGCTCCCGGTCTCCGAGAAGGCCCTACTTGTCATCAAATTCCAAGGAACAATCAATAATGACATGGCCGGCTTCTACCGGTCGAGATATACGCCCGCAGTTACGCCAGCGCCATCAGTGCCGAAGGATGGAGACGACCACGTGATGTTCTCAACCCAATTCGAGAGTTGTGATGCTCGTCGAACATTCCCATGTTTCGATGAGCCCAACCTAAAGGCCACCTTTGACTTCGAAATCGAACTGCCAGAGGATCAGGTGGCGCTGAGCAACATGCCTGAAAATGGCGTGAGAAAGTCCAAGGATGGGTTCAAGGTCGTGTCCTTTGAGAGAACTCCAATCATGAGTACCTATCTGCTCGCATGGGCAATGGGAGACTTCGAGTATATCGAAGATTTCACAAAACGGAAGTATAATGGCAAGAACATCCCCGTCCGCGTATACACAACCAGGGGGTTGAAACACCAAGCAGAGTATGCTCTTCAGCATGCTCCGCAGACCATCGATTACTTTTCCGAAATCTTTGACATTGATTACCCACTCCCAAAAGCAGATCTACTTGCTGTTCATGAATTTGTAAGTACTAATACGGAACCAATCTCCATTGGATCATGGGTATTTGACATTTACTAACTTATCATTCTAGTCGCATGGCGCTATGGGTTCGTCATTACATTGTTTTTATACAGCGCTCAACCGCTAACACGCTTTTAGAAAACTGGGGCCTCGTTACCTACAGAACCACAGCCGTGCTCTTTGATGAGAAAACATCTGAGGCGAGGTTTAAGAACAGGGTCGCCTATGTCGTCGCTCACGAGCTGGCTCATCAGTGGTTCGGCAACCTCGTTACCATGGACTGGTGGAGCGAACTTTGGCTTAATGAGGGTTTCGCTACATGGGTGGGTTGGCTGGCGATAGACCATATCCACCCGGACTGGAATGTTTGGCCTCAATTCGTGGCGGAAGGAATGCAAACCGCTTTTACCCTTGATTCGCTTCGTAGCTCTCATCCCATTGAAGTCCCTGTGCGAGATGGCCTCGAGGTTGATCAAATCTTTGATGCAATCAGCTATCAAAAGGGTAGCGCCGTCATTCGCATGTTGGCTGCGCATCTTGGCCGCGAAACCTTCCTCAAGGGCGTTTCTAATTACCTCAAGTCCCATGCTTATGGAAACGCCACGACCAATGATCTTTGGTCCGCACTGAGCGAAGCCTCCGGCCAGGATGTGAACGGTTTGATCGACAACTGGATCCGCAAAGTCGGATTCCCAGTGGTAACTGTGGCTGAAGAACCCGGTCAGATCAGCCTCAAACAGTCCCGCTACTTATCCACCGGGGATGTCAAGCCAGAGGAGGATACGACCACTTGGTGGGTTCCTCTAGGACTAGAAGGCAAAGCCGGCGCTCAAGGCGTCACCTCCATCGGTCTCACGGATAAAGAGACTGTTATTAGAGATATTGACGATTCATTCTACAAGATTAACAAAGATAACGCTGGCTTTTATAGAACGAACTACCCCCCAGCAAGACTAGCTAAGTTAGGCACCCAGATCGATCGGCTTAGCACCGCTGACAAGATTGGTACGTACCCCATACTTCGCGATGAATGTGAGCTGACTTTTCGATTTAGGCGTGATTGGTGATGCGGGAGCTTTGGCGTTTTCTGGGCAGGCCACAACGGCCGGCCTACTCGCCTTTGTCGAAGGTCTCCAATCTGAGTCAAATTACTTGGTGTGGTCACAGGTTTTGAGCTCCTTGGGAACAGTCAAGTCGGTCTTCGCTGAGAATGAAGAAATCTCAGAGGGCCTAAAGAAATTCGCTCTCACTCTCATTACCCCAGCAGTTGAGAAGATTGGTTGGGAGCCATCGCCAAATGAGGACTATCTTACCGGCCAGCTTCGTACTCTCCTCATCCTCACCGCAGGACTGAATGGACATGAAGGGTTTGTCTGCGCTTCTCCGACTTTAAACTGGTCGGCTAACATAAAATAGCATTACCTCTGAAGCACAACGCCGATTTGAGCTCTACATGAATGGCAATGACAAAACGGCCATTCCTTCTAACCTCCGGTCGGCAATTTTTGGTATCTCAATGCGCCACGGCGACAAATCGGAATACCAAGCTCTAAAGAAGGAGTGGCAGACGACAACTTCGATCGATGGCAAAGAGATCTCTCTTCGAGCCATGGGACGTCTAAGGAATCTCGAGCTTCTACCAGATTACCTCGACTTCATCTTCACCACGGTCGCCACGCAAGATAAGCACACCGGTGCCATGGCCTTAGCCGCGAATTCCGAGACCCGTGACCCATTGTGGAAGTACATCCAAGAAAACTTCGACACTATTTATGCATCCCTATCAAAGAACATGGTTGTCCTCGATCGGTTCCTGAAAGTGAGTTTGCAGAAATTCAATGGTAAGGAGGTTGAGCAAGAGATTTCGATTTTCTTTGAGCCAAAGGATAATCGCGGATATGATCGTACTTTGAATGTCATCCGGGATACTATCCTAAGTCGGGCTGCCTATAAAGAAAGGGATGGCAAGCTCATCTTAGAATGGCTGAAGACACACGGATATGCCTAAAAGGAAAAATTAAGTGGACCATTATCAAGGGAAAGTAAAATAGCTAACGGTAGGGAAAATTCCAAAAAATATATATGTAAACAATGAAATATCTAGTTTACCTGAGCCAAGACACAACAGCCAAATACACTTGACCCTTTCGATACAGGATCTCGGTATGTAGAGCTCTGCTGTTCTGAACAAATCATGGGAAGCCCAAAACTATGATCTCACTCATTACCGCTTAGAAATGCAAACCATTTATCAAAAGGCTGTCTGTCCGTGACCAAGGCGCATGGAGTATGTATTAAATCACTCCCGGTCATTAATCACCTGACCAAATAGGGGCTCGCTTAAATAAGGGGGGCTTAGGTTTGGGTGCGTCTAGGCAGAAGGGGTTCAAGGCGAGCCATGAAGCGGTATGATTGACCGAGAATGGCGGGGAGGGAGTGAGAGATGGCCAGTGCCAAGCATTGGGCAGCTAAGTACCTAGGTAGGTGAGTAGGTGCTTACGAGGTGGATGGGTACCGAGAGAAACTGGTAATGCTTAGGGCCGACAGTTCGTGGTCTATCTCAGGTTCCTTAGACAATTGATTCAGGTTCTCTTCTTTGATCTCTGACTGAAAATCTTTAGGTACGCTTCCTTATCCCCGCACGAACCTTGCCATAGTACTCTCTAGCCTAGTCCTTCCCTCCTGTCACTTCAACTTCGACAGATCTAGATCAAGTTCCAAGCGGCTTTCGAACAATTGAGGCCCTATACTAAGCAAATCCTTTCCCGCCGCAGAGCAAGATCACCCATGGTAGCATTCTTGTCGTCAATCTGCACGAAACGGTCGGCTCCATAGGCGTAAAAAACATCAAACCGCTCGAACACGGCAGCTTTCTCGGGGTGTGGTCGTAGGAGCAAGGCTGCCAGCCCGGTGGAACCTTTAAATCCGATGGGGCCTATCCAACCGTCGGTGGAAGCCAGGAGCAAGCAGGTAAACACATAGCTATCCTTTTTCTTAAATAACTTGACAACCTCGGGTTCGGCCACCTGGAAAGTGAAGGTCTCGCGTACGCGAAACAAGCTGGTATCTTGTTCGGAGCCGACTCGCTGGGTATTACCAATGTGCAATATTGACCACTCGGGTGGTAGCTCAAGATGGCATTCGCAGTCGTCTAGAGGGCGTGGAAACCATTTACCAGTGGTCGCCACGACTTGGAATACCCAGCAATCCATGTGTAGGCCAATGGCAAGGCCAGCCTCCGACTCACAGCAGATAGATTCCACTGCTTGGCTCAATCGAACAGTCCGGCCACTTTGGTACTCGACATCGATTGAAGATATATGAGCTTTGGGATTCTCTTTCAAAGGGAGTTTACAGAGCTTCGAGGAGCTTATCTCCGTAGCGGAGGAGTAGTCCCAAGCTGTGCTCGACGGGGCCTTCATCCAGCCCAGCCATGTCCAACTAGGAAAGCCAGGTCGCCGCTCCAAAGCTCGGGTCCATCGGTACGATGCATCATTCTCAATAGACCACGATAGGGAAGTAGCTAGCAACATGTGACTTGAGAGATCCTCTATCTTTCCCCTTTGACCCATTACTCGTAATGGGAGGCAGCCAAACGTGGGTGTGCCCATCCGCTTAAACGCTTGCAGAATGCCTCGAATGGCATTATAAGCATCACTTTGGTGTGACAGGTCTCTCTTCATATAGTCGATGAGGTGGCTGAAAAACGTCTCCGGCGATCCAGAAATTTTCATATCACGGAGCCACTTATTATTGTCCACGGGGACTAAGGGGATGGAGTCAAGGGTCTCCATGCCATCCATTTTTCCGCATCGAAACAGCACTCCAGCTTTGGTGAACAGCAAGAGTCTTGGGGAGAGCAGGCCCTCTTGGAATGTCCAACCTCGGGTAAACCATTTGCAGTTTCGGACGATATTGCCCGTTGGCACGGTATAGGTGAGCGTACAACGTCCAACTGTTGTCATAGGCGGAATTATCCGTTCTCCAGTTGTCACACCTAGAAGTCCACACTCCGGACCGTCACTAGCCGCATCGACTATGGTGAGTTTAGCGTTTGAGTAAATGAGATCCATGCACCCAATCAACTTGTCTTTTATCGAAAAGGCAGCACTCGACTGTGGAATACAATAACGATCAACCCATAGATAGCGATATCCCATCTTTTGAACAACCACCATCGCATCGCTGATGACCCTTGGGGGTACGCCTGGGAGGGTAAGGTCTGGTACGATATCAGGATCGCCGCCCTGGCCCCAGACATAGCTAAGGGTGATATAGTCGTCATCTAGGGTAGGAAGCTGAACTACCAGGCTGGTTTCGCAATCAATGACATGCAAAATATCGAGCGGCAATTCTGATTTCTCCCCGCAGAGGGCGCCGTGCTTTTCATCGCAGTAAGCTGTCCAAGCTTGGAGAAGAGCGTAATCAATCTTGTCAGGCTGGATGACCCGACGTGGGATCAGTGTAGAATGCGTATATGCCCGAGTCTCGGTGCTCACGCCAGCTTCAACGAACTTGTAACGGCTTCGTGGTTGTTTATTGACTATCCGCATTTGATGCCCGTAGTTTACAAAATCAAGAGTAATCATATCATATCGCAGTGGTTCTTCATCCGAGTCGTCGGGTATCTGAGCGGCATGGTGGGCACGGCGGCAGTCGAAAATGAAATTGCAGGTCGAGCAATTCGGATCGTTGAATCTGCATGCTCCAGGGTTGCTCGTCCACGTTGACTTATATGGATATGAGTACATGTATTCCTCAGAGCCCCAGGGAATCCTGGAACATTCGCTGCACTTATAGCCATCCCCACCCTTACCCTTACCCTGAGAACCAGACATGGCTCTCTAGAGCCAAGCGTATGTCAAGTGGTGCGTATGGGTGGTGTTACGAGTGATCTGTTATGAGGGTGGAAGATAGTTGATGCTTCTACCTGGAAAGTGGGGTAGTCTGTTGAGGAGAAGATCGAAGACGATCCAATGTTCTTGAATAAGTAACTGTTAACTGTTAGTATTATGAGCAACGAATAAGCCAAAGTGGCAGTTAACTATACAAAGTAAGTGGATAATAGTCAAGAAAGTCGTAACCCAAGTGTGGACAAGGACGACTAATCTAATAACAGCAGTACAGGCCTTGGAGGCGCTTAAGTAAGTAGGCTGTGCTTACGCCAAGCTTAATTCATCAACACTAATCCGTATTCTGACACTCCTGGGCCACTGGGCCAAGCCTAGTGCACTATTGTTTACGTTTCCTCACTTTGCTCCAATAACTTTTGTTAGTCAAGCAGATCTTCTCACCTTTCTAAATAGAAATAGATTTCCCTCACGCTAAGATTGGAGTGTGATATGGAGCTGTTATCGTGAGTTCGTCAGAAGTACCAACGGTAGGAAAGCAACCGCTAACAAGCAACCCTCTAATCTACACCTCACAAAAACAACAAGAAGTATTTAGAAGAAGAATACTCAGGCAAGTGAGTTAACATGATTAATATAACGCCTCTGTTATTTTTCAACTATTCTGAACAAAAAGTGACCCTCGAGCGAGGCTCTAATGCACATAACTCCCTCTTTGCATCCAAGTTATGAGCATGCTTGGGCTCCGGCCATCATTAAAAGGTTACTTTTCCCTCATCTCCAACCATGAATCCAGGTCCAGATGTCCCATCATCTGGTGATGGCCCGGTCCGCTGAGACGATGCAACACCACTTCCTATTGCAAAAATAGCAGAAAACCCCACAACAAACCACTGCAATACCAACAGTGTCGTTCCACTCTTAATCAACACATCCCCACCCCCATTCGCGGAAATAAATTCCAGCGCAGCAGCCGTCTGCTGGCTTCCTACAGTCATAGCAGTAGCCAACCCAACACTCATCCACACTGAGCTCTGTGTGGCTGTCTTCAGGAAGCGCCGGCGAGTACAGGCTTTGGCTGTAGTGTCCTGGCTGCGAAGATCGCGCTCGAGGAGTAGTATGAGGACAAATGAGAGGATGAAAATGAATCCGGATAATACAAGGAGGAAAATAAATATGCGGGATTGGATGGTGCTTGCTAGGTCGAAGAGAGAAATTGCGCCGTTATCCGACGTGTGTGTGAACGAGGAGGCGAGGTGAGTACCGGATTTCCCGAAGGTGGAGACACAGGTGAGGTTCTTGGAGCCTATGGTCGTGCACATGCCTGGTGTATGATGTTAGTGTTTATGGTCAAGCAATATACTACTAAGGGATACTAGAAGTACTTACCAAAATATCCGATGTGGATAGTCAAATTCGCTGCTGGGCCAGAGGTCTCATTGGCCTTTTGGAGAGAGACCAAGTATATGTTTGGGATTCCAGGGGAGCGAGATGAGCTTCCTGCCAGAACCAAAACTAATGTTGTTCAGAATGAATCCCAAAAAATTTGGAGAAAGAAACTCACTGTAGAAAAGGATAATTGGAACTGCCAACAGCAAAAGCACAAATTGAGCAATATTTTTGGCTCCGCTCATTCCTGCAAAAATACACAATGAGTTACATATTCCATTGCTTCAGTGAGAGGATAGCATTACCTTTGAACGCCATGATTAAATGAAGTTGTAACTTTTCCGTCCTGCGAAAAATGAAATGGGAGAAAGATGCGGAGGAAGGGAAAGGTCGAGAGGAAAATATGATAGCAAACTGGAGAGAGAATTATGAATCTATGACACCAAAGCAAATGAAGGAAAACCGAAAGAAAAGGGAAACACAGTTGACTAGAGAATAACACACCGAGATAAATTTTCTAGATAGATTGTCATTGCCCTCCTTATACCCATATCTTTCAAGTCAAACATGGAAGTCTAGATTTATTTATGGCACGCATTTCCTGAAACGGCGTGCTTCGAACTGACCCCGGCGTCGCCATTCAATCAAGTTCCAAGCTGCGGTGCTGGTGGGCCAATGGGTTGCGGTTTCTGAACTGGCGCTTCTAGGTCGTTTCGCGATTTTGATTGGCCGGCGCTAAATACCTTGAAATCACTGAGTGGGATATCATGCCTGACTGTTTCGGCGGTAAATTTGTTGGTCAATAATTATCTTGGAGCTTTCCTTTGATTCAAAATCTTCGTCACTATTCTTAGAGCGCGAAGAGTAGCGCAAAAATGTATGATGTTGTCGATGCCGAAGCGAAAAGGGGGGGAGATATCACGTGATGTAAATATAAAACACCCAGTGATTTCCATATCATCCAGTCAGCAGGACCGAAGAAACAGGTATTTGCTATAATGATTTTAATTTCTCTGCATCTAATCTATGACTTCTAGAATTCATCAGTCATTGCAGACATAACCGAGGTCCATTTTGGTAGCACCTTTCTAACTTAGCTCGGAGTTCGTTGGTTTTCGTCCTCAACCTTCTTCATTGCCTCCGCGGCCTCCTTGGCGGCTTTCTTTGTCTCCTTATCAAGTACGGACACATTGCTAATCCACTCGAATCTCTCCCTCCAAAATGCAAACCTTTCCTTCGACCATACCGGCTCGCCCTTCCAGTTTGAGTCGGCTCTGTGACAGTCATAGTCGCCTGTCATTGGGCGTCCATTCATCTCATATATGCCCGAGGCGTTGATCTTCATCCACATGGCAGCCGCGGGGACAGAGCTATTCAATGTTCTGACATCGCGGAGTTCGAATTGGTGGGCTCGCCAAGTAGGGTAATCATCGTCTTCTAGGTCTTCCTCCTCGTCGAGGTCAGGGTGGTGGAAAACTTCCCAGGGAGTTTTCTCGAGAGCTTGTCTCATCAGGAGGGCCGCGCGAGGTCTCTCATCGAGCTCTGGGGCACCACAGAGGGAGAGTTTTGCCCCAAAAGCGTTCATATTGATCCAGCCCTGGCGATTAGCTGCACGTTCCTCGGCAGGTTCCCAAGAGGGTAGATCCAAGTCTAAGGTAGGGGCATCAAGTTAGACAAATGAGTTTTGATGCCGAGGAATCATTTAATACGATGGTACATAAATGAGGGTGACTTACAGTCGAATGCGAACTCTGTCCAGTGCTCCCTAAAATCCTGCATACAGCCAATAATGCCCGCTTGGTCCGGAACCTTCTGAAACTCAATTACCAGTTCAACCAGCTTATCGTTGTAATCTGTGAGCTGTTTAATGGCCGCCTCAATTGTGCGCCAGAGACGGAAACAGTCCACCGTCTTGCCGGGATTTTTCTCTAGCTCTTTTAGTATAGGAGTGGCAAGCTCAAGTGCCACCTGGGAGATGGGAACTGTAGGGTCTGAAAATAATTTTCTGAGGGCCGAGAGTTGGATTGATTCCACTGGATACTCCTCCTTTTCTTGGGCCGCGATGAAGTCTTCCCAGCAATTCCAGATGACGTGGGCTACCAACATGATTGTAGCTAGGTGGTGGTGAGAAGGTTCCAAGGGAAATTTCGGGTTTGACGCGGGCAATTAGATCTTGAAATGTGATGGTAACCGAGGAACTGAAGATATTATAGGAGAGAGCAACAACCCCAACTTCGCGAGATTCACCTATAATAAAAATGAGACATATAGTCAGCAAGTCGATGGTATTTAAGCATGTAGCATCAAGGTAGTACCATTCCAACTTCAATGCCTTATGGAGTGTCTGACGGGCTGGATTTAATGTTGGTAGCGCAAGTGGGATTAGATTACATAGTAGCATAGTTTCGGCTCTTACTGTAGCTCAATGCTGTTGGATAAGCAGGCGCACGCTACATCATAATTAGTTCGAATTTCGACTGCATGAATGATGTTCTGCGAAACGGCCCGAAGCTGATCCCGAGACGTCGGAGATACCTATATTTTTGTCGGCCGATATTACGGACAAGTAAAAATCTAAATAATAATAGAGGCTACGGAGTGTGACACTCTGCAATTACCAATATCTGCGTGGTCTACTCGTACCGCAGTCAATTACTCGCACAAGTAAATCAAAACAGGATTCACAAGCTCATGGTATCAATATAATATCATAATATGTTCGGAAATAGTATGACCCGAGCATCTATACACTAAGGGGAAACAGATTGTGCCCACAAGAAGAATATTAACTAGTAGCCACATGATATCGATTGTTCCATTGACACTTATCTGATGTGTGGAACATCTCCCTTGGAACTTGAGGTCGTATTTCGTAAGGAATCGTCCGCTATTGATTACACCGCAACTTGGACTATATAATCCCACAGCTGGCTTAATGCTAAACCTCGTTACTAGCAAGGAACCGTCTGTTGTTGAGGATACTACAGCCAAAAGCAAGGAATCTTACCTGCAGTTCGTGTCCTAGAGGTGTTATCAACTCAAGTAATCGTCAGATACTTCGCCGGTGCTTAATGTGCACGGGCATAATCCTTTTCTGTTTGGGATTTGCTCAACGGCGTACAGTGCATCATACTTGGGGGCGGGGTATCTTTTCTAGGCTTCTCGTGTTGCAGAATGCAAATGCGTCGTGAAGTTGGAACTCCAATATAACCGTGCTGTTAAAAATATGTACATAAGTTGGACTCAGTCAGTTGTCTGGTACAGTACCCATTCCTACACCAGGCTTCTTCTGCAACTCACCAACTCCATATCAACTCCTATACCAATCTTCTCTTTCAATTTATATATCTTCCACATCTTTATTCACCAAGTTACTTATTCCTTGAGAATTGCCACCCCACAATCTGTCACGATGTTTTCACCGAGAGCTGTTGTAACTATCTTGCTCCTGGTCAGCACCAACCTTACTGGTTTTGCGAGCGCCTACCCTACCGATGATATATCTAGCCGTGAGGTCGGTTATGTCGAGCCCATCACTATCCCACTTGACATCGAGGCACAGCTCCAAACCCGAAAGCCGGAGACGGAGGGTTTCGGATTGCCTGAGGACCAAATGCTCCAGACGAGGGCCCTGAGCATCAGAATCGCCCCGGGAAAGCCTTCTGCTTCTGCGAATTGCCCAGCGACGTACAATGGTCCAGGCAGGAACTACCAAGCGCGTGTGTACACAGTGAATCAGATCACGGCAGCCATGACGGCTGGCGCACAATTGCTTGCAAACAATAAGCAAACTGGCGCACGTAAGTGCTAGCATTAATTCACTGCCTATTCCATAGTTGCTTTATCAAGCTGACTTTTCGGATATAGAAAAATACCCGCATGACTTCATGAACCTGGAGAGGCTCAGATTTGCCTGTGGAAAATCGAAGCAGGAGTTTCCCATTCAGCCGGACAATCGTGTCTACAATGGCGGATCTGTCAATGACGTCCCAGATCGTGTTATTTTCGAGTACAAGAAGACTAAAACGGACCTGCTAATCACTTATTGTGGAGTCATACGCCACGGCCCCCGCACAGATTTCCTCAACTGCTAGAGAGCGCTTAGCAGACCGCTACTAAGTTGGTTTTATTGAAGAAAAGAACGGAAACCTCAGCGAACTTGCTTTCTTCATATTTTGGATATACTCTTGGTTTCATGAGATAGCTGTCGCTTGGTTATTGTATCTTTAATCTACACTTTGATTAACTCTAACCATGGTGAACCTTTTCTTCTCGTATTCTGGTGTGCTCTCTTGTTTTTACGAGCCGGCCCAGCCATTGATTATGTATTTCTAGCCACACTCGAATAGCTTTCAACAATTTCTCGATTATTCCACAATATTATCGAGGATTCATCCCCTGATATTCATACTTCTGCTTTAAATGGAAGGCGGAAACAGAAATATGATATTCCCATCGCTTTCATATCAGCCATAGGCGTCATTATCTACTACGCTTCAACGTGACCTAGCAGAGAGAAGAAAATCGGAGGGAACAACATGGTCCGTATAAATATAGAAGCCAAGCACAATGGAACTATTTCCAAGGACTAGTTTCGAGAAGCCAATCTATAACGAAAAAGCGTAATTCAAGAATCGAGAAGCTAGTTCGTCTCATTCAACAGGCACAGCCCAAAATGAATCAGCGTAGAGCAAAATCATGCGGCAGTCATCAATGACAAGTAGTAGACGGTCTCCAAAGTTCAACTTTAAAGGTCTTGCTTCGTATCCAGACTGCTAATAATATCATAAAATCGTGATCGAGAAATAACAATCAATATTCTCACAGCCCAACAAGTGGTCAAAATGGCAAATTCAAATGACATCGCCCTCCAATACATATATAAATCGGTAAAATCAAGACGACTAAACGGATAGCGTGGGTTTCCACTGCCATGATGAATAAAATAAATCAATCTGGGTTTGACTCGCGGCGGAATCTGGGTAACCTCACCCTTGGAGGCGCGGCACTATCCCATTAATGCATTAAACACATCATGAAGGAAGAAGATGGAAGAATAATCATAACTGAGGAAATCGGAGTTGCAATGTGGTAGTTGTAGGTTTCGGTGTTGTGCCGTCGCCTTCGTGCGATGTTGGAGGATGTCAATCACAGCCTCGCGAAGTCGGCTGAGTCCGTTGGACAAAACACCAACCCAATCCACATTTGTCCCAGGCACCACAATGTCATGACCGCCACGGCTTATAGCGCCTGCGTTCTGCGATAGTCTGATGTAGGATTATTTCCGTTGACCTTCTGCCTCAATGGCGCCGCCAGCCAAACGACGAAAGCGAAATGTCCTTCCATCATCATCCCCGTCCTCAGCCTCTGACGGCGCCGACGAGGTCACCTTGGGCAGGAAGGAAGCTCAATCGGTCAACCGAATATCCTCATCGCCAACGCCGGCGAGTGGCATTAAACCTGCTGGCTCTGGAGAAGCTTCAAGCCAAATGAGGGCGACTCAAACCAAACTGCAACCTCGCGGCAAGACAGCCAACCAGCCCGAAAATGGCGACCCTCTCTATCCTCCGAAGAATCCTCGCGGTATCAACGGGAAGACAAAGAGTGCTAGTACTAGCCCAGAGAAACCAAAGCGGAGAGGGAAGAGTGACGACAAAGTCAAAAGCGGAAATATATTTACCTTCTTCACGAAGCAGGCACAACGGCAGCAAGCGGGTGGGGCAGGGACAGGAACAACCACAGCAAGGCTGAATACTATGTCTAAAGACTCGAAGGCAGAGGACTATGATATAATATCGGATGATGATTTGCTGGAGGATACGGTCAAAACGTCGAGCGTGGTAGGTCTGGCGGCTCGCAAACGAACAAGAGGCTCCCAACCCCTCAAAAATAGCGATGTGGAAGCACCAAGTTTGAGTCAGAGGTTTTTGAGCAAACCAAAGCTTCCTCCCGCGGCCAAAACCGAAGAAGATTTAAGGCCTTGGGCTGAACGGTTCGCACCAGTTAATTTGGACGAGTTGGCAGTTCACAAGAAGAAAGTTTCGGATGTTAGAGGATGGCTAGACAACGTCATAGATGGCAGAATGAGACAGCGATTACTCTTGCTGAAGGGGCCAGCTGGCACTGGAAAGACAACTACGGTTCAGCTCCTGGCAAAGGATATGGGTTGCGAGGTATTGGAATGGCGCAACCCGGTTGGGTCTGTCGCAACCGCGGAGGGATTTCAATCAATGGCAGCACAATTCGAAGAATTCTTGGGACGAGGCGGAAAATTTGGTCAATTGGACATATTTTCTAGCGATGACCGAGAACTTTCGAGACCGGAACCCAAACCGTTAGACCGTCGAAAACGAATTATTCTTGTAGAAGAATTTCCCAATACGTTTACTCGCTCCTCGACGGCATTACAATCATTCAGGGGGGCCATTGTGCAGTATCTTTCGTCCAATACACCCCCACTCTCGATGTTTCATCAGAACCACTCTCTTAAGGATCCTATCACACCTGTAGTCATGATTATATCGGAAACGTTGCTCACGACTACGTCCGCCTCTGCGGATAGCTTTACAGCACATCGATTATTAGGCCCGGAAATTCTCCAACATCCGGGTGTCGGGGCCATTGAATTCAATCCTATTGCTCCGACGTTGTTAGCAAAAGCCCTCGACATTCTTGTCCAAAAAGAATCGAGGAAATCGGGGAGGAGGAAGACTCCGGGGCCTTTAGTTCTCAAGAAGCTCGGCGAGATTGGTGATATCAGGAGCGCAATTGGGTCACTGGAGTTCCTGTGCTTAAGGGGTGATAGGGATGGAGATTGGGGAGCCAAGATAGCATTCGGAAAAGCTAAGAAAAGCAGCAAAGATGTGACTTTGACAAGGATGGAAGAAGAGAGCCTGGAGATGGTTACTCGCCGTGAGGCTAGCCTCGGCATTTTCCATGCTGTTGGCAAAGTTGTCTATAACAAGCGCGATGAGAGACCCCCTCAATTACCTGCCGATGCAGATGTTGAGCAACTCCCAGGATATATATCCACATATGCTCGTCCGAGAAGGTCCCAAATATCGGTTAACGAGCTTATTGACGAGACTGGAACAGATACACAGACCTTTATCGCCGCACTCCATGAAAATTATATCTTGTCCTGTGAAGCGCCTCCAAGCTCATTCGAATTTTCCTCTCTCGATCATGTCAATGGATGCATTGATGCACTATCAGAGAGTGATCTGCTATGCCCTTCCTGGGACGGATCGCTCAACTCGAGTGGCTTTGGCGGTGGCACTGGTGGTAGAGGAACAGGCGGCGATATACTTCGACAGGATGAAATCGCCTTCCAAGTTGCTATACGCGGGATCTTGTTTTCGCTCCCTTACCCAGTAAAACGTAAGGCCCCCGCGGCTGGTGGTCTTCGGACAGGAAAAGGTGGCGACGCATTCAAGATGTTCTATCCCACAAGTCTCAAACTATGGAGAATGAAAGAAGAGATCGAAAGCACGATTGATCACTACGTGACAAGATTGATGAAAGGAGACGACGAGCATTTGAGCGGTATCACGGCCGGGGCCGCCGCATTTGCAAGGCCGAAAACCGGAACCGTCGAGAGCTGGAAGAATTCTCGGGTTTCACACGTCTCCAGCCCTACGAAAGTAAAGAAAGATACAGAGCCACCTCCTGCGCCGTTGTTATCCCTCGGCACATCCGCACGCAAAGAAATGCTTCTCGAGCGTCTGCCATACATGTTACTCATCAAAAGAGCGAAGAAAAGTCCAGCTTCCGCCAGAGCCATCAAAGACATAGAAAAAGTTGCCACATTTCATGGCATTGGCGGGCCTTCTGAAGATGCCCCCGATGAGGCCGACGATAACGCGGTTGCAGGCGAGGAGTGGGCGACTGATAAGCCCGTGGAGGGAAGTTCGCCGAGGAAGAAGGAACTGGTGATTCGAGGGCGTGGTATGGCGACGGGACTTCCTTTGTCGCAGCCTCAGGAGCAGAAATTTGTTTTGAGTGATGATGATATAGAGGATGATTGACTAGCTTGATTGATTCTATTAATGTGCTTATGACTGGATGGCGATAAATGCGAGCCATGGAGTGATGATTTTGGTTGTACTATTTATATCTACATATAGCAAGGGCTCATGCCATGTATTAGAAACTTTTAATATAACTTATACATTTATAGATTCCAAATTTGACGCAATCCCGCCATTAGAACGCCGTTTGCACATTACATTGGACATAGCTCATTTCACATTTCACATTTCGTATTCCACCTACTCGAATCCAGTCCACCCCTTGAAATCATCCGCAAAATGGACAGCTGCTGTTATATATCGACTATGAACATCGCCCCAAGTAAAAGCTGCCTCCTTAATAGCACGTAGAGCTAATATTATCAGTATCATTGTCCCAAATTCGCTAGTGGAAGTAAAACTTACCTTTGACATAATGAGCATCCGTCGCCCAAGGTCCACTAACCGCCATTTGATCAACATAATTCCACTGCTTATCCGGCTTAACCTCGATATCGTCATTAATCGCCGGCCTCAGCTGGGCAATATAAACAGCAATTGTCAGAAGCCACCACTGTCTTACAAGACTGATGTGGAACTTCTTGGGTATTAATGGGAGTAGGATTCTAACGGCGTGGCTGGTGGTGAGAATATGCACGACGAAGAAATCGTAGGAGTGTGTGCCAGGTTTTACTGTGCGGAGTAGTAGTGCTATTGCTGCCTCTTGGGAATCGCGGAATTGTTTGGTGGGGTCGACAATTTCCCAGGCGTTCCAGTGCTCGAGGACGAGATTCTCGTGGTCCTGGAATAAAACTTTGATGTTTTCTGCTCCGCGAGATTTAAAGAGGCCGTCGAATCTTTTATCTTCTGCTATTTTATGGAGGATTTCGAGAGGGGAGGTGGTGGAATAGGTTGAAGGCTTTGTGTAGCTTGGTTGGTCGAGATATTTATGGAGGTAGTTATATGAGGTGCAGGCCATGGCTAATGCCTCCATCCCCAATTCTTTGCTGGAGAATTCATAGGCATAGCTCAGGTGGATCAATGGGTGGCCAACTAGTATTCACCATCAGCGACATACCCCTCAATGCGCTACGAACGACGTACTCCCTCCAATCAGCCCATTTATTAAAGGCTGCTTTCCGCTAAAGAGATATTCTTCCGCCACCTTAGTCCAATCATAATTAAAATTCAGAGCCAGTTCGTCCTCAAAGAAATCAACATATGCTCGTTGGTATCTTGCATCACCCAGAAAGTCGCGCCAGTCAGCACTGGTTACCTCTGCCGGGGAATCATGCCATGGCTCAAGCTGCTTCGACTCTTCAGCATATATCTTGTGCAGCTGGTCGGCATTTGCACCAAAAGCATATGCAGAACTGAGGATGTGCGGCATATGGTTGTGATACTGAAGATTATGGTATATGATTGAGTGGTTCACATGGTTTGCGCGGATCAGATGCTTGAGTGTCCGGGGTCTCTTGTCAGGCGCTGTCTCGACGTCATGAGTTTCGACTGGTACAAGGTCGATTGATTGAGCGGCGGAATTGCTGCCTGTCAAATACTTGTGGATGCGGTTCACCAGAGGCTCCCATGCTATCATCGGAGCAGACATCGTGGTAATGGCAGAACCGGAGGGAACCTTTGAATAGTGTCCTGATGTTGAAGTTGATGTTGGGAATTGAAGCTGTTGAGAAGCAGAGCGGAGTAAATAATAAGGTGGAGGGATCCCGGCGGGGCCGCTGCATGATCTCACTCCGCTGCTGCCAAGTCGGAGCGGAATGCCACAGAGGCCGCCGACTACGAGTTAACGCTGTCTGGTCTAGCTTCCACCAACCCTGTAACCAAACCAACCTCTCTGCTGGAGACTTACTCCGTGGAAGTTTCAACTCCATCTCAGTACTGCTTACAGTGTACCATACTCAGCAACTGCAACCTCGACCATGTCAAGATGCAAGACTCTGGTCTACGCAGAGCTTCTGGCCAATATCCGCCAAATATCTATCGTCGCTGCTCTGGACACGCCATGTAATTCAACCACCAAGGCGGAGCTGTCTCCAAACGGTCTCCAGGTTACTTTATATCACGAGGGGGAGGTGATCGCCACAAATCTTCCGGGGCAAGTAGCTGCCAAAGGTGCCTTGCAGAAGCCCGCGCTGGGTAGCAGAGAGTTATCATGGCGCCTACCCCTGGCGGGTGCGCTCCCAGCTCAATATGCGGAAAAGATGCAAAGTAGTGATGTTGCATGGTCTGCGAAGCAGTTGGGACAAGATTCAGAGTTCCTTTGTCGAGAGTGTGGTACTGTTATTATCAGAAATGGCAGTATCAAGACATGGAAAGACCTACCAAGTGAGAACTGGGCAGAGATGATGGAGTTCTGGCATTGTCATAAGCCAGATGATCATAATCATGAGTCGAATGGTGCAAGTGGCCATGAGAAACACATTGACGCCGAGAAGTCCCTGGCGGATAGAGGCTACGGAGCCAACACCAAATTCATGCCTAGATCTGGATTTGCACTCGTCGGCCTCACAACATTCCACATTACTGCATCCGACTGCACAGGACTACAGGTAAGAAACCACATTTCTTTACAGTAGCCTTTGTCCTTCATTCAAGAGACACGCCAATATTTAGGGGTATCAAGAAGGTGACCACGCATTGCTTCTTGCTCTCAGTTGTCTGGTCACCGATACAAATGCCCCAGATTGATAACTTGCTACCCCTTTGCGCGTTTCAGCAGGCAGACAAGCAGGTCAACCCTCTTCTCCGGTCGATGGGTGGCCTGCTTGTTTGGCGGTAATCAAGCTCGTTCGTTGCCCGCCATGACTTCTCAAGTTTTGGAATTCACGGGATCAACACGAGGGACATCGACCATCGAAAATGTAAGAAGGTGATATAGGTGCGGAAGGAAAGTGCATTTCCTCACACATGGAGTATTTTTGTTGCAGCATTATTGCTATTAGCTATCAACCCTATAGAACACTCTCTCCATAGCATGGCTGTCCCACAAACTACAGGATGCAAACCATGATTACTTTTGCTGATGCATGATAGACAAGCTGTTCAACAGAAGAAACATTAGAATTCGAAAGGATACAGTGCAAGTCTTGCAACAGCTATCTTGGGCACGTCGATCACCTAATAGAGGGAGTCAAACTTCACAAATGGACCCTGCAGCCGTCATCATCCACGCTGCTATCACCCAAATTACCGTCTGCGCCTTTATTTATTTCCTCGCAACTGGCCGATATTTTGCAATCGCAGTGTGCCTCCCGTATTTTGCTTTCCTCGTTAGAGTGGAAACAATCGACAACCTCTCATATTACGACCACCTCCTCGTCGGACGAGTCCCCAGTGTCATCGGCGCGATCCAAGTATGGTTCGTCTCCCGAGCTAACCCACCACCTAGCTTCGAAGAACAACTTGCCGTCCTCCTTGTTGCCGCCCTCTTTAACCTCGCCGCCTGCTGGCTCTACTTCGACGTTCCTATCTTTATGGATATTGGCCAGTGGATTGAGATTTTCGTCGTCGAGATTTTCGGCTGGTGAGCAATCCCTGCCGGCCACCCCAACACCATATCCTTCTTCGGGAAAGTTCGCGATGAAAGTGTTCTGGAAAGATGTGACGGAAGAAGAGGCTTTCAAATTACAAGAGAACTCGGACGTCGAAGAGTTGCCGTTGGTGCCACATGCTATTCGTGAGTTAGGCGCCTGTCTTCGTGATAGTGCTGCTTTGCTGCCACCAAGTATGAGGAAGTTTCAAACATGGAATGTAGGACTATTAGAGAGATATGAGGAGCTAGGTGGTAGTTGATTATCACCTGTTAATACCAACTAAATGCTTTTGACAGGCTATGACTTGCTCTGGTGAAGACTGTGGGCTGTAGGGCGGTACTCGCATCGCAGACCTGTCGCTTTGAGCCACACCTCTACCTAGTATGATCATGCAGGGACCAACTAGGAAGAGTCTATAACAATTAGGTCTATTTAGTATTGCAGGTCATGCTCACAGGGCGGCCTATTGACAATCATAAATCGATATGCTTAAAACCAATTCAGCTAACGCGGCACTAAATCAAGACGTCAATAACACAGCCCTAGATATTGTCCGTAACTAAAGGGCCTAATACATGATTTATCTTTGTAGACCTTACGCTGTCTTATGAGGGATATCCACCCATCACGTCGGGGTCTTGTCTACCTATGTAAGTTTGGGTTGCGTGAATCACGTGATATATCTTCAGAGCCAGATATTGGTGCCTTAGATATTAGGCGCCAGATATTTGGCGCCCGAGATAATTCCTCATGTCGTTCCAACATGAACTTCAACAAGCAATGACATCCTATTCCTATTGTCATATGCAGTAGTCGACGAAAGAGTCTCTTCAACAGCGTTTATCAACCTTATTTTTGAGCATTCGATATTGATATTGATATTGATAGTCAATTGTTTATCGAATACAGATATAGCGCAGGTCTATTTCAGGAACATATCACCATGAACGCCAAGTCGGGGTCTTCTACAGATTCGTGAACGCGGACAGAATGCAGTCTATTAATTGGTCTCGGCGTGCCATCACCTCTGAGCCTCATCGTCATGGACTGGTTTGACTGGCTATCCAACCCAGTGCTACCAAAATTGTCGAGATGCTCCTGTACTCTTGTACAGTACATTCAAACAAATCCAATCAATCCTACCGAAGGATTACGCGCCCAGGTCGACCCGAGGGTATCGCCGACCTCCCTATTCGTCGCTCGCGAGGATATTCTATGCTGTGGCTGCTGCGCTGCAGTCCAATCCTCCAATGAGACCGGAACATTGCATTCTCTCGCGCGCGCCATCCCTCGTCATGCTGGACGTAGACACCATAACCAGCATCGCAGATCCTAATTTTGGCTATCCAGATGAAGGGATGCCGGCCCTACCCACTCTATTGGCCCGTACCTAATATCCCGACCACCTGGATTGGCCATGGAACAACGGCACCTGCTTGCAATGTCAGTCTCCCGTTGCATCCGTCTCTCCACACGTCGTCATTCTCTGCGGCGGCGCTCTCTGCAGCGCGTTTGGTTTCCGTGTCCAGCCTGGTTCCCACGTCTGCTTGTCCTAATCGAGATGTGAGGGCGATGCTCATATCTGCCTTTTAGCGCTGGCTAGTCAGACTTTCGCGCTGCGAAAATGCGTTCGTCCAGCGGGGTCGTATAAACATTCGGACCTCCCAGAACGAAGGTTGGGCATCCTTTTCTTGATATCCATATTTTTGCTGTTGTTGTTGTCTGCTTTCGCAAAGTCTTCGTTGATCGAAGCATTCCTATCTTTTAATACTCCCTCCCTTGTCGACTTGACGCCGGGCGTCTTACATACTTCTCGTCAAAAGGGGTAATCTATTTTCTTGGGTCAGCCAGACGCACACTTTTTTATACCCGGCAAATATCTGCATCTACAAAAATGGCTACATTAGATTTCTTACCGGCCACTACATATGCCCCACCGCCTCCCGTGCAGGCACGGAGAGGGCAGAGGCAGAAGTCACTTAATACTATAATGGAAGATGAAGACGAGTCACAACGAGGCTCAATGATAATGGATAGACGACGAAGTCGGGATAGATCTCCAAAGAAGGCAGACTGGCTTTCCCCTCTCAGCGATCATTTTCCAACACCACGCGGCAACCACTTCATGTCGGCACCTATTCCACCCTCGACCTCCTCCTCAGATACCGAAAGCATCCCCTCTCCAACACCTTCATCAGCACCATGGACCAGAGCGAGCTTTACGACGGAGGCTACTGAGTTTGACGATCTTTACGACGTATCATCCGACGAAGATACAAGAAGGAAACCTTCCTTGCGGAGGAGAAGTTCTACCACAGGGCAAATCAACCGGCCCAAGCGCTCTTCTGTCGATTCCATCTACAGCAGAACCTCCCGGGACTCGCTCCCACCTCTTGCCATCCCTTCGAGGGGTGATCCATGGCCTGGTGTTGAAGCTTTCAAGCTTCTAACATCTCCTGTAGCCCCAACCCCTCCACCAAAAGTACCAATGTCCCCCGCTCTATTCTCATATTTACAATCCCAAGAAGTCCCTTCTTGTTCTGCTCCACCATCTTTAGATGGTAGCCTCAGCTCTGAACAGTTGGCAGCCATGTCTGTTCCGCCAACACCCGAGATTGGAAGCGTCAATGGGGATGACGATGATCTATGGGGCGGTGGAGTTCAACTACAACCAGCTGCGATGGCAACTTTACAGGCGCTCTCTGGTGGTGACAATAACTTCGAGCACCATCAGGAGCAAGTCATTGAATTGCCAGAGGAGCCCCGTGAAGTCTCCCAGATACAGGAGATGCAACAAAGCCTTCCTCCACTCATTACAAGCATTCGCCGAAACAATTCAGTTGTCCTCTCGCCGGACCAACAACAATCCCTCAACAGCCTAACCCGACTCGATATCCCTTCTCCCGGTGGCTTTTTTTCCACCTTATCATACAGTGCAAGACACACCTGGCATCTCGTGCCATGCACTCCTGAGGACGATGTACCACCCTCTTCAACCACCGCAGAGCATTTCTACAAGACCCCATGGTCTTCAGCTCCCGTCGAGCGAATTTTGGAAGTTTCGGAGTCAGAGACTATGTCGGAAGGCCTTCCCACCGCACGACCTATCTTGCCCCAGCAGAAATCCGATGAGACAATTGTACCAATTACAGCACCGAGTCCCATTGAGGAAGATGAGATCGTAGCAGATGAGATCATCACAGATTATACCACTGGGAAAACTCTCGATCTTGAAATCATCGCTATTGACAATGTTGATCGAACCGGCATGTGGCTCGCAGCCCAAAGCTCATACCTCGCCGAACTCATCAACCCTACCGAGGCCCGCGATGACGAGGCTGCCCTACTTCAGCGCGCTGCAAGCACAAAGAGCCAAAGAGACGTTGTCGAAACCGCTGAGGCTCCATCACCGCCCCGCAAGACAGTCCGATTCTCCGAGATAGTCTTGACCTCAGCCGTGCTTGGATGCCCTCTTCCCAAGGCTGGCCAACAGGAGTCCGCGTATTACCGTGCTTTCCAGACTTTCATTGCCCGATCTCGTTACCGTGATACCTTTGTTCACCGCATTCCCAGATTCGAGGCTCTGCAAACACAACGCGTGGTATTCCCAGCAGCTCATCGCGCACAGCTGCTTGGGAAGTATCAACTCAGCGTTGTCCCCATGAGTGCTAAGCGTCGCATGTCTGCTAACGTGGCGCGCGGTGACGAGATCACTGCGGAAGATCCCGAGAAGCTGAAGCATGACAGAGAGCACGAGGCCTTCACACAAATGGCACCAGCCACGTGGAATGTGATGGCTATCAAGCTTCTCAATGGAGGCCGCTTGATTGCCGCACCGGTTGCTAAGCGCCTTGCCAGGCTCTCGTCCATGGGCCCCAAGATGAATGGAACACCCAGAGATCGTGCCAGAATTTTAGACCTTGGAGGTCAAGCTACCTGCGACTGGGCATGGTATTGCGCTACCGAGTACCCCAACACCAAGGTGTACACTGTTACCACGAAGGCTTTGCGCCAGCTCTCCAACTCCAACATCCGCGGTCCCAAGAATCACCGCCAAATTGCAGTCGATCGCTTGGTCAAGCTGCCCTTCAAGGACAACCAATTCGATCTCATCTCCGCCCGGGAGATCTACAGTATCTTGAAGCAGAGTGCCGAGAACGGACAGGATGAATGGGATACTTGCCTGAAGGAATGCATGCGCGTTCTCAAGCCTGGTGGATACCTCGAATTTTCCATCATGGATTCTGATATCGTGAATGCCGGGCCGCAAGGCTTGGCCAAGAGTGTCGAGTTTGGTTTCAATCTTAGTACTTTGGGATATGACCCTCAACCTACAAAACTCTGGCTCGGCAGACTCAAACGCGCGGGTTTTGTTAATATTAAGCGCGCATGGACATTCCTGCCCATGGGTGCTAAGATCGAAAATAAAGTCGTGAACAGAGATAGCATGGGCGTCGAGGTCAAGCTGGAGCTCGAGGCTATGGTGACAGGCAGCACCGAGAACGCTGCTAGCGTGTGTGGCATTGTTGGTGGGTGGGCTTGGGAGAAGTGGTTGCTGAGATGCAAGTTGCAAACCGTTGGCAACGAGGGGAAATTAGATGGGGTTCAGGATATCATTGAGGAAGGAAGAGCTTGCGGTGCCGGATGGAGAACAATTAGTGGCTGGGCTAGAAAGCCGCTCAACTGAATTACAGGTTGCTGAGGGGAAGGCATTTTCGCGGTGTACAGGGTAGCATTTATGTTTTCATTGGAGAATTATGTCGTTGATGGAATACTCAACTTGTACGACTAATGTGGGGGATCATAGGCGTCCCTTTTCCTTACCTCTTCCGGGGTATTTCATTTATATAGCGCATATACAATCCGTGGGGTGAAATCATGTGCCAGTGGGGAATTGAAACAACCCTTCTTCCTTTCTGCATACTTTCATTGTTTCCGCTCTCCACAAGAAACTATATATATACCAAATCAGCACACCGGATTTACCCCATACCACGTAGTACTCAGCTTGGCCTTGGAATTCTCCACGGGATACGAGGTTACATGCACATGATTTACGCTCCTTTCACAACGAAGCAGACCCTCCATCGGGAAGTGTGCCGGATTTGGGCTAGCACGAAGCTAACCCCTTTGTTCAGCTCACCGGCTAAGCGAATCAATCGCGACGACTGGCAGTGAAGTTGAAACTTCCCCTGACTTTAGCTCACCATCCCATCCTGCAAGTATTGGCTGTGGTCTTCGGACGAAATCAAGCTTTCTCCCTTACGGCGTGTCATCATACGAGGACGGTGCTACTAGAGGTTTCCTCAATCCTGAATTCTTTAGCCTGGGATGATGGCGGGGGCTCAGGGATGCAGGATTGGCTCCTCTGGTGGCGAAGTACCTTTGTATCTATCACATCGCAGCTGAATACGATGAGTGACAGTGCGACTGCCTCTGTGCGCCCGTAAAAGACTCCCGCCTTCCTCAGCATCCACTTCCTGTCGACTTCCTCCTTCCTCCCCTTTAATGTGAATTTACTGTCCTTTCGATCCTTACGATCCTCACGATCCTTACGTTCTCTGTTAAATAAGTTCCCGAACAGCGGAAGTCGTGAATGCTAGTCATTCTTTGTTCAGTCTTTACCCCCTTACTTCCTGGCCGTCAGAACAATCACGGAGAACAATTACATTATTTTGCATAGCGGAATCACAAAAAACAAGGGAACCTATTTATTTCGACCTTCTATCAACCTTTCCCAACAACACTCTGCGCGTGTACCATTTTTCAATTCTGCTATCGCATCCACACAACACAACTAAGCGGACTTGACAGCTACTCCAGGGTCAATATCAAAAGAAACCGCGAACATGTTTTCCAAGATTCTATCCCTCAACCTCTTCATCGCCCTCATCACGGCATATGTACTCCCCGACACCCCTTTCTCCGGGTCCTCGCTCTCCTCCCGCGCAGTCGTGAGTGCAGCGGACATCCTCCTCAAAATCGCCCCCTCGAGCAACACCTGCACCGGTGCAGATGTCCCCTCGGAATGCGCTACAAATGTCCAGGCAGCACCCTACCTCATCGCCGCCATGGCACAATATAAGATCTTCAACCCGCATGAAATCGCCGCCGTCCTCTCCCTCGTGGCCTTAGAAAGCGGCGAGTTTAAGTACAGCACCAATCACTTTCCTGCCCCCGGGCGTCCCGGTCAAGGAACCCGCAATATGCAGATGCCCAACTTCAACCTAATGTATGCGAAGTCCATCCCCGAGTTAGCGGCAAAGGTGGGTGCTATTACGACGGCAAGCACGACGAGTGGGTTGAGTGACGATCAGTTGAATGCGATAAGGGCGCTGGTTTTGCCCGATGCCTATAGCTGGGGTAGTGCGCCTTGGTTTCTTGTTACTCAGTGCCCCGACTCGAGAAAGGCGATTCAGGCTGGTGGGCCGGCCGGGCTTGCGGCCTATATGGCGTGTGTTGGGACCTCGGTGACGGATGATAGGACTAAGTATTATACCAGAGCCACTGAGGCGTTTGGCTTATAGAGAGTCAGTGGACAAAGAGGGTGGATGATGTGCTTTGCTGGCGAGCCACTTTTTGCGTAGATATTAGGGATACCCAACAAATGTAACATGAAAATGCTACCATCCATAATGTCCCATTTGTTGCTTGTGAAATGCCTAGCAGTGTTAATGAATAATTGTATAGGAACACAAGGAATGAGTTGACAAATAATTATGCTTGGAAACAATGAATACCAACCGCCATACTATTGGAAGTATTTGGTCAATTGTCGGACTTCGTTGCTTGGTTTTAAATCTCCGAATATTTCACATCTTCTGGATGGTTGAACTCCATGCCATTAGGATCCTGTGGGATTTCCAACCCTAGTATATCCGCCACCATTGGTCCTTCAAAGAGGTTCCATATCATTCCTCCCCCATAACTTGACCGTGCGGTCATATCCTCCGCTCACAATCCACTTCCCATTCCTCGTTACATCCACACTATGGACGTTCCCCGTATGGCCACTAAGCCTCTGCACAAGCCCCCAATCATCCGCAGAGAAGATATTGATATTCTTATCAAAGCCACCCGAAACGAAGAACGTGCCCGATTTCTTCGGCTTTCTACTACCTTGTTCGTCGACTTCAGGAACAACGCCCTGCGCTGGATCATCTTCGCCCTTGTACCACCGTAAATCAGAGACAACGCTTTTGTGCGCGCCGACTCCACCAGCCGGCTGCACTTTTCTCACGTCCCAGCATTTGATCCAGCCGTCGCCTGAGCCGGAGAGTACTCGGTGCCCATCAACACCCCAATCAAGTGCATAAATGGGTCGAATGTGCCCTTCGAGAATCATGACTGTGCGACCGGTGCGGAGATCCCAGATCCGCCCGATGCTGTCCATTCCTGCGCTGGCAAGGAGGGAGCCATCTGTGTTAAAGCTCAGAGCAAATACACCTCGGGAATGCCCTTCTTGGAGGAGGAGTTCAGTGGTAGTGTTGACGTCCCAAAGGCGCCATGTGGTGTCTTCGGATGCAGAAGCTAGATAACGACCCGAGGGGTGGAACTCGGTACGGCAAACGCGCATTTGGTGGCCGGCAAGAGTTGCGAGGGGTGTATCCTGATTTAGGGACCAGAGGTGAATGTTGCCCTCTGCTCCTCCTGACGCCAGATTGACTGTATCCGGTGAAACAGTTGAGCCTGGCAATGTGGCGTCCGGTAACCATGTTATTCCCCCAATTCGATCCGTATGCCCGCGTAAAGTCCTTATCTCTTCTAGATTGGGAACACTCAGAAGCTTCACACCCCCACCCCAATTCCCAGCCGCGATAATCTCGCCATTTGGCGAGAATCTCGTCATGCTAACAGGTCTCTCTCCCGCCATTTGACTGCCCTGCAACTCGAAGCCCTGTAAACGTTCCTTGACACCCTTCCTAAACTTGACATGCGTCCGTAAAGGGATCGTAGACTCGAGTTTCTGGCTCGCCACTCTTCTCTTCGCTCTAGGCAAAGAATACTTCGCAATATCTCTCCTAGCATCAAGTAACTCTGGTATCCCCTTCGTATAAAACTCCTCCTCCTGCTCATTCTCGCCCTGATCCTCATCAGCATCACGCATCCGCGCATCACCCTCTTCATCTTCCATCCCTTCAATCTCTGCTTGTATCGCAAGTAACCCCCTCAGCCGGTCTCTGCGATCACCTGGGCCCTCCCCAAATAGTGTTACGGGCTCGCCCATCTCCCGTAAACGCGCCCGTACTCGGCCATCGTCTGTTGGTACTGCAATCGCGGCTGCTTTCCGTTTTCGCTGGAACTGGGAGAGGATGGCGGACGCTTTCTCAGGCGCAATTCCCGCTGTAGCTGATGGCATGTCATATTCGCGGTCGAGTGCTAGGTGGGGAAAGGCAGGTTAATATGGCTCACTTAATGATAATGAGGTAGAGGTGATGTTGAAAATGACTTACGGACGTTTGCTAGGTCGATACCTACATCTTCCGGCTCGGCTTCCTCCACGTATGCTTGTCGGGAGGGATGCATCGATACCTTGCAAAAGGAGATCTGATATAGGGAAGAAAGAAAGGATGGGGGGGTGCTGTGGTGGTATGAGGCAATTGGTTCGACGTTTGGCCAGCGACGTTTTTTCGACGTTCAGCCTTGTGGATTTACGAGGCCTGAGGGCGTTTGAGTACAAGCTCTCAGATCACGTGCAATTTCATAAGGCTGAATCTTCAACCTCGCTGCCAAGCACCGTTCGCCTTAGGCTTTATGCAGCTATAAGTCGTCGAGCGTTTTTGTACTACCTCAAGGTCTTATAAATTCAAACATACATCAATTACTCCGTACGCCTATCAGTTATCAATCTATCGCATACCGCTCCTCCTCGGCCTTCGGTATCTTCAAAGCTTTCCAGAACCCTGACCATCAATCTCTCCCATCTTCGCCGCTGCCTGGGCTGACCACTCCAAAACACTCCCGTCAGCCTCTTCCGCAATCTCCCCAAACCTCTTCTTCCAATACGCCCACCTCTCACGATTGAACCCAGGCCTCCCGCTATATGGCACCCATGCAATCAGCGATCGTGCCTTGTATTCATTCAACTTTTCTTCGTCTTCACCGAGTTTCTCCTTATTTTCACCCAACTCTGCTTTGTTCTCAATCAACTTTGCTTTGTGCTCACTCAACTCTGCTTTGTTCTCACTCAACTCTTCTTTGAATTCATCTTTGTCCTTACCCAACTCTTCCTTGCTCAACCGCTTAAACAGCCCCTCTCCGCCTCGCAAAATCCATTCCGCCGCTACCGCAATATCGCAGTCGATTACCCATTTTTCGGGGAGCGGTGGGGGCCGCTCGAGCGCCTGACAGACTTCCCACTCGGCAAAGTTAGTCCAGCCGGCCAGATCGGCGTTAAGGACACGTGCTGCGAACGAGTTGAAGTTTAGCCAATGAAAGGCTACTCTTGCTTTGGGGATGGTATCGTTGTCATAATCGGGCCCTAATGACTGGTTAGAGGGCGAATGTAAACCAAACGAGGATGAGATGAACAACGATGTTGCGTACGTACCTATCCACCAGTCTCTCAGGGTTTGTCCTAAAAGAGGTAGGTCGGTCCAGAGATAATACCGCGTCTAGTTATTCCTTAGCAATGATACTTGCCGAATTAGGCAGGACATACACCCCAAAACTTCCTAGTTATTGGCGGGAGCTGGGTCAAAGAGTGCAATAATTCGACTAATTTATCCTGGCCCTCATGGTCATGCGGGATTAGCTGAACAACCTGAATCAATACCAGCCATAAACGCTGAGCAAGGCCCGAGGCTTCAGCGTCAGTCACGCTGACCCTACTATCTTGGGCATCGTAGAGCAGATTGCCGTCCTGGGAATCGTAGAGCAGATTGTTAATCTGTCCTACCGCTACGGCAGGCGTTGTGTGGCTATTGGGTTCTAGCACGGCAGCTAAAATGTCAAAGAGCCTTGGTTCGATGGTTTCGGTATAGAGATGGTCCTTGGCACGACTTAGGTCGATTGGGCCGACTTGGAGAGACATTGCGAGGAGAGTTATGCTGCCGGTTGGCTGCATAGATTACTGTCAGGATGTTGTTCTGGTTGGAGCGGGTTCGATCGCTGGAGGAGAGAACCATGCGTCTTATGGAGAACTTCCATCAAAGAAGGCACCGCGCAACGAGAAGCTCTAGCGCAGCCCATCCACCTAGCGACAAAGCGGTATTGGTCGACAGGCAAGTTCATTCGTTCAAGTTACTCGGGTACTTGCAGAACATAAAGAGCTGGCAGCAAGCCACCAATGCCGTTCCGCCCTACCCACTTGACAGCCAATTATTCCTTAAAAGTAGTATCGCAATGCGGGAGAAGCTCGAAGAGAGGCAAGGCTGCAGAGTACAAACTTCCTTCGGGATTTAAGCAGGCCAACTCCCCCATTTCGTTCCCCCAGATCTTTCTTTTACTCCCGCCGAATTAGTTACTCAGTGCCACCGCTCTGCTTGCCCAGCTGTGAAGCACACGTCGGCCTGACCTGACTTCCTTGGGGAACTGCCTAAGACCAAATCAACTTGATCTGTCGCAACAAATCGATTAAAATTATTATCTGTATATATAGCCTCCTCAAACATGGGATCTTCAAACCCCCCCTGGAGTGGATCTTCAACTCCGACTATAGCGAATCCTCAATCCGCGCGTGGAGAGCGTGGAGAACTCCCCCGTCGAAACGCCTATAGGGGAAGATCTTCAACATCTTCAGCGAACCCTCAATCCCCACCTGAAGATGCCTGGGTTGGAGGACCTCCCACCCCCGGCTGAGGTGAATCTGCAACCAGCCCTTCGGGTGTGTTATTTCCCGCCCAGAGTGATTATCCAACCCCAGCCGAGAGTATATCAACCCCTTTCTCCGGCACATTTTCAACCACCGCCGAGGGTGTGTCATCTCCTTCCTCGAGTGCGGATACGTCATCTCATGTAAGTATAACCATCCTATTTAGCAGTACCCCGAACCAGCAACAATCGTCCTAACTACTACCACTAGTATTCGTGTACCAACTTGTCAGACAACAATACCAATAGACGGATACCCGCACAACACGTTAGAAACACAGTGGCGCATGCGCGAAAGACGACGAGTAATGGCGGGATGTCAGCCCGCGAATACCCACACAACTTTCAAAACACAGAGAAGTTAAACACCGGAATTCCTCTTCCTATTATGGAGTTCCCGATTGAAGGTCCGGATGAGCCATATTACACTAGTGGCAACCTCACTAGTTCTGAGGCCCGAGCGATGTACAATGAGACGGCCAACGAATCTCCTGTGGGCGTTGTATACCACGACCCGACTAAAGGCAGGGATAATAAAAGAAATATGTCGTTGGCACCCTATCGCCCGTCAACAAAGAAAGACAAGACAAACAAGGAGGATCAAGATGAAGCAAGCTTGGAGGTGGACTGAATCAAAGGGGCGCACCAACACTTGAGATGTCAACAGTCTGCTATACGGAACGAGGTATTGAGTAATTATTTAGAATCTGGTATTTTCTTTAGCTCGCAAGGTCGTTTTGGCGCTAGAAAATTAGAGGTCTGGGGTTTGTTTATACTGTATGTTTGTGTTCTCGTTCTTAATTTGTCCCCTCTTTATTCCGACGATAGGATAATATATCTTATCCTCTTCTACTCTAAACGCGAGCGATTGCGATCTTGGTTCTATCAAGCCACATGCGATGTTCCAACCCCGAACCAAGTTGACGTCGTCTGCAACCCTTGTCGTCGGAGTGGAGACAGGGGTTCGTTAGTCTACCTGGTACTGTGAAACCAGGCATTAGACCGCAACGGCGATTAACCTTAATAATAATAGGGACTCGCATTTGTTATTCAACCGTAGCACGAGCCTATCAAGCCACTACCAAGACCACCCTCTACACCTCATCATGCATGCAGCGCACCACGCCAGAATTCCCACCAAATTTGCTGCTCCTACCATGCAACTCGTAATTCGCAACTTGTACAGATATATGCTTAATTGACCCGCCGCTTAATATTAGGGGGTATATAGGACTGGGAAGCAATTCCTAATCGTAACTATAAATTAGCGTAGAGATACCTACAGGGCCTGGACACCTAATAAGAGCCCAACGGGTACGCTGCTACGGAGGGTTCTAGGGTGGTGGGTAGTAACTTCGTGGATAAAAGAGCAGTCCTTCATGGGTTCCTCCTGATTTGCCTCCATTTTCCAACTCCAAACACGCTAGTAAACAAGTCCCATATCGCGCATCTCCATCTAAAATATCTCTGTCGTCACGGAATGTCCAAACCATGACCCAAGCTCATCCGTATCCTTCTCTTTTGCAGCACTGAAATAGTCTGTTAAGGGAATAGTATCATCATCTCCCTCAGCTGGCCATTCCACCTTCGCAGCAACATTCTTCAAATCTAACATGTCCTTTGCCGTTCCCCAACTGAAACGGCATTCGCTTCCCCAGCCAAAAACTGGATCCACATTTCTCTTCAGCCACGATGTACACCTGGCATCTGAGGGGTATCCAGATCCCCAAGACGCTTCCTCTGGGACCTTCGCTGCGCTCAGCTCGCCATCGCCATCCTCCTCGTCAGTTTTATTTATGTAGCTCTCATACAATACCTCCAGAGCGACATCCCTTGTAACTTTGGCGCAAACACTTGCAGCGCTCACACATGGATAAAGACTATCAGCCTTCTTCGCAACCGTGATCTTCGCAGTCGGAAACACCCTCTCAAGCTTTTTCTGATACGTCGCTGGGCTTCCGATGGTGTCGATATAAATCTCCTTGATATTGACACCTCTTTTATAAACCCCTTGGATCAAGGCAATGGTAGCATCCATAGCTTGAGCATTCAGGTTGTATGTTCCAGTCGGCTTCATCATGTTGGCGCCGATATCTCGTGCGGACATAACTTCGACGGCCCATCCGCATTGTGTATAAAGGTCCGAATCTGGAGTGCATAGCTTTTCCATGAGATTCGAGCGTACAGTTGGAGTGAGGACTTTGCTGTCATCAAAATGGTGCGTTTTGCGGAGGAGAGGATCGGATAAGGGGAGTGGAAGATAAAAGAGGCCGTATACCATAGGACCTAAAACAGGACCACGTCCAGCTTCATCGACTCCTAAGGCGCATGGTGGTCCTGGTTGCGGAGGGTCATTAGATTGAGAATTGGGGTCTGAAGTGGGGAGTAGTGTTGGAGGGACAGTTGAAAAATGGGTATATGAGGCGCCAGTGAGGAGGAGTTCGCGATTAATTGAGGGCGCAAGGAATACGTCATTGGCAGGCGTTTCAAGAGAAACATCGTCTTCCATCTGCATTGGCGAGTCTGCCATCTTGTGGGATTATGATTATTGTTTGGTTTGCGAGATCAAGTGAATAAGGTAGTTCGTAAAGTTAAAAGCTAAGAGTGCCGTTTCTCACTGACGCGTTGGTTGGCGGATGGGAGACGCGACGAGGCGCGGTTGTGGCTGGTGCAGTAGTTGCACGTGCTAGTTCAAGGCCGTGGCGTTACAGTATTATGATTATTTTGATCCCCTCAGGCACCAATACTTGATATACTGTCTTGGCTTACTACTCGGGCAACCCGCGAATTGTTTAACTCCTTTGATAGTCCAGAACCCCACATCAACGTCACGATTCTCCCGATAATTCGACCTTGACGCGTTGATATAGCGCGTTTAGTTTTGGGTTTTTGATCTCTTAAATCCTGCGTATCGAATTCGGCGCCATCATAGCTCTCACGACTTAGAGAACGCGCTCGTTGTGTCGCGCTCGTCTGATCCAAAGATGCCGCCGCAAGCTTCCATACCAAAGCGTAAACCCAAGGAAAATCAATATTTGTTTGACTTGGGAGTACGAGGAAGGCAAGTAGATACACGCAATTAGAATAAAGAATCTCCTGCTGACAGCGCTACAGGAAGACTGGCCTTACCCTCCCCGATACTGGAATTCGCGACGAGAATGGCCTGGAACCAATGGATGATCTCTTTTCTTCGCCCGAGAAGCCACAAGCAAGGTCGCGGAACGGAATGAATAAGGTCAATAATTATTCGAATGGGACCATATCGAGTGAAGAGGATATGGATATGGTTGACAGTATGCCTCTTATGAGACTTGTAACAAATGCTTCGCGGATGAGTTGCTGATATGCGCCGCAGGTACGATGCCGGAGCCTCAAGAAATTCTAGAAAAACGAGCAAGTATTCGCCTGCCTCCACGTTCGAAATCACCTATAAAAACGTTTCTACAATCGCCTGCCCGGAGAAATCCGTCGTTCGGCCCATCATCATCACCGACACGGGGCTCAGTAGTTGCGCCCAGATCAGTATCAAAACTCGCATCCGTCCAGCGAAAATTAAATTTCTCGAATGGCATAGATGATTCCAATGTTCACTCAGCAACGCCTAAAAGACGGCCAGGCTTAGCTTTCGCGGGTTCTAGCACTACGAAACTTACTCGCGAAACCCGATTAGCGCCGCTCAGGGAAGCAGTCGCTCCGGAAGATGCAGAACACCAAGACTATAATTATAGTGCTGCAATGGGTGGGGACGATGATGTTGAGAATAGCGAAGGTTCCTTTCAGATGGTTGATACAGAGGAGAATGGCGAGCCTGGGACTGAGGACGAAAGCTCCAGAGAAACCTCCGAAGAAGTCCACGAGCCAGCGCCAAAGCCAACTAACAGTGGCAAGCGCAATGCCACGGAACCTGCTACTGTGGAACCCCCCGCGAAGAAGGCCAAACGAGGACGGCCAAGGAAGTCCGACCAGACGGTAGTTGAAGAAGAAGATGAACCGCCCACCAAGAGTGATAGACGACCGCTTGCAGAGGAGTCCAAAAATTCTGGGAGGAAGCCAGGCCGGGCTAAGAAGAATGCCGACGTGAGTGAGCCTAAACTTGCCAAAAACCCAGTGGGCGATGCCCAAAGGATTGGCAAATCTACAACTTCCTCTAAACCAAAAGCTCCTGGCCGAAAACCGAAATTGGCGCCCGTCGCAGAAACAGATTCGCCAGCAGTCAAACGCGGGCCACCTTTACCAAGGAGTAATCGTGGCCTGATGATACTACGGCGGGAAACCCCAGCTGAAGGAACGGGTTTCCAACAAACCCGCTCAGGTCGAAATTCATTCAAGCCACTAGCATTCTGGAAAAATGAAAGAGTTGAATATTCGGATGACGAGGCCGACGACAATTGGAGTAAAAGTAAATTCCTCTTACCTAGGATTAAAGAGGTCGTTCGTGCAGAAGAAGCGCAACAACCAGCGACCAAAAGACCGAAATCAAAGGGGAAGAAGCCTCGTGTGGATGTCGAAGAGGAGGAGGATGAGCCTGCTGAGCCTTGGGAAGCCGAACCTGGTCGGGTGTTTGGAGATATCAGGGTGTGGAACCCGGAAGACCCAGTGGGCTCCCAGGCAGATGAGGCAGAAGAAGAAATTGCATTATCCTCCGCAGCAATAATCACACGCGACGTCAAAAATGGATCTTTCAAATTTGCAAAGACGTTAACGTTACCATTCTTTGGATCTGGGATGGTTGATCTCCCACCAGGGGCGTCCAAGAAGCCTAAGAATTCGAGGAAGATGCAGATGGTGTTCTTTGTCTACTATGGAAGAGTGCAAGTTACTGTGAATGGTAATGTCTTTAGGATTGGGAAGGGAGGCATGTGGCAAATTCCTAGGGGTAAGTAGCTCTCAATCTTTGGTTATAAGTACAAGGCTAACCCGTTTAGGGAATTTCTATAGTATTGAGAACGATTATGATGCGCCCGCTAGGTTATTCTTTGCGCAGGGCTGCGAAGTTATAGAGCAAGACCCTGATATATCTCAGCAATAAGGGAGTTGTGGTTATTGCAATGTATACGTTAGTTTATCTGAAATTTGAGCGTTTTAATGGGGTGGATGTGTGATTCGGGAGTTCAGGGTACTCTATGTTAATGATATCACGAAGTCAAGGCGCCGAAGTTCCTGCAGCAAAACTGGCACCTTCATAGTCCTTTGCCTAATCGGTCTATGGATATGTACCTACTTTCTATGATTCCCCTATGGTTGCAGGCGCAAAGGGTGGCATTACAACTCTTAATGGAAAATGTTTTCAGTATTGTAACTCTAGCAATATATTCAAGACATTCGAGGATGGAAGAAATCTAGATCGAGTCTTCCAAACACTAAATGTTCTATTCATCACGGGCCAACATTACGGCTTCAATCATCCCGAGACCCGTTTCCTCTCCCCGAAAGCAACCTTGGGGGGAAGTCTGAAGCTCGCACAAAACATCCTCTTCTTTGGCGCTACATCTCGAACCTCATAAACCGTCACATCATCATCCTCCGGCTTAATCTCATACCCCAAAACACGGGAAATCCTCTCACAGATCTCAATAGTCTCTCTCACATTGTTGTCACTCTTGGTAGAGAAACAATGTACATGCACGATAGGCAGCTTTGTCGGCGTGTGGGGCTCAAAGAGGGTTTCGTGGCCTTCGTACAGGCCGTTGAATGAGCCGACGAAGTCGATGGCGATGGCAGGGAGGTTCATGACGAAATGGTTTATCGTTTGGGGAATAGTTATGATTTTGGGGGGTCTTGGAGATTTAGGCGGAGAGGCATTTCGGGAGAGTGGTTTTGGGGGGAAGGAGATAGTGTTTTGTTTTGTAGCGGCGAGAGAGATGAGGTCATCGGCAGCGTGCTGGATGAAGGTATGGCCGTCTTCGCAGAAGGGGCGGACGAAATTCGTGACCTATTTTACATGTCAGCTCGGGCATTTTTGAGAGTCGTGCCTGTTAAATATTTGAGTGATGGAGACTGTCAGGTTGCAGTGCCTTCGCAGGGCAGTCTCATTATTGCCACTACGGGGCTATGTTGACGGTCATGATATTTAAATCATCATGAAAAAGGAAGCTATTTACTGGAAAATAATAGATGAACTTACTTTATTTCGAGTTATAGCATCCTTCATACTTTCGTAGCTGGCCGGATTGAGGTCATTTGCCCAGACAAAGACCCCCTTTTTGCCGGCCGGGATGGCAAAAGGCCCTACTCCAGCCATAACATCGCAGACAACCTCCCCAGGATTAAACATATCCACCAGTCTCTTGTGTTCCGTTTGTAGGCGGCTATTCCAGTAGACCTTCGAATAATCAAACCGGAATAAGCAGCTGCCCTCATTAACTTCCACGTTCATCTCATCTGGTCCGGCTAAGACTTCATAGCCGAAAGTCCTGTATTCTGACTGATTGCCCACGTCATCGGTTTTGTTTATCACAGTACGTATGGTAGGGTTTTTATCTATAAGTACTTCCGCTATCACGTTCTTGTAAGGGAGGTATTCGTCACGGAGGTTTAGATGTGCTAGGCGTCATTAGCATCGTGTTATCATTCAGAGGGTGGACGAAGTACCAACGTGACCAACTATTGAAAATCCAACTGGTACTTCACCTAAAGCATCTTCCGGCAATAATGCTGTCATGATATCAACTGCAGTTTTGTCAGAAAGAAAGCCCAAAAACCAAGAGGTAGCACATTCGTACGATATGTCCAATAATCATAATTCACCGTTAGATTGTAGGGCACCACGCTTGCTTCTTCGTTTTTTACAGCTTCTTGCAGAAAAGAACTCCATGTGTTTTGATCTAGACAGCGTTAATACCTACAACATTTTAGAATCGATATCTTGCCATACCTTCCACGATCACCTCGGGTTTCAGTAGCAGGCATTTTACGCCTTTGGACGCCAGCGTCGGATCCTGGTCTGGTCGAACATTGATGAGTCTATCAAGTCTCAGAAGTTCCTTGCTCTTTTCAAGCCCCGTCCGAACACGCGATATATTTTTAAGGTTTGTTATTCTCGCTGCTGTTATAGGCACCGTTTTCGAGAACAGGGAGCGATCGAGGGTTGCAGCTGCAGACCTAACAATGGGAGGACGGAGGAGCGACATCACACTCGAGGGACTTATTGGTTTCTCATCCTACAAGTGTTGCGTTAGCTACTTGTTTAAATCATTAACGCGGGGCATAATTACCGTCATAGCTTCATAATAATATGATTTGAAGTGTCGTTTGTTTTCGTTTCACCTGCTTGAATTTCTCGCGAGGCTGAGATTTTCAAAAGGACATGGACGCGGCCTTTCCTGATTGGGCCATGACGTTGACGAGGCTGGAAACTCAAATGGCCTTGCTACGTAACTTCGGGATTCTCCAGTCTCCCATATTAAAAGATATATTTTACAATGTCAAAATCTACCGGGAAAAGGACTCTTGATGCGTTTTTCAAGCCTCCCGTCAAAAGACAACGTATATCAGCTACCGAACATGGCGGGCGGAACCCAGAGCTGGCAACGGCATCAGATCAAGTGAGCGTTCGAATACTATATTCTCTTCTACAAAGCTAATCGATGCAGGATCTCCAGTTTTCTCGCCATCCGATGTACCCCTTTCCAATAAAATGTTTTCCACAGCATATTGAAACGGCCATGGCCTCTTTTCCATCTGCCACTCCAAGGGTTATCAATGATCAACCCGATCTTGACCTGCTCTATTTTGAGCCCTACATTCCTAGGAATTTAGAACGTGAAATATTTCAGTTTCTTCGTTCCGAGCTACCATTCTATAGGGTTGAGTACAACATCAAAAGGGGAGGAATTGAGAATAGAATCCGAACGCCGAGGTGTGACACCAATCCCCTAAAGCCAGATCAACGCTGAACTCTAGACAGATATACAACGGTCTTTGGCCTGGACGAAACGGCAAGGTTTAATGAAACTGGAGATGTTGTAAATGCGACGACAGGGCAGAAGCTGGAAAACGAAAAGTATTATTCCAAATACCCTCCAAGGCCAATACCTAAGTGTCTTGATGACATTCGGACCTCGACCGAGGCGGCAACTGGTTGCAAATTTAACTTCTGTCTTGTCAATTATTATGCGTCAGGTTCGGATAGCATATCATACCATAGCGACAATGAGCGGTTCCTTGGGAAGTTACCGGCTATCGCATCCTTCTCCTTAGGCGCTCGGAGAGACTTTCTCATGAAGCACAAGCCAGTTGCGCCAAATGCCAATGCTGCTGAGACAAAGACTGTCAAACTGCCTCTCGCGGGCGGAGATATGTTACTCATGAGAGGCAAAACTCAGAGTAACTGGCTCCACTCAATTCCCAAACGGACAGGGAGGAATGTAAATGATGGAGGAAGGATCAACATTACCTTCCGACGAGCAACGGAGAAGGGCGGGACAGAAAACTATTATAATTACAATGTGGGAACCGGTCCTGTTTATAGGTGGGACGGCATCTCAAGAGAGATGAAATCGTGCAAACCATGATAGCGCCATGCTCTAAGCTACCTCCCAAATCGCATCTGGGCATTTGCGTAATTATATAATGCCCGTAGAAACACCTGATACCCGACGTCCTGATTATCTTGCACGTGAAAAATTTCCGTAAGTCGAACTTGCCAGGGAGGATATCCTGACAGTTCAACGGTTGGTCCAAATAGGACCAATAGATCCGGCTCTCCCATGACACTCTCTGAAATCTCGGCATCAACTAGATCAGCGCTTATGTCTTTCGATGACAGTTTCGAGCGCTGCGACATCTCTGCGAGAGTCTTTGTGAGGTCCACCAATGAGTCGCGACCATCCTCCGCTGAAAGTAGAAGGATATTCAAGTTTTTTACAGCCGGGCTAGGCGCGGGAGTGCCGTTCACGGGCGTACCCGCGGCGGATTCTATAGAAGGCATATGGGGAGCTCGCAACAAGACGGCCGGGTGTTCGGGACCAAAGTACGATGAGAGCTTTCGCGATATCGCCCTATGAGTTGCAGGTATGTAGCCCTTCAGTATGCCTACAACAAGTCAGTATGAGTTCCGCGCTTTGAAATGGATAGCACCCACCAGTCTTCTCGTAAACCGAAAGCATTGGTATCCCAGTACAAGCACACCAAGCTGCAATCTCCGCAACTTCGTCCACAAGGGCTTCTAAGCCAGCACCACCTCTCCCGCCATCCTGAAGCGTCAATATAATAGAGAGGTGTTTTGGTAACCGACTCAACCCTTTGACATCCTTTTGTATGAGCTCAGGTGTTCGGTGATGGTAGTATAAAATAGCCAGTATCCGGTCCTTAACCCCATGGTAGGCCTGGCGAAATCGAATGTAAATCGAGAATACCGCGTGTATTATCGTGTACACAAGGAGGTGTAAGTGGTGTTTTAGGAACTTTCGGACGCCCAACCGTGAGTGGCCCCTTCCATCGGTTGGGATACCTGCAAGTTTGCCATTCTTCCTGCGTCGTGAAGAAGGTTTCAATGGAGGTTCCGGGAGATACGGCTAGGAAACTTGTTAAGATACGCTCTCATGGGACCTTTCACTAGTGATTGCTTACCTCTATGAGCTTTTCTCGTTCAGCTGGAGTTAACAGGGTGTGGTCAAGTTTTGCATCCCGCCTGTAAATGTCTGTTTCTCGACTTGCAGCAGGCATATTATTGAGGCTATTCGCCAATTAAGATAAGGAAGGTGATTGAGAAGAACAAGGAGAATGGTACGTCGCTGAAACCGCTACAAATTGCTTGGCTGTACGGAGTATTGGAGGCGGGAATTTGAGGTTAAGTCATGGAAGGCTGGGCGCGCTCACGGACAAGGCCACGACATCCTCCGCGGCTGAGCATCGAGCTTGCTGCACAATCTCACGCGCGTGAATCCACATCGAAATTGGATTGATTTTCAACAACATACTTCACAGCCATGCTCCTTTCTACACAGACGTCTAGGCTAGGATATTGATGAGCTGCTAGCCCAGCGTCTCGATGTAGTACGAAACCTGCTGCGGCTCACTCATCATCAATGGCATCTCTTAGCGGCGGCGGTGGTAGCGGAAGGTCGATATTCCCTAAGGGGCCCAACTTTACGCTTGAGAACTTTTCGAACAAGGACTTCATTGTCAGAGACTTTATTGAGGACCTTGCGGATGATGCGGTCCCTGTAAATCGACGTTCTGGACCTGGACAGCAAGCTTTCGATCCCAAACCCCTAATTAGGACATTTGAAAGTACACGCCCCCACTCCAGTATTCAAGTTACTACGTGCTAATTCAATGTAGGCGCTTTGTCACAGCTTGCGACACTATCCGAGGAATTGGGAGAGAATGAAACCGAACTTCTCACGTCTGTACGGCGCGCCGAGATCCAGCACGACCAGACACTCGATACGTTGGGTAGGAAGCTAGATGAGTCGATAGACTCCTTCGACACGCTCGACGTTGCGCTTAATCAGCCAAATAGTGTTAATGGCAATGAACGAAATGGGCGATCAGAAGGTGGTGGCTTAGTTGCCGTTCAAATCGGGGAGAGGTTGGAGGCCTTAGACAAACAACGACGACGAGCGCAGGACGCAAACTTCTTAATACAGTGCTGGCTTGAGGTCAGTGAAGCCGGCCAACTTACATCCTTGGAGGATATGATAAGACGGCAGGGTGGTGGAGAAAATAAGGTGCGATGTGCAATTATTGCCAGACAACTTGTGAGAATGAGCCAGAGGCTAGATCCTGCCTCATGGGCACAGACAAACGGCTCCAAGAAGACGAATGGTATTACAAACGGCGTAACGGGTTACCGCGGACACAATACGCGTGAAATAATAGAAAAGTTCTCGGAGACGCTGGAGAAAGACTTGCTGAAGCAATTCGATGAAAGCTATCGAAAGCAAAACTTCGACGATATGTTGGAGTGTGCCAAAGTCCTGCATGATTTCAATGGAGGCGCAAGTGTTGTAGCACTTTTCGTCAATCAGCATCAATTTTTCATTGACCGCAGCCAGTTGATTACTGATGAGGTGACGACGGATAACGAGACATGGGAACGACTCGCGGATCCAGATTCAGATCCCCCGGGTGTTGAACCTAGTCTACAATCATTGATAGATGAAATTAGGGTCGTCATGCAAGATGAATCGTTCATCATCAAACGTGCATTTCCCTACTACGAGGTCGTTCTCACAAAATTTATTCAACGGATATTTCAGCAATCTATACAACAGCGATTGGAGATGGTCTTGGAGAAAGCCGATACGATATCATCTCTAGCATTCCTAAGATCTCTTCATGCTTCAAGAAGCTACATCAACAACTTGATTGAAGATTTAAAGTCCCATGGCTTGACAGAGCACCCAGAACCATGCTCGGCCCAAACCTCGTTGAGTCTCGATCAGCAACTGGACGAGCTTTTCGTCCCATACCTAGTTGGCAATTCATATATCGATAGAGAAAGGAAGAGTTTGGAAGAATTATATTCGTCGCTGCTCTTCAAATACACAATATATCATTCGCGGCGGAAGAAGGGTCCTACTGGGTTTATGGCATCCCTGGCTCAACAGGGCACACAACTCTTGGCAACTGCAAAAGACGCTTATATCGACCGTCTGGACTCCTCGGAGCTCACTCCGACCCAAAAGGCCATGATGTTGCGGGTTGCCGGCCTTCGAGATCAAGACAACACCGCAAAGAACGAAATTGAGGTCACTGATGAAGATGGAGTGCTGAGTATTCCAAACGCCAAACGGATGCTGAAGTGGCTGGCCGAGGGTGTCCGGCGAGCACTTGAGCTTGGAAGTGGCAGCGACACACCAAAAGATGTCGCGGCTCTGCTCAACCTACTCTTAATTAGCATGGGTCAGGTTTATATCGAGACTGCTTTGGATGCAGCAGCAGACCAAGCAGTCTCTCAAGAAACTGTGAAGACGGAACCAGACCTTGCATATCTACCATCTTTACAACCTGCCATCACCATCACCAACATCATGTCACGATTCATCAACACTGTCCTCATCCGGCTTGCCGAGTCAAATACCACCGTACGCCGCGGAATGGAACTGCAAACAAAGGCGGCTGTTGAAAGAATTGAATCGAAGACAAACAACACTGTGAAAAGCACTCTCACAGTGGTATTAAATTGGGTTGCGAAGTTGCTAGCAGGCCAGAAAAAGGCCGATTTCCGGCCCAAGGATAGTGATCTTGATGGCTCTGGTGGAGGCCCTGGATATCTTGAGACATTGCAAACATCTACATGTTTCTCAATCTGCACGTTCGTCAGCAAAGTAGCTACACTCGCCGGTCAAGCTATCGATGGCCAGAACCTTGAGGTTTTTAGCTCTGAGCTCGCCATTGGTATACGAGACCTCCTTTTTGAGCACTTCAAGAAATTCCAGGTTAACGCAACTGGCGGTTTGATGGTCACGAAGGATATCTCGAAATATGTATCAACACTAAAAGATTGGAATTTATCGAAGGAAGCTGAAGGTGGTGTAGAAGTGCTCAATGAGATTGGTAACATATTTATCATTGGCCCCGAGGCTTTGAAAGAGAGGTCGAGGAACTTCCAGACTGGTGGTACTGGGAAGAAGCTGCAGAAGGCTGATTTCAGAGCCTTTATCATGAGACGAGATGATTCCGGGAGTGTCGGAATTCAAAGCGTACTTGCTGGGCTATGATATAATCTAGCAGAAATATCAGCGGCTTAACATATCGATGGATATAGTTCCGTATAGGACGGCTCTGAGCCTGTTTTCCGATAGGAGAGAATTAATGAAGTACATGTACATGCTGTGAAACTTAAGTTTCATATCGCATTTTAGTCCTAAACGTTACCCAGGTTATGATGGCTCTTGCGAGTATTTTTTTACTATTGGAGCCAATTAAATGCCTCCTGGAGGTGTATTACTCGTTGCCCTTTCGAGCTAAGTATTCCAACTGACAAAGGCTCCGGAATGTTCTCATGTTAAGAATGAGTTACGACTGAAGTCCCGGCAATAGGGTCGAGATGCGAGTTGTATTACTAGGAACTGAATTGACCCTTTCAGCTGTATGTTGTTCGGGGTAGGAGTTGCTAGCTGCTTCAAAACACCTATGCTTTAAGGACAAGGTTCCCGATGGCGGGTGAACACTTCCAGAGCGGTGATCTTCTATCAACTCCTGCTATGTATGCCAAATACCCATACGCCTCAACAATGCAATTCCCATACGCCGCAAGACTTATCGTACATCATCTGAATCTGACGCCCTCTCAAATATACACCCATCTATGCAGTGAATATTTTTATGGAAGATTGAATCCAAAGCCAGCCATACAACTCTTGTACTTTTGAATCGTAGGGGCGCAGTCTTGCTGAGGATCTTTCGCGTTGCTGAACAGCATGCACTCGTCGCGGGCAGATTTCTCGTCTTTGCATACGCAGCATGGCTATTTTGGAAACGATATTTTAGTACATGATCAATAATAACAGAAAATTGGATTTACCTTGGGTTTTGTAGAGGCTTGGTCAGCAGGTTTGGCCACTGCTGCCATGTTTGCGCTGGTGGCAGTTGCTATGGACTGTTAACAGGCGGAATTGAATCGCCCTGGGCAATAACTTACGCATTGAAGCTTCTTTGGTAGCCATTCTAATACGTGTAACTTATATCTTTCGGTCGTAATACGTTGAAGACGTTGACGTATGGGTGTGCTACCAGAAACATGGAATTTGTAATGGAGCTCACGGCATTAAACAATCGGCCGGTGATAAGTTTTGCCGGATGCGGCAACGCCACAACGCCAAGGCTTTTAGATCTATTGACACTCGAGTCTCCCAAAACACCCCACCAAACCTCAACATACAAATTACGAACCCGTCAAAACCGCTATTATTGCACGGAACCACCAATTTTTCTTGACCACACATATTTGCCTTGCTATATATTGACCATGGCGACCACTAAAAGTAAGATATTTTCCCTGGAAGGGAAGGGGTTGAAGCTTGACACCGCGGCGGACGTCGAGACGCACATCAAACCACTACGGGAAATGGAGGATATCGAGGAGGTCAGACTGCTTGGGAATACTCTGGGTGTAGAAGCTTGCAAAGTTCTTGGGGAAGTTCTAGAGACGAAGAAAACTCTCCAGGTAAGTTGTTCCCGAATCCAGATCCAAGCCTTTCCCCCTGCTCTCACTTCTGCTATTGCTAACTGACTAACTTTCTCTCTAATTAGGTTGCAAATCTAGCAGATATATTCACCGGACGCCTTCTAAATGAGATCCCGCAAGCGCTCTCCCATCTTCTTACTGCCCTTCTTGCGCTGCCAAAACTTCATACCATCAATCTTAACGACAACGCATTCGGGTTGAATACTCAAGCTCCCCTGGTTGAGTTCCTCTCGTCGCATGTTCCTCTCCAACATCTCATTCTCAATAATAACGGCCTCGGGCCTCACGCTGGTATTCTAATCGCCGATGCGCTCTCTGCGTTGCATACAAAGAAGGAGGAAGCACGAAAAGAGGGCCGAGAGGTTCCTAATCTCGAAACAGTTATCTGTGGGCGCAACCGGCTCGAGAATGGCAGCATGGCGGCATGGGCGAAGGCCTACAGCCTGCATAATGGGGTCAAAGAAGTGAAGATGGTGCAGAATGGTATTCGGCAAGAGGGAATTTCGCATCTGCTCACTGATGGCCTGAAGCATGCAAGGACGATCAACGTACTGGATCTTCAGGATAACACTTTCACAATACTCGGTGCTAAGGCTCTAGCTAAAGTTGTTCCTAGCTGGAGTGAGATACGAGAATTAGGCATCGGAGATTCGCTTCTAGGAGCGAAAGGAAGCGTGCTATTTGCTAGCGCGCTTGGGAAAGGAAAGAACCCGAAGCTTGAAATCTTGCGCTTGCAGTATAATGATATTACTGCGAAGGGATTAGAAGCATTTTCAAAATCAGCAAAGGAAGCTCTGCCTGCTCTAAGGAAGATTGAGCTCAATGGCAACAAGTTTTCTGAAGGAGACCAGTCAATCCTCCACCTGAAAGACCTACTCGAGGAACGTAAAGAGAATTTGGCTGGGGAAATTGTGATTGAAGATGATTGGGGTATCGACAGCCTGAGCGACCTCGAAGACGAAAGCGATGAGGAATCTGAGGAGGAAGAAGAGGAGGAGGAGGAAGAAGAACTTCGTGAGAGGTTGCTGGAGGAGGCCGAGGAAGCTCAGGAGCAGCCTGTTGTTCAACTACAGGACAAGGAGGTTGATGACCTTGCGGATGAACTCAAAAAGAAGGCGGAGATTTAATGGTTGGCAAAGACTACGAGAGGGCCAACAATGACTTACACTGCATACAAATGCACAGACTAAACGGCTCGCCGTCTGCATATACCCATACTGCGACTCACATATCAATTCTCGTTGTTTTACAGCATAGCATGCGCATCACGAGTAGAGCACTCTACATAGAAAATTAGATTGGTGGGATTTTCCCAGCCCTTATCTCCAGTCCTTAAACGTGCTTGGAGTACCTGCAAGTATCATCCTGCCTGTTATACTTTCCTTAGATCGCAATAAGACAAGTGTCCAGCAACAGATATCCTGCAAAAATTCAACCCTTATGATTCCTTTTATCAGTTCATTTCCAGAAGTCTTCATTGGTTTCTTCTGTCATTCACCACATACCGCAGATTCACATCGGCAGAGCTATCGTTGCGTCATATTTCGGTAATTAACCCTATCCTTCCCTGGTGTCCCCTGGCTAAGTACTTTGCCTATTTCTTGCGCAGAGTCTCGCTGCAGGTATAGGCAATCAAGCGGTCGTGGATGCCAGAAGGCAGTGAATTTGTGGACTGAACAGAGATGGCGCCGGTTCGCCGTGCGTCTAGTCTATAACAGTAATAAACCGCTCTTTAATTACCCGTGCAGTGGTAAGTGTTGTCTAGCCCCGAATCTATTACTTGTATATCTATTTATAGTTGTCACATTTACTACTGTTGTCAATGGCTATTATTGGTGTCATTCTTATTATAGTTCTAACTTCTACCTTGTGAATATTTACCCTCTGTTACTGCCCCTGTTTTAATGCACTTTCCCGGGCGAACGAACCCTTAATAAGCTACTGCATTTCGAGGTCGAAAGTCTTCGCCCAGAGACTCCCCTTTGCGCTTTATGTCTTTAGAAGCCGGTGTGGTGGTTTCTTCGGCTAGGCGGTTGATCTTGCCAGGTCCTATTATAGAAGTATTGAAAATGGGCATGTCTTGTGTTGCATATCGTACCAATACCGAACCCTTCCCCGCCCCCTGAATAATGGATTCTTTCGAAATTCCACATACATGAAAGTTTTGTTGCACATCGTACAAATATCTCGGCTTCCCTGTATTCTTGACTCTATAACTGACCGGTTTTCAGTGACCCAACCCCTCTGAGCAACCAACAAGTCTTTTTGTTGCACATCGCACAGTTCACATCAATATCCCAATTCCACTGAGTAATTGACTCTTCCTAATCCTGTCCATTTATCTTTGTTGCACATCACACCCTAAAGGTAAGGGTGTCCTAAATTTTGCGTACAAGGAGAGCATAGCCTAAGTAAAATAGGAGGTCGAGCCATGATAATGACCAAGAACCCTGATAGTACATCCATGAAAAGGATAAGGCCCGGAGACTACCGACGCTAAGTTATTTGGTATTTGTCATTGATTGCTCTCTGTATAAAGCTCTGGTTCCATTCACAATAAGTTCTCGGAAACAAAGTAGTCACGGAATCTATTGTTTATACAGTGGTTGACATTTCTCTGTATACTTCTACTTGTACAGCTTAGGGTTGAAGTTGTTCATGCACTCCGTCTTCTTAATATTCAGATAATCATTCTGTGCAACCTGGTGTTGAAGCTACAATGCTCTACAGTATCGGTGGTACCGCGGTGGCCCGGTAAAGTGCCGACCTGGTGGTAAAAGGGGTCGGCGCTGAAGCCAGGACCGGGGCTTGCTGATCATGGTCGGTGGATCAGCGACCGGAGTTTGGATGGCGGTTCTATCACGGTCCTAGAAGAGTTCGGGCGGGGTTGGTCTGAGTCAAAAACTTGGGGCAGACAAATGGAACTAGAATTGATCTTTGGAGGCAGTCGCCAGCACTGAGGCAATGGATGAGCACACGGATGAGAGTGGATGGAGAAGAGATCCATATCCGCATTCTACACCAATTTGAACGATAAATTCAAGCTAAGAAGTAGTTGACGTATGTACCTAAATTAGATGCTAAGGCGCATACTCTACTCAAGTGGCATTGGCTCCTTATTAGCGTCTTCACATAACTCTTGGAGTATAATGGATCTCGAAGCATTTACCCGGGATTTTATCCACAAATAAGAGACTCCCATCTCAATGACATAAGCATACATACAACATTGATGGTTGATAATCACCCTCAGTCACTCCATTGGTGATTCAATCGCATAAATCCCAGACCAAAGCCACGAGATGTACAACTTTACAAGATATCCCAGCAGTCGTTTTCAACATGGAGAATACCTATCAAAACCCTATTATTCCGGGCTTCAACCCTGACCCCTCTATAATTCGCTCAGGTTCGGATTTCTTTCTGATAACTTCGTCATTTGAATATTACCCAGGAATACCAATCTACCACAGCAAAGATTTAATATGTTGGAATCTCATTGGCCATGCACTCACTCGTCGAAGTCAACTCGACATCCGTACACCTGAGCCTGGGGAGGGATTTGGGCACCAACGATCCGGTAGCACAAAGGCACTTTCTATATTCTGGCTGCATGTTTTGACCGATATAGACCGCAAGTAGATGATAGGGTCTGGCCAAGAGGATTTTACGTCAAGACCAATAATATCTGGGATGAAGAATCGTGGTCCGATCCTGTGTTTTTTGACCAAGTTGGTTTTGACCAAGACGTGAGTTTTATGCGACGAGCACATTAACCCCTTTTCACCTCTCAAATGCCGCACGCAAGCCGGATAGCTAACTTATCTAAGCTTTTCTGGGACAATAATGATACCGTCTACCTCTCTTCGACATATCGTAAATTACAACGCACACCCTGTGATCCACCGCTCAAGGACTTTGCTATCCACGTTTGCACTGTCGACCTGGCCACTGGCAACTCGACTTCCCAGCCAAAACTAATCAGGGAATCGTCATCTGGTGTTGCAGAAGGGTCGCATATTCTTAAAAGGGGCAAGTATTATTACCTTTTTACAGCAGAGGGCGGCACTGAATCAGGGCATTGCGAGTGGGTTAGTCGGTCTGAAAAGGGTCCGTTCGGACCTTGGGAGTTGGCGCCCAATAACCCCTTGTGGAGGAATGGATCTGAAGATGAGGTTCAGAATATTGGTCATGCAGACTTTGTGGAAGATACCAATGGACGGTGGTGGGCTGTTTTCCTTGGTGTTAGGCCAGTGAAGTCAGGCAACCAATGGCGAACATCTGTTTTTGGTACGTCGAGCTCTTCGCCGGCATTTCTGTGTGGTGTAAATATTGACCATTTCAGGTCGAGAGAGTTTTCTGGTTCCAATGACCTGGGAGGGAGAGTGGCCCGTGGTGAATGGAGGTCAAAAGGCCACTCTCCGTGGCACTGGTCCTAGCTTATACCTCCTTGAACATGCGGTGGCGTGGCGGGATGATTTCACACAGTCGAAACTGGTTCTGGGATGGTATCGCAAAAGTAAGAATTCAAAAGCTAAGTTAATTAAAATGATCTGACAACTGTTTTAGATACCCCAACCAAAGTCGACTTCTCATTGACTGAAAATCCGGGAAATCTCCGCTTGTATGGTGGGCCATACACTCTAAGTGTACCCACCTGTCCAACCCTCTTCCTCCGCAAGCAAACACGTCCTGTTACAACTTGGCAAACTCGCATATCGTTCCTGCCAGAATCCCCAAATACTGAAGCGGGGACAGTAGTTTGGTGGAATTATTTCACGTATAGCAGTGTCGGTATCAGGATGTCTCCGGCCGATAGCAGCAAGAGAATACTCAGGTTTAGGCCAGCCACGGGGGACGAAGTAACGATGGAATTGAAGAGTCAGACTTCAGATGTCAAGTTGGTTGTTGCCTGCAGCCAAGATCAGTATACTTTTGGGTTTTTTGAGCTCTCAAATGTGGCGAACGAAGAGGAAGCTCCAGTGCAGTGGATTGGTGGAGTTGGAGCTGAAGCCATGACAGCAAATCCCCCAGTCGGCCAACCCTTCACAGGCATGATGCTGGGTCTATATGCATTTGGAGAGCTTGAACGTTGCCTCGTTCCCGCAGATTTCAAGTACGCCGAGTTTTGTTAGGATTAATAGAATCGTGAGCTGAAGCTGGCTTGGAGGATCTTTTAAAGAATTTAGAATTCGTCAATGTAGACTATGTATAGAAATACATTCAATTGCGATAGAGATGACTATTCTGTATTCTATGAGCAACCGGATTTCCACATCTACGAGCATAGAATTTATCTCCGTATAGTCATTGACCGCTAGTGGTGTTGTGGTTTTTGTTTTACAGCCTAAAATAGACGATATAAATTAGAAGAGTGAAAGCTATATGTATAAGTTTATTAAAATTAAAGTAAGCGAATTATATCCTACGATTGACTGTAGCTTTTGGCTTGCTGGCTCCGCGGTACACGGCGTTGCGCTCGACGCTGGTCTCATGTACTAAATGGGCTCCTTTTAATTCAATACTAGTACTAGAATTACGTCTTCGGAAAAAATACAAGTCTGGGGTATGCAGAATTATAAGTAAAAGTAGTGTAAAGCTATAAATTGGCCTAACTTCGTAGCCTACTGAGCAAGGGGTGTTAAGTAGGACTTGCACGGCGACAATTTATGCTGTGCAACGAGTCTCAACAGCCCGTCAAGCCTTGACTTCCTTATTAGTTTGATCTGCGACGTTTTCCACACTGTCGACAACTTCCTGTCCTTCCTCTACTTCCTGTTCCTGATTCCCTTCCTGCCTTCGCTTCCCTTCCTCTTGCTCATCCATCAGGACGGCTCCCTTATCGACATGGTTCACACTGCCGAACAAGGTATCCATGGTCTCGAGGGTCTTTCCTTTGGTCTCAGGTATCCAGAAGTAGACAAAAATGACCAGGAAACAATTGATCCCAGCAAACATGTACATCGCGTAACTATTATATTTATTAGCACATAAAATCGCTGTTATAGAGATAGGGAGCCAACTCACAATCCTTTTTTCTCGAGGAATAGTGGGAAGATTTGTTCTAGGTGTTGCGTATTAGTTTTAATTCAACTCCGATCCATTTCTATAATATGACTTACGCAGAACTGCATTAGCAACATTTTGCGATTGAGCGGCCATAGCCACACCCTGTGCTCGAACGTTCATCGAGAAGATCTCAGACGTCCAAATCCAAACCGTCGCACCCCAAGATGGTTTATCTGTCTCGTATTAGCAATCCCAACTATTTCCTCGGTAGGTAGGAGCGTGCAGAAGAATGCAAACAAGAACATTAGAAATACGGTAGCAATTCCAACTGATTTGCTCTTTGCTCCATCGTCGTATACAGGAGTCTCTGTCACAACAACAGCAGCTGTGAGCATACATGCTGCCATTCCAACCGCTCCCACAAGGAGTAGAAAACGTCTGCCAAAGCGATCAACCGTCCAGGTTGCGTTGAGAGTGAAGGTGATTCCAAAGGTTCCATTGAGCGCGTTAATAAGCTGAATGGTTGAATTGTCCTTGAACACAGTTTTATAAATGATGGTCGAGTAGTTGTTCAATGACCCCTGGCCAGACAATTGTTGGGCGACGTTCAAAATAACCGCAAGGACTGGAACAATGATCAGCAGACAGATCTCGTACTGTACAAATCTTCACTTACTGAATCTATAGCGGACAGTTTTGTCTGTCCACAGGGGCTTGTAACTTCCAGCCACCGCTTGATTCTCGAAAGCAATTGCTTGGCGAATTTCTTGAAGTTCTAGCTCTACCATATCATCGTCTTCGCGTATCATTCGAAGAGCTTTGATTGCATCCTCGGTTCTATCTTTCTTGATAAACCTAGTTCCAAAGATTAGTAGGTGTTAGATGATATGAAATGGTTAGAAGAAACGAATTGGTTAATGCGGCTTAAATAAGGTGTGCAGGAGAGATCTGGTACTTTTACATACCATCTCGGGGATTCTGGACAAGCCCAAATATTTGCAATGATGAATACCGGTGCGATCAATTGACAAAGCATCACAGTCTTCCAGTCCCAGTCGCCTAGGGCTTTAGAATTCTTGGTACAGGCATAATTGATCTACAACGCAAAGTGATTGGATTAGAAAGTGCTGTTTAATACTTATAACAGTTGCTTTGCAGTCACTCACCCAGTATGCCATAAAGGACCCGACACTGAAGAATAATTGCTAGAAACTCATGATCATCCCCCGCTTGTCTGATGGTGCTATCTCACTAATGTAAACGGGTCCTGAACCCAAGGCAATGCCTTGGCCGATGCCGACAAGAGCACGCCCACCGATGTAGCCACCAATATTACGGGGTGTAAAAGTAGAGACAAATGTTGCAATGATCACAATCACACACCCGACAACTATGGCCATCTTGCGCCCCCACATATTGGAAATCGGGGCCGAAAAGAAAACCCCTTCACAATGAGTTAGCACTGATTTGAGTAAGGACTCACAACGGAGGTTCATGGTAGTACACCCGATATAGCAGAAACAGCTCTTACCTGATACGATGCCTCCAACGGTGTAAGCTGTGTTTACGGAGCCAATAACATTGGCATCCTGAGTTAGAGAGATATATATAGTGCTCATCTATAAGATTAATCGTCTTATACTCGACGTTACTCACTGGTTTATGAAAATACTCTATGAAATTTGCAGAGCCTTGCACAGCATTGAAGGTGGCCGCATCGTAGCCATAAAGGATCATAGTAGCTGACGCGACCAGGCAAACGTACCAGAGGTACACATTTGGGCTCATGATAGCCATGATTGTTGTAATTTAGGCCAGAGACAATGAAGTTGGAAAGAATAAAAGAGAAGAGTGCCAAATCAAATGTGGGCGTAATTCGATCTCTAAACACAAGAGTCTTCTCCAACTTTAAGTATCTTGATGCTATGCATTTTGCTCATCTATCACATGTAAACCATTCAAATATAACACAATTGGTGGGTAAAACTCCTAGGGTCTGTTCGTTCACAAGTGTGTACCCCGCAAGACTGTATTTCAGCCGGCTAAACTGTATTTAAGTTTCTCCGGCATATGTGGATCGATCATGTAGGTGAACGAACAATTCAGAACGTGGTGACGCCCTTGTCAAGTTGCCGTACCAAAGCCACGCATTTCCTACCCTGCTCGGCTTTTATTTTTGTACGGAGTATAGGAAAATAGAAAAGCTGGTCTGACCCGCTTTTCACCTGCTAAGCCCTCCGAGCTAGGAAGCCGTTGTCTCAGAAGCTAGTATTCACTGTCTTCTTCGGGCTTAGCTCTTCACACTGTATATAACCTTTCGATCCCTGGAGATCTTACCTCTCTAGAAAGCACTCAATACATCCACCTCCTCTCTCCTCCTTGCTCCCCATTCCTTGACCTCCGATACGTTGTTTCTATCCAAGTTCTCTAGACACCGATAATATACCACCTATACAACAACAAGAAGAGCCTTTTCTATTTTACTGCTCTAGCAAGTAGAGTAGTCGTACTTGGTATGCCTCCTAGGACGACCTAGGAATAGAGACTCTAGGCTTGAGTTTTCATTGGGCCTGGAGCACCTGTGGGAAGCACCAGTAGTGGCACCTTTTTAGGGGGATGTCCAGGCTTCAAGGTGGCTGTGGAGGGACCCTTTGACAGGAGGGCCCTAAGGCTGACTACCGTGGGTTGCGGGAGCGTAACCGTATAACCATTGGCGGAGGCGGATACAAACACACCAGGAAGGGGGCCAAAAAAGTCGAACCCTACCTGTGGAGGTGCCGGCTACGAGCCTACTCATATTACTGTAGTGTCGACAGAAGAAGCGCAATACGACGACGACGAGTTTCCCTTACTATCGTGTCGCCACTACGCCCACTATAGCCTTTGCGACTTTGCGATCTAGGGCGGGTTTACGATGGGATAGCCAACTCCTCGAGCCTCTGTCTATTGTCGCCGTTGCGGCGATCCGGTCCCGAAAGTCGGGGTTTTACCCCCACTTTGGTACTTCTGATCTCACTCATTTGATATTAATCTAAACTTAGATACTTAACCCCCTGCCCAAAACCCACCTACCGAATGTACGAAGTTTGCCTCTATTACTAGGCAACGTGAGCGTTATACTATAGTTCTATTGCGTAACTAGAAGCAAGGCTACCCGTTAACTTCTGTTCCATCTAATGAGATCATGCTTTCAGTGAGTGTGTGCCCGTATGGTCTGTTCTCCTACGACAGTGGGCTCCTAACAGCAAAGTCCTTATAGAAACTGATCTAAAATAACATACGATTACCCGGTAGAGTAGTTACCCCTATAAATTAGTCAGTTAGATCAAGCCCGTAAGAACTTCCCAAAACAAGCAGAAAATGTAGCTTACATCCGTCGATATCATCTTCGACAACTTGCACCTTAGTACACTTCATCGCCTCCTCCGCAGTCTGGGTCTTTAGTTCCGAACAAACGTCGCCAGTACAACGGGCGTCCATAGAACGTTGGAGAGTATCGTCTTTCCAGCCGAAGACGTAGTCCCCGTGCTGCGAGTATCCTTTCCTGCACATTGTTTTTAGAGTCGCGTACTCGCCGTCTGACTGCAAGTTGTGCTAGAGAGGGATAGAGAGGGATAGAGACTTACTGGTCGCCAGTGCTCCAAACGAACGGCTGCGAACCGTCCTCGGGCCATAAATCCTTATTATTAAAGGATCGGGTCTATGGTATACACTAAATTAGTAAATGGACTTGATACAATGCCCTAGAAGAAATACTAGGGAAGTAAAATGATAAAGATAGCACTTACGTCCCACATTACTTCGTACATCAGTTGAGGTAACACCACAGGATGGCTTGCTGGACAGTTACCAGTTGGACCTACATCGTTAGTTGCTGAACCTACTCCATAGGCAACGTGGCTTTCATGGTCCGGGCTATCTAAGTTCTTACCATCCCAACAGGTGGGAAAGGTAATAACCGAACGTATGCCGCCAGCACAGAAGCCCGTGGGAAGCGTTTGTGCGTCCGGAGATCCGCAGTTAATATTGCTGTTGTCTCCTGATGCTGGCATACAACGATGGCACACCTTGTGCGCCGTGCCTGGCGATCGTAGTGAGGCATCTCCAACAAGCATACGGAAGCCGGGCTTAAAGGCAGTAACTTTTGATTTGTTATCGGTCGATGGGATATAATACACTGTTATACCGCCATTGCCTTGGAGACCTTCGCTCGGGATTTGAGGTACGCGCTTAAACGTTCCGTTACGGGCTCGAAAATATAGAACTGCGGTCCAGTAGTTGGAAAAGTCTTCTGAGAACGAGCAGCTAGTGCATGTAGAGGCTGTAGGGAGATCGTGCGTTGTTGGGTCCATAGAAGCGTTGAACGAATTCCCGCCCACGATTTGGTGGAGATGAGGAGACGGGACAATTCCAGGGTTAACTAGAGGGTCTAAACGCTCGACGACAAGCTGCGAGCAAGTGAAACGTAACATTGGTGGGATCGCTACCGCTTGGCTAGAGCAGTGCTCCACCAGAAGTGCTAGGGCGAGAGCCTTCCACTGCATTTTGGACGAAATGGCTACTACCGTCAGTAGTAAGGACGAAGCAAAATCGTGCAGTAGAAAGGGAAAGATAACTTGTGTGATAACCTGGATTGTATCTCCTAAATATGGTCTTGCCACCACCTATCGGGTAGAGCCCCACCTATATGCCGTTGGGTGCTACTCTTGATAATGTAGTTTAATCTCAACCCATATACTTTTATATTACAAGATTTAGGCACTGGCTCGGTAGCTGACAGCGCGTTAGTTCCCGGAACCACATGCGAACCAAATCCCCCTCCGCTATCAAATAGATATTTCATCCTAATTTGTCTAATTCACCCGATTCACCCATCACACCCACTGCATGATAACACCCTTAAAGCGGCGAGGTTGGGTGAGCCCCAAAGAACCCCCCGGCGCAGATCGCATGGTATCTGATGCTGTAAAAAGTGCCTAGAAAAGCCGCAATAAAAACTCCATTCGTGGAGTCTATGTGACTAGGAGTTACAGTTTCAAACTGTGTTAAAATTTGCCTTTAGCCACTTAGTTTTACAATGATGGTTTATATTTTGCATATCTTCACGTATAGTGACGTATAGACTATGCTCAGACACGACATCGACTACTTCCTCTTCGAGATAGGTTAATCACAACGCCGCGGGATGCTATTAAAAGACATACACCATTCGAGGAGAGAGTCATCGGAAAACTTGCACGGATCGCATACAGTCTAAAGGGCCATGGCGTACACCTTGGGTTCGTCAAGTTAGTAATGATCTCCAATTGTTAGTATATCCACGCTGGAGTATATGTACTATAATAGGTCATTTGGGAGACCAGGGATACATGTGTGAAAGTTGCCCCCTCCAGTTAGGACATAGGTACTCGAGTACTTCGTACTTCGTATGTTTAACATATCTATTTAGCCGGAACCAATGTCCATCAATTATGCTAGACCCACATCTCCCCCCTTTTCCCGCCCACTTCTAAGCGAGAGCCGCCCCCTCGATTAGCGTAAGGTACCTACTGTAAAATACCTCAGTCCCTGCCTCGGTACTATGAAAAAGTAGCGATCTTGTTGCAATGCTCTGAGACATTACTACTGCCATAATTCTCTGAACTTAAATCTTCCACCAGTCTTGATTTAATCTGTCCTCACCTGTGCCGTGTCCCGTGTCCTCGGTATTACCAGGGTCATACTTGCACCCACGAAAGAGAACGTTGGGTAAGCGACCATCAGTTGCAGGAGAAACGCGAGCGCTTGGGTAGTGAGCGGGTGATCTTGTATAACCTGTACAGGACGTGCTTAACTTTAGACAGTTCACATTCTTCAAAGGGCTCCAGAAACAGTATGAAATCCATCCTCTCTCCCTCTGCCTCATCACTACCTTCGAAACCACTCGCTGCCCTAGCTCTGCCCAACTCCTCGGCCCTCTGCACTATCAAACCCTGGAGCCATATCTCGCAATGCGCCTAGCACCCCTTGTGCCAGATGCTATGAAGTAGCTCACGGCTTGCCGCATTCAGTGCTACTCGTCGCCATACTCTGTTATGGCCCATGTGGATCTTAAAAATCATGCTGCCATGGCATGAGCCTTCCATTATATAAGTCGAAAGTGCGTTAACTTCTGACCAGAAAAGTTACGGTCTTCATATCAGAAGCCGCAAAACTATTGTTGGTATTGGCAAAATCGGTGGTGTTGTTGGCGGTGGGCTGCCTGAACCTGTGAATCGCTACCCACGGGGGCGCTGTCCCGAATGCAAATACCCAAGTACTATACTTCGCAGGCATTAATCAATCAACGTCGACTCATACTTCACCAGATGCTTCATCTTATCATCTTATTACTTTCTGCGGCTACCTCGCCGCACAAACGCCATACGAGTGCTACCTTACCTTACGTATTGCGCACTCCGATTTGGGGTCGCATCGCACCACTTTCGATTACACATTCCACTACCATGCCTACCTACCTACTTACCTACCTGGTAGGTACCTAGTATATAGTTAGAGACTACCTCCCCTATTCCTTTACTTGAATCAATCCCTCAATCACTCTTCCACCTCCGGATCCAACACATAACTTTACCCTACCATCCTCCCAACATACCATCGCCACCGCCCTCATCTGGCGCACGCTCAGAATCCGAGTCTGAGTCTGAGTCCACGTCCGAAACTCCACCTTATACGCCCGTCGAACTCAAGGCTATTTTCCTTGACATCTACACATTTCTTACTAGCTACACTACGACGCGGCGGACCTTAAAAATCCCACCGCCTGAAGGATGGCCGGAAGTAACAGTGGGATTTTTGTGAGGGCTTTAAGTCCGACTCTGCTATCGAAGTCCGACGCCTTCTACCCTACTTTTCCAGTGAGGCGGCTATACATTACAAATCGGCCGTGAGTACTTCGGTTAGTACTATTTGGAAAAGGACTGGAGGGAGACGCCTATCAACTTCGAGACTAGTAAAGGAGAAGAAGTCAATCCAAATCACGTCTTTTTTATCGCAAAGGGCCACGAAAGCGGCGGCCGTGAGCTGTTGTTAAATGTACTGCATGGCGAAATTATCGAGGATATGATTAGATGTAAACATGTCGGTACATATGATGTCAAGTCTTACTTTGACGGCCTCAAGGAGGCGTATCGGAGCCTAAAGTTCATCCCTTGCATCGATAGAGACACGTTCGAAGCGTAGAGCCTCGAAGAGCGAGCTGACACGATCAGCGAGGAAGAAGTTCGTGCCCAGACAGATGGTGATACGGACTTGGATGTTCAATATATCAGGCAGATTTACCGGCAGCACGGATGGCCTGATGCATTCCGGCAGGACGACGCCGAGAGAGCCGTTCTTAAGCTGCTAGAGTGGATAAATGAGCGCTTCGATTAGCCAGATGATCGTTGATACCGCTGCGATGGAAACCCGCATCAGGATGTGCGAAGCCACCCGCAGCCACGCCATAAGTCGACAACGTGAAAGGTGCAAGTCCCCACTACCAGGCTGGCAATTGGGATAGCAGATATCCAGGAAACTAGCATGGCTTTCCCAAATAGCAATTGAGCTCTATGATTGATAGCACATGACAATTATTTGCACCGTCAAGGAAGAACATTCAATTGCGGCTAATATGATTGAATGTCTGAAGTGTCTGAACCCAAAGAGACTCACCGGTGACCTTAAACGGGACGGTGGTTATAAGACTTTAACCAAATAGTGTGAAAAATAGAGAAAGGAAACGCTTAGCATATAAGGATTCAATGATAACGCTTGTGGAAACGAACATACCATAGGCCTATAACCCAGCAAATGCACTCCAAGGTAATCGGTTCACGTCCTAGTCCCAGTGGTCGAAAGACTGAGGTTGCTCCTCAACAGAAATCTGCAGCTGTTTGCCTTATAGTGTTATAGCGTCCATTCATCTAATACCGTATTCTTTTCCATGATGCTCATATTAGAAATGAAATCATGGTATTGCTGGTCAGGCGGCATAAATGCCCCTGGCGGGCTGGCGTATTAAAGCTGTGGGCTGTAGCATTATTAGTTCATGATAACAAAGGTCGGGCACTCTAGACCCACGCTCATAAAGACTATTGAAGCCTATCCCGACATCACTGCCGATGGTAGTAGAAGGATGATTAGTCGGTACGTCGTCGATATAGCGAAGCTCCGCGCCCATCGGCGAATCCAACTGTACGGGATCTAGATCTGGACCGGCTCGGGCGAGTCGGGCCGCATCCGCATCTGGGTTCAGGGACATGGGCAAGACCCTCGGGCCGCAAATGGCGATCTTGCAGGAGATCTGAGGTTTGTCTCGGCGCCGACTCGAGATAGGGCGTGAGCGCAGATTCGAAGTAGCATCAGACTCTTGTGACTCGGTCAAGGGAGCTGTCGGATAAGCTGATGACATGATCAATCTGTGATAACCTTGGGCGCAGCAAGCTCATAACAACTATGTTGATTACTAATCCGGCACCCTCATAAATACGACAGGACTTCCCGTCTGTTTTTAACTTTCTATAGCTCCCAACTTTCATGAACAAAATGTCCACTATACCTCTTGGCATCCCCTACTTTAGGAATCCGAAAGAGTTACCAGCACCTCTGCCTACCACCTCGGAAATACCAGTATCAAACGATATCATCAAGGGAGCCGAGGCTTGGGCAACCAGGAAATTTGTAAGCGTTGGTAAACATTTTATCGCAAAGTACAGCCCATCCAATGACGAAATCGAAGGAGAAAACCTACTCTTCCTCGAGCGGAATAACCTCCTAGGATTCGCTCCTCGACTATATGCGATGTGGAGGGGGGTTGACCGGAGTCTGTTCCTCCTGATGGAACGTCTACCTGGAAAAACGCTTGAATCGCTCTGGCCGACTCTTCCAAACCCGGACAACGACCGCATTCTTGTCCAAATCAGGGATATTCTAAGGGGTATCCGCAGCTTGCCACATCAAGGTTTCTTTGGCGCAGTCAATAAGAGCCATATTCCCCATCACTTGTTTTACTGGCCCAAATACCCAGCTCACGTTTCGGGCCCATTTACGACCGAGCGTACACTTGTACAGGGTCTGATCTCGAAATCGCGATTAAATGCACAAGATAATAAGCGCTATTCGTATCTAGCGGACTTTTTCGAGAGTCAGTTAATGCGGGATCTTGTAGTTGATGGTAGAATGCCCATGTTCACACAGTCAGATTTGCAGCGAAAACCGATCCCAGTAGAGGAGGTAGAGGTGGAATCGGCCCCGGATAGAAAGCAATTTCATGTTTCGCTTGTTGATTGGGAATCTGCGGGTTGGTATCCAGTGTATTGGGAGCATTTTGCTGCATTTTTCGCTTTAAAATGGGACGACGATTGGTGTTGTAAGGTAGGGGACGTTATTGACGGTTGGCCTGCTGAGACCGCTATGATGGAGATGATCTATCAAGATCTATGGCTGTGAGCAGACCGGTTTATCGAACCCACTAAGGCGGGACAATGATTGCTGCTGAGAGGCGAGGTGAGGAAACCGGTGGACGTAGAAGTTCTGATGAAAGAAGTGGGTATAATTGGTTGGTCACTCGATGCAGCTTGATATATATATATCTACTATAAATATATACGCCGTATAGTCATAAGTAGGTGTGGGGTAGCAAGGGTGGGGAATGAAGGCATTCTCACGCAACCAAACCATGGCTGCCACCTGCGAGTGTGGGAAAAGTTCGAACTATCTATGTAGCATCGATAAAAAATCGACAAAAGTTGGTAATCGCATCTAGTCAATATCAAAAGTCGCACAAAAAGCAAATCTTATACAAAAACTATAAAGTATAAGTTGAACATGGTCTAAATGCATGGGGTATAAAATAACTTGTATACTTCGAAACATTCAACGTATACCAGACATAGAAAAACATCCAGAAATATAGGATGACAAGTGACGAAATCCCTACTCATTCATAAGCATGACAATATCGATCGATACAATTATCCATCAACGCTCAAAAGGACATATTGTAAACTCCAGTGCTTCCAACCCATCTAACGGTATTCGAAATTGGGTCCCATATCTTTTAACTCTTTAATTCTCCGATCTAGGTAGCCTGGTATCTATTGTTTAAGAGGTTGAGGAGGTTGAGGATGTTGAGGAGGTTGATGAGCCAGGGGAGCTTGAGGAATAGCCTCCATCTTCTCGTTAGGTGTATATCCGTTCTCCCCGCGGTGTTGAAGCTGAATGTAATCGAGTTCCTTTGATGTCTGGATAGATTCACAGCATGAGCAGCAGAACGCTGTCAAGCATCCACCGCAGGCTGAATATTTAAGATCTGCACAGTAAGATATGTCAGTAAATAAACATATACAGAGAATTGAGTGACGTCGGGTCATGGGGATATTTTGAATCGGAAGATTAATTGCACGTACCGTGTTTCTCGGCCATCGCCTCTCTGTCGAGCATCTGCAAAATCCATCCTACGCCACAGCAAGTGGTGAGGGCGCACCATCCAAGACACCATCCATTCACAGCAGAGGGGTCTGCTTCCGCATTCCGCATGATACGTTCGTGGTTTTGGCCGACAAGTATGCAGGGACAGCAGGTTGATTTCAGGCCTATATTTGCGAATTATTAATACCCGATGCTTACGATAAGCAGCGAAGGAAACTTGCATATGCCCATAGGGCAACAGTTAAAGAGGCCGGTCTTCCATTCGTGAGACATTCTGAGTGAAGGAGGATATTGAAATTGCAAAAATGAACAGTTGAGTGGGAGGATAAGACGATGTTTCAAACGAGCGATGGACGGCAAGTGGGCGGCTGGGAGTTTTGAGCTGATGACATGCTCGCTAACTCACGGGGTGCCTCGAGCCTTATATCCTCTCCCATGTACAAAGTACAAAGTTGTTTCTATGGGGACCCGATCTCGAGCCAAGTGTCTCATCTCCCGTTGCTGTCAGATTGGTCTGCCCTATCAAACCAGGCAGGGTAAGCAAATGCTGCAGGGATCGCACCTGATATGCTGCTGGGAGCCCCTTGCGGTATGGAATAGGATTCTAAAAGCTTACATCTCGAGTTTTATCATACCCGTTGTCTGGATATGTTAGCCAATAGCTTGATGTTTTAAAATGAATTGTCCAAGTGCAAAAAAATATATGTATTTATAGGTAGACTCGGACGGTTTGTAAAGTCAGTGCTCTGCACTGCATAAATTTGGGCTGGGCCAAGTACATAACGGCGTGTGTACCTGGTAGCTCCATGCCTTCAGCCTTGGCCTGAGGCTGTGCGGGACTATCCTAGGAATACACCGTAACACTCATACAATACCCGAGTAACACACAATGCAATAGGATGAAGACAGCGTCGTGACTGTACCTGGATTTTGCAGCCGTAATTGGTAGAGGTCTCTCATCAAAATTAATTCTCCGTGTATAAAAGCGTTGCAATGTCCCCTGGTAAAGAGTTACTCCCTCTGTAAATATGGCAGCACTATACTTCGTACTCGCAACAAGAACATAGGGACTATATGTGCTTCGCACAGAGGCGCAGCTTCCAGATGCTCAAGTGATGAGCAAGATCGATACGGGGGATCGCTCTTGATTTGCCGATTGGCAGAAATTGGGGGCTAGATCTTCGGCCTCTACATCTTGGGCTTAGATGACTGCATACGCCGAGGTTATCAGTTAATGCCGCCTACAACAGTACACAAGAATATGAGGCCTAAGAGTAGATCAGATCAGTCACAAATATTTAGCACCAAGTAGCTACCTAAATTCGTACCTACACCGACTCCATAATCTAATGCCCTACGCTAATTGTGCTTGAAACCGAAATTTGGTGTGGTGTCCTGGAAAGGCTAGGATAGTATCAAGTGCAAGTATATCTCATCCGTTATTATTGGTGTTTGGAGAGGATTTCCTACTCGAAGTTAGATCGCACGACCCGCATGTGGCGTCATGAGATAGGTTATCAGGCTCATTGAACTTATCGGCCGCCTGAAACCTGGACCAAACAAATAACCGCTAGGTAAGGCGCGGTTGTTTCATGGTATGACATCCCACGAAATCCTTTCCAAGATTATCACACCCTCTTCCCCCTCCAAAGTACGATCTTTACGTTGTCGGAGCTCAATCAACAAAAGACAAACTAAACACCAATATATCTCAGCGCTTGCAGATCAGAGCGATAATGGAAGCTGGTAATGGATGCGTGCCTCTGTGTAGCTGCAAATATGTACCAGAAAGGCCATGGCTCACTTGCTAGACCAAGTACTTCTCTCAAGCGACCAACATTTGAATGATAGCCAGTTGCTAATTGATTTCTTTCTTTCTTTTGTTTCTTCTACCCCAGGGAAAAACCAGCCACTGTGACACGTGCCTAGGAACTATCTCGTATGCGCCCTAAGCTACGTCATCAAGAATTGCCAGTTGAGAAGAAAATGTGGGTTTGCGCACGCATGCGTTTCGCTCCAATAGTAGCACATGAAGCAGGTAGCAAATATCTAGAAGAGCGAAATGCCCCCCGCATTGGTTGGCCAAAAAGACGAGAATAAAACTTGCTTATAAAGAAAGAACAAAACAGCAGATAATAACTTCTGCCGTTCGAAGCCACACAGCGGCGGCTATATTAGCACTTACACTGCGTGGTTACACGAAAAGTACCAGCTAAGCACTATACCGGAAAACCGAGCCCTTATAGCTTTATTTTTAGTGGTATCCTCATCGTCATTTGGGGCTCCAAATTGCTGTATAGCGATCCAAATGCGGATATACCAACGACTTCTTGGGATGCGGGGGTAGATGGCACTTCGATCCCCAAAGGTCTTGTGAAGGGGTCTCGTTGTGGGATGAACTCTCTTCCCCCGGGCATTATGGAACCGAAATCTTTTTGCCCACCTCATGCGCGGCAGCTTGACGAGGGGGATCTTGACTGACGGCCGCTCTCGAGCAGTCCCATAGTAGCTTCAGAGTAGCATTTGTGGCGCCTAGTGTTGAATTGTGGCGGGAAGGCTTTGGGACGCGGTTGGTTCGACGTTGTTATATATATCCATCGCCTTCGACGGGTTTGTTCGACGGCCTTCCTTGAAGCAGTGCTCAAGTCCGCGCATCTCGCGCGGAATGTCTTTCTCGGGGAACCCGAGGACGCATCTTATCGGTAGAAATGACCCGCAGAGACTTTGGGCTTTGGCATTGGTAACCTTCGCACTGGGCGTAAAACTGCGAGGCGGCGGTTGGGTTGCACTGCGTTTGGGCTTTGGGCTTTGGGAGTTCGTAAGCAATCATTTGTCGAGCTACCAGCGTATGGCAAGGCGCGTCCCCCTCAATTGCGCCAGTAGTCATAAAGTAGTGATCAGTAGTGACAATTAGGGGACCATTCACAGCAGCTGCTAAATGCATGTGACCTGCACCTGCGCGCCTCACTCAAATGCATTTGACGGCATTGCTTTGCATGTGGATCGGGATATGAACTGAGTCTTGGGCTCGAATTTTCGCTGGAGGATTAACGTTGACGAGGTTGAAGTGGAAGTAGAAGTTGAAATTAGAGGCTGCTTGACGCTTGATGGTTTCCGTCCAGCAATTCGTCGCCCTCATTCGTTCAATCCGCCAATCAGATCGCTTCTCGCTCCAACCACCGAACTTCCGCGTACTGCAGCTTCCCATCGACCGTCAACTCCATCATCGCCATCCTCACCGTTGCGCGCCCCCAGTTCTACGTACGAGCATTGATCGAACTGTTTTGAAGCTTGAAGCGTGGCCCTCCGTCAATCCTGAAGCTTCAGGGTCCTCATTGATACCCGCTGCGCACAGCCCTGAACCGTGAAGCTCCAGATCGCCTCCATAGTGCAAACGCCATGGCCGAAGACCCAAGTAAGAGCTTCTTTAATTTATATTTCGAGGTCTGCTGTGCTCTGCTATACTCTGCTGTGCATGCTAGAGGACTTGCGCTTCGGAATGCTCCTCTGCAGATCATGGCAGAGCTCGGAGGATGTGACGTACCTGAATTTCTGGACAAGAGGCTGATGATGTATTTACAGCGGCACCGAGTCTGAACCTCGCCCCGGAGGAGAAGCGAGTGTTCGGGCAGTTATTTCGACAAGCCGATACAGAAGGGCTTGGGGTTGTTACGGGAGAAGTTGCTGTGAAGTTCTTCGAGAAGACCAGACTCGAGCCGCGCATTTTAGGAGAGGTGCGTACCGTTCGCTGCATATAATGCAATGTACCGACTAGCAGCATTTGATACTAAACTATATCTCGATCTAGATATGGCAAATCGCGGATAAGGAGAACCGGGGACTACTTACACCCGCGGGCTTTGGAATAGTTTTAAGATTGATCGGACATTACCAGGCAGGAAGAGATCCAACTCCTGAGCTGGCCCTTCGACCTGGCCCTCTACCTAAATTCGATGGAGGCTCTGCGCCAGGAATGAGCCCTACGATTCAACCTCCTCCTGGCCCCCCGCCAGGCGCCCTACAACCCCAAACAAGCGGGTCGCCTCCGATCAGAGTTCCCCCCCTCACGCCTGACAAAGCCGCTCAGTATGCGGCGCTATTCGAAAAGTCGGGCGCACAAAATGGCCAGCTTCCTGGGGAGCAAGCAAAGCAGATATTTGAGCGCGCTGGATTGTCGAATGAGGTTTTAGTCCGGATATGGACATTGGCAGATACGGAACAACGAGGGGCCCTCCAGGTCACGGAATTTGTAATAGCGATGCATCTGCTAGCATCGTTCAAGGCCGGCACTCTTCGAGCGTTACCAACTGTTCTTCCCGCTGGTCTATACGAAGCAGCGGCTCGACGCCCACCAAGTCGCCAGGCGACTGGCACCAGTTCCATCCCAGCCGTCCCAGCCATCCCGAGACAATTCAGTGGTGCTACGGGAGCTCCGCGCGCCGGGAGTCCGCTTAGTCGTTCAGCTTACGCTGCCCCCCAACAATACGCTCAGTATTCTGGCCCAGTTGGTGAATGGGCTATTACTCCATCAGATAAGGCAAAATTCGACGCCATTTATAGCACCCTGGATACAACCAACAAGGGTTATATCACTGGAGAAGAGGCTGTGCCGTTTTTCAGTGAGTCAAAGCTCCCTGAGGAGGCTTTGGCACAGATATGGGATCTTGCGGACATCAACTCGGCCGGGCGTTTGAGCAGAGATGAGTTTGCGGTTGGTATGTATCTCATCAGACAGCAACGAGGGAAACGTGATGGGAGAGAGTCACTCCCCGCCACGCTACCTCCGAACTTGATCCCACCAAGTATGCGAAATCAAGTTAAACCAGCCGCTGTCCCAACGGCGCCGCATTTTGATGCCGCACCGAGTTTACCCAAGTCAGCTGCCGAGGATTTGTTTGGTCTTGATGCTCTGTCATCACCAGTTCCTGCTCCCAGCCAGGCGCCCCTATCTACTGGTGGATCTGCGTCCCCCGGCTTGAACGACCCTTTCGGTAATAAAACCCCTATAACCCCAAGCTCTCCAACCCACAGCCCTCCACAGCAATCTTCAATCTTCAAATCATTTAACCCCTCCTCATCATTTGGGCAGTCCTTGAGTTACCAGGCCACTGGTGGATCAAATTCGTCTGGTCCATCTCAGTCGAGAAGCATGCCGCCACAGAACACCGTAACAGAGGACTTGCTAGGAGACAATGACCCAGAAATCAGTAAACGGCTCACAGACGAGACTACTGAGTTTGCCAACTTGTCAAATCAAGTTGGCAACTTGACGAAGAAGATGCAAGATGTGCAAGGACAACGAGCAACTTCCCAAGTTGAGCTGAACCAAGCAAGCACCCAAAAGTATGAATTCGAACAGCGACTGGCCCAGCTAAGAACTTTGTATGAACAAGAAGCACAGAGCGTCAGAAGCTTGGAAGAGAAGCTTACAGCCTCTCGAAACGGGACCAAAAAGCTTCAGACTGAAATTGCGATGGTCGAGGGAACATATCAGGATTTACAAACCCAGCACCGCCAAGTCGCCACAGCATTGCAGGCAGACCAACAGGAAAATGCCAGTCTAAAAGAGCGTATGCGTGCTGTTAATGCCGAAATTGTGCAATTAAAGCCGGCTCTCGAGAAGCTGCGGTCCGATGCTCGGCAGCAGAAAGGTCTAGTAGCCATCAACAAAAAGCAACTCGCGACGAATGAAAGCGAAAGAGAGAAATTAAAGATTGAGGCTGAAGAGTTAAATAAGAGTATTGAAGAGGATACCAGGACCCTCGCATCAGCATCCAAAGCACATAGTCCAGCCCAATCTTCAAGTTCGCAGCAGGTTGCCAGCCCAACCCCTTCAACCATAAGTGCCAACAACCCATTCTTCCGACGTCAAGGTAGCTCCTCAGAAATAGCAACGTCCGCATACACCTCCCCCACGCAGCAAGGCGACCGATCTTTTGAGAATGTCTTCGGCCCCGCCTTCGGCGAAGCCGCTACGATAAAAGAAGGACCGCCACCTACAACTTTCAGACAAGAGAAGGAAATCCAATCGACTTCGAGTGGTTCAGCTGCCTCCTCACATACACAGGCAGGTAACGGGACTGACTTATCGCCGACGTTGGCCGCATCACCAGCAACCTCCAACAGAGAGCTTCCTCAATCAAACATCCCCCCGCCGCCTCCTGAATCACGGCAGATCAGCTCTAGCTTTTTACCTTTCCCAGAACATGAAGACTCTGTTACATCATCTCGACAAGTATCAGCGCCCAACAGCAGGTTTGGAGAGAGTTCTACTGGCGCCGATACGCCAACAAACTACATTGGCACGACCCCGACAGGATCTTCCTCAGCAGGTCCAGCCGAGAATCCCGCACCAGCATCTCCTGGCCTTGGTCGTAATTCTACTGCTTCCCCTACCGCTAGCGCCACCAAAGATTCCATTCCCGGAGCCTTCCCTGGGGAGACAAACTCTAATATCATTGCGACGCCAACCGGTGGAAGCACCCTAAGTGAGCAAGCGGCAGCTGACCCGTTTGAGGCCAACAAGGAGCTAGTTCGCTCTGGAACCTCCAAGGACGATTTTGATGCTGCATTTGCAGGATTTGGGGCCCCTGCTAAGCTGCAAGAACGCACAAATACTGGCTCTTCGGCTGGAGGCTCTGCTAGTGGAGCACCAGCTGGATTCCACAAAGAGTTTCCACCCATAGCTGAATTAGAAAACGATGACGATAGTGACAGCGGCAGTGACCGGGGAGGTTTTGATGACGACTTCGCCCCTGCATCTCCTAGTCATGCTAGGAAATCAAGCTCGGCTCAGTCACCAACTTTGACGAAGAGTACCCTTGGCGAGGCACCGAGTGATTCCCTTCAAGCACGACCGGGCACATCACATACCTCATCGGCAAGAACTATTGGCACAGCGCCACCAACTCCTGGGGCTCAAATATCCCCACCCGCATATGCCAACGCTGTCTCTCCCAGCGAGCAAGCCCACTCAGATGTGCAGCAATATTCTGGACTCCTTCCATCTCGTGATGTCCCTGCACCAGCGGCAACCACTTCTACCGAGCCTTCGACTTCAACCGCGGCAGGGCAAGTGCCATTCGGGTTTCCTCCAACATCTTCGCAACCCGCTCCTCCCGCTAAAGTCCCTTTCGATGATGATTTTGATGATTTTGACGGTTTAGAAGATGCCAAAGAAGGAGATGTGGATGACGATTTTGCCAATATCTCCGTTAATGACCGCTCTGGACTTGATGATTTCAATCCAATGTTTGATAGTCCGCCTCAATCAAAGGGCGCGGAGCATTCCAACTCCGGGAATAGCTTTGGGGGAGATAGTGTTTTCGCAGAATTCACACAATCCCCAAAATCAACCCACCCAAGTACAACAGCTACAAACACAGCCGATAGCCATGACTGGGATGCCATATTTGCAGGCTTAGATACAGCTGCACCAGCCGAGACTGGATCAACAAACGCCGTAGATTCTACGACGCAACAAAATGGCAACGGTGCTGCACCTAGCCCTACTGCCGAAAGACCACAACCTGGGCGTGCCCTCACCGAGACAGGTGTACACGACGACCCGATATTGAAAAACTTGACCGGGATGGGATATCCTAGGACCGATGCACTAGCTGCTCTGGAGAAATACGATTATAATTTGGAAAGGGTAAGTAATGGTTTTTAAGCGACGCGGAGAATTTTGAGGGTTAACATAGTTCTTTTCTTTACAGGCTGCAAATTACCTTGCCAGTCAATCATGATAGTGTTTGGAGGAAAGCAAGAAATTTCGAAGGAGAAACGAAATATGAGCACGGGAATGAGAATTTAATTTTCGTCGAGGATGAAAGCGAATTTGATGAAATTGAGGGCAGATGACGGTCGTTGTTTTTTCAGGATTGAGGCATGTGTGTGCATAGTTGTAATGTCCAGTGATATTGTATTCTATGGCAGCATTTTAGCAGGCATTCGTTTTATTTTCCCCCTTCCGGGTACGGAATCAAAGCTCGTTCTAGGCAACTCCTTTCTTTTCTAGTTTACATTTTACGAGAATGAAGATAGTGTTTATTTGTCGATGGTGAAAATCTGATGATGCGGTGATTGATGTGTTTCCGTTTGCCTAAGGTACCTGGTCTACTAGTAATAGACACTGCCTTCTGCCTTCCAGAGCCCATTCTTTAATAAAGCCCTATATGAGGCGGCGTATTGGGTTTTGCACAATCTAAATGGTTGATTTTCTAGAGGTAACAATATAAGTGGTTCTTTAACAAACCGCAGCGGCTTTCGAAGAACGGTCTCTGCTGGAGCATGATGGCAGCCACTCTTCTAGTTGCAATGAAACTGAAGGAAGGATGCAAAATGCTGTTTTCCCCGCTTATTAGGCGCTGACTAAACAGAAAGGGGAGGAAGCTGAGCGGTAATGGAGTGTTGGTATCTAGATCGGGGTTGAAATGTAGAGAAGCTGTGGGGTTAACTCGGATATTATGTTCTCCTATAGGTGGCTTGTTATGAGGAAACAGAGTCTTCGGCAGGGCTGCTGTGTGCTGCTTGTTGTAATGTCCAAAACCCTCCACTAAGTCCTCACTGCAGATAGAGCGAGCACACGACAATTTTCACATCAGTTACAAAGAACACAAAGAAGTATCATGGTATGCAAATTCCAATCTAGCATTGTTATCAAAGGTATAATATCTCCACAGGTAGCAGCAAAGCAGCAAGCGCAGCCAGCCAGTCCGTCTATCAAATAGACAACAGACCCCATACAAGCCAGGATTTCAAACTCAAATTAACAAAATATGATACACCAACCCTCCTTCATCTCTGCCCTCCTTCCCATCATCATCATCATCACCACCCCTTGCCAGCAAGAAACTAGCAGCTACCCCCAAAACCCCCCTACCTACTATGTAAGTAAGAGGAGGTAGGTGGGTAGGTAGGTATCCCATCCACACCCACTAATGACAAGAAGCAACGCAAAGAAAAAGAAGAAAAAAAGGGCCCTTCGTGATATCGTGCATGTGTTAATTTGTCGCCGGCGCCTATATATTCCATCCATTTCCATTCCTTCCTTCCTTCCCCAAATTTGGTGGTATATTTGTAAAAAAGCGGCGCGCGGCCAAAACATAAAATTGTGTTCTGTTTTTGAGAGATCCGGTGAGGGACATGTAGTAAACTTTCTAAAAATTCCTTCCCTTCCCATATCATTTCGTTCCCCATACGGTATACCCATCAAAACAAACAAAACCCACAAAACGATTCCAATAAATCCCGTCGTGAGAAAAAAGAATTTAAAATCCAGTCCCACCCAAAACACTCCTCATTTTGACTTCTATATATGTCGAAAACAAGGAGGAAAAGGGGGGGGGAAGGAGTAGAAGTAATTGGAAGGAAATGCAACATGTTTGACAAAGGGGTATTTCTAGTTCTCTAAGCGAGCGAGATGTGGGAGGAAAACGGAATAGCCAAGACAAAATGAGCGTCCTGTTTCAACCCAGCCGTATATGCAGCCCAATTCCACCCATTCGCTCAGTCCAAGGCAATGCTGCCATCCCAACCCGATTAACAAAACAAAAGAACTCCAGCTACCACGTGCTCCCCGCCTTATATGGTATCTCCTTCCTATTCAAATGAAACGACCTATGTGAAAGCATGGCCCCCTGGTCGCTAGTCAAGAGAAACCGAAGTCGAAATGGAAGCACGCAAACATGATGATAAAATCAAACGCTGTCATGGCATCATAACTTTAACAAATTACAAAGGAGATGTTTTTTTCCTGATCCGAGGCAATTTTGGGGAGTATCAACCATCGTCTTCAGCATCTTCATCCTCCTCCTCGTCATCTTCAGCACTACTTCGTACTGGCGCGGGAGGGCCACTGAGCTTTGCCTTTTTGCTTGGTGTTGCATTTTCGGTTTCCGCTTTTCGCTTAGTCCCTGAACCACCACCACTGTTCGGTATGCCTTTCGCGGGCGTCTCTGAAGAACCTTTCTCAGCGTCATCTCCACCCTCGCCTTTATTCCTCTCAATCTCTGCCACCTCGTCGGCAGTTAAGAATCTGCCACCAGGCCCTCGAGGTCTTCTCATGGCGTGGTTATGTCTACTTTCGTGAAGATATGGCTTCCTTCCTTTAGAGGTCAAGCGCAAAGCCTCCTCCAATCTTTGGCGCGCAACCCGGCGCTTTAATATTCGGTGGAACTGCTTCGCATTGACATAAAGCGGGGACTCTTCAACAGCTCCAGATACAAGTTCGGGGGACTGCGCGTGTTGTTGGTTGGCGGGCATTGGGGGCGCGGGCGGTCGCGGGGCACCATGGTTCATAATGGGCTGCGAATTTGCCACTGCTGGAGATGGAACCTGCTGGCTCATCCTTCGGCCTTGGTTGACCTGTGGGTGGCCCATCTGGTTGTTCATCTGTTGTGGCGATCGTGGCCCTCTTTCCCGCTTAATTGCAGCCGCCATTTTTGGTGAGGTCTGCGAGAGACCAGAGTCAGGAATTGCGTATGGATACCCTTGGCCAGAAGCAGCAGCAGTGGCTGCCATCGCAGCGGCTTGCGGCGTAATTCCCGGCATGCCATAGTGCATGCCAGGCTGGACTCCATATGCGGGTTGATAATTCATCTGTTGATGTATCGCGTGCCCTTGAGTTTGCCCAGCTTGTTGAGGTTGAGACGATAGTATTGGCGACGTTTGGCTATGTACGCCATGTTGCGAGTGAAGTGGTTGCTGGGCTGGTGATGTGATGGTTGGTCCTGCGCCTGGGTGTTGCCCCGAATTTGGATATCCCGCCTGTATATGCTGGCCATGCCCATGCTGGGCTTGCGCCGGTTGTTGGTATTGCGCGTACTCCATCATTTGGACTTTATTCCCCAAGGGAACGTGTAATGAATAATGTGTGGTGCGAAAACTGCAACTGCCAGAGACCAAGATGCGCGGCGCGTTCTCGGTGATGCCTGGAGCTCTCGAGTATTCGGAATGCGCGAATCGGGTGTTGCGGGAGGTTGTAGTTTAACAACTACAGTTTCTGAGTCTTGATGAAAGTCGCTGATCTCGTCGAGGAGTAAGTAACTGTTTGGAAGTGTGGCGACTCGCAGACTACGCGTTGTAGATGTTGTAGCAGTTCGGCAGGTGGCTGATATGCCAGCTAGTAAAGCAGCCTTCTCGTCAATTCGATAACGGTATGCGTGGATGTGCTGGCAGGCGATCTGGTAGGTGTACACCGCAATCGACCGCAGCACGGCATATGCAAGCTGATGTAGACGGGAGGCGTCTTAGTGGATACGTAGGGCTTGCGGAATAGGCTCGAGTTCAATTCCCACGTGAGAGAACGAGGCGGGTGATTGCGCTTGCGCTTGAGGCTATTCGAGACAATGTAGTATATAGCTTCGTGGGGAATAGTTGACACCAGCCACTGGAAGGACGAGGCTTTCGCCAGTAGTTATCAACGGCTCTGGGGATGCTATGCAGCGGAAAGTATTAGCTCTGGTGTTTGGCTGATGCTCAGGCGGGAGCCGTGAACGATTGGGAGGTGGGAGTTTTGAAGCGATGTTGTTTTTTTGCGTTGGGCCAGTGTGATGCGTTGGCCATGCATAGAGGTCATGCAAAACTAGGCTTACCTGGTCAATCCGGCTTTCCCCCCTCAATTCCTATTCTCGTCACGGTGTGGCGCGAGTATATGAGCGCGAGCCGAATTCAGATTGGGGTTGATTTGCGCCGTGCAGGTGATGCAGAGGCGTTCTCGTGAGGTTTGTGACGCGCAGGGCGGACTTTGCGCGAGGTGAGGTTGCTGACTTGACTTGGATGCGGAGTCGCAAGCAAGATTGGGGATGTGCGCGCTCGACCGACGGCGGCGCTCTCGAGTAGGAGAGTTCGAGGAGAGCGCTTTTTCCTTCTCCCGAGTTTGGGATAGGCTTTTTTCCTCTCTAGGTAGCAGTAGCTACAAGACAAAGCGGGCGTTAGTGAACGGGTGATTTTTCTTGTACGCAGGCTGCCGACGAGCGCGACGCGCAACCGCAAGATGAGCGGCAGCGGCAGCAGCAGCAGCGCTTCAAAACGTTGGATTAAATTTCCGCGGGCACAGGAGTTGGGAAACGCTCACCTCCAATGCGCGACGTGAATAGCTTCCAGGACTCAGTGAATGGACGAGAGCGACGATCCTTCCCGCAGGGTCTCGAAATCACGGGATTGGGGCAGAGGGCCAATTGCTGCGACGATGAAGCTTTTCGCGACGATGATAGGGCTCGGGGGGCGAAAGGACGGGTTTGGGTTGAAGAGCGAGTTGGATTGGCTGTGTTCCGTGCAGGCTTCGAGACGCGATGCGATGCGATACAAGGCCAGGTACCAAGTGCGAGGCAGCACTCAATCTGGAGGAGGCTGGGGGGGGGCAATTTGGTTTGGTTTGGTTTGGTCTGGTCTGGTTTGATTTGATTTGATCTGGTTGGAAAGGGAGCACGCGGACCCGACGACCAGGAGGGTTTGGGGGTTTGGGGGTTTGGGGACTTGGGACTTGGGACTGGGGACGGGGACGGGGACGGGCTTGTATGGAGCACCGGCGGTGTATTGGTGTATCGGTGTCTGGAGGACGGTAGGGTTTTTGTCGCCACCGGATTGATTGCGCAGCGTGGAGGAGCCCGAGGAGGAGGCTGGCCCGCTGACAAGAGGACCGAGAGCCCAAGATAGACCCGTGGAGTAATCCGTAAGGTATAGGTAAGGTAGCGGACGCGGTGCTTCGTGCGCAGTACTGTACCTTCGTAACGGGTTTCGAGTCGAGGACGAGTCGAGTCGAGTCGCTAGGAGTCGCGAGCTACCAGGTACTGTAACTGTACTGCCGTACGTCGCACGTCGTTTGGTCGATATGAGCCTCTCGGAGAGGGTTTCGAGTCCGGGGAAGACGGTTTATATTCGATCGGGGGAATGATTGGTTGTGTGTTGGTGTTGATGGGACGAAGACGAAGATGAAGAAGAATGAGAAGCCGTGAGTGGACTGGCAATTATTAGTAATTTCACCCCGTGGCGACTCGTGTAGTCGTACGGAACGCCCAAGCGCCGCCGCCGAAAATTGCCGGATCGGGCGATTATTTTTGGGGGGCGCAGGGGGGGAGGGGGGGCACGTGCTGGGTGGCGGTGGTCAGGTGACTGGGGGTCACGGGTGGGCGAGAGAGTTTTCCTTCCAAGGTTTTTGTGTTTTGCTGTGGGCGGGATACAGCGCTGGTAGGGAACAAGAGACCAGAGACCAGAGACCAGAGCGCAGAGAGTGGCTAATAATAACAACAACAACAATAATAACTCATAATAAAATAATAAGTAATAATACTGTACACAAGAATACGATGATGAGTGATGCTATGATGATGCTAGTGTCCGCAGCTGCTCCCCAGTCTCCCCGGTCTCCCTGTCTTCCCTCTCTCCCTGTCTCCCAGCCTCAAACAGCCAAAACAACCAAACAGGCAGACTCGTCAAAAAAAGGCGCTGTCGATCACGGATTTACGGCTGATGCAGGACACGGCCACCACGCAAGGAAGAGCCCAGCCACGGCCTCCGGAGAGCGGTGAGTGGTGAAGGAGCCCACGAAACAGCAGCGCCCCTGGGAGAATGGACTCGCGGCTGGTGGGGAGGAGCGGATACATACAGATGCGGCTGAGAGAGAGGCCTTGGGAGTTTGGGGACTTGGGGCCGGTGCTGATGCTGATGCTGGTGCTGCTGGTGCTGGCTGGCGCTGCTGGTGCTGCTGGTGCTGCTACTGGGCAGTGAGTGGTGTTCTCGACAGTCAGTGTCGTTCTCTCTCCCTCATACGGATGGATACTACTGGGTCTCGAGTGGAGCTGTTCCAACACCGCCAGGGAGAATATTGTGCCCAAGACAAAGACAGACAAGACAGACAACAATAACTACGGGCCGGCGGGCAGATGGCGGCGAGGAAGCACAAGCAAGCTCCCTCCTCCCTTCCCTGAGCTCCCTCCCCCCCATCCGATCCGACGTGACGACGGTGACAAATGTCGGTGAAGACTCCTGATTCGTATTTTGGGGGTTGCACTGAGAGTCTGGAGTCCGCCGTCATCATCGTCTGCCGTCCACGTCAAGAAAGCAAGACACCGCCCACGCACTCAGGTCTCGGAGGCGCGGCTGGCGTAGGTCGGTAGGGCGTCGAGCTGTTTGGGCTGGGATGGGAGATGGGAGCCCGACTCCTGAGTCCTGCGATTTTGAATCTCCCCGCCGCGCGCTGGCGGGCTTTCTGGACGGGGTCGAGGAAAATCGACAGAACCAACCCAAATCCAATTTTGTGATTCGCGGTAGCAACATCATGTTCGTCGCATTTCCACCGTGAATTTCGAATGGAGCGCCGGATACACGAGTGCTACTGGTCCGCTGATCGGTATTTTCGTCCACTCGCTGCTTTCAAAACGGCGAATCCAACCCATCCACCCTTGGCTCGCCCAGCCAGCCCCCAGCCCAGCCTCCTCGGTGCGAATCGACGCGGCCAACAGGTGAACAGTTGCACAGCAGCGGCCTCTGCACTGTCGTCTGCAGCCTGAGAATCTGGATTCCCGCCACCTGGCGTTCAATCCCCCGCCGCCCAGCACCCGCTATCCGCTCCCTGGTCTCCGCCCTTTCCGCCCTGAACTGGAGGCGGCCTCTGTGAGCGATGGGAACCAGAGAACAGACCAGCAGCTCCAGCACCCCGCAGGCAACGTGACTGAGTATCAAGAGCCCAAGGACGAGAGACACGAGAGAGTCGAGAGAGACAGGAGAGACAAAGCCCAATTCACAGCCCAAGTGTGCTAAGCCCAAACGCTGAGAAATTAGAAGAAGCCTTCAAATCCGGCACGACCGATGGCTCGATGAATCATGACTGACAAAAGTCCCTAGGGCAGCGTCGAATTAAGCCTATGTCCAGAGCCAGATGCTGGTCAACGAGGCTGCCAGATCGCTCATCTGCGTGTGTCTGCAGAATGCTGGCCCACTGCTACACTGCTCCCTGACGCAAGTCATCCATCCGACTTAAATTGATGTTGCATTATATTCGCACCTCTATTGCTCCTTTCCCACTCATCCAACCCAGCGGAGCAGATCTCCAACACACTGTACTATAGAATGGTTAACCAACTGCCACAAACAGCATGCTGTATCCGAGTTTGTCAGCATCACGTATTCAAGAGTATAGCCGCCATCCCAATCCTACTCCCGAAAACCTGTTCCACCTGGTGCCTATTCCGGTCGTTACTCCAGCGTTGCTTCACAGCAATCCTGAATCTGTAGTCGCCGAGCTGGGTGCCCGCCACGATTGCCGTGAACCCCAGAAAGCCATGGTTGTGGTGATGAGATTGCGCCGCGGATCAGGTGTCCTGTCAAGTCCAAATCTTCAAACGGTCCGAGTGTCTTGCAAGTCGCAATATCACGGCACGCACCGAGCCCCCCTCTAGTGTATGCGCGGGAAGCACCGTTATTCACATCCTCTCCATCGTCATTCTCACTGCTGAAACACATCAAGGGAAAGTATCCTTACGCCTCCAACAGCTCCCTCTGCTCTCGCCTCGACCAATCGAATCCAGAAGATGCTCTTCCGCGCTCCCATTCGGCGCCTATACATTTCCTCCCGCAATAGTTACGCGCTGCGGTGGGTGTGATGCATTATGCTAACATAGGACGGGTTTCGTGTGCCTGGCGCTTAAGAGCAATTGAGTTTGGAGCTCAGACCCCTACGTTTTGGGGGCAAACTGGAATGGAATTCGGTCGCACCGCCTGATGTCATTATTAAGGAATATACCCCTTCCAGTCATCATCTTGCTTAATCTCCGATCACGAGAATTTCCCCAAGCCTTGGCTGATGTCTCGAGTTGCGGCATCCCATTTTACGGATCGTCAGGGCAAGGATCCTCGGTGATTTGAAGAAGCAAATTCCGGCTCTTGCTGGCTTATCCTTCGCCCATTGTCGTTTATGCTTTCCATTATCAGGTGACGCCTTGTTCTGGGATCATCATCTGACGGACAGCCTGCTAGATCATTTCTATATTAAGACGCAGTGTGACTATCAGGTGGATTTGTTTTCCATAAGGCTCATCTTACGAAGTGCGAAATCTGAAGCAAGTGCTTTTGTGGCGTTTTGCTTCTTTTCAACTATCAAAATGGCTTTCCGCTCTTAACGCAAGAGAACTCTCAGCGTTGCATTCAATCACCCCGCATGGCCAAGTGCTTCCGACGGCTATCACTCCATTATTCTTTATTCTCGTCTTGAAATACGCTCTTCGGAAATTGCATGCCCATTCCAGCGTCCAGACTTAATTAATGAAACTGCCGCTGTTACCTCAATTATTTTCCCCATCTTGTCTATCACATCCGTAAGGTTACGATCTTGGTGATGATGGCTGCAGAGACTCCAGTAATCATTCATGCCGTTCTGGGCTTGATGGCCGGCCGGGCTTCTCATATGCCAGATTCCTAACCTACGTGGAGTATCAGCCCAAAATTCCAGCGTATGCAACGTTTCTATCGCAGAGGTTAAGTCATGGACCAAGCAGGTCAGAGCCTCGCTCGTCTTTCGACTGTCTTTCTGCCAGTAGAAATAGCACATTTCCATTCCTCGAGATCTTTCTTTAGGCCCAGTAGTGTCTGCAACTAAACGCAATATCAAGCGATGATCCTTTTACATCTATTATCTAACCTCAATCTGCAACTTTGCAATGGGAAGTAGTCACGAGTACCATAGGAAGTATTTGTAGTTGCATCTTGTCGAGTCTCCCATTGTGCCTCTTTCAGTATACCACCATCGTATTAACCTCCCACTCTTGGGTTTTATCACTGATATCGGCATCACAGTTAATGGTGGGACAATCTAGTAGACAAACGGATCAGTCCTCCTAGAGGTTGAGGTTACTTGTTTTCTTCCGCAAAGCCATCGCCAAGAGGGTTCTGAGATTGTGACATATTGGGAAGCCTGCCTAGCATGAGCAATCCCACTGATAAAGATGAATATATAGTAAATTCTGTTTTCAGTATAGAGTTTAGCAATATTCAATGCTGCCATAAGCACCTGTCTCAATATATAGATTGTATGAGCACAAAATATATCTACTCTGTTCGCATCCCGTGCTCCATCTCCCAAGGCTATATGAAGAGTGCAACGAATGTATCCACAAAATTGTCCCAGGTCATCCGCGACCAGCACTTTCCTTTCGGCCATGGCGGGAATCACTGGCGTGACTCCTTGCCACTGAACATATAGAAATATATTGTTGTGTATATGAGCAGGTCTGCAATGGTTCCAAACTCCTATGAAAGCTCGCGACCACATATAGTTGACAAACGACTTAAAGCCGAAGGGAGTCACTCTACGCTCCTATTATCCAACGTTGCCAGTCCATTTAAAGCAGCTACATAACCTTGAAGATGCCACCGCGCACAAACTTAGGCGACAGAGAGCTTAAGATGCACCGACTCATTGAAATAGAACATATATATCCCCGGTATTGCAACTATAATCGATGACTTTAAGATACCACATCCTAGAGCAAAGGGGGGTTTCGATGCCTCTCTGGTTGAATTTTCTATACTTGTATAACCAGTGATAGCCCGGACTTACAGCGATATTATGAAGAGAGCATATGAACTGTCGGTGATCAGAAGAGCTGAATTCAAAGCAAAGTTCAACATGTAGCTCATAACCATAAGCTAGGCGGGGTTCAGGGAAATTAGGCTACTACGTTTAACCTCTCCGAATAAGGAAGCGGGTCTGCTTAATTCTTTTATATCTACACTCTAGCAGCGTTTGCCTTCTAGGGTCTGAGGCAAAGTTGGTCGATAAAAGCCACTTGTACACCCCAAATCTAGCATATATACGGTAGAGATGTGAAACCCCTCTCGGGGAATCTCCCCAGGTTGGTTATCGAGCTGATGCCCCTCTAAAGAGAAGCTGGCTCGTAGTATATCTAGAGAAGGATGAATTGTTGATGGATAACTCGAAACTGGTGGGTTTATAGGGGATAATATGCATGCATAGGCGCGCTCTGGATAATGGTCCATGGCGATGAGCTTGTGTATGCCTTTCCTAAATTGGAAGATCTGTCTATGGCATACAAGTGTGGCCTCATTTGGGAAGTTTTCACACTAGGCTAATTTTTAACGCTTAGAGAGGTAGTCACATTTGAAAGCGAATTTAATTTGCGTTTCGGAACTCCAAGGACGTCCAGAATCTCAAGGAGAAGATTCTGTAGAATATTAGCACTGATTCGGTGGGTAATCAAATATATCACACTGCTATATCCTGTCCGTGTACGATTAGATGGGTGGCAATTTCTTATATGTTGATATTAGCAAAGAGCTTTGACTTTGAGAGGGGATTGCAGATTTTCAGCAGATCAAAATCGGTAAAGGGGTGTGTCTCAGCAAAATTTGGTACTATTATTAGCTGTGACGTCTAGGTGAAATCGGTGGTGCAAACCTATTCTCCCTGCCATCTGAAGATTTGGCCCGCAGATTGGAAGACTAAAATTTAGTTGAAGTTGAAGAAGCTTGTAGGTAGTATGGTTGTGTGTGTTAATCAGGGTTAGATAGATAAGCTAGAGAGAACTGGGAAATCTGAGTTTCGGGGATATAAATGTGGTCTAATCGGAATGAAACCAAAGGGTAGGATCTATCGTATGTGTCAATGGTAATAAGTTTTAAGTGATTTGACTTAGGTTCTGCCTATTGGTGGAAGAAAGAGGGTTAATAATATATTGAGAGAACAGATGTTGGAAGTGATGGAAGTGACGCGAGGGAGAGACTAAATATGTGGATGGAGAGATAAACAACTCCTGAAGTTCAATCCACTCGGTTGATAGGCGATGGGAAAATAACTTAATTACTAGAAGTAAGATAAAATTTCACATTTCTAGACGTACCCTCCTGAATAAACTTAGCAAGATGATAATGTAGTTTGGAGGAATATCCAATTCTCCGGCCCTAATGTATAAGCACTGAGCAGGAAAGTCAAACCAGAAGAATGCAATGACACGGCTATTCTAATATTTAGTGAAATATAATGAAGAAATGAAAAAGTGGAATTGTGGTACTTGACAACTTAATTATTTCGGGGGAGTTTCCTAGTACCAGTTAGAGAAATACGGACGCAATATCGGCAGCCATCTCTTGCTAATGTCTTAAACTTCTGGGCATGCCGGCAGAGGGGTGTTGCATGAGGTAGGTAGGTAAAAGTATTATAGTTATAAACCGGAGGAATAAATAAATTACCTGTACTAGTTTAAAGGATAAGACGAATAGTAATATTGAAAACCTCTAAACCGTAGAACGAATAATCGATCAGGTTGCCAAAGACTAAATTCCCTTGCCTATAAGATGTCTAATACACACACAGGATGAAGGGACTGGGGAAATGAGAGATAGATAAGCCATAAAAACGACCCCATGTGATAACCCGTTTTGGATACGCTGAACCGAAGAATTCAAAGAACGAATAGGACTAGGTACATCTATACTAAATGCATGTCATCTATTATGGCAAGTGTCAAGAGCTTATCTATACCTTGCAGCCCGCAATATAAGTTCAAACTCGCATGCATAACTAAAGCCATCGCATATCCAATCTCTCTATCTTATATCAGAAATCCCCAATTCTATATGCTTATCAACATGCAAACCCCGCACCATAGGTATACTAGTAGTAACAACATAACCCACAAAACGCCACCGCGTCTCCATAGTAAAATCCGCCACAACAACACCTATCCCTACCCTCTCCAACTCTCCATCCCAGCATCCATTTATCTCCAACAGTTGCCAACTCCCATAAAATCCCGGGACTACACGGAACCGCAGCTCTTCACATGTATATTTCCCATCCTCCCGCGGGAAATTCCTAGAGTTGCTATGCTGCCTGCACTCTTTATTTCCGAAAACTTCCGGTTCCGGGTTGTCCCCCGTTCCTCCACCCCCCTTGCCCCGCTCCTTTGCGCGTAGCGAAAACCTTGTGTTTGCTATTTTTAGGGGGTCTCTTTATTGAGAGGGGTTTGTGGGGTACCTAGGTAGTTTTTTGTTTGGGGGATGAGGCGGGAGGACACGAGGTATTGAGAATTTGAGAGGGGAGAGAAAGGGGATTAATACTAGGTGGAAAAAGGCGAGGAAAATGCATATTGAGGATAGAAAATGATGAAAATCCGTAGAATCTTGTAAACTGAGGAAAACTCACCCAAATTAATGCATGGCAGGTATCAAAGCAGTCTCTAGATCATCGTCAAGGTGGTTATCGAGACCTTATCGTTCTGACAATAATCTATGTACTTTTTTCTTCTTCTTCCTCCACCCAGCTTGCCGATGCATCGCCGGATTTGCGGCTCGTTCAAGCGTCAACCCCCCCCCCCCCCTTTCATCAGCCATTAATCATTCTTTCAGAGAATATGCCTCCCACCCTAAGGCATTGACGTGTATTTAGCCCAGGTAAACCGTTTCCCCCCAGGCCCAGGCCCCCCCAAGTCCCAAAATACATCCCAGTCCTTTATAAAAGATCGCAAAACAAATACAAAGCCAGGTACGTGCTAATGTGCAAGAAGCAGATTTCCCTTATCCCAAACGCCGTTGGCCCTGCCATCCCTGTGGTGACCACAAACACTTTTGCGTCGTTCGATATGATATTATCGAAAAGCAGACCGCCTCAAGCGCCTCATGAAAACGTAATAATTAGAACCGAGGTTGTAGCAGCACCACGCCGGTCCCAACTCTCAATAGATCCGCATAGGGGGAGGTGTATCGGTGATCACCGTCTCCATCCTACGTTCCATATTACATGCGCGATGTCCTTCGCCGTATTTACAGTATCAACAACTTTGCCAAACAGGCCTTCTGATACTCTATCGTCTTCGTCTTCCTCGCAGGGCATAAACATTCCTGATGGCGTCCTTCTCATTCCAGATGGCTCATTGGTGAGGCTTGACGACGATCCAGATTTATGTAAGCTCCCTAACCGATCCTGATTCACTGTGACGCTATCCCTCCGAGATGAGCTATTCGGCTGCCAATCTAGGTCTTCATCATCATCCTCATCATCTCCAAGTAACATCCTCGATGACGGTTTTGACGGTCGGAGCGTTTCTTGGGAAGGTGAAGGCGATAACTTAGTCCCAGTCCAATATGCATTGTGGCTCATGGCTGAATCGGGACCGTCAGGGCTATCTTCTCGGTATTTTAGGGTTGTGGATGGTAGCATGGCGATAGTTTTGTTTTCGGTAGTTGAATTTTGTCGTTGTGTCTTCTTGCTCTGGAGAGGGGGTAGTTTCCGTTTCGAGTCGCTCCTCTTCATCATGACCCCTCCATCGTCAGAATCGCTGTCGTCGTAGTCATAGCCGTTATATAACTCCGGGTCGTCGTCGTCATCATCTCCCTTCACCTCCACCGCGATGCACTGCTCTACTTGTTCATTAAAGTGGATATGCTTCCTCTCCCTCGCCCCGGGCGAAGCCAAACCAGAGGATACAGCCGAAGAGAACGCACTGGTGTGTAAATGGCTTAATCCTGGCGATGGGAAATGGTGGCCATAAACCGAAGGGTCACGCCTCACTCCAGACCGATCCATCACCCCGACGGAGGTTTGCTGGGCTTGAACGGCCGCTGCTGCTTGTTTTAAGAGCGATGAGGATGACAAGGATTTTCGGAGCATTATTTCTGACATGCTTCGCTTCTTTAAAATGGGTTTCTTGTTCAAGAATGAATTCGACTTCGACAGCCGACTGCTACTTATCGGAGATGCAGAAGGCATGCGTAGTGCCTTATCTGACCCAGACTGCAATGGCCCATATAACCAGGTTACATCGCAATCTTTGAGCCTGGTTTGAGTTAGCATTGTTAGGATGCGTACTGATAATGTCCACAAGAGAAGGACCCAGCTTACCAATTGAGGGTTTCGGGGGAAATGGTCTTTAACTTGTTCTTGGACTTCATCCATGTTCGCCACGATGCATTTTCCAACCTCGCACTGTTATTGTACACCCCTCGTTTTGACACTATAAGCTTCCAAGACGACCAGATGTCTTCCTCCTTCCAATTATGTGATAGGTAATCCACATGTCGGGATGGCTGGATTCGCACCGCCGTATCATCTTCAGCATGTTCTACTGGGACTGGTGATCCTGGTCTCGATGCGTTGGTCGAGGTGGAGCCTGATGTGGGGGAGACGGTATAAGAATCACCGGTCCGGGGACTTGCTGGTGGCTCCAGGTCTTCGACTTGGTCGGAGTCGTAATATCCTACTTCGTCATATGACGGGAAGAGAATCTGATCCTCGTCGGTCTCGTCGTCACAGTGTGCGTCGAGGGATAAGCTGCTTGCGGGAGTGGAGGAAAAGGAGGGCGCTGTGGAATCGGCGTGTATCGTCCTTGGTGAGGAGGGGGCGGACGAAGGGGTTGAATCGGAAGGTGAGATGAGGGTATTGAACGCAGTGCTGCTCTTCGATCTTGACGGGGAACTTGAATATGATGACTGGGTGACAAACTTGGGCTGCGAATGCGATCGACGGAGCGGGGCGTTCGAGAAATAATTATTCTCTTCCGAGTTAAGCACTACGGCCATGCTTGCTGCTGGGACGAGGAGACTTGCTTTTCCTAATCGAACCGAGCCAGGCCTTCCCTCGCACTCGCCCTGGACGTTCGAACTGGTGCAATGACTTCGCTCATCAGAAATCTGAAACTCGCATCCAGGGGCGGAGGATAATGGAGCAGGGACGGAGGCAATGATGGCGGTTGAGGAGCTGGTTGATGGTCTGCCGCCGCGTCTGGGGATGGGAATCGTATCGAGGAGTCTGGGTGAGGAAGCCGGGAGGAGAGATGGAGATGGAGATGGAGGAGGGAGGCAAATCGCGAGTTTCGACGATTGTTGTTGTCGTCGGTGGTATGGAGGAACGGGGGGACGCGAGCAGGAATGAAGGGGAGGTTGTGTGTGAAGTTGCGGAAGTGAGGATTGTGGAGAGGAACGAGGTGAGGAATGTTATCAGTTGAGTCTTGAGGCTTGGAGCTGGGCTGGGGTTGGGGTTGGAGTTGTGGGCGGATTGACTCGCGGGAGTTTGGAGGTTCGAGAGTCTCGACTACAGGTGTGGAGAAGCGCATCCCAGAATTCCTGAGCAGACGCTACACCGCGACGGGGATCCAGATGCCGCTAGCACTCCAAGAACTTCCAAGCGAACGGCGATGGAGCCAAAGTCCAGCTGCCAGATGCCAATTGACCGCGACGATGAGAAAATCTCCCGGGCCAGGCGAGGGAGGAAAAGGTTCTGCACCAGCATTATCCACACTACGAGGAACCCGGGACTGCTAGCTCCTCTTCGATCTTTGTCCTGATACGAAGTGTTACCATTGCATACCTTATTGTATACTTCTGGGTGCTGGATGCTGCCATGAACGAGTTCGTACCGAACACACCGCGCAGCACGGTATCCATACTCATTCATCTCCATCTATATTGCAGCAGCTATTGCAGCATGGCTGGTGCCCTTACGTGCTCTGGCTTCGAAGCATCTCCTCCATGGTGCTACAGTCCGTAGCTATTACGCCGCACGCATTCACGGTGGAACCAGCCAGCCGAGGAGATCGGACAACAGGAGAACGAGGATATCTCTCCTGAACATTCCGGGTTGCCTAATCACTCCCTCCGGTGTTGGTTAAAGATTTGCCCTCTCCAGCGAGGTGGTATGAATGAATTCTCGATGGTCCCGATCGGGACTCGCCACCAGCCTAGTGATGGCGACGGGGATGATTATTGTTATTATCGCGAACAGGAACCCTCCGAAGAGCCCTTCAGGCCCGCGCCAAGATCGAAGATCCTCGTCCGCTTGGTCCTCGATAGGCTCGACGACATTCGTGCCCGCCAGGATGATGTGGAGAGCGGACGTTGGAGGGGTTGGAGGCGAGGGAGGAGAGGGAGAGTTCTCAGGAGTCCGCGCATCCTCTCTCCCTGTCGCCAGTCTGTGAGGCGTTCGCCCATGTGCGACGTAACGACATCGCAATTGACGAATGTCGAGAGTTGGGCATGCTACTTCCTGTTAGCTTTGCAGCACACCTGCTCTCGTATCCAATATCGCGACGCAGAATGCATGAAGCTGCCTCGATCACTCTACTCCGTAAGTCGATGGCCAACTGGGCCGCTCCACACCTGGACAGTATCGCCTGCGCGGCATCTGGGCTGCAGTGCCGCCGCCAGGGAAATCCACCGGCCTGCAGCGTGTCTGAGCTCTGGACTCTGGACTCTGGGCTCGTCGCGACTCTTTGGACTTTGGTCTTTGGACTCAGTCCGGAGGCCTGAACCACCACCACCACCACCACCACCACCACCATCACCATCACCATCGCCGGCCTCTGTTTGGCCCTTTTCCGCTGGCCAGCCGTCCCCTACGGACCTGGTGGACTGCTCTCCTAGGCGAAACCCCACACCGGTTCCAGCCACAATTGCGGCCATACGTTCCACGACGGCACAGAGGTCTTTCGTACCTTTCTTACGAAGTCACCGGTCGTACGAGCCCTCGCTCGACCGCCACCAGAGCCGAGCAGCCGAAGCCGTGGCCGGCGTGCCCTGAGCCTGTGCACCGAGGGATATTCTGGACTCTGGACTCTGGAGTACCGTAGCTAACGTTTCCTATGCCTCCCTAAACCTGCCTATGGCTCGCACCGTGTTACTCCAGTCTCTAGTCTCCAGGGCTTCCATCGCCTTTAGAGTTTCCACAAGTCTCTAGCCAGTTACCACGCAGTTACCAGCAGCCACCTACTAGAAACCATCGGCGCCTATAAAGGCGTGATCTGAAGCACCCGAATAAACCTCCGTCGCCAAAACTGCCGATATGTTGCCGACTCTACATATTACCTATTTATCAACTACGTACTTTGCATTGTCCGTACAGTGCAAGCCTCCTCCTATCTTTCATTAGCATCGGGCCGAGTACCGGGTTATTCATGATGTTGATAGCCGGGCCCACGATGCCGCCCATCTGCCCATTGTCTGGCCGTACACACCGTACGATACGTAATAGCCCGGCAAGTACAGGCAAATCGCGAAACACTGCGCCTGGCGCAAGAATATACTGGTCTTGGTTTAGACGCGGATGAAAATCATCCCAAGAATGACCAAACTGGGTTACGCCACGCCTCGGCAGATATTATTAGTGCATCGGAACTTGTGAAGGTGCAGTCCTAGGAGACATGTACAACTTATATGGTGTGATCAATGTCTACCTGTACGAAGTACGCTCATTAATAATTCCCCGTCTTACAAGGGGGGGGGGGTTGGAGATACGGAGTTGGGGAATCCCACTCACTGATAAGATATCATGATAAGGCACCATGATAAGCCACTGATTCGAGAAGATTGACCTCTCGACCGGGATTGGTGTTGCGGGAGAGGCAGCAAAGTTGAAAAAGTCTAATTGTTCTATAGTGACTGCGTCTTTGTTGTTATCTCGTCTCAAGCTACCAGAGTACATAAAGACAATGGCGCAATCACGAACCGTAGCTGAGCCCTCGAAACCTGTTACTGTACGTCGTCAAAGCTAGCCAGCGCCTCGCAACTTGTGCTTTGCCAATGCAAAGATAAAGATAACTTACCTGGTAATCGATACTGCTCTCCTGGCCTCCGGCCTCCCGATAAGCATGGGGACTGTCAGATTTTTGAGACAGTCGTGCGAAGTATTAAACTGATAAATGCTAGGCTATTATTGGCTGTCGCTTGAAGAGGAAGTCGAAAGTCCACGCCCCGGCGGATGGTTCGGAAACCCGCTTCTTTTGCTTTCGTGGGCTATATTACTTTACAACGAGGTCCAATTCGTCGAAGTTGTCTCCGTCTTTCTTTTACAAATGTAACGTCAAATTCCGGACAATTTGGTACCACCGCGGCTATTGGTTACAGTGTCACACCATTTTATTGTCTTCTTCCATTCTTTGTTGAACGATGACATGCCGCCACCGCCATAGCCCTCCTAATATATGTGCATGGTGCGCATTCCGGTCTGATATCCTTGCGGAGGTCCGAGCAAGCTGAGAAAGTTTAGAGTATCTGGGAAACCTTTTATACTGTTATTGGCATCATCTGTATTAGCTTTGATATTATTCCCAAAAAACTCCATCGATTAAAATAGCTTCATCTTAGTGGATGGAAGGTAGGTTTCGAGGACTACAGCCTTTTTACTTCTAAGGCTCCATCTCTATCTGCCCTGGTTTCAATTCTGTTATTTGGCGTCGAGACCAAGCTGCTGGTAGCTTTTTTTTGATGTGGGACTATACATTCAAATCTGTTCCTCAACACTAATAATAGGTCGAAGCAGAGATATCCTCAAAATAGGGGCTTGTCGTTTGTAAGAGGGCCGTTCAAGTCAACATGCAGGCAGAGCAAGTTCGTTCCACGAGATACGACCTGAAAGGGTAATGTCTATGGACTTGTCAAGCGACAAGCCTTGCAATAGCAAATATGGCAGTAATGTTGGAAGGCGATTTAGAATTGTTTTCCCCCATTGTGGTCACAACTCACATGCTTCAATTGTGGGCTGATCCTTCGGAATATGTTTGTTCCCTAGATACGAAGCCGATGTTTTCTCCACATGCCACTCTCATATTCCAAAGGGAAGTACGTAGGACGTTCAGTATGCCACCCGTCCGAGCCGATTATCTCTTGCCGAACCACGGCTCGGATGTCAAAACAGTGCACAGCTGTGCCCCGAGACGTTCCGGCTATTAGTGACGTTGGCCGTAATTATCATCTTCTTGATGTGGGATTTGGGCCGAGTCATGGGGTATCCGAGCATGGGTACGAGAGATATGGCACATGTTTGTAGATGCCCTTCCTGGGAGCTTCCCCGCTCTTCCGCCCTTTTGGGGGATATCATGCAGACGAAAAGGAGAACCACCATTTACCGAGTCCCCAACGTTGTAGCTTCATTAGGTCACATGCTCAACTGGCCGCTATGAATATGCAGCATTCAATCAACATCCAAATTATGAAAGAACGGTTGACATTCCCTTTCGATTTTCCCTGCATTCCCTCGATGCAAGGACAACTCATCAAGTGTGGTATCGATATCCACTCGACACCAAGGCAATCATAGTTCATTGACATGGGATTCCTGCCTCGAAGCGTAGCCGCCTCCGTCTGCTTATCATCCGCCGTAGGATCACGCTGAGCCACATTACTACTCTAGCTACCGCATGTGATACCAAAACGGCCCATCAGAATTAGGGTGCATATACAGCGTGCGTATAAGTAAAACAGAGCTTGTTTTGCTATTGAAGTGATGCATATACACTACTGCATGCCCGAATATGATCCAGGTGAGTTGCGTGTTGACACTCCAGCCTCGTACGTCGCGAGGTTGGATGGTGCGGATACACACACAAATTGCCTACACGTATGGACTCTTGCTCTAACACAATGAGATCCACATCGAGACATACGCTCCGTAGGTTCGGGGCATCTCAGCAGCTTTGCCGTGCGAGGCAGCATCTTATGCTGTGTTACATCGCCGCTGCAGGATGGCGCACCGGTGGCGACGCCATCTGCAACATATTTTAATCTTCACTTGACCAGACGCCTAATCGGCACCTTATCCTCGAGTCGGCATAGCCCGGGGAGCTTGTTCTGGTTGGAGCCCGAATCGTTCCATCAGGCTGGAGTCTAGACTTCTGTATGAGAAATCGACCTTGCCCGTGTTTACTCGCAGCCTTCTCTATGGAGCAAGGTTCTAGGGATTGTGTTCCCCTCTGTACTGTAACACCTCTGCTTAAATCACCACACCCTCTTCCTCATCACGCCCGCTACAACGTCGTGGCTTAGCATGCAGGCGTCTAATCAAATAAACGCCTTCTTGCCCGTTCTCTCGGTGGAACCTCCGCTACAACCACTGGATTTAGAGTAGTGAACCCTGGCTCCGGACGAAAACTATGGCGAATTTAACGATATAATTGGGTTTTCGTCTTGAAGCATGAAACGTCGATGGACATCTGCAACGCCGTTGGCACTCGTGGAACGCACGATGCAAATGCAAAGACACAACTGGACCGGATCGCGGATTATGGAGCCGTAGAATCAATCTCCCCGCTCTCCGTCTGCCTCAGCCCTGTAATACTATTCCGAATCAAGATCCTTCGACATCTGTCTATCTAAGCCGAGCATCATTAAATAGAGGGAAATTTGCCGTTTATCACAAGCTATTTGCGTGTTCCAAGGACCCCTCGCGAGCAGACACCCATCTACGAAATGTTGGTCCTCTTTTGGCTGACGGGGAGAATTAATCTAATTCGAATTGCATGCGGTTTCCGGGAACCGGGTTCAGCCCTGCTTGTCACCCTGTCCCTGTCCATCCCATAGGTGGTGGAATATGACACGTCGTTTGCGCAATCGTCGATCATTTTGATCCCGCTTATATTGCATGCGGACCCTCTAAGATTATCTTAATAATCTTTCATTTTCATCGCTGCAATTACTACCGACAGAGACACCCCTAGGAGATGAGGTATTCTGCTTTTGCAAAGTTTAATACATGGGCGTCCTTGGTTCTATTATGGATAGCAAAATCGATTGCGTTAGCGACTTCTCGTATTTCTTGTTTTCGTAGGTGGTTGGTTCTGCGGCATTTTGGTTGTCCTCTCGCACCAAAGTACGGGACCATTAATAGGTGCCTTAAGATAACATTTGTGAATAGCAGAACAGCTTGTTTTCCATGGCTTAACGTTTATTTCTATTGAACCTCTGCTTGTATATTACTGGTTTCCCATCTCAGTTCTATAAGTCGCAGTTTTTCCTACAACCGTATGCTCTCCCAACATCGCAGATATAGGGTAGACTGAGATACAAATATTATTCTTCCGATGCTCGTTCCAATTGCTCAAAATATCTCAATTTCAAAGGCTATGTGGTGCTCCAAGAGAAAACAAGTAAATAGTAATTCTTTCTCAGATCTGGGTCTTCTGTCTAGTTTAGCTCTATATATCCAAGTGGAGTACGGGTTTTATAACACTTATCATGATAAACCTCCAACCAGTCGCTCCAAGGCAACCAAAACTAGAGATGCTTTTTATTTACTTGCCGCACTTGCGACTTGCGTCTGTGCCATTTGCACTCTCATCCCTAAACTCTCGTCCTCGCCTCGGAATGGCTTGTTCATTTTTCAATTACTCCGATGTTCTCTTCGCATTCTCCACCTCTCCCCCTATTTCAACCACAGAACGAATACTTGTCTAATATTCGACACGTGAAAGGAGTTTTATATTTTCCTCGGAACATTATTAAATCTTATATATAGTCTAACGCCTGGCTCATTCTCGAGATCAAAAGGGAAACAACGATTCTTGAAATCTTGCGTAAGTGTATGCATAATGCTGTGGTTCAGATCTTCAATATCAGCCGAAACATCAGTAAGCAAATACTAACTATCGGTTTCTCAATTGTTCGTTCCGATGCTAAAGAATTTCCTGAATTCATTTGTCACTGAAGTGTTGGTGGGTTGAATTGCTAGTGGCAACACATAGGCGCATAGTTTTATGTATTCAATTTAGAGACAAAAAGAATAGACAGCCAGCCCTGCCCCCCTCTTAGTCTTGAGACGACTGTCGATACCACATTTATGCGAAGTTGTACGAAATCTGGTCCTTGATCTCTTGTAAATACCGATTCTTCGTCTCCTTCGTCTTCTGCCTCCCGCTTTCCAGCCTCTCCACCCCCTTAAGAATAACATCAATCTGTACCCACAACGGCACTTTCTGCATCTGCGGCCGCCCGGGCATCGCAACTCTCTGTCCCAAATCATCCAACCCAGCACTGATATTAAATAAATGCACCAACATGCCCGTGACCATGGCAAGCGCGAGGTCCTGCTGCTGCAATAGCTCTAGCACTAGCTTACTTTGCTTGTCCAAATCCTCAATCTCTTCCCAATTCAGCCCGAAAATTGTAGCGAATTTTTTTGACGCTTTGGCCTTGGACTTTGAGATGTCTTGCACGTCTTGCTTGCCGATCTTTTGAGCGCTCAACAGGATGTCTTCAAGCGCGTCGAATTTCTGGACTAAGAGCTGGGCTTCGGCGATGAGGCCGTCGATGTCTTCTTTTATCATCGAGAGGTGGAGTACATATTGGATCTTGACGGCTTCTTCAGTTGAGGGCTTGGGGCCTTCGAATAAGGCCATGCCTTTATTGATGAATGCCCCGATTGTACTGCTGTTGTTTTCGATGTCTTCCTCCCGAGCAATATCTTCAAGCATGCGAGCTGTCCATCGGTTTGTCGAGATGATAGAATCCATTGTACGATCCGTTTTCGAGTTCAGCTTACGTAGATCGGTGCCAGCTATTTTGGCAACTGTGTGGAACTCCCTGAGAGTTTGGACGATTTCATTTCTTAATTTAGACAAGTCAGTTATCAGGCCAGCCATTAACGCTATGAAAGAGTACACTACTTACTTAGACCGCACATTACTCAACTCCACATTTATCGCAACTTCTCTCACCGCCATCTCTCCCCTTTTCATCAATAATGGGAGCGTTACACCCCCTGCAGCCGCTTCTTGCACCTCCTGCAGCTTGACCTGTAGATTACCCAGCTTCTCAAACTCAACATGGCTCGATGAGTCAATATTCACTCTGCAGAATGGGATGCTGTGTCGCAAGATTGGGGGAGCGCAGACTGCCGATTTGGCCCCCGTGAACAACATTCCCGAAATGTAAACGACCAACAGAAGCAGTACGCCATAACATAGCGCATAGCATAAGGCATAGCAGAAGGCAGAGTAGAAGATGGAGCCCACGATGGACATGACACTGCTCAAAGTACTTCCTATCAGCCACATGGCCCAATTTATAGGCCATGGGGGAGTGGAAATAGTGGGGAAAATATTGGGAAACGTCTTCTTCTCCTCTTCAGCTGGGATTGACTTCCCCTTGGGAACTTTAGATGGCACTGTCTTATCGTCCTCGTCCGGGGTTGGCTTCCCCTTGGGAGCTGGCTGATTCTTGGGAGCTGGCTTGTCCTTGAGAGTTAGCTTGTTCTTGGGAACTGGCTTCTCCTTGGGAGTTGGCTTCTTCTTGGGAGTTAGCTTCTCCTTGGGAGTTAGTTTCTCCTTTGGAGTTGGCTTCTCCCTGGGAACTTTAGACGGCACGGCCTTGCTGTCCTCGGCCGCCGCTGGTTTCTCCTCCGGGCCGGTAACTTTAGATGGCTCTTCAGCTGCAGTTGGCTTCTCCTTGGGAACTTTAGACGGCACCGCCTTGCCGACCTTGGCCACCGCTGGTTTCTCCTCCGGGTCGGTAACT